AGCGACGGCGATGTCAGTGGTGGTGAGGACATCACCCCCAAAGATGAGACCTTGCTCATGTATTCTGTATCCCACAGAGTCAGGACCGATGGTGGTCTTGCCGGAGGCATCCTGGCGGACCCTTGATCCTCCGCCAAGACCCATAGAGTAGACGTGGGGCATGGAAAAGTTGAGAGGGACGCCACAGAGCTCGTGGTATGAAGCGGCCTGGCGAGGAAAACCTGAAGGTCTAGGAGGTATCAGCTCTGCTTTCGTAGGGAGGGCGGGTATGACATACAAGAGCACACCAATCTCCGTCTAAGTTTATAGTCATCAGCCGCTACAGTACCGCGATGTGTCGCTTCCACTCACCGTCGTACCGCCAACATCCACCACTAGCGCCGTCTCCTTCCTCTTCGCCTTTGAGCTCAAGGTGGCCAGAAAGTTGGCTCCTCTCATAGAATTTGTGGGTCCGCTGGAGAAAGTTATGATGGGGAATTTGGCGGCTTGCTCGCAAGTCATAAGGGTACCGTCATTTGAAGTCAGAAACAGGGGACACGAAAGGTTGAGGGCTCTTGTCGACTCTTGGAATCCTGCCACCGTAAGCTTAGCGAAGAAAAGCAGAGCGGCGTTGAGGATGGTGGCATTCTCTCGCTGTAACAGCCCTGTCCAGCTGTATTAGCAGACCCACCTCGAGCCTGGATGGGCTTACCGATATTTGCAACCTCCTTGCTAATGCACACTTTGATGCCAGGGACCTCATCCACAAGGATCTCCCGCACGAGCTCTTCCTGCCGTATCTCCCTGTCTATCGGGGCGTAGCACCCTGACACAGCGACGCTCACGATCCCCTGCTTTTTGATCTCTGAGCAGATAGCTCTGATCTCTAACGGATCCACCTGTATGACAGCGGTGAGTACAGTACGTCTTTGCTGTGAACGCGACTCACAGTCGTGATCTCGCTTCCATCGACCTGCAGTCCGCCTTGAGCAAAGAATATAGGTCCCTCTAACACATGTCGAAGCTCGTAAGGAAAAGACACGAAAGGCGGAGCCAGTCTACTGAAAGGTCCAGAGAGTCGTATCACAGCCACTTTTTCCAGCTTGGAGGCATCTCGCTCGACAAGGCTATTGACGAAAGATGTGGTCCCTATGGCGACAGCCTGTATTCGACTCTTGTCGACATTGGCCTTTTCGAGGGTAGCCTTGATGGCAGCTTGGATGCCAGAAGTGACGTCGGCTGTTGTGGGAGCTTTGTGGGTAGCGAGGACAGGCTGGGCTGCTCCGGGAGTAAGGTCAAGAATGACGGCGTCGCTGTTCGAGGTCAGCGCGCTCCTCCAAGGCTGCCATGGAGACTTACGTGTTGGTCCCGCCTACGTCTACGCCCACTCGGAAGTGTGGAGGATGGCTGGTCATGGCGGATGGAGATGTGGATGAGAGCGATTGACTGTTTGGCCATCTACATAATATCTACATAATAATCTCGCATCCATGGACAATTCAGCGCCGAGCCCGACGGTCGGGCGCCTCTCCGGCGCCTGTTCCTGGGCCCAGGCACAATCTCACCGGTACGGCATCTTCTGCATAGATACGACTGTGACGGTATCAGAAGGTAAGGTGGATCGTTCTTATCGATTCAGGAGGCGCCCAGGAATCAGGCGCGATCAATTCCATACATACTACTTCCTACTGGAGAGCTCGTCGAGGCTACATACCATCCGGAGCAGCTATCAGCCAAGCAGAGACGGCGCCTCCTTCAAGATAAGGACCTGGGCTGACAGGTGATAGCAGTCAGGACGGGATGTATATAACATTCTCAAGGTGTGAGTGGCTGTTCACGCAGATGAGCAATTTCACGTACATCTTCATCAGACACCAATCACTTCTTTGGCCATGATTTTTGACTTAAAGACCGCCCTCGAGAAGCTCGAAGTGCCACAGCATGAAGGAGAGGATGAAGTCTGGCAGAATAACCGTTGGGTATGTCATCATCTCTGCTCCTCCTTGCAGTGCTCAGATATTGTCCATCAAGCTCAACCGAGACAATGTACCACTCCCTCCGTCGCGAAGGACTTGGGGTGCATGGTCGTATGCTGGTGAGCGTGATAATCAAGGGAGCTGATAAGATAAGCTGACATGTTGCTTTGCGTAAGGTTACTGGATCTGCTCGGCCATTAATGTATCAGGATTGGCTGGCGGTGCCAGCTTGTTATCTCTAGGACTGACAATGGGTGAGTCAAGCTTTCAAAGATCACGTAAGTAATAGCTCAGAGGTCATTACAGGCCAGGCCATGACTGTCTGTGTCATCGCCAACTTCCTCGTGGCAGGTGCTGTGTGGTGCACCGGTCAAGTTGGCTCTTACTGGCATGTCGGCTTTCCAATGTGGAACCGTATGGTCTGGGGGCTGCGAGCGTCGTACTTTCCGGTGAGACTCGAAATGGTCATCTACGACATACAAATGTTCACTGATAGAACATAGCTTGCCAACCGAATCATACTCTCATTTACCTGGACTGCTACTCAAGGCTGGCTTGGTGGACAATGTCTCAAAGTATTCATTGGCTCCATGTTTCCAAGCATCTACAGTGAGTTGCACCAGTGTGGCGTATGTGCGCCTGATCTGATACATCACGCAAGCTATGAAGAACACGATGCCCGCCAGCACATACATGACTTCCGCCGACTTCTTGTGCTTCTTCCTCTTCACCATCATCTGTATCCCATGTCTCCTCATACCCCCAGAGCACCTTCGGAGACCGATGGTGACTATCGCCATCTTGTCCTCCCTCACCGCTATCTGCCTCTTCATCTGGTCCCTTGCTAGATCCCGCGGCGGTGGTCCCTTGATGAAGCCCGAGGGTCTTGCTCTCATCGGGGTAACTCCTGTCCGGGGTTCTGCCCTCGCATGGGCCATGTTCCACGGTATATCTTCTGGTTTGGGCGGTGTCTGTGCAGGCATATTGAACATGTGAGTCACGAGTCCTTGTTGCGAGGTTCGATTTCTTACACCATGTTCCAGGTCAGACTACACCCGCTTCGCAGCCAGGCCTCGAGCCCCGCTAATCACCCAAGCCATCGTCACACCTATCGCCGGTGTTCTGACTTCTATCATTGGTATCGTACTGGCATCAAGCGCCTCCGAGTTCTACCCTACTGCGACTCTTCTCTGGACCTCTTATGATTTGCTTGCGGCAATGCAGACATATGGCAACAATGGCACTCGGGCAGCCGTCTTTTTTGCTTGTAGGTGCTTCTCATACCAAAGGTATACATGCCGACCAAACAATCAGCTCTGGTGTTCACTCTTGCGCAATTGGGACTCACCATCCCAGGAAATTGTATAGCCGGAGGCATCGATCTCGCCTCACTGCTTCCCAAATATATCAACATCCGACGCGGAGGTCAGTAATGTGATAAGCAGCTTCTGAAATGGCTAACAGTCGCGACAGCCTATATCACCTTAGCTATATCAATCGGCATGTGCCCCTGGGCTCTGGTAAGTGATGATTCCCAGAGAGCAGTACAGCACACTGACTAGACCAGATGTCTGGAGCCACGGCGTTTATTGCCGTCATGAGTGGCTACGCCGTCTTCCTGGCCCCTATCACTGGTCTTATGGTGTTTGACTATTACTTTGTTCACAAACAGAAGATGAAGCTCACATCTCTCGTAAGTCACACTTACATTCTATGCAGCGCATACTGACCTTGATGATAGTACGAGTGCTCTCCCAACTCCATCTACTACTACAACAAAGGTGTCAATTGGAGAGCATTTGTTGCTTGGGCGTTCGGAGTAGGACCGGCGTTTCCTGGATTCTTGCAGTCTGTGGGAGCAAAGGTGACTGTTCCTAGTGGAGCCACCAAACTTTACTACATCTGCTGGCCTCGTGAGTATCCGTCTACGTAATCTTCCAGACTTCTGCTGACGACATCACCTCTCAGTGGGATTCTGCATCTCGGGCGTCATGTACCTCTCGCTCTGCACCCTCTTTCCGCTTCCAGGTATCGGCGAAGTCGATGAAGAGGACAAGTTCCAAGCTTTCGGAGACGCCTCACCAGCCGTAGATCCGGAGAGCGTGGCTGAGCCGGAAAAAGATCTCACAGAGAAGGAAGCCACAGAGAACAAGGTCATATCGGATCAGCTGACTCACGTCAATGTGGTTGGCGCTCAATGGTAATGCTAGATGTCATGTAATTATGTACCCTTTCAGAACACCACCTCCTTCATGAAACTTACCATCAGCGACGAATTTACCCCCAAGCTTATAATCTACTCTTTGACCAGAAAAGAAAAGCTCCTCTCCTCAAAAGAGCACTATCAGTATCCTTTCATCGGCCGCTGATGTCTGATGTACGTACGCCTCTGCTTGGTATTCGCAGTCGGTCCTTCGCTCGCAGAGTCTACAGATATAATTACTTGTCTGATGAACGACCATGTTTTTGCACCTCACCATTCTTCATTGAGTCATCTTCTTCTGGCAAAAATGTCGACGACTGCTCACGCTTCATCATTCAACAATGACTTCGTCGACTCTGTTCACGAGCTACTAAGAGACTCCTCGCGGCTAGCGCAGCCGGATAAGAGGACCGTCGTTCGTGCGCTCACATCATCTTGCAATCTGCTAGACCACACCGGAAACAGCGGCCTCGAGTCTCAGTTGTCTAGATACCTTGCAGGCCAGCTGTTCGACCCTGTAAGGGATTGGTACAGATGTTGTGACGTGTAGGAACGCAGGGTTCGGTGCTAGGGTTGCCGCTATGGTCTCAGGGATGCGTAGGCTGGATTGCGAGATGAGGTTCCCATATATACATCGTGCCGCGTCTCCTTATCCTTTTCCCTATCGATGTATTCTCGACGTAGTATCCTCATCACCTATATCCATCCTTCATCCATCCAGCCTATTCAAGGTCGACATCTGACGCCCCTAGTCAGATCCACTATGTAACCGCCCCTAGGTTACGCCTCACCTATCCACCTCCTTTACAGACCCCGACGACGAGGATGGTAGTCAATTTCAGATGGACAATTGGATTGGAGAAGAGACGCAAGGAGTTGACGGAGGCACATACAGGCAGAGAGAGCAGTCCTTCAGAGACTTGGCCGACTTGCGAGAGCAGCTGAAAGAGGTTGATGAGAAGACTGGGGGAGTATTGTCGAAAGCCTGGGCCGATACAGTGACACACATGATCGAAACGGTATGTGCCTTTCCTTTCGTGCTCAACTCGATAAAGGCTCACCTGGCCCTTACTCAATCAACCACTGACAGATGAACGGTAGCCCGACTGAAGTGAATATCCGTCGCGATCCCGATCCGGAATTTCCCCGTGTTGTCGCTGCCTCGGTAGAAGTCCAACATGTTACTCCATTAAATCCTAGACAGGCACATGTCGTCAGCTCCCTGTTATCAAACGTTGAAACAGACAATCTGCCGGACGACGAGCCTCCCACCGAACCCGCACCGACCCTCTCCCGCCAAACTACCCAAGATTTCCAGAGCCTTTACAGTAGGCGCGGGAGTGGTGATGGTGAGTCCTTCGATCCCGTTGTACTGTGTAAAAGCATGCTTCGCGATGGTGCAGACGGCTTCTACGTGCAAGAAGGTAACTGTGAGAAAGGTGAAGCTGAGGGTGTCACGGATGATGGAAAGGCAAACGCTTTCATGTCTTTCAACAAGACAGAAGAAGCGGATGGCAAGGTCTCGAGTTTCACGTACTACACTTCTACTGCTGTCGGGGATGGTGGTGGGGGTGTCAGACGTGGGTTCAGGATTGATTAGCTTTGCACACATGCATGCGTGATGACTGGACCAAAGTGGTGGCAGAGTGATACTGTGCCATACATGAATCCAGCAGGATATATACAATTCTACAACAGACTCGTCGGAGAGTCTTTCTTCTACATCATCATACCTAAGCTATGCCACCAGCACCTCCTTCTCCATCTTCGCCAACACCCATAGCTCTCTGCGCTTCACGCTCTTCATCCCAATCAATCCGCTCGGTCCTAGACAAGACGCGTTCATAGTACCGTCTTGCCACTGGAGCAAGCCCCTCGGGAATGACCGGCTCCGGGGCGGGTACATTATCCTCCCCAGCAGCACCACCCGCAGCATCGCCTCCCGCAGGCAAAGCACGCTCCCGCATCGCTCTCTCCCTCAACCTAATGATCCTCGCCCGTTGCGCTTCATACGTTGGAATCAACGTGATCACCCAAAGAACGATAGGCAGCGCAAGCTGGGTCTGCCACCACGGTGGAGGTTGCCTGCGCCTGGCGGCTATGAGACTACGGTCGGTGGCGAGGTGGGCGCGTGCGAGAAGATGGCCTCGAGGCATCGATGTGGGATTGCGGGGAGTGGGAGTTTGGCGTTCAGCTGCTCGAGGAGCGGCCTGGTCTCGCCCTTGAGGTCCGCCTCTTCGCTCTCCATTCGCTCGTATAGCATCCTCCAACGGTCCATACGTCTCTCTCCAAGCCGACCTCCATGCCAACGTAAAGAGTGGCCAATACGTCGATGCCCACCATAAAGCCGACACTGCGCAGATCACCCAGTACATCGGGTCTGTCCACTTTAACGAGTAGGTAAACATCGAGAAGAGGAAAAAGACGCGAATGGTGGCAAAGGCAAGTTGTCGTAGGAGGATCCCGTCGAATCGGCCGTAGAAGGCGTGGAAGAAGTGGTACAGAAATGTGCCGTAGGAAGCCAGTGTAGGAGTGGGAAGGAGGATGGGAGGGACAGGGACTGTGCGCGTAGGGGCTGGTGTAGGAGCAAGGGCCGGCTGGGATTGTTGTTGTTGCGACATGGCATCGTATAGCACATTGTTGAGAAGCGGCACCAAAGCAAGTTGCCGAAGGTAGACGTAGAGACGAGCAAGGATCTCGGGCGAACACTGGTCCATGGAAGGAAGCTGGACAGTGTAAACTTGTCCCCTACTTGGATCAGTACACAACATTGTATTCTAAGGATATAGACTCACTCTATCTCGGTCTCGATGACTTGCCCGCTATACCTGTCGGTCCAGTTGCGTCCCACCAAAGAAGAGAATGTAGTTCGAATGTTGTTTTCGATGACTCCCCTCTGAGCGGGGTCATTATATCCCACAGTCATCTCTTCGGGAGAGATCCCCGAGCAGGCAATGTGCCAATCTTCCCACCCTTCTTCGCTGGCCATTCGCACATCGGCAAAGGCTCGTATGACGGATATGACCCCTTGTCGAGCTTCTTCAATGTCCACAATCGGAGGAGGGGAAGTCTCGTGCCATTCCATGGGTTTCAGTCCCAAGATGACGCTGAGATTATAGCGTGACAAGAATAGGATGAAGTGGATGGATTCCAGCACTGCGAACGAATTCAGAGAGCTGTAGGCGCCTGATTGCGCGGCAGAGTATGTGGGCTCTTCAATCCGAGTGACGGCAACGAGAGGCGCCGTAGAGCTTCCAGCAGCATACTCAAAGCTGTCTGCGATATGTCTCGCCACGATATGAATCGTAAACACCTGATCGTTACTGGGACCCTGCGCACATGTCTGTCAGCAAATATCGGTCAATGCCAGGTAGCCACACTCACTGCCCCTAAAGCATCCTTGATCTTTTGCTGATCTTTCAAGATCTGCCCCCTATAGACGAACCGCATGCCATCTCTGACCCAGCGACCGGCGCCTTCGAGCGAGCCTTCAGACAGTCTATTCTTGATGTCCCCTACGAGGACGTCCTGGCCAAACTCCCAGCCTTCCTTTATTCTATCCAGGCCGGCCTCAGCGCCCGAATGAGGCGTCTTGAACCTGATCCTGACGGTATTGATTTGTGCGGGCTGGTCATGGTGGTGGTAGTGGCGTGGTGTCCTGTGGCGGAGGGACGGGGGGGTGTCGGCAGGCTGCGGGGCGTGGTGTGGGAAGAGGCGGGCGGGGGAGGTGGGGTTGTCTGGGGTATGGGGCGTCGCTGCTGGCTGCATTTTGGGATAGATGGAAAGAGAGCTGAGCCTGTTACTTGCATTTATTGTGACACGGCGTCGGTCATGTCGTGCCCGTCGCGTGGAAGCCGCGGCGACATCCGCTCCTGCCTCTTCGGGCAGCCGCAGCGACAGCGAGACATCGAAACCTTGCATCCCATCATCGCTTTCTTCTTATCCTCTACATTTCCCATCTATCATCTAGCAAGTCAGTCCATCCCCAGCATCCGCTCACACAATGGAAAGATTCACCCAAAACCCCGCCGAGCTCTTCCGGTGAGTAACCAAGCCTTGGGGCCCAATTCCCAAGCTGGGCGCGTTACGCTCTCTTTAAAACGGACCCTTGGGCTCGAAGATGTAGTTGAACAGCCTGCTGACGCCGGATCACATAGAATTGTCAACATGTAAGCTTCAACACTTGATGCAGCCACCGCGAGCTCGATGTCCCAAGGGTGCCGAGATGTCATGAGCTGATGATTCCCGCTTCTATCAGCGCCGTTGGAGGGTTTGCAGTAGCAGGCGGAATAGGATCCCTCATCAAACACCACTTCTCAAGCATCATCATTGGCATCTATGAGGTCTTGTACGTCTTTCAATTCTGTTATCGCGTGCAGGTTTCTTTGTTGTCGGTGTTCCGATAATCAAAAGTGTACCACGGCGGTCAGCTGCACTTCTGGGGCGATAGCTGCTATATCCTTCTCAAGCATCTACTGACCAATTACTGCTCAGAATCGGTGCTGTGATCATCTTCCTCGAAGTCCGCCCTATCACCGAAGAGCACAAGGCCTTGGTCCACAAATATGCCAGCTTCATGCACTCTTTCCTGGGACGTGGTGTCTGTGAGTGGTTACTTGGTATGTGTACGAGGTGGAAGACTGACCAATGGCGATAGTCTACTTGCTGCTTGGTGTCTTGATGCTCAAGTGAGTTTCTCCGGCTCTTTGCCCTCAAACACCGAATGAGCCCAAGTTCTGTACCAGCTGACACTTTCCGTAGTTACTACACCATCCTTTACGTCTGCGGTACAGTCGTGGGTGTGGTCGGAGCTGCCTACATTGCTCTCAACTTTGTCCCCGCCGTCGATGCGCCATCGTGAGTTGCCGGACCAAGCTGCAATCCGGGTATTCGCTGACTTTGCCGTAGAACGATGCAAGCACCATCCACCGATGAAGAAGCTCAGCCTGTGTGGCAAGGTCCCACCGAATGAGGAATGACCATGCCATGTAGCTCACCTGCAGGGTAAAGAAGAAGCGTGACATGAAGAAAGGCGATCTCGGGTGCCCGACGTATCTTGTTGAGGCTCGAAAGTTCCGAGAAGAATCTTATCACTAGAAAGATCCTCATGTATACATCCGGCTCTTTGCACCTTGTGACTCGCCAGCAGCTTCTCACGATCTGTTTCTACCTACGTAGCTAATTAGTACCGAAGCCACGACTATGGGTTATCAGCTCTCAAGCGGCATCGGTCATGTCCGACGATTAGCGCATATCACCATTGCCAATCGATGCGCCGTACAGATATCCAGACTCATCCCATCTCTCTCATCTCTTGTCTATACCGCTGTCTACCATGTCCGAGAAGAACAACAACAACCTTCCTCTCCCCATCCAATCCACCCAGCCCTCGCCGGCCTCAACCCGCCATTCATCCTGGAAACCCAAGATCCTCCTCACCCTCCTCTTCCTCCTCGCTACATCCCTCATCCACCCATTTTGCCCCGCTCACAAGTCTGGTCGACACTTTCTTGGCGGGTTTGCTGAGCAAGATCCAGCTCTCAAGGATGAGGCTGTTTCCAAGTTTGGTCTTGGTGAGCTGAAGGGATGGGCCAAGTGCCCCGGGCAGCCAAAGGCGCTGTACCCCAATACTACCTGGGAGCTTACGGAGGAGGAGAAGGAGAGGGCGATCAAGCATTATCAGGAGGCTGTTGTGAGTTTTGACCAGGTCACAGCCCATACAGAGCCGAGACTTACCTTCTGGGTATCATAGCGTATTCCGACTCAGAGCTTTGATGATAACGGAGAGCCCAACGAAGATCCCAGATGGGAGCCCTTCTTTGAGTTTCAAAAGTGGCTCAAAAAGACGTATCCTCTCGTGTAAGAAGACCACAATTCATAAAATTCTTCTAATGCTGACTGTCTCGAGATAGGCATGAGGTTGCCAATGTCGAGTATATCAACAGTCAGTCATATCATGCACTTGTTGATTGACGAGGCTGATCAGACAAACAGCTCTCGGTGTTCTAGCTACCATCCAAGGCTCTGATACTTCTCTCAAGCCCCTCCTCTTGTGCGTCCAGTTTATGATTACTACTGCCTACTTCAGAGGAGCGAAGGACTGACTGGAGCCGCAAAGAATGTCCCATTACGATGTCGTCCCCGCACCAGAAGACACATACGACCGCTGGACCTACCCGCCCTTCTCGGCGCACAACGACGGCAAGTATATCTGGGGCAGAGGCGCTTCCGACGTCAAACCCTTGCTCATCGCCCAATGTGCGTCCTTCTTCTCCGTGTCTCTCTAAATTGATACTGATGTGTCTCTTTATCCGCAGGGGAGACAATCACCCACCTCCTCTCGACCGGCTTCAAGCCCCGCCGAACCATCATCCTCTCTCATGGGTACGATGAAGAAGAAGTGTTTGCTCGCCGTGGTCAAGGTCACATCGCTCCCTTCCTGGAGGAGAGGTATGGCAAGGATAGTTTGTTGATGGTCATTGATGAAGGCGGGGGAACCCAAGATGATGTAGAGTCATTACCAAGAGGAGGAGCGTGACTGACAAAGGTCCGTAGTTCTATGGAGAGGCCTTTGCATTGCCCGGAATGGGCGAGAAGGGTTATCTGGACATCAAGGTGTGATACCTTGGCTGCCACATATCCATAAGCTGACTCTGGTCATAGATTTCTGTCGGGACTGCTGGAGGCGTAAGACTACCGATCCTCTGAAATACACTCCTGACATCCACCACAGCATTCCTCTCAGCCTCCCGTGCACAGCGGCATCGGCATCATGTCTCAGCTCCTTCTTGCTCTCGAAGACAACCCCTTCCAGACAAAGCTCACCCCCGCATCTCCCTACCTTACCGCCCTCGCCTGCGGCTCCGAGTACGGCACAACCTTCCCCTCTTCCTACTCTTCCCTTTTATCTTCCGAAGGACCCAAATCATACCCCAAGCTCGCCAAGGCACTCGCAAAGACTTCTGTCAGCGAAAGGTCGATCTTGGGCACAACCACCGCAGTCGACGTCATCCATGGCGGTGTCAAGGTCAATGCTCTTCCAGAGCTCGTGACCGCATTGATCAACTTTCGCATCGACTTTTCCGAGAGTGTCAATTCCACTCAAGAGCACGTCAAGTACTGGGCGGAGAAGGTAGCCAAGAACAACAAGCTGGCGCTTTCTGCGTTCGATGGAAGGCCGGTTGAAGAGCTGGAGGGCAAGTACTTGAAGGTGGATGTACTTGGTCTGCCGTTGGAGCCTGCTCCAAGGACTCCTTCAGAGGGAGGCGTTTGGGAACTGTTTGCGGGTACTGTCAAGTGTGCTGTGTTTCCAATGACTGCCGTGCTCAGCTGATGAAATGCAGAGCTTCCCTTCCCGGCCCCGACGGCAAAGAGCGTATCGTTTCACCCTACGCATCTACGTGAGCTGTCAATGATCCGACTGTGACATGTCGCTGACTCTTTTAAGTGGTAACACCGACTGTAAGATGTATTACAACCTCACCAAGAACATGTACCGCTTCGGGGCCGCTTCTTCCAATTCCGGCTACAACGCCGTAGGTTGCTTTGGATGTCATGGATATTCTTGGACTGACATGCGATACAGCATACAGTGGATGAGAGAGCGTCCATCGCTGGACATCTCGTGATGATTGACTGGATCCACGCCATCGTGCAGAATGCCGATGCGTACACTGGCGAGGAGTAGGCGCGTGATATGGATCAAAAGCATTTGGTCGTTCTCAAGATCAAGTCATGCTTTATAGCATCATAGCAGCGACGTCACCGTTACCGCAATTGATGCATGTGTTCGTGGGATATGCTGCCGTTCAGCTTCTTCTATGACATCTAGTTGTCGCCAAACACTACCACACATTAGCGTATACCACGTTGAGTCCATGGAAGATCAACGCACAGATAGACCCAACAGAAGACTTGCCGCCAGGGGCTACAAGGAAAATGAGCACTCGACACAATGCAGGAATATGCTGACTGACCCTGGGTGACCTTCCTGGTGGGCTTGAAACCAGGGGGAGGGTTGCTGACTCGGTCTCCACTCGCATCTTTCGTCACTTCCTCAATAGTAGCTCCGCCCTCCTTCTGCTTCTCCACATGGACCCTCAGCTTCTCAAGCCTCTCCACTTCCAGATCGACACCGTCGCCACCGTCTCTGGGAGGTGCGAGGGACAAGGCGTCTTCCTCCTCGTACTCTTCGGGGAAAATGTTGACTCCGGTTTTGCCGCGAGGGACGGTGGCCTTGGAAGAGGGTACATTGGAGGCGTGGGTGGGATCACCGATCTCAGCGTCAACAAGGTCGGCGACGGCGGCGTCGGTAGCGGCCTGAGAGAACTTGCCAAACGTAGCGTATTCTGACACAAGCGTAAGCAGTGACATATCATCGTTGGAAGACAGACTCACTGGGTAGCTTCTGGATTTCAGTAAAGTTCTGGTTGACAGTCACGTCGGCAGACCTGAGCAACCATATCAGCTCTGGAACGACAACTTTGATATGACACACTTGAGGAATTCCAACAGGGAGCGCTTGGAGAACACGATCTTGTCACTGTAGTACACGTCAGCAGTCGGTCGGTGCGTTCACATTCGGGTACCTACGTGTCCCAGTTCATCAAAGCTATCGTTCGGTAGTTAGCCAGTTAGCCATCTGTCAACGCGATAGTTCATTACACCATACCGATGGTAGAGCCCCTAGAGCACTTGGTCAGCAACACTATACGTACTTCGTGTGTTCTTGCTCACCAGGTCTTCGGGGCATCCATGTCAAAGGGGTGAATGGGGGTGAAGGTAGAAGCCTGCTTGTTGCTGCGTGTTGGCCAGATCAGCTCGTGTCTGTCCTGCTTGTAGGATGTGTCTACTCACTCGGTTTGTTCGGCCATGGCTGCTGAAATATGTGATCAAGGGTTTGCAGAGAGAACACCTGCAGACAATAATGGGATACAAATGGGATAACGTTCGAGGAGGAGGAGGCTCGAGGGCGCGTCTATATACGTAATCTCATGATTGTAAGAATCCTTAAAAAGGGTATATAAAGTAAGTTATCCATACAACTACTGAATTATCAATCTATTGCACGCACTCCTACAGTACGATGTCTACATGAGGGGTGGCTCAATGCAGGCCGTAACACGTGCCAGAGGACATGATTGAAGCATCGCATGTATGACTCGATGGCCTTCAATCACCAAGACGCAGCGAAGACGACACGAAGCCGCGGACACGCGTCGCGTCGAAGTTCGCGTAGACTGTCTTTTTGCATCTAACTCACGCCACCCGATGTCTCCCCCAAGAATACCGAAATGGCTACACATGAGGGGTCTATGCTATCCGCCATCTTCGGGATTATATAAACGCGCCCTTTTCCTTCTGGCTCTCGGCTGTTAACAAGGCTGTTAAGGCTGCACGCTATGCGCTGCGTTGAAATCAAGCGTCTGACGATTTCCAGGACAAGGTATACATGTATGTGCAACATACTGTACTGTATTATGAATGATGTGTTCCTTGACTGCGAATTCGAAAGTAAGCCCCTTTATCCCCTCCATACAGACTTCTTTCCGACAGTTTTCGGCCCTACACCCCCAGGTTGGCCGATCTCGTGTTTTCTGGCCGCACCGGTACCTGCAGACCCAGTGCTTGTCCTCAAACTTCCGGTTCCAGGTACGGCCGGCTTTTCACCACTGGTTCTGGATCTGCTAGAGCCCGCAAGAGCTCTGACGGCTGGAGGTGTCACTCTGGTTGTGCCACCCGCAGAGCCAGTGCTTCCGGCAGGCGTCCTGCTCTTGGCCAAGGTGGAATTTCTCATCACTGAGTTTCCCATTGTGCTCTCTCCAGCCTTCTCCTTGCCCTTTCTGGAAGGCGACCCTGGTCGGACAGATAAACTCAAACCGAGATTGGTTTTCCGGCCTCTCTCTGCCCCGAGGACGCTTGCCCGGGAGACCTCATCCTTCTCTCTGATGAGGAGCTCGCTGACGCCCATTGCTTTCCCTTTTTGTCTCACAGCCTTTTCCAGCACAAGCCGAGAGAGGGGCGTTTTCATGCTCTTCCTTCTGCCGCCAGCCATATGAGCCTTGGGTGTGCGTACTCTGGGGCCTTGAGGTGAGAGCGGAGAGGGGGAGTGTGGTCGGTGTTGATGGAACCAGCTGGAGCCGGACGGACCCTTCGGCACTTCATGTTCCTCGGGAATGGGCTGGTTGATCACTGCGGTCTCGGCCGCGGGTGCTATAGGAACAGCGGCAATTGCAGCCAGACGAGCAGCAACCTCCTCTTCCTTCTGTCGCTTGTCTTCCAAGAACGTTGCGCGTTCGTCCTGGAAAAGCGTTGAGCTCGGCGTGCAGGATAGACCATCTTCACTCACCTCCAATTGTCTGCGCTGTTCTCTCAACTTGACGGCCTCCTCGGCGTATCGACGCCTCTCCTGGTCCAAGGCTTGTCTCTGCTCCTCCATCTCAAAGTCGTCTTTGCTATCATTGACATTCACTCTGTACGTTGCCAATGTCAGCATTACTTCCCCCAAACGCGCAAGAACGCACTCCTGTTGAATTTGTTTCTTGGCGTATTCAGCCACGACCTTGCTAGCTTCGTCCTCTTTCCTCTTTGCACATTCCAGCTCCACCTCCAGGTCTTTGATTCGATCGTGAAGATCTCTCTGTTGCTTCTCAGCGTCCCTCTCCTCTCGTTTGCGCTCCTCAATCTCCTCAGGCGTCAAATTCTCTTGCGCTTCACCGGTCGAAGGCGACCATTGAGGGACCCCGTCTGTGATACGCGTGCGAAGATCGGCGATCAAGGATTGAAGCCGTTCTTGGGCGATGTTGGGGTGGGAGAGCGAAGAGGCGGATTGAGAGGTGTTAGAGCGAGAGCCAGAGATGGTGCTGGGGCTGGTAAAGAATTGCGATTGGAGCAGGCCTTGGGGTGGCTGAAGTATCTGGTCAGATGGGTCGGCAGACAAAGCACCACGAGCTCACTTCTTGTCCCATAGACACAGCCAAAGCCTCGCGAAGAGCGTTCCCAGTGGTTACTGTGACATGGCGGAAAGCTTCAGTCTCTTCCTGCAGACTAGATTGGATATCTGTCAGATCGCGAAGGGTTTGCTCGAGAAGCGGAGATTGGGTGACCTGCGGATTGGGATCAGACGTGGCACAAGCAACACAGCACAGCTGCTCACTGCAACAGGCTGTATCCTTCCAGCGGGAATGGGGTTGAGCAGTACAAGACCTTGCGGCTTATGTCCCAAGTCTCCCACTTTGGCCAACTGCCCAAGAGCCTTGTCCAGGCTAGTCTGGATTTTCTTTGTCTCATGCTGTATACCACGCTTAGCATGGTCGCCTGAAAGTCGATCAAGAACTCACTACTGCAGCAACTTTGACAGTCTCCAGCGCTTTACGTCCTCTTGCATTCTCCTCTCTTAGCTCCTTCGTCTTGTTCTGCTCCGCCAACAGCCTCTTCTCCATCTCGGCGCATCTAAACTTCCAAGCCTGCACTTCTGCATCCAGACGAGAACTGGTGGTCTTGAAGTTGTTGGTAGTTTTCTGAAGTCGCTCATATTCATACTCCAGGGTACGGTGCCGCCCGTTGAGCGTCTCAAGGACGTCTAGGTTGCTCTACAAGCTTGATTAGGTCGACTATTTCTGCCAGTGTACATAGCCACTCACAACACTGGCACCTAGAAGCTCGAAGAGAACTGCTACGACATCATTGTGATCCTTCTCACTGAGCGCAGTCAGTCGCAATGGCCGTTTGGCCCAGCCATGCGACATGAGCTGCGAATTGATGGTTGACAACTCGGCGGACAACATGGTGCTATCGGGGCTACAGACAGAATTTTAGCCCTTACTTCCACATTTCATTGATTCCAAACTTGCTCTTCAGCCCCTTGAGGCTCCGTCTGCTCGGCATGGCGTAGCGACCTGGAAGGCCGCCCGAGCTTTGACATAGTGGTATCGTTCAATAGGGTGTTGGTGACTGCTTTGGTTGGAACACAAGTAATGAAGGGACCCAGCGTATCGTCTGAAGTGAGTAGTGGTGATTTCCGTTGAGATAGTGGTCAGTCCGAGAGAAAGTAATGCATCCGACGAGCGCGTCCGTTTGTTGTTGTTGTTTGTTTGTGCCGCTGTATTACATTACGTAATGCTCGATATCTGGCTTGCGTCGACGAATATAGAAACCATGTTCGCAATGCCATACGTATGTGAACCCGAATAAGAGAATCTATACTAGGATGTGTGCATATCAAGCGCCGCTATGTGAGACTGTCAGACGTATATCCCTCTACGTATCTCATAAATCAACAGAAAACACCCGGACGCTTCGATCATCACTACAGCTCGCAAGACTCAAAGCACCATCGATATCTCTCCATGCCAATCTGTTGACAGTGCTCACGTGGGTATCCCTGATTCATTGTATCAGCAACTCTCCATCTAGCAATTTCAAAAAGACTTACCGATGATCGAGAGTCTCCAGATGCGCGACCTCACTTCCCTCGGCGTTGACTAAGTGGACCGATATTGACCCGCTCTCCGTACCGATGGCCATGAGATAACCGTCTGATGAGGGCTTTGAAACCACCGCGACGGCTGTGGTCGCTTCTGTCAACTTAACAGACGCCGAAGATACCCATTGGGAGCTATCAGGGGACAATGGTATCCAGATTTTGACCTGCATCTTCCCGTCAGTCTTGATCAAACGTCGACCCAAATTACTCACAGTCTTGTCTCTAGACGCAGTGGCAAACATATCGCTCCTCTCTCCAGCCCAACAGCAATCCAATACCATCCTCGCATGAGCCTTTTCCTCTCCCGCTAGTAACGCATATCCGTCCTCTTCATTCGCCGACCTCCTCTGCCACACCCTCCATCCTCTATCTCTCGAGCAACTCAGTATCCGTTCGTCGTCCCCGCTGAACCCGAGTCTTGTGATTGTCAAACTATGGCCCTGTAGCGCGTGCCCGACGCTCTCCCACTTTGATGTGCTGACAACCCGAATGACGGCGTGCTCTTCATTGGTCGCTTTGCACGCTGTGGCGATGAATCTACCAGAGTGTGACGAGGCGACGGCAACGAGCTCGTATCCGTGGCCGTAAACTTTTTCGACTTCTGGCCAGAGGGTAGAGGTGGCAAGTTCTTCTTCGGTTGGGAGAGTGGTAAGGGTGTGCGAGATGGAGACGATAGCTTCGTTTTGGCCTTGCTTTTCGACCTTGTCGCCATCGACAGGAGCTGCAAAGGATCAGCAGAATATTCTATAAAATGGGACCAGCTCACCTTTCTGTAAAGCACGGTTCGACAACCCCAGAGGTGGCACCGTAGCGCCCTTTGGCCTCAGCTCCTCGTCCCTCTTCCGCTTGCTCACCCCCAGAGTCCTCAACGACTCCACAAAGCCTTCCGGAGCGTCAAACACTCGCGTAACCTTTTCATCCGCCGTACTAGCAAAACGCAAAGGCGAAATGAATGTCGCATCTGTCATGTCGTACCCGTGTATTTGCGGGCGAGCGATCTCGGCCCAGACAGGTTGAGGGAATGAGGGGAGGTCACACTGGGCATGGATACGAGAAGACTGGTCGGAAGAGACAGAAAGGAGGTATTCGCCTCTAGGATCCCAGGCGATACTCTGCACATCGCCATGATGACCTGTCAGACCCCGCTTCACTTCCCACGACGATCCATCTTCCCCGAGCACCCATTTCTCCCAACCGCCATTCCACCCGCCCGCGAGTACACTCTTTCCGTCCTGGCCCCAGATAGCACCATAGAAGGCCAATCCCCGGCCGCCTATAGCGCCAAATCGGTTCGTGGGAACCCATATACCGTCGGTAGAGGTCGAGGCAGAGGAAGGTTGCCAGACGATCAAAGAGTTGTCAGCGGCTGTGGACAGGAGGAGAGGAGTGGTCGAGAGGGTTGTAGGGGCAGTAGACCAATGGACATTGGTGAGGCCAGATTCGTGCCCGACGAGGAGTGCTTCAAGGGTAATGTTGAACTTGATGGCATTGTCGCCATCTTGCACGCCGAGGATGTGCGCCTTGGTCGATATCTGCGTGTTGCCCCCACCCTCTCCAGCGAGACGCTTCTCAAATTCGTCCAACATCTCCAAACCTTCGTCCCTATCAGGCGCGGCGGCTTCTTGCGGAGCGATAGGAGAGACGCGCCATAGTCGAATAAAGTTGTCTTGGGACCCGGAAGCAAGGAGGAGATCGTTGGTGGAGGATGAAGACGGGTAAAGAGTAAATTGCAAGCACCGTACCCAATCCTCATGGCCCTCGAGTGACAAAGACCGGGTAAAGATGTTGGACGCGTATGTCCATATTTGAATCCGGCGGTCGGTACACCCGATTGCAAGTATAGGAGCTAGATAACGTCAGGAGATGCCAGTGCGAGTCGAATCCGGCTTACCTTGCGTCCCAGGCAGATACGCTAGATCCAGATCCAACGCCAGTCGACCCTTCAAATCAATCTTTTGTGCCTCCTCGGGCTTGCTCCCTCCTACTCTCCATATTCTCACCAGACCATCAGACCCTCCAGTCACCAATACGCCGTCCAGATGCCCTTTCGCGCTCATGGCACCGATGGCCGAGACGGATGCTCCCCTGTGCGCCTGCCAGGACATGACGCTCTTCCATTGCCCTTGAGATTCGGCCCAGATGCGGACATCTCCAATGCTATCGCCGCTCACTAGCCGCCCATCTGGAAGCAGCTTGATAGTAGTGACTTGGCCCTTGTGACCGGGGAGTGTGGCATGAACGCCTCGTGGTGAGGTAGAGTCCCAAAGGGCGATGAGCTTCCCAGCGCCAAAGAAGAGAAGACCATCTGCGGTACAGGCGGAGCAGGAAGAAGAGCGATTTGACCCAACCGAGATGTACTGGGGTACAACGGGCATATTGACGCAGCAAGTATGCGATGGAGAGTGTAGATCAAGTCGACGAGACTATACGTAGGATCGCTGCCTCTAGTGTCACGCAGAGTAGCTGTAACTCTGCGGCCTGGCTGTTCGGCGTTGCGATGCGAAAACGTGAAAGGGTCTATTTCGATGGGCTGGGGAAGGGGACTGATGGAGGGTATACGCTCGTTGAGCGATGGTGACAAGGGGGGATCTTGTTCCGTGCTGTTCTCTGTGAATGCTGTGTTATAGCGCCCACCTCAATGGCCAAGCCAAACTTGAAAGTGAAAGGAAATGAATCGGCGGATGTCACCGCCTCCACCCGCCGCGGCCCTGTTGTTGACTTGTGCTTGATCGAGAATTCCGAATGGCACGTCTCCAGATCTGCTTATACGACAAGCGAGTGGGCCTATCGGAATGGTGAGGTATGTAAGGCTTGCTGAGGGGCTCTGGAGGTCCATTGCGATTGATCGCGCTACAAAGAATCTGTAAAGAACAGTACTCGTGCTCGCCAAACGCCAAACCCGAGAATTTTTGCACCTGTTACCAAAAAGTAGAGATCTACAAGGACCCATGTTGACTATGAACGGCTGGCATGTGTCTTTCATGCATGCATCATTGCGTCGCTACTTGTTGTCCTGCATCCAAAGAGTCAGGGCGACGGCTTGAGATTCCATGCACGGATATGGATACCGGCGACTTTGCCCTATGAACCGCGCCTGATTGGAGCGGCGTTTCGAGGCAAGCGACTGCTCGTTGTCAGCAACTTTTGGCAACGTGACTCGGTTCTACTTTTTAGAATCTCTATATAACCCGCACCCCCTCTTCAGTCTTCCTCAACTCCCACCCACCCGACCCACCGACCGACATGCAAGTCACCTCGCTCCTCCGATTCTCCGGCGTCTGCCCATTCTTGGGCCACTCCAGCCCCGCCACCCTTCGGGCCATGGCCAACACCACTCACACCAACGGCTCGGCTCTCACCCAGTCTGCCTTGGGCTGCCCCATGATGGGCCCCAAGCTTGCCACCATCTCCGCCTCTAGGAGCTACGCCAGCGTTGCCGGTGCTAAAGAGGTCGCGCAGATGCACCAGGTGGGTCGACTTTTTTTTTTTCGCGCGCGACAGTGGTCACCAGGGAACCGACTGCTGATACTTTTCGCAGAGCCAGAAGCCTGCTTCCGAACAGCCAGCTGCGGCCGAGCCTGCTCAAGGCTCCTCCACCAAGGCTGTTCACGCCAAGCCTGTCGATGCCCAACGAAACGCTGCCAAAGCCGGGGCCTACGACTACCAACGTTTCTACGAAAACGAGTTGGAGAAGAAACACAAGGACAAATCATACCGATACTTTAACAATATCAACCGGCTTGCTGCCAAGTTCCCTGTGGCGCATACCGCCAGTGTCAAGGACGAGGTGGACGTTTGGTGTGCCAATGATTACTTGGGCATGAGCAAGAATCCCGTGGTAGTGGGTACGATGAAGTGAGTGTCTTGCGTGCATACTCGGCATTGCTGACAATCTACAGACGAACTCTCGACCGCTACGGTGCTGGTGCTGGTGGTACCCGTAACATTGCGGGTAACGGAGCCCTCCATCTTGCGCTTGAAGACGAGATCGCCTCGCTTCATCGAAAATCAGCGGCGCTCGTCTTTTCATCCTGCTACGTCGCAAACGACGCTTGTCTTGCCACTCTCGGCTCCAAGCTCCCTGGCTGTGTCATCTTCTCCGATGCAAGCAACCACGCATCCATGATTGTGGGTATCCGGCACTCGAACGCCAAAAAGGTCATCTTCAAGCACAATGACCTTGCCGATCTTGAGGCCAAGCTCGCGACCGTACCCAAGGAGGTGCCCAAGATTATCGCATTCGAGAGTGTCTACTCCATGTGCGGTAGCGTCGCTCCCATCGAAGCCATCTGTGACCTCGCCGACAAGTATGGCGCCATCACTTTCCTCGATGAAGTGCACGCTGTCGGCATGTACGGTCCCAGCGGTGCCGGTGTCGCCGAGCACCTCGACTATGAAGCCCACCGTGCCACGACCGACTCTCCCGAGCCTGTCAAGGGTAGCGTGATGGACCGTATCGACATTATTACCGGTACCCTCGGCAAGGCCTACGGTGTCGTCGGTGGATACATTGCGGGTTCTTCCGACCTCGTCGATGTCGTCCGCTCCTACGCGCCCGGCTTCATCTTCACCACCTCCCTCCCTCCTGCCATTGTCGCCGGAGCTCAGGCTTCGATCGCTTACCAGCGAGAGTCTATCGCCGACAGGCGATTGCAGCACCTCAACACGCGAGAGGTCAAGCGCCAGTTCAAGGACCTCGACATTCCCGTCGTGCCCAACCCGTCGCACATCATCCCCGTTCTTGTGGGTGATGCCGCCCTCGCCAAGGAAGCGTCCGACACGCTCTTGGCCAAGCACAAGATCTACGTCCAGTCGATCAACTACCCCACCGTCCCCGTGGGCGAGGAACGACTCCGTATTACCCCCACTCCCGGTCACACTACCGAACAGATCGCGCACCTCGTCTCGTCTGTCAACTCTGTCTTTGAAAAGCTCGGCTTGAAGCGCATTGCAGACTGGAAGGCTGCCGGTGGCAGGGCCGGTGTTGGGATGGCGGAGGATTTGACGCCCGAGCCTGTCTGGAACAACAAGCAGTTGGGCCTCGATGATGGGTCTGCCCCGCAAATGTTGAGCAAGGGCGCCAAGGGCGCGGTCAAGGACAAGGCTGTGGAGGTTGCGCAAAAGAGGTTGACTCATCTGCTCGGCCCCGAGGCTGGCCCTGCTTTGAGCGCTTCTGCGTCCGCTTCCTTCTAGCTTGTCAAGCTGTGGCTGTAGCCAGAATGGGTTTTGATGATCAGAGTATGTAGTGCTCGGATGTATCTTTTATCCCTCTAACCGGAACTGGCACAAATTGAGCGTCTTGTCTTGTCTCTGTCTACTAAAGTCGCTATCCTGACTGGTGGTCACCTTTGCATGATTGTGTTCAAGTAAGTGGGTCATCAGATCGGATCTGGGAGATCCAAGATCTGGGTAAATAGCGGTAAGCGCATACGCTCACAGCTACTCATAATGGTATGACGCTAGCCACTCAGTCTAAATTGCTGGTGTATCACTGGTGTATCACCTCGCCCCACTCTCACCTGTTCAGGATATCTTTGACGGCCAATGACCAAAATCGGGAGATATATGGTTGATTGGTTCTTGGGCGTTGGCAAGACGGGAGTATCATTTCTGACGCTGTGGACCAGAGGTATGTTGAGGGATAGCTTTCCAGGCTCTGGCGTGTGCGTCCGTCAAGGAGTATCTTCTCCCTCTTTCCGTGAGAGCGACTTTTGGAATATTCAATTGCGTTTGGGCGAGTATGATGAGATGCACGGCGGCACGTTGATTGACGCTGAGTCTTTGAACCTTCCGTCTTGGGTGACTGCATGTGGTATGTGGTTGCTTGACGAGGTATACATAGATACCAGAGTCATATGAGCTACCATGAGGAAAGGTGATAGGACAATTGGCATCAGCGACGATTCCAGCGAATGAGTCTGTCAGCATGTCCTCTTCTCGTGGGGCCATTATAATGTCACGCACGGTCCTATAGACTGTTTGCGCCCAACAACCACGCCTCAAACACAATCATAGATTCTATACTCTTCATCTAATGCGATAATTTTACCCCTTTGTTGCCCGCTTGCCCGCTTGCCCCCTGCCCATCCCCCTGCCCGCCCCGCGTTGATCGCCAGCTGCCTGCCTCACCCCGCCACCTACCCCAACTGCCTGACATATAACCCTTGTTGCGTATGCTCTACAAATCTTTGCCTCGACTGTCACAGGATTTATCTTCTTGACAAACATGTCGGTCATCTCTCCATCTTACTTCTGAACTGTGACCGATGCGCAGTAAGCGGACAGTCCGACGGCCAACGGGGAAGACAACGACAGATCAACACGTCACCAGGAAACAGGCACCCGGTGAGTGAAAGGACAATCATTATTATGCCTATGTACTCGAGTACTGTACGTAACGCCATACATATCGAGACATTGTTTGTCCTCGAAAGGGGCACACCAGATGCCGGGCCGGAGACCCCGGAGGGCGTTTATCAACACAGAGGAGATGAGATGTGGCTTGGGTGATGGAGAGATATGCTCGCGGCTGTCGGCAGAGCGCCCGAGTGGGGAGAACGTCTTCCTGGCGAATACCTCGCACCCCTGTGGTACATTGAATTCTAGGATCAGGGGAGAAACAGTTCCGAGTAAAAGTCAATCAGCCGTCCTGGGCATGGATCCTGATGGGACGAGGGCGTCATACACGATTGAAAAATGCACACACGCGATCGCAACAGAGACTCTGCGGTCTGAGGTCACTGTCCAATGCATCGCCCGGCGTACATGCAGCTGCATAGCTACTCTCTCCTTTCTACGTCGCCCACACGGGCTTAAACTTTGCACTCCGAGGTTTTAGGACTCACTTTCTTCTGTGAAATACTCGGAAGCTAAGGAGAGAGCCATTGCCCACCCGTCTGAAGAGTGGGGGATTGGGGCTGCACAAATGCGAGAGATACTTCATGAGTAATTGTATCATGTATAGCGAAGGTAGGAGATACTAGAATCAATGGATCCAACTACATTCACCCGCCTGCACTGTCAACTGCCAAGTCGCCAGCAATCATATGCTTCTGATTACGCCTGACTCCAGCAGCCGCCCCCACCCTCCACCCCTTGCACCCGTCGTGCAGTTTTTCGGTGGCTGATCAACGCCCTCAAAGCACAAGCGTCTCCACAAGAAGCGATTCACTGGAATACACCTTCCACAACAGCCACATCAATTCTCCCAGGCCTAGCAACGCCAGCTGCCATCGCCATCAGCTGGAAAACCCAGGGCAGGAACCCATGGCATGATGGACCACTCTCTGGGGTCCTTTCCCGGCTCTCGGTTGATGAATGATCACTCCATGCCGGGTTCACATTTATTGTCTTTTGCATGGACCATTTCTTCCCTCTACTATTCAACGCGAACCAGACAGAGCTGTGTCACATCAAAGACAGCCCTGTCAACGAATCCAAGGTGATGAAGAGCAAGATCTGGTGGAGTAACAGCTGACGAGCTGGCATAGATCACTCTCCCATCTGGATCTACCCCTCTACACCCCCGCCCCCTCTACGTCACCCGCACTCTCCCACCACCCATAGTACAATCGCTCCACAGCCCTGGTCAATTGACTTTGAGAAATCAGCATTCAACCGTTCCTCTCCTGTCTCTCGTCTATCGCGAGCCGAGTAAGTCCAGCACCACTCTTTCTTTCCATGCTGTGTTTTTCTGCCTGTGGTTTGTGATTCCATGCCCGCCTCTTGATCCTTCTACAAGCGAGTGCTATAGGTGCCAGGCGCCGCCCAAATGGCTGGGTCTTCTCTACCGCCTTTCTCTTTCACTTTGATATTCTGCGTCTCGCGTGACTGTTACGCTACCTTCATGGGCAGGCAGAGGTGCGGATGGACATACAAAGTGTGGCATACGTTCTCGATGTGGTGTGGTGGACGTTGAGTGAACCCGGCAGTGAGGTAACGCGGCATGTCCGCTTGCAGAGCTTGCAGCTTGCAGCTTGATTGAGTTTATTGCGCAGGGACGCTAAGATAGCGCGGTTTTTACCCTATCTCGTGCAACGTTCCTGCCCCACGGCCCACTGTTTTTCTCCTTTTTCTCCTTTTCCCCTTTTTCCCCTTGAGATCCCCTTGGGCGAGCATGGGATGTTATCATGGATGTTATCCTTACGGCCGAGGGGGCGCGTACCTGGTGCCTGAACGGGGATGTGTTGGATGCCTCGATGGGCAGTCGCGATCAGCTCGGGTGGGGCCGACACTAGCCCTTGCCTGTGCAGCATCAAGCTCCCGTCTGGAGGGTATGGGCCATGCGCCAGCCGCGCCCTCCCAGGTATACCATGCCCATCGCCCATTCCTCCTCTTTATTCCAGCGCCCAGCCGGCTCAGATGCGCAGGGCCCAGGGATCAAGAGATCGGCAAGGATCGCCTCGAATTCGAAGCCCTCTCGAAACTGAGTTGCCTCTGCCGGCCAGCCTGAGCTATTCCTGAGTCCGCCCTGAATCCTCCGCTCGATATTCTCCGTGCTCCGACTCGTCAACATGCTCGCCCCACCTTAATCCTTAATGCCAGCCACCAAATCTCCCTGTCATTCCCAATTCTCATCATCAGAGGCGTCTGTCCATCCCTGCCCAGTACCGGGGTCTCTCGGGGTATCCTCGCTAGCCCAATCACAGCCGCACAGAACTCACCCAGCCACCTCCACAGCCGGCAATATCCTTCTCGGTAAATTGGCAGTCACCCCAGTTCATTATTGTCCTACCTTTACAATTCAAACCTTGCCAACCTCCCGCACTCCCACTCTTCTCCTCTCTTTTTTTCTCTTCCTAGATATACCGAACCCCCCGCCTGGTCTCGTCTCGTCTCGTCTCCCCCGTATTCTTGATCCCACACTACACCCTATTCTTCACTCCGTCCAGCGACTGCAGACGAGCGCCGAGGAACCCTCGTTGACCAGTGTCTCACAGTCCCCATTTGTCATCCTCCGACGCACGGGAGTTCCAGTGTACTTTCCTTTTCGACCCGTGATTTTCGTTTCCTAGCTGGCTTGGAACGCTCGAAAGATCCAAGACATTACCCGCCGCTCGGCGCCGGAACCCAGGCCTACTGCAACCACCCAAGTCAGTCCTGGATCTCTTGTTTGTCCAGTCCATGCTTTTCTGTCTGCGCCCGGGCTCATTCCATTGCAGGTCTCACTCTCATGTCTTATTCTACTACCTCGCGAGACACCAACAAAGCTGCCCGTCTATACCAGCCGTCCGAGCCCGAAGCCGGCACGTCGCGCGCAGCCCATCCATACTACGTCCCCCGTTCCCAGGCGCCCATCAACCCCAGCACCATCCCGCCCTCCCCCTCCTTCTCCCTCTCGCCAGAGATGCCCTCCACAGCCGCCCACTCGTCCTATTCATCCCCTCTCTACTCGTCTCGCCAGAGTTATGCCGAGTCGTCTCAACCTCAGTACGGATTGAGCTCGTCAGCCATTTTCCCGCCCGACTTCGCACGCGTAGCCCCACCCCCATCTACACTGGTATCAAAAGGTAGCTATGTTACCATCCACCGCTGGGGACCGTCCCGCGGGACACCAGGCTCGTTTGTAAGCGTGACGTGCGATGTCGACGTCCAAAACCCACCACTGAACGCCGGTCATCCCGCGACTCCGCCTCCATCCGCAGGCGGCCGAGGCACAAGAACCCTCCGGTTACTATTTGACAACCATCCAGTACAGACGAGTGCACAGGTGATGCAGCCGGAAGGGTATAGGGCGTCCTGTATGCTCGAAGCGACGGTGCCGAGTTTGGCAGCGATGGGGCGGTCGCCAGAGGGGACGGGCGCGCAGGCTGTACCAGTGACGATCCAGGTATTGAGTGATGACGCGCAGGTGTTGGAGACGGTGCCGTTAGGCCAGTTTACATATGCTTCGGATGGTGAGTGACCCGAGGTGAAAGGAGAATGGAGAATTGATTTTTTTCAGCAAACCTCGCGCGGAAACGGAGCGGTGAACCGCTTGAATCAACTCGACGTTCGCCGACGGAATCACCTTTTCAACGCCGCCCATCGGGTTACATCTCTTCCCCTGAGAGCAAGCAGTACGACCCGATAACATCATGGAGCGGTGCTAGTAAATCGCACAACAGACGTACGTGGAACAACAATCAGATGACCTCAGTTGACTTTTGGCAGTGAACGACGCGCCATCGAGACCATCTTTTCAAAGCCCCTACAGCTCGACATCTACCATGGGTTCGAGCTCGCATTCGAATAGACCATCGAGCTCTTCCTCTTCCATGTCCCAACCAAGCTTTATGCGTGCTACGCAGGTGATTGGAGGCGCGCCGTTGAATGCGGCAAACACGCCTTACGTCAGTACGGGGCAAAAGGCCATTCTAAATGTGACGGGTGATCTCACGGGTGTGGCCAAGGGATGGTGTGTATCTTCCAACGCTCCTCGAGTCCTGATATTGACAGAGGCGCAGGAATAGCGAAGAATGGTCAGCACGTCGGCGACTGGTACAATTCTGGCGCCGACAAGAAGGAACCACCATCCACGCCCAATTCCAGGTCGTAGCCCAGGCAGAATGGGCATCCATCCAATCTTCCATCGTCGTCTCTTGCATTTTCTGGGAAGAAAAAAATGCCTGCTTCATATCGTCTGTCGATATCATCTATCTCCTCGAAGCGCTTGTCGGGACGCATTTCACGGTAGAAGAAAAAAATCGGATCAGGCGTAATCTCGAAGGCTTCAAACCCATCACTGTCGACAAGAGCAAACCTGATACCGCCAAGTTTTTCAAGCAAATCATGAACTTGCCTAATCCGAGACCGCGCAATATCGAAAAGAATGTCAAGGTGTATGCGTGGGATTGCCTGGAAGTGGCGTTGCAGAAGATTATCTCGAAATACGTAAGTTGACTGAACCCTTCGCGCCGTTCGGAGTGATTTTGCCTTTAGGATGCCTTTGCTAACGTCATCTTTTACGTTAGTCGGCCAGCTTTCCCGCAAACCAAGTGGAAGGCATGACGTCTAGTGGCGCACCGTACCGAGTCCCACAACCATCCGACCCGGCTTCACCCCTGATGAAGGTGTATGACCCCCTATCGACATCGTCCCAGTACTCCGCGCCGCCCAGCTCGCACCCGGGTGCAGAGTCGCTATACAGCGGTCAGGCAAGGTACTCACAATTACCAAGCTCCAGGCCGCAAAGCAGCTCTTCCTCCACCACCCAGGTGCTGTCCAACGGCGACCTCTCCCGGCCCAGTACCGCAGGCGACCACATGGGCGCTCCAGGCCAGAGTTCCGGGCCGAGCAGCAGTCGACCGGGTAACAGCGGTATCGGGTTATACTTTGACATGCCTCAAGGGTATCCCCAGCAACAGAGCGGGCAATATCACATGGGCAGTCTTTCAGGCAATATGGACGTTCCGCCCAGTACACCCATGTCCAGTGCGCAGATGGGAGGCATGTACGCCATGCCTCCACCGCATAGTCAACCTCCTTATACTGCTGCTCCGCAACATCAGTACCCTGCGCCTACGCTCTCGCAGACGCAGCATATGGAGGGGTATCCTCGACAAGGCGATATGGGCATGTTTTATCCGTCTTTCGGATCAGATGGGCAGGAGATTCCGCCGCCATCATCTTATGGGTACCTGAACAGGGATGGGCGATTGGACAAGTGAGGCGTCGGCAGTGTCGAGAGAAGAGCAACCTCAGTCCGCTACATTCGTGTAATGGGTTGCATGAGAAGCTCGACAGTCATATTTGTATCATCCTGGCATTGTTTCGTAGCATATCGTTCCGTTTTCCGTTTTCCGTCGGTTTTTGGGTTTCTGTTCACTCTCGTGCAGATACGGCATTGACATTCCCAGCATTTTTTTAGAAAAAAGTATATACACGCATTAGTCAGACAGCACGGGGGATTGAGGGGCTTGATTTATCCATTCAACTATCACGCCCATCCCCGTCAGGTTCGATGAGCAGCTGTCGGGGCCATGCATCATTTTGCAGCATTCCTAGTGCATTCTTCTGTCCAGTACTAGGTAATCGGCTTCCCCGGACAATCGTAAGAGTCATAAAAACAAGAAGTATGAATATCAAAACAACAGATTCTCTTCCGCGCCCTTTGGCCTCGGCCCATCCGTCTGATATCCTCCAGCCCCACCTTGGCTTCCAAACTCGAGATCTATCAGACTGCCGTACGGGTCGTTGCTCGCAGCGATCGGCGATATGGGACTATTGAGCGAATCCGCCTGCTGGGGTTGCTGGGGTTGTAGGGTGGTATTGACAGTAGATACCGGTCTAGCAGGGACTACCGGCGGGGCCACACTCCTCACCGCTGCCGATGCCGGAAATCCCCTCGGAGTGATCAAATGTCTCCTCGAGGAAGCATTTAACGCGTTTGAATCGGGGAGGTATCGTGGCTTGGCGGTACGGATAAAGGTGTGCGGGTTCTTGTGGTAGATACTGCCGAGGGTACCAGTGTGGAGCAAGAGCTGGTCAAGCATGCCCTTGTCCATCCTGTCCGTCTCTGTAGAAATCGGTGGTTTCTCAGAAAGGACGATGTCACGGGCAGCAGCAGGGTCGGCAGTGAGTAGTCGCCAGTACATGAATCCCTTGCGTCTCGTCAGTATATCACTTGATAAGAAGGAGAGACGCACTCTATCGCGCAGATCGGGGTTTTCGGCTTCTTCGGTAGCCAATTTGAGTACTTTTGGTAGCAATTCTTGGGCTGCCGTAGGTCTTCGGATGAACAGCTTGACCACCGCCGTGAGCAATGCCAATTGGACCTGGAGACGAATCAGCACAGTCATTATCAAGAAGAACAGCTCACCTCGGCAGGCTCCTCTCTGAACCCAAACGCGAAATCCTCCAACAGCTCCTCGCTATTGTTGATCCTATCCGCATACTGGCCGACAATCCAGATCATTGCCGCCTTTGCTTCCGGTTCATCCAGCACATCCAAATTCTCACACAGCGTACCGATAATACTTTCGTATTGGTTGGGGTAGCGGCGGAAAATGTCTTTGATTACGACGATGGCTTCTTGGACGACGTAGGTGATTTTAGTCTGGAGGAGGGTGAGAAGTGTGCGAATGCACTCGTCCGCTGCGGGGGAGATCTTGATAGCCAACCTCCCGATAGACCGCACAGCCTTTCTCACAAAATCCACATCTACTTCGGAAGCATACTCTTTGAGCTCGGCCAGCACCTCTGACACATTCTCTTCGCGAGTGAGGCGGTACATGATCTCCAGCTTGGCGAGCTTGACATAAATGGGGTCGTTGTATTTGCAGAAGAACACTTTGACTTCGTTCTGGAGGATGGAAGGGCGACGTTGGATGATGAGGAGGATGTTGCGCAGGGCGACGTATTGCACTTCGGAACCAGAGGAGAGGAGAGTCACTGTGAAATGTCAGAGAAGGACTTGCAGACGTTGGGATGCTTACCGAGAGGAGGGCCCATCTTTCTCTCCAGAGCTTTGATGAGACCTTCATCCTCCATATAATTCATTAGATAGAGGATGACTTTGATCGTGGTCAATACTACTGCGCTATTGGCATGTTGCAGCCTGACAGATATCCTCTCTGCCAGTTGCTCTGCCTCATAATGCGACTGGGGTATGAACGACAAGAGTGAGTCCAGGATATAGATCTGACCCCATTCTGAACATTCTCCCAGCGCAGCAATTAGTTTACCCGCGACGTTCACGTTGAGCTTGAGCGTAATGTCATCGCCGCGCTCGGATATCTCGACAAGAGAGGCAACGCAGTTGGCGACGACCGTGGGGTTGTGATCCGCGAGCAGGTCTCGCAGCATACCAACGAATCCTTCGCGCTCAATCACCTTTTTGCCGGGCTCCGAGGCGTAGAGTTTGGCCACACTATGTTCATGGTTAGAGGCAGATCAGGATCGGTAAAGGGACTCACGCGATGGCGGCGGTCTTTCGGACGTATGGATCAGCATCCTGCAGACCATGCCTCAGAGGATCGACGAGGGCTTGTACAATGTTGGGTAATGGAATAGAAGACATGGTTCGGATTGCCAGGCCTCTGATGAGGGGGTTTCTGTCTGCACAGTCCTGTGACTTGTCAGCCGCATCCTGTACGCTGTTCGAGCACGTACAGAGAGGAAGCTGCTGATAGCCCCGTTGAGTTCCTCCGGTCTGATACGGCCATAGTTGATGAGATACAGATATACCACTGCTCAGAGTCAGCGCCGACCCTTGCTCGTAAGAGGACCGGCCTACTCTTCTTGATCTCCAGGACTTGGATGCCCATGCACTGGATGATATCGGGAAAGAGCGGCGACACTACATTGGTCAGTCCCATCCTAGTCTATGCACGACTCACTGTCATTTCCCATGGTCATGTTGGCAACAATCTTCTTGAGGGCAGTCTTCTTCCTCATGAAGCCCTTGTCGCGCTTGTCGCCAGACGCTCGGAGCTCATCCCTCAGCTCTGAGGTCTTACCTCGCGCTACGGTAGTCAGCACTGAAGGACATGTGAGTCTGTGAGCACTCACTGAAGAGCTTTGCGTCCGCCATGGTTGATGATGGGATGGGAGACAATATAGAAACAACCCACGAGTGCACAATGACCGTGTCCCCGAGGAGCGCGTTCCTCAACACCTTCCACGTAACCACTTTTCACCATCACCTCTTTCAATCTCAGAACTTCTCAATATTCTCCACTTCCGACCCCGTATACACCGCTACAATGCTCCGATCACTCCTCGCCACCTCTCGTCTTGCCACACGGTCCACCCTCAGCCTCCCCCGCTTTGCTCCGGCTCTCGTATCGCCTAGAAATATTTCGGCCGCTCGAGTCCAGGGCATCAGAAGATATACTGCCCCGACCGAGAGTGGCGAGCAGGTCATTTATGACAAGCTGAAGGCTCAGTTTCCTGGCAGCAGACTCGAAGTTCAAGATGTCTCTGGTAAGCTGCCCGTCCATGCCCCGAAAATATGCTGATTTGTCATTTTACAGGCGGTTGTGGTTCATTTTACGCGATCCTTATCTCTTCTCCCGCCTTCAAGGGTCTTTCTACTGTCAAGCAACACAAGCTTGTCAACGAGTGTCTCAAAGAGGATATCAAGGGTATCCATGGTCTGCAAGTTAGTTTTCATGTCTTTTTATCAAATCAGGTGGATATGATTCGCTGATCTTGGTACAGTTGAAGACCATCCCCGAATAATCGTGTGGCTATTCAATGTAACACTACTGGGCTTTAGGGGTATCGGAGATGTATGATGTACGAACATGATGACCACAAGCATAAGAAATGCATACATATGCCAGCATCACCGATCCCAGTGGAAAGAGGAAAAGTCAAATTCATGAAGAAGCCTCAACCTCGAGCCCGTTGAGGCCCTTTGCAACTTCGGACGCAGGCGTGCCTACTTCGGGAGTCGCTGAGCTGTCAGGAGTGGCAGTGCCATTGGCAGCAGCGGAAGCGTTCTTCTTCTTCTTCTTGTTCTTTTTGGAAGACGAAGAAGCGGGAATTCTAGTAAGGATTTCCGCGCCCGTCTCGGTGATCCTGTACACGAATCAGCACTATAAACCCGGTCAAAGATCAAAGTACTGACAAGATGGTCTCTTCAAACTGCGCCGACCTCCTACCATCCACAGTGACCGCCGTCCAGTCATCGTTCCAATGCTCCAGGTTCGCGCTTCCCAAGTTGACCATAGGCTCTATCGTAAACACCTGACCAGCTTCCATCCTACCGGGTGTCTTTGAACCCCCGTAATGCACGATCGTAGGCAGGCAGTGGAACAACTGGTTGATTCCATGGCCAGTGTATCGGCGGACAATACCATAACCCTTGGGTTTGATGATCTCTTCGATCTTGTTGCCAATCTCGCGGTAGGGTACCCCGGGTTTGCAGATGGCGATGGCAGCTTCAGTGGCAGCTTTGGTGGTGGCGATGAGGTCGAGTGATTCAGAGTCACATTTGCCCACGGGATAGGTAGCGTTGAGATCACCGTGGTAGCCTGCCTCTTGGTCAACGGCCGCTCATCCCTCTGTGTATGTCTGCTTACCTCCGTGGTAGAGAGTGACATCCAAGTTGACGATGTCTCCTTCCACTAACGGCCTCTGATCCGGGATACCATGACAGATGACCTCGTTCACACTCGTACATATGCTCTTGGGGAACTTGACATAGTTGAGCGGCGAGGGGTAGGAATCACGTTCGATACAGGCGGCATGGCAGATAGCGTCGAGTTCGTCGGTCGTCACTCCCGGCTTGACGGCAGCGGCGACAATGTCGAGGACCTCTCGGGCAAGCTGTGGCGCGAGTGAGCTTGCGACACGGTGGGATCGACAAGGGACGTACGCGGCAGACTTTACGAACACCATCTTGTTCCTCCTTGGTCAAAATCTTGGCACTTCTTTCCCTGACAGCCTCGCTAAGTGACATTCCCTGGGCTACAAATCAACCTTCATCAGCTATCCCACTCCTGCGAGGCATTAGTAAAAGTAGACTCACGGTGGTCGGCATAGTCTGGTCGAGGGATATGAGCAGGCACTTCCCGCTTCTTGGAAAGGGGGTAGACGGGTCGGAGAGGACCGGTGAATTTGTAGTTTCGCATGTTGGGAGGGAGAGTGGTAGCCTCTGTGATCATACGTGAGTTTTCTGTAGTGGGACCAAATAGACAAAAAGACGCACTATCCTCCTCGTGCTGGGTAGCCATCTGGACAAAGCTGTGGATTGTCTTGTGCGTTCCCTGCGAGTGAGTCAGTATTGCTATCTGCTCAATTCTGGTAATGAAGGCATACCCCTGCAAGTATTAATCAGCCCAGATCTAAGCAAAGTATACGAGAGGCGAAAAACTCACAGCTCTTCTTGAAGCAGTCCTGGTCACAGAAGAAGGACCCGGTGATTCCAAGTCTTTGAGCCGTTAGCTCTTTGTCACCTGCTCATCACCATCATCCCTCACTCACGCCCCCCTCTGACCCCTCGCACTGCCAATTTTTCCTTGGACTCACTTCTTGCAGGTGGGGCACTCCATCCTGGAGGCCTCCTTTTCTTGACAGCCAGCACACTTGACCATTGTATATTGTATGATTCTGCCTAAGGGTTATTAAGGAAAAGAGGAATTGTAGGGAGATGGAAGAAAGCGTACATGTACGGCACAACGGAAGGCCGTTCGACATTTCCTTGTACGAAGGTCACGTGACGTAAGCAACTGTCCATCTTCTCTTTCAAACAGGTATTATGGGCTGTTTGTCCCACCTGATAGAGTCAAACGTCCACGTCGGACCCCCGGAATACCCATCGCATACTGCCATTAACGGTCAACCTGCGTACCGATGTTTCAGGCAAGACATTTCTTCAAGACCAAGGCTGCTCGCGATGCCGTGTGAGTCTGCCTCTTGCTCGTTCGGCGCCCGTCCACAATGAGACTGACTCGTTGGATGGAAAGTCGGCTGCTAGCTTGGGTACCTGTAGGAGTATTCTTTACCAGGCATGTGTATTCATTAGCCACTGTCAGCGGAGGAAGCATGCAGGTAAGCCCATCTGCATATACGGCATCTCGCCCGAGCTGAGGGTACACAGCCGACATTCAACCCAGAATTGTCGTCAAAACCGCTTGATAAGGATGTTGTGCTCCTGGAACGATGGTCGGTAGCTATGCACAGATACCAGAGAGGTGATGTTGTAACTTTGTGGTACGTCCCATTTGAACCTATACTGGATCCAAGGCTTATGCAAGAGAAAGGTCGCCTCAAAACCCAGAGCTCTTGACGACGAAGCGGATAGTAGCGCTAGAAGGAGACCTTGCAAGTCATCACATACACTCGTGATACTATATACAGCGCTCATGTCTGACGACAGGTTACACCATTACCACCATTACCACCTACGCCTGTTCGTATACCGCCAGGGCACTGCTGGGTCGAAGGCGATTCAAAGTATCAGACTAGAGACTCGAACACATATGGCCCTGTACGTTTCTTCGGCCCCACAAACATCATGACCCGCTGACATGGTGAAGATACCTCTCGGCCTGGTCACTGCCCGTGTGTCGCATATACTGTGGCCCTGGATAAGGGCTGGGGAGGTCCTCAGTAGTAAAGGCAAATCAGAAGGGAGAGTCAAGCGGCTAGGCGAAGAATACAGGCTTTGAGTAACCCCAAGCAACAAGTGTAACAATAGCAATGTCGCATTTCCATGTACCTTAGCATCGTCTCAATCGATCTTGGCATGCTCCCCCACGACCCCATAAACATCTGCCCTCTTTTGGATGGCCAAAGGCAGCTGCTTCCTCACCTCCTCCACCCTGTCTAGCGCAATTTCCGTGATAAAGTATTCTCCGCTTTCTTCATATAACTGCTCCACCTCCTGATCACCCTGTTCGCCTTTCTGGGGTGGGGGCGTATCGTCGACGCTCCTTAGTCTTCCTAGCTGCTCACCCCATGGAGAAAAGGCGATAGTCTCGCCCCAAGAGGTCCGGCCCTCGTTGTGCGCTCCGTATTGGGCAGATGCAATGAGGTATGTTTGGTATTGTATAGCAGTTGCTTTCTGTGAACGTCGTCAGCGTCTTGGTATTGTACGAGGAGCATAGTCTTACACAGAGAGTGTGCCAGTGATCTCGCCCAGTTTTAATCGTGAATGCAGAGGGAAAGAGAAGGATCTGAGCTCCAAGCCTCGTCAAGATGATAGATACCTCTGGGAATCTGCGACCATGTCAGCTGCAATTGGCCAGAAGCAGGTCGTCGTTTCTTACCTGATATCGTAGCATATCTCCAGTCCAATTTTCCCTAGTCCCTCTACCTGGACAGGAGGAGTGATAGACTCGCCCGGCAAGATACGTTCCGACTCGCCAACTCGCTGGGGCGGCTGTTCAGTCCCATCCGGCCCTGGGGCCTTTTTCAACTCTACATCAAACAAGTGCACCTACCGCATCCTTGTCAGTACTCGAGATATTCGGTGGTCAAGAATAACGCACTTTGCGATACCTCGCCAACAGCTCGCCCTCGGTCCCAATAAGCACATGCGTGTTGTACACTCTCTGCTCGCTCTCATCCTCTGGGCCTTCATGCACTCCCACAGAGATGACCACACCAAGGTCCTTGGCGAGCTTCTGAAGGCCCAAGGTGAATGTGTGCTCCGCCAGTGGCTGGGACAGTGTCCTGGAGTGAGCTTTGTCGGGGTGGATAAAGTCGGACGCTTCGGGTAAGAAGATTGCCTGAACCGGTGCAGGTCAGCCGCCGTCCTTCGAGCTCTCAATAAGGGGCTCTAACCTTGGCGCCCTCTTTCACAGCACTACGGATGACGTTTTCAGACCTGCGAAGGTTGGCTACAGGGTCACCGGTAGATCGGATTTGAGCGACGGCGATCTTGGTCCTGGTGGCTGTGGACATGGCAGCTTTTCGGATTAGCGGCGTGTGGGTCTGACCTATGAGTCTTCTCAGAGGAGAGAGGGACTGGAGCATAGAATGGTTGTCTAGTGATGAATAAAGATTTGAGTGGATGAGAATGGGACAGGAATGGGAACGCAATCCATCGTCACCACCGGCCGCCGGTCATCGCCGATATCAGTCGTCTTATTTGGTTCCACCAACGTCGAGGCGTCTGGTATAGCAGGTCCGTAAGAGTCTATGGGATGCCCCTATTCTGGACCTCACGTGAATGATTACGCCCTATCAATCCTGGACAGATACAAACCTGAGGGGCTCGATCGAAGGAGCCCGTCTCCAATGAGCTTATTATTTTACAACCATGCATGACCCCCATCCTCACGCTCTCAAGTCTCTCCAACATCAACCCAGAACGTATTCCCGCTCCCCACAACCTTTCCATCATCCTTCGCCACATCTCCCAGTACCCCTCCCCCTCCCACCGCCTTGCCAACTCTTTCCATCACTGCCAGCCCCAGACCTTCATCGGAGCAGCCTTCGATGATTATCGCATCAACCCCTCCCTTCTCGTCTGAAGCTGATGAAGGGGAAGGAACGCTCTCGAGGGTGAGCATGCCTGCGAACAGACGTTGAGCTGCTGTGGCGGCCGAGGGACCGAGCGAGACGGGGATGAGCTCCACATCCCGCGGCAAACTCAAGAGCTGAGTAATGAAAAGCGAGTCTTCAAAGTGAAGTATGCCTACTCGCTTCTTGGCCCCTTTGGGAGATATCCGTTGAGCGATCTGCTGCAGGACGAATAAAGGGTGCGACGGGGTCTCGGTAGAGACGCCTGAAGGGCGGGGGAAGGTGTTGGACGGTTTGACGAGGAATACGGGGACCCGGGGAGAGTAATGGCGGTACTTCATGCCAGGTGTCGAAGGAGGGAGGACAATCTTGTCAGCCAATGTGCCAAGAGGCAGCACGGACTTTGGAGGTTCTGGCAGAGTTGCCTTCCGCCATGGTTTCCCATGCACCAGGATTTCAGTCTTGCCCTCTTGTCCGTCGACCTGATCCACTATCCGCTGGATTTCCTCCACTCCCAACCCCCCGGGTCTCAGAATATCGACCCTCCCCCCGCCACCTTGCTTCCACTCCAGCCCATTGACGACGGTCGACTCGACCCCGACCCCACAGTCCCCTCCGTCTATTATACACCCCAGACCTTGCGCGCCGTTGAGGTCGTTGAAGACGTGTTCTGCACGGGTGGGGCTCGGCCGGCCGGAAGAGTTGGCTGAAGGGGCAGAGAGGGGCAGGTTGGAGTGGGCGATGAGGGCGAGGGCGAGGGGATGGGAGGGCATACGGATAGCATTCGTCTGGGGTGCTGGGGGCGGAGGAGGAGCAAAGGAGGGGAACAAGAGGGATAATGGTCCTGGCCAGAATGCACTCAGAAGCGCAAGATAGAGTGGCGAAAAGACATATCCTGGAGGAAGGACACGCCGGAGCATGTCGAGGGAAGAGACATGTATGATCAACGGGTTGTCGGATGGGCGGTTCTTGATCTTGTATATCCGCTGACATGCTTCGGGGTCTAGTGATGATGCTGCGAGCCCATACACTGTCTCGGTGGGCACGGCCACGGTCTGTGAGGCGTGAAGGTGCTTGGATGCTTGTTCGAGGTGCGGGAGGATAGAGGGCGGGATGAAGAACTGGGGGCTGTCGAGGGGGTGTTGTGAAGACGAGGACGGGGTGATTCTGATGGAGGCCCAGTCCTGGCACTGGAGGATGGGGGTGCTGGACATGGTGGCTATCCTACGGCAATAGTCAGCACAAGTCTGGATGGGATGGCCGAGTACGCGCCTTCTGAGGGTGTAATTGAATGTTGGCAGTCTCTGTGCTGCAGTGATCATACGCGGCCCTATCTTGGGCTCGAGTCGGTGGGTAAAGCGAGTGCAGTATCTCTATGACACTGAACAGTAACAGTGAGTGAACGAAATTTTGCTTCCGTTCGGGTAATGTCCTTGCTGCGTGTCGTCACTCCACCAATGGATCGAAAGCTCTTGCGCTGGCTCAAGGCCGCTGTTGCAAAAGCCTTGAAACCCATACAGACCCCTCTCCACCCGAATACGACTATAGTACATGATCTATCTACAACATTTTTCCCCATACATCTACTCTGACTTTGACTTTGCCGCGGTGATATCCGCCTCTTCCTTGTCTTCCAACTCATTCGCCTCCTTGATCTCATCCACCACACTACGGCCCCCCTCACCCCTAGTCGTGCCGACACTCTCCACGTCTTTTGTAGTCAATGGAGCTGGGTCTTCTTTTTCGCCTTCCTCCTGCTCCTCGGCAAGCTTCACGCTCGAGCCTACCGTCTCTTTGCCGGCAATGGCGTCGACAATTATGCCTTCCAAGGAATAACCAGACTTTCCGCTGGAGACTCGCTTGGGATCAGGCTTTTGAGTAGACTCGACAGCCAAGGGCGTCGTCTCCTTTTCCACCTTTTCACCCTTCTTGGCCTCAAGTGGCTTCTCCTCTTCCTCTGGCCGCTTCTCCAGCTTCTCCTCCTCCTTTTCGGGCTTGGCCTCCTCCGAATTTTTCGCCTCCGCCTGGACCTGGTGCCTCAAACCCATCGTTCCAGCATCCTCCCCCACGTCGAGGTCTTGCATGAGCTTGTCAAGATCATCGTTCGTCATCTCGCCCATGAGCTTCTCGAGCTCGACCTCTTGTATAGACTTTTGCTTGGGCGCCGTGCCGGGGGCAGCGCCAGGGGCGGGGGCAGGTTCGTCGGGAATGTCGAGGTCTTGTTTGAGGAACTGAACAAGAGATTGGGTCTCCACGGCTTCTTCGAAATCATCCATTGTCTAGCGCAAATTGTCAGCCGTAGGGCCTGAGCAAGGGAACAATGCTACTACTCACCCCGATCCACTCGCCTCCCACTAGATAGCCAGGGAGACCGATGACTTTGCCTGTGGGCTTTGCTCGTTGCCACTTTCGCTTGGCGTCTTCTTCCATCACCAGGTCGTGTTCCTACGCCCAAGTTAGTATCTAGAAACCAAAGTCGTAAGTATCCGAGCATACGACATATTTGATCTCCCATCCCTTGAGAGAGCTACAGCTAGTCAGCCAGCGTCCCAAACCCTTTCGAAAACAAAATGACATACCTTCTGAGTAGGTCATGATGCTTTCTGACAGTGGGGGCAGAAGTCAGGCTGGTAGTCTATCGCGGTAGACGAAGGGGATTGCATGTCAGTCGAAGCGTGGATGACAAGGGTGGACTACGCACGTAGATGGTGACGAGAGGCGGAGACATGCTGATGTATTTGTGGGTATATGGTTGTCGAGATGCACTGCCGACTGGACGAAGAAGGGCGCGATAAATGATTCTTCACATGTGCTTCGCTGGCGTCACGGCCTCGGAACACCTTGCATGCGGCCCTCGCCGCTGGGAGTGAGCTTCCTCTTTGGGCGAGCTGTGCCTGGGCCTGGGTCCTTTGGTCAGCATTCTCAGCAGCCGGATCAACGAGCGTGACTCCCAATTCGTGCCTCCAAGCGTTCACTTTTCATCTCTTCCACTTCCTTTTCCATCCAATACACGCACATCTTGCAGCATCATGTGAGTGCATCCCCCATACAACTTACCCCCGCAAGATCCCGAAATCGACGCGCGGGGGTCCATTTGTTGACATCAATATTGACCCATCCTCCAGGACCGTCCAGCCCGTAATCGGTGTCGTATTCTACTCGACCTTTGGCCACGTCGCCGCCCTCGCTGAGGAAGTCATCAAGGGTGCCGAGGCTGCTGGCGCCATCGTCAAGCCCTATGTCATGTGAGCCGAGGCTTTCCGCCATGAGCATGTTTGGACACTGACCAGCTCTGTAGTCAGGAGACTTTGTCAGAGACCATCTTGGGCAAGGTGAGGCGTCTGAGGCTGGTATAGAAGGGTAATCCTGACGACTGCATTGTAGATGCACGCTGGCTCTTCCTTGAAGCCCAAATACCCTGTCATCACCCCCAACGACCTCAAAGAGCTGGACGGTTTCTTGCTCGGTGCCCCCACCAGGTGATTGATCTCTTACAAGGTACTGGCCTCAAGCTGACGCGATTTTCGAAGGTACGGCCGTCTCCCCGCTCAGGTCGATGCCTTCTTCGACCAGACCGGCGGTCTCTGGGCTACCGGTGCTCTCGTAGGAAAGTTTGTTGGTACATTCACCTCCACTGCTGGGCAACACTCTGGTCAGGAGGTGCGTTGACTGTTCAACTTGACGAGAACAAGTTTGACAAGACTATAGAGTACTCACATTACCACCTTCCCCTTCTTTGCCCACCGTAAGCTATTTGTTGACCAGATTACAGAGACGTGCTGATGATCTGCAGACGGTCGTATGTATCTTCAAACAAGACGCCCATGGCTACTATACTGATAGTATCCCATAGTCGCCTACGTTCCCATCGGGTACACCGACCCTTCTGTCGGTAACGTCGACCAAGTCCAAGGCGGTGAGTCATGAGCAACGTCCCGATCATGTTTCGAACCTGACTTTACTTCTAGGCTCACCGTACGGTGCCAGGTACGCTACAAGACAGATCGGCTTCTGCATATATACTGACCTTGCCCTTATAGCGTTGTAGCTGCTGCCGATGGCCATCTCCAGCCCACCGCCAACGACTTGAAGGTGGCCGCCCACCAAGGCAGCGTACGTTCCATGCCTCCTAAAATCATACAGTTGCTGATAGCCGACAGTACTTTGCGACATTCGTCGGTACTTTTGTGAAGGGAAAGAACGCCATCACGTACGTCTGATTGTCATCACATGTGCAAAGCTGACGTATCAGATCTAGCGCCGCCGCCGGCAACTCTGCCCCCATCGCTGCTGGTACCACTTCCACTGAGCCCGCTAGTGAAGTGCCCGCTACGAAGGAAGGCGAGAGCTCTGCTGCTCCTGCCGTCGGTGCTGCCGGAGTCGCCGGTGCTGGGGCTGCTGGAACCGCTGCCGTCGCCTCCAAGAACACCAACGCTGAGACTCCCGTGGCCGACTCTACCACCGCCCCCGTGACTGGAGACAAGGCCGTCACCCCCGAGAGCAAGCCTGTTGATGGTACCACCGGCGCTACTGCAGCTTCCACCGAGAAGCCCGTGGATGGCACTACCGGCTCTACAGCCACTCCTGCTGAGAAGCCCGCCGCTGGCGCTGCTGCTACCACTGCCGACAAGCCTGCCGGTACCAAGCCTGCGCAGAAGAAGAAGAAGTCTGGAGGTTTCCTCGGGTGCTGTGGTGGAAGCAACATCGACTAAAGGCGTTGTTGGAAGGATGATGATTCAATCTAAAGTGAGAAAGAGACTGGATAGACGAGACGGTTACGGTCTCTTGCATAGTTATCTTCCATAATAATAAGCCCATGCACACAGATTGCTTCCAGGCGGTTTCATCTCATGTTGTGAGTCGTAAAAGTCGGTGGCCGCGTCAAGGCAAGGCATATTTGTCAACAGCTGCTCATACGATAACACCAACAGAAACGAACTTCGTCGGTAGAACAGCTGGTTAGCTGGCTTGTCACGGGCCTGAAGCCAAATTATACAGCCACGAGCCACAAACATGCGCCTTGCAAAGAAATCGCCTCCAAAACCAGCGGGACAATCCTACAACTCTTACGCTCGCCTCGAGGCTTACGAGAAAGGGAAAGCTCAATCAGACTCACTATGGCTATCCGGGATTGTGGCAAATTATTCAAGATCGCCGGAGAAGGAACAGCCCACGCCGTTTGAAGGATTGTTGACAATCCCATAAAGGATGATACCAACAGCATGCTGCACACAGTCGAGGGGCTTGCGTCGAGCCAGCAATTAGTGCTATGGTGCATGGGCAGACGTAAATGTAGAAACAAGTCACGAGGGACACATCCTGTCACGACCCCACAGATAACCACAGATGAGGGTTCGCTTTGATTGGGAGTGGGTATGATCGAGTCTTATCGGCACGTGGGACTATGATTGTCGTGTATGTACAGCCAGCCAAATACTACGTAAAGGAGCAGCTTGTCTTGTCGAGCGTGCAGGTGATCCTGCCAATCGTCTGCGGTCGACACACTGACTTACTCACTCGATAGAGAGTGACTCGAGGGGCAGGCCGGCTGCCTCGCCGCAGTCTCGCTGCTCTCTTGGCATCAGGGACGTCCCAGGACGGTCCCAGGACGGTCCCAGGTGTCCCGATCGCTGTGCGTTCTCCCCTTTTCGTGTAGAACGCGGTTCCTTTACCTATCTGTTGGTGGTGGGTGCTCTATCGGTTGACCTGCAGTATTGCACTGATCCTTGCATGCCTCCGATGATTGATATCATGTCGAAAGGAACATCAACTGGAACCTTGTCTTGCCGTCCTCCAGCAAACCGACTGCCGGCAAGGATGCTCCTTACAACACGCCTCCCCTCAGCCCCACCCGGATCACCAGACCAGCGGCGCCACCACGCATCGAGTCGATCGTCCAACAAAGCACGGCACACGACTCATCCTTGGACTCACAAGGAAGCGGGATTGTCGATGCGCCACTAGGACAAAGGATCAACATGAAGAGATAGACTCGCGTTGCCTTCCTTCTCGTTGGATCACCCACTTTGAAGGGAGTAGAGGCGAGTCAGTCGTTAGTGTCACTGTTTGAGGTGAATGCGGCGAGTGTGCCGCGCGAGTCTGCGAGGGCTGAGCGGTCATGGGGGACTGAGCGCAATGGGTATATAAGGTGCCCAAAATGTCGAGATTGAGAATCCCCACCAACGACTTGAATTCACTCTTTCTACAAGACTAACCAAGCCAAACAATTAAATCAATAACCAAGATGTCTGACAACGGTGAGCCGTCTGCGAGCCGAGTTGTCTAGAGGGAGCTAACTGTTTCGACCATAGCCCAGAAGATCGAAGAGACTCCCGTCCCCATCCAGCTCACTGAAGCTCCTCCTGCCCCCGAGGCCCCCGCCCATGAGACCCAGGAGAAGCCCGCCGAGGATCAACCTGAGGAGGCCCAGAAGGCTGAGGAGGGCCAGAGCTGCGAGAAGCCTGAAGGTGCTTGCTGTTCGTCCTTTTCGCATCCATTGTTTGGGCACTGCTGATGTTGATCCATAGGCGGCGGCCACTAAGCCACTGGCGCAAAAGCTCGATGAACAACCGCACATTGCTTGAGGATTTTTGAGGAATGCGTAGGCCGGGAGAGCGCGTCGAATCACGAATAGCATTGTTGTCATGTCGCGATATGAATCCAGAGTCAGTCATGTTGAAATGTCCCCGATCTTTGCGTGGTTCTGAGAACACTCCCACTCCACAATCCTCCTTGGCTCTGCCACAGCAGACGACAAACGCGCCGACAAGTGCCTAACAGGTTTTGCATCCCGATATACCCCTAAAGATTACAACCCCATCTAAAGAGTCTGGTTGTACAATCCCTCAGAGGTCACGATACCTGCCGACTGCATTAGCACGGACGTCACCCATCTCGAACCTTTTGCACTCACCGAGCTCCTTGATTGTAGGTTCAAGCTCCGCCAAGTACGCCTTGTATTGTCCAACGTTCTCGACCTTCTCCTTGACACCCTCCAAGATCCTCACAGCAGTAGCGTAGTCGTTGACCTTCCTGCTCGCTTGGAGAGCGGCAGAGATGACCTCGGTAGAGGGCACAAGGTCGTAGGCGAAAGCGTTGTTGAGACCACGCTGGAGTTCAAAGAGGTCGGTGACAGACTTGAAGAAGGTTTCGTATCGGGCGTTGAAGACCTCGAAGGATTCTTCGGCGTGTCCGGAGGAGTATCGGACGGCTAGAGTAGCAGATGTCAGTCACATGGGTCCTGCAGATTGAGGGACAGTGGTCGGGCGGAGTGAGATCGCAGGGACGTACCAGTGAAGGCCTGGGGGCGGAGGGGGGCGGCGACGAGGGGGCGGGCCCTGAGGAGGGAGCGGGAGGCAGAGGCGAGCATTGTTGTTGAGCGGTGAATGAGCCAAAAGAGCCAAAAGAAAGCATCGGAAAGAGCAGGAGCTGATTCGCAGGGTCGCCTGGGATTAATGCGCGGAAAATCCTGCAGATATAATACTCTGCTCCCGTAAGTCCCCCGCGGCCGCCCATCTCCTCTTGCATCGGCCACTTTCTATTCCAACTGTATACCAGCTACTATCCTGCTATCCCTCCCAGCGCATCACCTGCCAAGCTGTTGTCTCCACTCATATCCCTACTTTGTACGTCAATCGCGTGTGCCAACTAGTCCAATCCTGACCCCTCACAGTCTTGCCCCAAGTCCTCGCAAAAGCCGCCACCGTGTCCTTCTTCAACCCCTTCCGACGCGCTCAGGCAGAGGCCGCCCAGGGAGCCATCACTGTGCAGGTGAAATGGGGGCGTGATCGGTACGTTCGTTGGCGCTCTTTGGCCGTTTGCACATCAAACGTGCGATGAATCAACATTGACATCATTTCAGCTTCAACATTCCCATCCCTCAACCTTCCATCACCCCCCTAGCCACCCTCCTTGCCACCCTCTCCAATCAGACAGGTCTTCCAGTCAACCAGCTAAAGTTGGTGCACAAAGGAGCGGTGCTGAAGGACACGTCTTTGACCGTGTCGGCATATGGCATCACAGAAGGGGCCAACCTGGTGCTCATTGGAAAGGGCGGGGACATCCCTGCCCCTGCTTCATCTGCTCCCAAGCAAGCTGCGCCGGTCGCCAAAAAACCCAAGCAGCCCGAGACAGACTCTGAACCCGTCTTGGTCGACTGGATCAAATCCCTGGTCGCAAACCTCCTAGACCCTTTGAAACCTTCCATCGCCACTTTCATCTCTTACACTTCTCCCCACGTCACCAACCGTCCTGCCAAGATCCCAGCGTTTGAAGTGTTGCAAAAGGAGCATGCGAGGTTGAGCGAGTTGCTGCTGAAGGCGCTGTTAGAGTTGGATGGGGTCAACATCCAGGGGGGCTGGGATGTGGCGAGGAAGGAGAGGAAGGAGGGCGTTAGGGGTATACAGGGAGAACTGAATAGAGTCGATGAGGCGTGGGGAGAGCGAAAGAGGATTGGTGCTTAGATGTGATACGGACAGAAGATACTGTATCATAGTTGATGACGAATCATGCATATAGAAGTTTTACTAATGCATTTGGTATATAATGTACACAGCTGAAGAGATGACCAAGAGATTGTGGTTCTAGTACCTGTATATGCAAAGGATAGTACAATAGGAAATAAATTATGACCTATGGTCAGGAATCAGCATTCTCCCGTGGTATCAAAAAAGCCAGACTCACATCTTGTACTCCATCCTTCCCTTCTCTCCCTCCTCACCGACAACCTCGTAGTCCACGACGATGTCCAAGTCCCTAGGGTTTCTGCCGTTGGGCGCACATGACAGAGTACCCTCGATGGTGTCGCCCTCGGAGACGGTGAGGGTTTTGGGGGTGTAGAAGACGGTCTGCTTCCAGTGGGTGTACTTGGCTTGGGGACCGGTGGAAAAGTTGACAGGCTTGTGGCAGCAAGAGAAGGAGATGTCGAACCAGCCGAGGAAGGCGTGGACGTCTAGAGAATGTCAGTTTTTGCCATGTTATCCATCGACGAGCCAGACGTACAGTCATTTCGGGTAGCCTTGAGCTTGAAAGGTACGTTGAAAGTCAATTCCTCCTTGGTCACAGTCTTGATGTCGATATGCCTGATCGCGCAGGGGTTGGTGACCACCGATCGGAGCTCGACACAGTCAACGAGAGGCTCCCTGAGCGCAATCTCCTTGATGCAAGAGTAGTCAAAGCCATAGACGTCGTTCCAGTCTGTCGCTAGCATGAGCACAGAGTTTCGAGAGCGCAAGAATAACTTACAGTCGATCTTCTCCTCCTTGTAGTCCTGGTCCTCAATGGCAGCCAAGAAGATGGTGGCCTTGTCGGGGAACAAGAGACCGTCCTTGGCGAGGTACTTGTCTCGGGCAAGGAGGACAGTGTCGAGCATGGATTCGTAGAGGAGGAAGTAGCCCATCCACTGCAGATGGTTGTTGGTTGGAGTTCATGTGCGGAAGGAACAGGCTTACCTCAGAGATGATGATGTCGACCTCCTTGACGGGGAGCTCAACGTCTTCCAGCTTGCCCTTGCAGAGCACAATCTCTGTTGAATTGTTAGTCTCCACTTCACAATTACTTTATTGAAAGCTCCACGTACGGTCCTCGGTGAAACCGTTGGTCCTGACAATCTTCTCAGCCTGGTCAAGGATGTTGGACATGTCGATACCAATGACAAGCTTGGCGCCAGCCTTGGAGGCAAACATGGAGAGAATACCAGTTCCGCAACCAACCTGTCGCATGGGATCAGCATTCTGCATTCAAAAGAGACCATCTTGGGTGATCGGGACGTACATCGAGGACGACCTTGTCCTTGAAGAGATGGGGGTTCTGCATGATGGCGTTTCGGTAAGACAGAGTTCGCACAGAGTCCTTGAGCATTTCCTCGTGGATACCTACACGGAGGATATCAGTACTATCTCACAGCAAGCGTATAACCAGACGTACCAAAGTGAGCGTAACTATAGAAGATGATTTCATATCAACGTCAGTATGTTTTCCTCGGCTGCACTTGCATCACTTTGAATGTTCCTCACCTGTCAGCGTAGCTATAAAGAGGTCGTGGTTAGCATTCGGCCTGGCTGAGGACATCAACAAAAGCTGTCAATGTAGACTCACTAGTCACGGCTGGTCATCTCGCCCACGGGGGGGAGGCCCTGGGTAGCAGTCTCAGTAGCAGCGGGGGCCATTTTGGAGATGTGATTGGATGTGCTTTTGGGAGGGATAAGAGGGAGATGGACGGAAGAGAGGGAAAGAGGTGGGGCGGATTATTTGCGCCCTTCAGAAATTCCGAAAGGTAAGATGAAGTTCTGGCTAGCGGTGATCGCCGCATCGCATTACGTAACGTGAATTGGCGGCCGCAAACCCGTACCGCACTCAGTTTTAAAGTAAAGGAAGGCAGAAGCTGCAGATTGCATGCGTAGGGCTACAACAGATAGTATTGGACCAGTATAGAGACAAGCCAAGTCGCCAAGAAGCAGACGGTGGTATAAACATTTTATAGCTTGTGCCGAACCAAAACAGGCACAGCAATTGAGGAGAAGAATTCTATGTTACAAATACTTGTAGATGTCGTGATCTATCACTCTATCCCCATATCTACTTATCTAAAAAAACCTCCAGCCCAGCAACAGTCATGATTGATTGTTCAACAAAGCGCAAAGCAACCCGATCACGCACACCACAGTCGAGATCCCAAACAGACCCCTCGAGCACCAAGTCCACCCCCAAAGGTTTGCGCCAGCCGCAATCGGTATCAGAATACTCGTGACCACCGACATGCCCCCGCCCATGATGGAGAGCAAAGTCTCAAAAGAGGGGAAGACCAAGGCGCCGACGACAAAGAAGGCGAGTAGACAGATGGCAACGAGGGCGCGGAACACTGATTTCAGCTTCTCGCGGCGGTCGTGATGCCTTTGCGCATTGGAGAGAGCGTGCAGGTAGTGAGGGTCTTCAAGAGTGGCGGTTGAGGAAGTACTGGAAGAGGGGGAAGAGGGCAGGTTGTTGGGGTTGGGGTTAGGAATAGTAGGGGAGGCGCTGAAGGAATGCGCCTTGGGTACGAAGACGGTAGGCTGGAGGTTGAAAAAGGAGTACACGACGTCAGTGAGCTGTGGCATTCGTTAGCGGGGCCGGGACTATTGTGTTGTGGACTGACAGGTCGCAGACCGAGAGGAATCTTGGTGAGAGGATTGATAGCCACCATCCAAACTGCAATCGACGCCATAAGTGGCGAGAAAGCACTAGTCTTGGCCAAATCCCTGCTGATCTGTTACACAGTGAGCTGGAATCCTCAACGGCTTGGAGAGACTCACCTCGTCCGACACATCCCTCCCAAACATCAGATATCCAAACACACTGACCAAAGCATACACCACGATGCAGATTCCATAGCCCACCTCGCACACCCTCTCACCCTGTTCTGGGTGTTTCATGTCCCTGATCAGATTCGGTACCAAGAAATGCCCTCCAAAGCCCGAGATGAGCAGACCAAACGAGAGGCCGAACTTGACAGGGCCATGGACGGGCCAGAGGTCGGTGGGAGCAGGATCCCAAATGGAGCCAGGGGAGGTCGGGGTGGCGAGGCCAGTAAAGATGAGGATGGCGACGAGGGTCCATGTGGAGATGATACCCAAGGCAGAAGTCCAGGAAAGGTATCGAAGGGGGATGAAATTGAGGGGAACGATGCTAGGTTGGTGTCAGATGTATGCAAATATAGAAAGAGCCTGTGAAACTTACACAGCAAGACCAACGACCTTCCACTGATTACTGCTTAACATGGGCAAGACCACCTCGAAAGAGTCGGAAAAGAGTACAATGAGTGCAACCCTTGATACCTATGTCAGCAAAGTAACTGATATGAGTCAAGAGCCGACGCACATCCATATACAGCAGTCCGAGATGAACAGCGCAGCGATCCACTTTTCCGACTTTGGCCCAAGGCCATATCGAGCGACATCGGCAAAATTTCGCATCGACCGATCCTTCTCAATGATCCTGACCAGAATCTTGAGTCTTGTATAGGTGTCAGCAAAGGCCTCAGGTCAAAGACGATCCCGCTTACGTCCATAGGGTGATTGCACAGACGGCGCAGAGGATAAGAGGACCAAGGACCCAGCCAGCGTGGGCGATGGCAATGGGGCAAGCCAGGAGCCCTGTTCCAATCAGATCACCAAGCACATTAAGCAGCTATAATAGCGTCAGTTTGTACTATCAAGAGCCTCATGCGACTTACAGTCTGATTGAAGGTCGCCTGTCCTGGGACATATACATCGACCTCTCGTCCTTCTGCTTCTTCTTCACAGTCCGAGTAAACTTCTTGGCTTATTTTGCGTTTGATGCCTTCAGATCCATGGAGGAGAGGGGTGCTCTCGGAAGGCTCGACGAGAGTAGCAGATGAGGCTGCGAGGGAGATGCCGTGATTTTGTGAGGAGATAGTGGAGGAGTGGGAGCCGGCGGACATGGTTTGCACAGGTTTTTGGGGCCGGATGGGCAGTGGGATAGAGAAGGTTGGCGGGGGATGCTATGGGGAGGCGGCTGCTGATGTAGATGGGGAATGAAAACGTTTAGATGCAAGAAGAGGAAGATTTGCCGAGCAAGACGCATTTCAGCGCGCATCTCCGGGCTCAGGGACCAGGGCCGCCGCACCGAGGGAGGTCTATCGCGGGTGTGATTTTACTTTCATCCAGCAGATCCTCTATGGCCACGCTTTTGGTCCAGGCTACCCTTGTCATGCATATGTGGCTCTCTGCAGTCTATTTTGTCCCACCAGCTCAGAGGGCATAATTGCTAAACCGCTGCAGTGGTGCAGTGGCGTTGTTGGGTTCGCACCAAAAGCGATCCGGCAAGGCAGTACATGCATAGATACCACGTCTCCATCTCTCATTCTCTTCTCCACCTTCTTTTCTTGTTCAATACCTTTCCTGCCCAGCTGGTACTGCGGTTCATCTCCAGCCACGTATACACTGCAAGAGCACCTCGCCTCCTATTTAACATGTTCGCACCCCTCTACGCCATCCTCACCCTCGCTCTCACCGCCTCCGTCCCTACTCTAGCCACTCCCATCGTCTCGCCCGATTGGCGCCGAGCAGGTGCACCCGAGAACGACCACTCCCTTAAAGTCAATCCGACCTCTTTCTGTCAAGGCCAAGTGGTCAACATCTCCTGGGTTGATACGGAGGTCGATGCTGTGAGTTTGCCTTCTTACCTTGCGTGCTGAAAGGGTCCTTTTCGAGCGTCGAGGGTTGCCATTGACTCTACATGTAGGCGCCTTTCAAAGTACAGATCGGTGTAGGAGGGTATTACAGCGGTAGGTGTTTGAGTTTCACTGTCGAAAAGCTCCACTGATGCAACATAGGTGTGGTTTGGAAGGAGAGGTACGAAAACCTCACCGATCAAAACATGTTGTGGCCTGTAAATGGAAGTGCCGGTGATTCCCTGTACGTCCTCTCTCAGCCCCTACAGACTCACAATACTGATACCCATATCCTAGCATCTTCCAGATTATCGACTCACTTCGCTCCTCTGCGTACCTCCAGAACTTTATCGTTCACCCCGAAGAATACTGCACCAACGCCACCAAGATGGCCTTGTCCAACAACACCTCCACCGAGATGAAGAGCGACTCGTCCAACTCTACCTCCTCCGAGCTGCCGTCCGACCATGACAATGATTCAGACTCGCCCGCTTTGTCGCCCAATGCCACATTCGATGACCTGACAGCCGAGTCTGACACTAGGCGCAACTCGTCCTCTCATCCGCTCAACCCGGTACCCAGCGGCAGTGCCGCTTCTCTCAAGGCGTCTGGTTCTGGTTCCAAGAGCTCTCCTACTCTCCCCGTGGGCGCTCCCACAGCCGCTGTATCGCAGACAGAGAGTAGATCTTCCGAGCCTTCTGTGCAGGTGCTTCCCACGGAGGACAGTGCTTGAGGAGCGAGTGTCACGAGAGATCACGGGGCGAGGGGGTCTATGAATACGATTCACTCGATGGTTGGGATTGTCAATGAGAAAACATAGGACAGGACGCTATACACGAAATTTGAAACGACATTGATACAATTTTTCACTTACGATTATTATCCGCCCTTTGTATACGATTAGCGCCTCGCCATGTAGTATACTTTCAGGATCGAGTGACAATGATGCACCGGATGCATGAGGGATGTGACAATGATACATCTACTTCTTCATTCTGTCTCTGGTCAGCCTCGTCCCGTATGACATATGGCCAACTCACCTCTTCTTGAACCTCTCGTACACTTGTTCGTCTGTGGCTGTTTCCGGTCGATTTGAGACATGAGGCTTCTTGTCGAATGATGAGGAGGTGTAGAGGTCTGACGCTACTCTTTGATTTGGTCGATAGACTAGATTCTTGTCAGTATCGATTGAAGCTGGGACTTGAGGCTCACATCTTGCGGCCGCATAGCCTGGATCCTCCGCCTCCCTCGCCGCCGCTGCTGCCGCCGCCGCCTCTTGCTTTCTCAACTCCATCATCGCCCGCTTTGCCTTTTCTGTCTCTTCTATATTCCTTAGACGATTACTGGGCTTGGTCAGCAAGGTCTAGATATCAGCGACTAGCTTACTCCATTCCCAGATCCACCTCTGGTATACTTGTCAACATTCCCAGACTGTTGGTTACATTCCCCTCATCATCGTCCACTTTCTTCTTCTTGCTCGTCTCCAGCTGTTGATACTTTTCGGCAATCTTGTAGAGCTCTGCTTGAGGGTCGTAGGGCTCGGGGTTCTCGGAGGTGGTGGCGGCTGCTTGGCCGCGACGTTTGGCGAGCTCGTTTTCTATAAAGGCAGTCCTGTGACAGCATTTTAGCAACTGCGATATCACTGTCTACGAGAGAGCATACATGTGTTTATCCACATCAAGAGCATTGGTTTGCCCAGTGAAGTTGTTGGCTCTGACCAGCCTCTTTACCTTCTCCGTCTCATCCGCCAGATCGCTATTCTCATCAGCTGGACGTCTGGCCAGATGCACTTGCGACTCACTCATCCTTATCTACACCACCACCACCACTTAAACCCCCCTTCTGTAATCCATACGCATCGGCCCCCTTGATGTCTTGCTCCGTCTTGCTCCTGGCAGCTTTCGCCCGGTCGGCGGGGTCGGCTCCGCGGTTGAGCTTTTCGAGGTCTATGCCTTGGTGTGTTTGAGATTTTTTCAGTTTGCGAAGTAGTATTAGCTCTTCAACTGTGTGGCTGCACAATATTAGTACAGATGCTAGAGAGTTAAAAGAGAAAGTACCCATTATCTTCGTCTTCGCCGGCAGGGGTGGCAGAGCCCGAAGCTTGTTCTTCTTCTACATCTTCGGTCCGGGGTTTGTCGCGGACAGAGGCAGGTCTAGAACGCTTTTTGAACATGAGTTTGGAATTGTAGACAGCTGTAGGTGGTAGAAGCAAAGATGTGGAAGGCAATGTAAATGAAGGTCAGAGATTTGGCCGCGGTCGCCGATTTGTTTTGGCTCTTCGTTCAAGTCTGGAGTCTCCGCTTATTTCCTCTTTCATATTTCCATCCCGCTTCCTATTACTGATTGAAGCTGTATTCATCTTGAAAAGGATCAAAATGGCCCTTCCTAACTTGCGTTGTAAGTGTCTGGGCGATAGACCCGATACATACGATACATCTGCTGACAGCTGGTTGCCAGCCATTTTTGCCTCATCCCGGACACCCGAGGAAGAACGGGCCACCTCCAGAATCACATTCTACAAGTTGTAAGTCCCTACATCTCTCAAGTACTCAAGAAACAACCCATGAGATGACTGACTACTGTACAGCACTGCTTTCGTGGGCGCCTGCTTGGTCATATCTCTTTTGGCATCCAAGAACTCTGGTCGCGTGGGAGACTTGGGGAAAGGGGCAAGGGGTGTCGCGGGAATGGTGGCAGGTGCGGGGGGGAAGATGGTATGAGCAATGAATTGGAGAGGCCGATCGGTGTTATAAGAGAGTACATAACAGAACAGCAGTCTAGGTGATTCTGTAGAGGATAGAAGGTTGGTCGTGAACGAGTCACATACCACCAGATCAAAGCTAACCATCGATTAGAAAGTGGAACATGACATCTCAAACGCTCTGATGTATCAGAAAGGCCTCAATGGAAGAAGGTCAACCGATGGATCTGCACCCATGATCCTCTGTGGAAAGACAAGTCTTGATATTGTTGGTAGAGCGTCTCTGAGGGTGAGTCGTATACAGATCAGCTATAGCGAATGGTCAGCTGACTCATGATCTTCAGTCACCCATCTACTCACAAGTCGAAAGACCACTGGATGTAGCATAACCCTTCTCGGAAACAACGAGTCAACGGGGGTCTATTTACTTGTCGATGCATTTGTCAGTCACTGAAACGGTCAAATACAAGCGCATTGGCTTTGCATGTCATGTAAGTCACGCTAACTATCTAGCACACCCTGACAAGATTGGGATGACACATTGGTTTCTATCCTTTCAAAATATACAAGAGATTTTATTTTGTAAATCGCTGAGAGGCCAGCTCAAGGAGCAAGTTTAGAGATGTCGGCAGACTTGGCTTCGCCCTCTAGTATCAGCTCTGCCAATACCTTCCCCGTACCAGGGCCTTGTGTGATACCCCAACAGCTCAGACTGGACCGACACGTTAGCACTCCTCAGCAAACTATCACGCGTGGAACACTCACCCAGAACCAACGAAGACCCCTTCCACTCCCCTTACCTTACCCACCAAAGGTCGCCCTCTATCGGCTATCGGTAGGTAGCATGCCTGCTCGGATACGATCTCAACCCCTTGTTCAGGAGTGAAGATGGGAGAGAGAGCTTGTGATTGCTTGTGCAATTTGGAGATGGCCGAACGGGAGGGAGATATGTCAGCCGGGGAGGATGGAAGAGGCTCGTCATCACCGCTTCCGCAGCTATCAAATCCATCAGCGACATCACGATAGACTTAGGCGACGAGGCTTACATGTATGTAGTTCCATCTGGCCGAGCATAAACCTCTGGCTCGCCCATCGAGCCATCTTCCATCGTCATACTCGTAAACAGGCACGTGGCCGACAGCTCTTCCTTGGTCTTCAAGATGATACTGTGAGCCCTTGAGCCTTGTACGCCCAAACGCCCGCCAACCTTTTTACCAAGCAGTTGCTCGGCGAGGCGGCCGGTCCAAGGGCCCGCGGCTATGACGACAAGATCGGCTTCAAGCTCAGACTTGTCGCCATCTGGCGAGACGATACCCAGACTCTTGGGCGTGTTGCTCTTGGGGTCGGTAGTCATTGACTGAACAGTACCCATGACCAAAGAGGTCTCGGGCTGAGCAAGAAATTGCTCAGAGAAGAACTGGGTGAATAGCCCGGGAGTGACTTGGGCTGTCGTTGAGTGGCTACCCATGGGACGAGCAGAGTGTACAAGTCCTTTTGGAAGCCAGGGAAGAGGGGAAGGCTTTTTGGATTTGCTTGTGGCATCCGTCTCGATCGACTGCGTTACGTTAGCCTCAGCAGAAATTCAGTACGACAGTGAATCACCAATGTCTCAACCGTCCTGTAACCCCACTTCTCCTTTCCTCCGTAGTCTTCGGCCAGTTTCGCATGGAGGTCCCAGCTCATAGCGCTCAGACTTGAGGTAGCGCTCCCATGCCAATCCTTTGCCAGGAAACCCCCGCTGAAACCGCTCGCCGCTGCTGCGATCTTTGTGCCTTCAATGAGGGTGATACGAGTCGAAGGGTTGCGCAAGGGGTGTGTAGCGAGAAAGTAGGCGGTAGATACGCCAGCAATACCACCACCGACGATTGCGATGTTCTTGGGGGGCTGCGAGGGCATGGTGGGTGTTTTGAAAAGGTAGATGCTGGAAAAAGCTGACATATCTAGGTCGCTTCACGGTGGCTGCCTTGACGTCAGGTTGCGGACGTCGCCGACGGGCTTACGTATAATCTGTCATTCAACGTTCATAATACTTTCGCGGATGGGCAAATATCCTGCTCTAGGCCTTTAGTAGGAAGCTTTAGAAGCAAGGGTAAAAAAAAAAACTCTGTAACAATCGGAGTTATTTGTGGTAAGTGATGTGGCGCCTGGATCTCAATTACGCCACTGTAACCAATACGGCGCCATGTAATCTAGTCGGACCCACGCCTTTGTTGCAGAGTGTACAGAAAAACCCGGTAGACATGCTCACGTATGTGGTCGAAGAGAACAGGCTGGATGTCACGTGAAAGACTTTTTGGGCAAAGGTATCGTTATCTATTCGACATTATTTTACGAGTACTCCAGTACAGTTTCTCATCTGCTGCATCATCTCCCGCTTCCGTTCGCAGAGTTACCTCCTCCCAGCAGGTCTCGGCCTCGCAAATCCACCCCCGCCCCCAGCGCCTACCCTCGGTCCAAACGCATCAAATGCCTTCCTGATACTCTCTTGGCTATCTTCGTCTTGGCTCTCTACAGTCGGAGTGCTAGGGTTCGAAGAAGGCAATGGGATCTGTGAAGCCGTGGTTGCTGACCGGATAGGGCCAGTGGGGCGGATAGGCCGGGGCTGACCAAACATGCCAGGAGGAGCAGGCGCACCAAAGGCATGACCGCTGTTGCCTCCTGCCCGAGCAGGACCGCCAAAGGGAGCGGACGTCGTGTTGCTAGATGCGGTAGCGGGATTAGGAAGGGAAGAGGAGTGGGTGGGTTTGTTGGAGGGTAGGGATGATTTAAGGTATGATTCGGTGAGCTCGGAGGGGTCAGACGTTTCGAGCTGCATGCTGTCAGAACGGCCCCTTGACACACGGTTGTGGACGCACCTTGCTAACAATGTCGACGTTGGCCTTGTCGATCGCGTCTTGTCGCACACTCCTGACTGATGTAGAGTAGACCATTCTGTACTTGACCGGGCTACCCGAGGGACAGCAATAGACAAAGATGACTCTTCCCTTGCTAGGCGCCTCTTCGGTGACCTCTTGAACGGGGCTTGCAGAAATCTGGTCAGATTCTTCGCCTTCCTTCTTCTCGTCGTCCTCTGCAGATGGAGCCACAGTAGAGGAATTGACTGGCCTCAGTCCGCCCTGAGAGCCCTGGAAGGTATTGCGAGCAGAAGCGGCCTTGGTCGATGGCTTAGCGGGGAAGGGAGAAGCTTGGGTGGCCGGCGTGGGGTGGGAGTAGAATATGTAGCATGGGGATTTAGGGGGAAGCTTTGAGGCGACTTCTGAAGGGGCACAAGCTTCAGATCGAAGCAGAGAAATGGCAGAAGTGTTCGATGCGGGGATTTCCTAGACCTGGTATTAGACCAATTCCCTTCGGGTACCAGTACTCACTAGGGTAACGATCCACCCTTGGGCACTCCTCTGCGAAACCTTCTGAAGCGCTTCGCCCACACCTTCTCCCCAGCTCATCAGCCCTCCGAGACCGACGATGGCCTTCTTGCGCCGAGCGGCAGCTTCGGGGTCGAGGGCTTCGCGCTTGGCTTCCACGGCTTCGGCCTCACGGATTTCGGCGAGAGTCTTTTCGGCGGCGCTCAGAGGAGGCGGTGAAGTGATGTGGACGAGGTGAGAGTGGATGCCTTGAGAAGTCAGGTCGTTCTATAGCGGGTTAGCTTGTCTTACCAGGAGATCGATGCGCACTCACAACAGAGGTCGCGAACCAGTCGTGCTTGAAGTTGTTGGCCCCAAGTGCCTTCATCAGACCAGATCTTGATGATGCTTGCAGCATCTTGGCTCGGACCTACAAGTCATCAGCTTGGCCTCTGGTGTTTCGACAGTCCACTCACGCCGGCATCATCGGGAACATAGGTGACCATCAACCACTCATATCGCCCGGCATCCTTGCTATCGAGTCGGTACGCAAAGCTCGCCGGTGTCTTGAGGTTGGGCAGAGTGGCAGGTACCAGCGCAATATCGTCTTTGTGCGATCCCTTGGGCTGGACTGTGGCGTGCTGCTTGAATGACTCGCCCTCGATGGTGAAGACGATCGCGCGGACGGTGTCGGGGTTGGCGAGGGCGTTGGAGAAGGACTGATGGATGGTGTCGGGCACCTTGATGCCAGATGGGGCGGACATGATCTTGGGCGTGGGGGCTTGGAGGGGCTGTCCGGTGGGTTCGTTCGTTATCCCTTGCTGCTGAGACCTGAGAGTAGCGAGTGGTGCGACGTCACGACCGCCTGGACTGCTTACGTAAGAGCATACTTGGCTGCCACAATCAACCCTCTGGGTCACACTTGGGGTCACATTGCCTGTCTCAGTCACGTGTACTTTACGTACATATATATCCATAGCATACTACCTATATTGTCCCACTGACTAAGGTAAACGTCCAGTCCCTATAGAATGAGATACGATTCCAGCTATAACACCCTTTATCTACTTTTGGTTGACTGATATTACTCGACTTTCTATTCCATTACGTCCAAGCCCTCCGCATTGAGCCCCGGCCACATGACCATGGAGTGCATATCCTCCACTCCTTCCTTGTTGGGTTTCACCCCTTCCCCATTCGCAATCACCGCGTCAACCTAGACCCAACGTCAGCACCTTTTCCTCTCTGACTCGTAGGATCAACTTACAATACCAAGAGTTAACTTGATAGCCGGAGGTCCAGGCTTGTAATGCTCAAATACCTCGTCCTTCTTTGGACCTCCCTCTCTTCGGTCGATAAGGCGCATCATGTTGCGAACGGCGACTTCGCCCATCCAGTAGGCAGTGTGCCCAGCTTGAATGGCTGAGGTCTCGGCGCAGTCACCGATGGCGAATATATGGCTATAGTCTGGCGCAGTGCTGCCGTCTGCACTGTCTGTAGTAATGGAGGCTGCAGAGGATGGAGGTGTGAGAGGAGCGGTGAAGTTAAGCTTGGAAAGCTGCTCTGCGGTGGAGTCTATGGCAGAGGAAGGGATGGGCCCAGAGTGGACTTGCTGGGTAGGGAGAACGAGGATACGGCCGGTGGTAGCAGAGATCAGGGAGGGATCCACTTCGGCCATGAGGGATACGTGGGCTTTCTGGCCTGTACATGGGAGCTACGAGGGTGTCAACATGAACCATTACAAGGCAAGGAGACGACTCACCACAAGGTCGGCTTCGAACGTTCGTCCCTTGTCGGTAGTGACACTCTTGGGCTTGCCATCCAAAATCTCGGGTTCGTCGGGCCATGTCATGACTCGTTCACCGAGGACAACCTCGACTCCAAGTTTTGCCAGGTGTTCGACGACTATGCGACAGCGTCAGCCATATCCCACCCAACGACAGAAAGGTCTCACCTTGAAGATGCAGTTCGATGTCATACCTCGGCATCATCCGAGTTCTTGAATGAAGCAGGGTAATCTTCTTGTCCGGCCAGAGATACTTGAGATCTCCCGCATACTCTATCCCGAGCGCACCTCCACCAACGATCAGGATCCTCTCTGCCTTTTCAAACTTGTCATGTTGGAGCTTCATGAACCTCAGACCACACTTCTTTGTACCCAATCGCCTCTCGTCGCCGACCGCAGCCTTGTCGACTGTCTGCCAGACATTGACAGGGTCAGGGAGGGTAGCTCCGAGCGCGTATAGGAGATAGTCAAAGTGGATCGTCTCTTCAGGTCCGTCAAACTCGCCATATGTCATGTTACCCTTTGACCTGGAGGTTTTTCCCTCGGTAGCTTTTCCGTCGCCCGTAGGTCGGACGATGGTCACCGAGTGAGCAGAGAGTTTGACGACGCATGCCTGAATGAACTGGTGGCGAGATCGAGCAGCCGAGAGTTTTTGCTGGTCGTCGGGAAGAGTGGCGGCCTCAGCGGGCGGTGTCTGGGGCGGTGTGAGAGGATCCGAAGGTGCTGGTGGCTGGGAATCGAGCATGTATTTGTAGGGAATGAAACCTTTAGGAGCATGCTGGGGCATGGTGGTGTAGCGGGGGAAAGCATAAACATCTGCGGTTGGTGGTAAGCGCGCTGTAGTGATGCAGAAAGGCGACGTACGATTGAAATGAGTGTTCCTGTCGATGGCGATGAGGCGGTAGTTGGGCGGTAGCCCATCAGCCAGCAGCTTGGAGGCATTGCGACCACCATAAGAGGTGCCGAGAACGACAACAGTACGGAGAGGCTGCTGGGTCATGGTGTGTGGCAGAAAAAGTGGGACAAGGACAAGAACTTAATCCTAGCCAGATCCTGGCTTATCAGATAAAAAAAACCCGTCCCTGAATCTTCGGAGGCGCCCGTCGCGATGATAAACCCGAAGCTTGGCGGCGCCTGCTGTGGCGTCTTTCTTGTGAGTCCTTGTCTCTCTGAGCGCCTGTTTTGTTCACAGAAGACGGTCGCGTGCTTGTTTTCATGCCGCTCAAGTCCGGGTTCTCACGACTCCTGCATACGTGTTGTATTCTGGAGTTCAGTACGCAGGGCGCTCGCGTGTTTATTTTTCCCATACATCTCTATACTCTCATTCCACGCACCTCGACAATGGCTGATCCAATCGACTCGGCAGTCCAATTCAAGCGAGCGCGTCCCAAAGAGAGCTTCGCCAAGGTGGCAAATCGATTCAAGGTCGGAAGTCGCGTCAAACGGGGCGAGTCGCGGGGGACTTGCAGCCAAAAAGGGCACATCTGAAGCAAGTCATACAGGCATGCATAGAGAAATTCAAAAACAGAGTATTGAACCGCCGTCAAGGGCTATCGAATGCAAGAATTTTCGAAGCTCTACGTTGAATGACGGTTGAAAACGATGGACGTTTAGGTGTAGCATCGAAAAGGTCAGAACTACAGAAAGAGAGTACTGTTGCTAACGCACAGAATGAGATTTTTAGGAAGTTGGCGGAGAAGTGGGATAATACGACAGCGGAGGAGATGGAGTAGGTGCTAGGAATCAAGATCGAACGCAACCGATCAGCCAAGACCTTTCACCTATCCCTTCCGAAGAATATCGATGAACTCACCCACAAATTCCCCTGCAACTTACCAGATCTGCGAGGGTCTAGTTAGGGCTGGCATAGTTCGCATCCCTGACCTTTAACATCGTAGTTGTTTGGTTCGATGTGCCAGCTGCCTCTGTCTCTGAACATGATAGTTCGCTCAGACTCCTTGAGTATGTATACAACGGTGCGTTGTTCACATGAGTGGAACAGTAGGCCTGCCCGCGGGTCACGTTCTCGGACACCGTACGCGTCAAGTACTTGAGCAATTGTTTGTCTGTCTCCAGAATTACGCAAGACTGCGATAGCATGCTCCCTGTCATCCTCACCAGGATTGCGATAGCTGATAAGACAAACATCCTCGGTCTTATACACTTCACCAGCATAGGTGTATGGTATGTCTGAGCAGCACACATCTACACTTCTGTCTAGATTTTCTTTGACAAAAACGTAGTCTCGGGGCATGCTGGGTGAAAAGATGGAGGAACTGGACGCGGGGGCGAGGAAGAAAGGAACGTCGCGGGTGTGAGGGTATGCGGTCGGGTACGAGTAGTCGGATGTGGTTGCGTATAGCGTATAGCGTTATAGTGTAGGGCGGAGGGAACTTCAGGAGCTGCTGGAGGAGTGTTGTATTCTGTAGTCCAGTTTGAGTTCAGTACGCCTAAAATACTCGCCGCGCCACATTGGGTATTTCCCGCTACGTTACGTAACTACGTGGCTATATTGTGGAGCCTGCACTGCACTGTTGTGCCTTCTCATGCTTCTTCATCTTACCAGGTGATGGGAGCTGAAGACTGTACAACAGTATTCAATAATACGGCGTACCGGGCGCTTTCTAGCACTCGCAGAGCCCCGAATTTGGATGGTGTCGACCATACCCCGAATTGTTGATTGTAGCATTCTTGTAGAAGCGGAGCCGACTGTGTGTTGTTGCTGCTGGCTCGGCATACAACCCGCGCGAATTGAAATCCGGTCCCTTCCTGGGAAAAGCTGAGGATGTGGTTCATTGGGCCGCCCTTAGGTATCAAGACAAAGTTGGTAGTGATCTCGTCAAGACGCCGATTGTGTCCGATTGATGTCTTCGGCGAGAGCACCGATGCTCGACTTTGTCCGCATCTATACTACAAGGTCAGGACATTTCCAGTAGACCCGCTTGGTATTCGCTATAGCGGTCCGGTACAATTCAATGTCGTAGGCTATCCTGACTGACGACCAGCCCTGTTCCTTGACGTTTGCGGCGCCACCCTTGACAAAATGCTCGTCAAGCCCAATGCGCGGGAAGAAGACAAGATGGATAAAAAGCAGGGCCAATTGAGGGTTGGCGCTGTGCCGGTATGCCTCTCAGCTACCACATCTCATTGAGCTTTTGGTGGGTGGGAAAGGGGCCCATAAGAGTGGATTTTGACTGAAGCAGCCGAGCTTTTCTTGCCGTTGTTCTTTCAAATCTATCAGCTTGGGCCCATGCCCATGCTAATGTTCAAAGCGAGAATGACTGACTTTGTTGTGATATATGCGCTCGAGCACACTGGTATATTGGCGTCTGTAATGGCATGTCCGCGGTCAGTTCAAATCCAGAGGACACGCACACACGAAACGTCGCGTGGTATGTTAAAACTATTCTCAGTTTCCCTCCTTGTTCTACGACTCTCCCATACCCCCCTCCCCGGGGCAATGGATGCTTGCCTTTTTGAGAAGACTTACTGACTTGTGTGCAGATGTACTGTTCGCTAAGAAAGTGCGTTATATGACAAGGGTAAATACAGCCTTCCCGGTCAAACCCGATACTCCTGATTCCATGGATGGCAATTCCAAGGCCCCCGAATCAGTGTAAGGTGCGCGTTGGCATCATACTGAATACTGGACGTGTATGCTTAGAGTCAAGGGCGCATATTTAACCCCAGCAAGAGCTGGCAATTTCACAACGCTGTTCGTCCACAACAGCTTGGGGGTGGAGAAAGTGCGTGTATAACCCGATTGGGCCAGTCATCAGCTGACATGCCAAAGTCTGCCTTCGACATCCTGCCCCCGACACTTTCACCAAGCCCAACTTGGATGCCGACGGCACTCTTAGTCTGGCCGACGCCCCCCTTGACGTTGATGACGCGAATCAGCAAGGTGAGCTGGCAGAATCTTCAGGGATTGCCATTTGGCAAGTCTAACGTTCATTGTGTTGGATGGCTTCTGGTAGATGCTCGAATTTATGAGGGCCGGCCGTTGGAGTGAGCGGCGCGCTCACCAAGGCTCTCGAGCAATGTATGCTTCGATGCAGGAGTGGACAAGAGGACTTGAGGCTCTCTCAGCGCCTGGAGTGTTGACAGAGGACGGTTGCGTGCTTGACTTCTCTGTACTGCCACTGATGACTGGACATCGCAGCGCTCTAGACGCCCATGCATATACTATTCTATGCTTTTCTCGACCTCGTAGCCATTCTCGGTGTTCTCGTAGCCACCTCCTTCGTCTTTCTTCCCTTTCCTACCTCACTCCCAGCAGCACTGGGCGTTGGACTAGCTACATTTCTTCTCGTCCTCTTTGCCCGAGGCGTCTCAAGCTCGGTGGCCCGATCCACATCTTCCGTGACCTCACTCGCCGCTACACTTCCCCCTCTTTTCTTCCTCGTACTCGCAGGTGCAGTCTTTTTGGTAGAACGAGGAGGCAAGTCAGCGACGCTCTCGTCGTCACTAAAGTCGGCTAGGGCGCGAGAGACGGAGCGGGTCATGCGCGAGCGGGCGGGGGTGGGTGGTTCAGGGTGGGCAGAGGCACCGCGGGTGCGTCGAGCAGGAGGACCATCGTCCTCTACTGCAGCAACGCTTTGGCGGGCACGAGTCGACCGTCGTGCAGATGGCACAGGAGGGGGAGAGACCGTAGCACGAGTCTCGCGCCTGATAGAGGATGCGCGTTTGGTGGATCTGGAAAGTGTCTCGGCTGGGGGAGACCACGGGATGTCCTCAGCAATAGGCTCGATGGGGTGATTCTCATCCAACTCTTCAGGCTCCAAGCTCTTTGATGATTGTCTCGCAGACCTCCTCATTCCTCCTTGCTTTGCAGACGGCTTTCCTTTGCCTCTCACAGATCCTCTCAGCAGGGCCTCTTCCTCCTCCGCGTCATCATTCACAACCTTCTTTGGCAACGCCTTCTGCTCCTGTGCAGCCTTTTGTGCGAGGGCAGCTGCAGACTTTGGAGGCAAGCTGAAAGGACTGCCACTGAACGCCTGGGTCTGGCGAGGGGAAGAAGTCGAGGTGGAAGGATCCGGGGCGGCAGCAAAGCGAGGGGGACCGTGGAAAGGTGAGCTGACGCGTTCAGGGGCGGGGGAAGCTTGCTGGGGTGCGGGACGAGAAATATGAGCGAGGGAGGACGAAGAGGCCGATCTGACAGGTGTTGATGCGAATGGCTGAGCGGGGACGGCCACAGGGGGTGTGGATACAGAAGTATGAGCATCTACAATGCCGTCTATCCATCCCATATCCACATCCTCCGTATTGCCATTCACCATCTGTTTGCCGGCACCACTCTCCAAATCCGCCAACAGCACTCTCCTATGCACTTCTGGCAGTACCGAGATGAATCCTCTGACAATCTCTCTTCTTCTCTCCTTGTCTTCCTGTTTGCCTGCACTGCCAGCCAGCTGTTTGTCGAGCTGCAGAGCTTGACTGTAGTTGCCCTGATGGATGAGTCGGAGAGTGACGAGGTCGTGTAGCTGCGAGATAACGGTTGTGGTAATGGTGCGAGAGGGACGGGAGAGAAAGTCGATCAAGTGGGTTTCTTCGCTCGGCAAGAGCGGGATATGCAACAACTCTCTCAACGCCTTGGGTTGGACAGGGTGAGAGCCCTGGCCGCAAGGAGTCTTGGGTGCTCCCAGAGCCCAACACCAGACAGCTTCACGGAGCTTCGATTGATCTTGCGCATCCGGTGCTCGTCGAATGATGGTGAAAGCTTCACTCAAGGAAGCTGCAGAAGCTGTCGCTACCACGCTGATTTCATTCTCCGGTGTGCCAAACGGCAGCTCCGTCTGGGTCGTGAGCAAGAGGGAGTGCAGTAACGCTGAGGCGAGTCTCGGAGGAGAGACGGAAGATGATAGGGCTTTCACTATCTCGGGGATGAAATTGATCTCTGAGATTGAGGGATCAGAGAGACTGCCAACAGCATCCTATGTCAAACTTTAGCCTTGTTCTTACATTGGAGAATGCAAGCTCACCTCCCACAGTCCATGATCAAGAGACCAATACCCGTCAATGAACAGCCTCCATTGACTAGGCATGCATCGCTTCTTCGCAAACAGGACCGCGCGCGCCACCACTTGCTCATCACCAGGCCTGACAAGCGACCCACTATCCAGGTCCATCTCGTCTCCCTCCCCGTAGCCATTGACCTCGACAGCTTTGGGCTGCGCGTCAAAGTCTTTGAGGAGATAGTAAAAGTAGCAATCTTTTTTGAGTCTATCGAGATCTGTAGAGTCGATAGAATGGAGGAGTCTGCGCATGTCCGCTGGGTTTCGAGGAGGGTATACTGATGGGCCTTTTGACATTGTTAGCTGGGACAGTATCGTTAAAGTACAGTACCCACCATCAATCCCGGCAATTTCTAGCAGCCTGTCATAGAAGAGCTTTTCTCCCGGCGAGCTCTGTCTGCGCTGCTCGATAGATCCAGCCACAGAGTCATCTATCCAAGGGCTGGCCGAGATGTCAAAGTGCCGTAGAATGGAGGCTGGTATAGCGAATTGATCCGCCTAGAATCCAGTCAGCTTGTGCATACCTGAATATAATGTGACTTACAAACGCCATGGTGCGGGGATTACAGGCTGACTCTGAATCGATCCATCATAAGTCAGTTCGCTGTAAACATCGACGGAAGCAAATATTGCCACACAGCAAATACCGCCTTACATAAGCGGACACAAGTGGAGGCAGCAACAAGCAACAATTCAGGCGTCTGAGATTTATGCATTCAGCGCTTTGAAGCCTCACAAGTGTATCGAGCCAAGGCAACAGCTACTGTAACCATGGTCGTCTTCTTCACATCAAAAGGTATGTACAGTGACGAAACGATTGGGCAACGCTGACGTTTTCTTTTACAGCGGTCAGTCCGCCAGTCACCATCTACATGTGCGTCCCCTTCGACATCTGGCCTCGAGGTATACTGACCCTTTAACGCAGGGGAAGAGACAAAGTAGAAAGTGGGCTATGCTGTGGCTAGGTTTATAGGAGGTTGCAAGGCTGATATGCTGTAGACGAGGAACTGTTACGATACGGCCTTCCGACCGATGTTTGGTTCCATGTCGAGTGCGTCTCTCGATCGACAGCATCTATAGTGCTACGAGGGAGCTTAATCACTGAATGAGTTTATGAACAATAGCAAATTGTCATCGGCACATGTATACCTACGGCAACCCGACGGTCAACCGCACGGTGAATGGGACAAGCTACCGTCTGCTCTCGTGAACGACTTGGCCCAGCTGGTCAAGGCCAACAGTATCGAAGGTGAGTTTTCCAGCTTGATTGAAGGGCCGCAGCTCATTGTTGGTAGGAAATAAGAAGGACAACATCACTGTGAGTCGAGTGTTAAAATCTTCCAGTGCCCGGTGCTCACAATAGAATCCAGGTCATCTACACACCATTCCCTAATCTCAAAGTGAGCACCATCGTCTGACATGTCATAGAAAGGAGACTCACAATGGACTAGAAAACTGGAGACATGCCCGTAGGCCAAGTCTCATTCCACTCTGACAAAAAGGTCAAGCGAGGTGAGCCAGTCGACGGAAATGATGTCGAACGAGAGTCTGATCAAGTTTGCCCAAGCACATGTACCGACACGAGACAATGCCATTGTCAATAGACTCAACAAAACCAAGGTCGAAAAGGAGGTGGATCACGAGGCGGAGCATCAGGAGCGTCTGCGGCTGGAAGGCAGGAAGAAGAAGGCCAATGCCATTGAACGGGCAAGTCCAGTCATTTTGTTTTCGCCCCGAGGCTAATTGGTCCTGTGCAGACAAAGCAAGAGACAGAACAAAGAAAAGCTTGGGAAGAAGAAAAGAAGGCGAAATCTTATGACAATCTCTACACTGACGATGCTTTCGAGGAACAGGCTGCTGCCAGCGATGACGATTTCATGTAAAACTCTTCCTCTGTGTCGCATCTGACTTGCATCAGAGCTGTACGCACATAGATAGGGACACCCATTCTTATCTATTGCATGCATCATCGTATCATGCCGTATCGCGATAGGGGTAGCGAGGCATCGACGTGAAGGCCCTAAACAAGTCCGGCGACGGCGTAGCGCACATGACCGCCACCTTATCTCGTCTTCCGTCTTATCTCGCCTTTTCTTTTCTTGGGCACCTTGCGTGATTTTGACACTAGTATCTTTTACGAGAATATTTGGCAATTGGCCTACGGAAGCGAGCTCTTGAGCTGTAGGTTATCAATCGATCGTGGATAGCTCCTCGCGCACATAATTTCAGGCTATAGATTAGCCAAAGGTCGGTGCTGCAACGTTCGACAAGGAAACAGCTCAGCATATATGCTTGCTTGGACTCATACCAAAGCAAAGACACGTATGCGGCAAAGTACAACAGAATCATCTGTCGTCGACAATGCATGATATATGATCATAGTAGTTGTACAAAGAATTGCTAGAGATAGGAAACCCTTGGTGATAAAAAGACTGTCAGGAGGGGAAAACCGACGAAAACGGTTGGACTATGTATATGCCAGGAACCCCAGTTATATTGTAATGGTATCCCCTTCCTCTCTAAATATGATACACGCAAAGCTCCCCTTTGCTCAACACCCTCACACCCTACATCTCTCAAACACCCATCAACCCCATCACTGCCGTACACCCCGCCCAAAGCAGATCTACCAGCTCCCTCCCATGCTCGCTCAATCCCGTCCCTCTCCACTCTTCATACCCTGTTGGTCCCCAGGCCGATTCTCCCTTGCACAGCCCAAGCCTATCAAGACCTTCGAGTACAAACTCGACGCCTTGGGAGCGAGAGTGGCAGACAGCGATGACCGTAGGGAAGCTTCGCCCGGATGGTAAAGCAGGGCTTTCAACGACGACTCCGTCCTCGGAGGGTGGAGAGTCGAGGGAAAGGAAAGGAGCAATGGCAGCGTCGGGAGGCGTCTCGTTTGGTGCAAACTGAAGTGCATCCGTCGAGGGTCGAGAGGACGAGCCACCGTTCCCGGACCATTCTACCGGCTCGAACGAGGTCGGGCCCTCTTGCCCTTCGACGTCAGACCTCATCTCTTTGCAGTTCACCACCCGGGCTACCACTCGGAAACTTCGGAATGGTAACGGCTGTCCCAGCGTCCCTGATCGCTTCGAATCCTTTCCTGGGGCGGTAGAGTTGGCATTTGGCACACCGTCCGCCTGACCAGGTCCCAGACTATGATCCCTCTTGAACCCATCCCTACTCGCTTTCCGCCGCAGGAGCTTTTGAAATTTGGGCAGCGAGCCCGAAAGAGGTGTTTCGTTGGTGACAGAATGACCGCCAGTGGTGGATGAGGATATTGAAGAAGCAGTAGACGGGCGTGGTTCGTCCCCGTGCTCCGAGTTGAAGGGCACATACCATACTAGCAGTGCTCGCTTTGTACCGGAACTGAAGAACGGATGAGGCACGACATGGTCACCGAGCTTGATACCGGAAGGAATGCCCTTGGGAAGGCCACTGGGGAATTGGTGGGGCAAAAGCGGAGCAGGAGATGTAGGTGTACCGGGTACCGAGGCTTCACCGTGGAGTGGGATAATCATCGCCACAGCATCGTCTGGCACGCCGTCCCATCCTTTGCCAGCATGCCATCGCACCCTGTCTGATTGTTCCTCTTCCCAGATCGTCTTACCGTTGAGATGCGACTGATGATCCAGGTTACCAGCGGACATGCGGTTATCTTTCACAGCATCTCTGGCCTGGTGGGAGTGAGGTGACCAGCCATGATGACCACTTGACGAGCTTGAACCGCTCCACGAGTGGGCCTGGACCTTTTCTCGCTCACGGTCCCTCTCTTCCTTTGCAAGCCGCCTCTCCTCTGACGACACCAGGCTCGAGTTTTTCAAGTTGGACAATCCACGCTTGAGTACGCCGCTCAACGATCTGTCCTTCTTTTCGGCACTTTCCGACTCTTTGCTAGCATCTCGATGGGGCTTTTTAGATCCAGTGTTGCCGGGTCCAGAGCCAAAAAGGATATCGTCTCTCAGGGCGCGCGTACGGTCGCCTTCCTTGTGTGGTTTGGGACCGTTGGACAAGGATTGAGACAGCCCAGAGAAGGTGGCACTTGACGCTTCGCTATCTGAGCGGCCTCCTGTAGCGCGCGACCGAACTTGGGGGATGGCTTCAGACATACTAGCGCGCAGCTTGCCCGCGGCACCAGAAGACTTGTGTAGAGGAGAGGGCCGTGATGGGGCGTCGGGAAGGAAGGTGCCTACGCTGAAGTAGGGGAGTTTCACACCACCCTGGTCTCGGTGGACATTCTTGCCTGCAAGGGAGAATCTTTCGCCTTTTTCAACAGTAGGCTGCAGACCGCCTGTCCACGGCTTGACATCTTCCAGCTCGTACTCTCGAGAACCAATCTTCTGGACTCTCCATGTCCTGCCAGTGACGATACTCCGCACTTCGCCATTCGCAAACAGCTCGTATTTGCCGGCTCCACTAGACTCCCATTCAGCTTTCGGTTCCCTGGCTGGGTCGGAAGTATCGAGTGGGTCGTGTGACGGGTGAGCAGTTGACGTTGAACCGTGTCGACATGAGCGGAAAGTCCATTCGCCTCGCCTGTCTCCGTATTCGTCGTCAAACTGCCCGACAAACTTGGCAAACGTATCCTCCTCTTCCCGTCCGAGCTGAAACGTTCCTGCAGGTAGCGCAGAGAGTTCACCGAAACCAGCGGGTCCGCCGTGACCATCTACAGAATCATTTGCGCCGATAGGCTGTCCTCCAAGCTGCGCCGACGAGCCCGCGAGGATGAAATCGATATCGAACTCGGTCACGTCGACAGGGTCTGGTGGGTGGAGAGAAGGAGGCAATGGCGGCGGCAAGGGATCTGACTGGAGATTTCTAGCATTCAAGAGATGGTTGGCGCGGTGGAGTGCGAGAGTTGAAGGGAGTAGGCGTGGTCCGGGATCGGAAAGGGGTAGCAGCGGTGGAAGTGGACGTTTTGGTATTGGTACCACCTGCGATTGATTAGATGAGATTTTAGACTGTAAAGGAGACCGCATACCTCGCCAATGTTTTCCCGTGCTTCCTCTTCCTCTTCCTCCTTATCATCTCCTTCTGGTGTTGACAGATCCAGATCGACGACTCGTGCCTCTCTCCTCGACCCGTTCCTAGACACCCCTCCTGGGATCGCTACGGGCAGACTTCCCCGCCTGGGACCCAAGTCATCGTCATTTATAGACGTTTCCATCAGATGCGTGCTATGCGTAGGGCCAATTGGCGCAGAGACAGCACTTTCGTCACCGCTGCCCCGAAAGAGTCCCATCCGCTCCCACATCATCAAGCTCTGCCGTCTAAGTCCTCCTGCGCCATCTGTACTCGAGTACCCTGACGAGTATCCCGACTGTCCGCCGAAACTGAGTCTATCTCTCGCTCTTTGCCCGTCGGCGCCATAAGTGGCTGCCATGAATGCGCGGCGCTGCCTCTCAGCCTCTTCCACCTCAGCCTGCTCGAATACGCTCATATCTTCCTGCTTTTTCGGTTCCTTGCCTCGGGGCGACCCTGCAAAAGGCGAAAAGGGTGCGGGCGAAGGACCAGAACCGAATTTAAAGTCTGCACTGGGCAGAGTATCTTCATGGTCGACCGAACCTCTTGAAGGCGGCAGAGTTGGATTCCACGATCTCTGTGACGGGCCTGCCCAGTTACGGTGTCCCATATGCGGCAGACTGCCTCGTCGCGCGTGGTAATCGCCCTTGGCGGCAGAATACAGGAATCCACTGGCGGTATCGCGCCCGTCCGTTTTGGACTGGGCGCTTTCACTCGTCAACGGTCTTGATGAGCGGCCGCTAGCGACAGCCCGCGTCGGAGAAGGGGGTGCGACGGCGGAGATGGATGGAGTAAGGGAAGACCGCCTTCGATCGGAGCTCCAATTGGGAGGGTAGAAAGGATGTGTTGCCTGTTGCTGGGGTGGCCGGCTCGCAGGACGCGATAGCGTCAATGTCGACGTCGTGCTGACAACAGAATCCCGCCGGCTGGCATCTGGCGATGCTTGCAGGGCATTGTAGACATCCAGGGTGTAATTTGGCTGAAAACCGACGTTTCGCGCGGGATTTATTGACTCGCGTTCGCGCAAGTGTTCAGGCGCCACGGGCGAGATGACATTCATTCCCAGAGGGATCAGAGACGCGCGGCGGGGGTGGTGGGTGTGGATGAAACGCGACGGATGCATCACGGCGACTGCTGATGGCACTGGGGGTGCTGATGACGGCGACATGGGCGGGCTGTATGAGGCGTGTTGTGGTCAGGTTCTAGCGCAAAAGACTTGTGGCTGGACTCACGCATCCGACTCTCTCCGTCTGGGCAGCGCACCTTCAGAGCTGGGCCCGGCGATGGCGTTTGGCTGTACATCCATGGGAGAATACGCTGGGATATCAATCGCGCGCGGTGGGTGGCCGAAATAATCACTACATCTGCAGTCAGATACCGGACGCAATTCAGCATGATCGACTCACGCGTCAGGTGCTGGCGGCGCAGGATAGCTTGCATGGGAGCTTGGCCCGGCAACGGCATTGCTGGACTCTGGGAGGTCGGTGAAAGAATGGGCGGGGTGGGGATTGTTACGAGGACGGTCCTCGTCGAAGGGAGGTGACGAGGTCATGGTGAAGTGTGAGAGTGGGCGGGGACGGGGTGGATGGGGCGAGGTCTTTTGTGACCCTTGTCGCCGTGGGTTGATTCAGATGTACTGCCAGAGTCGCGAGTAGAGGGTGAAAAGGATCCGGGGAGACAATTATTCCGGGGACATGGAGAGAAAGGAGCGGGCGGGGTGGCGGGTGAGCTGTGGGAGATGTGGATTCGATGGATTTGATGGATTCGATGGATGTTACGGATGAAAATAGTTTGTGGGATGGAGAGGTGAAGAGCGTGGCCGATTAAGGGTCCCATTAGAGTTGCAGGAGATCCACAGGGCCGTCCCTCGTTTCCCGATTCCTCGCCCCCTCCCGCTCCGCCGCCCTGCCCTGCCTCTGCCTCTGCTTCCGGGCGAGGGCTGCATGCATGCACGTATGTATGCGCTACTCTGTCGACGCTGCCGGACTATTCTCCTCCATCTTCTGCCCCTCGATAACCTGCTGGCGTTCCTCACTTCTCCACACAGAATTCCCCCATGCGGCTAGCCTCAGGTACAGGCACGCCGATTTTCAGTCCTTCCGTCGCCATCTTCCTTGCTTGACGCTCGACGCTTTTTATCTTCTGCCGCGCGAGGGACAACCTCGGCACCCGGCATCCAGTCCAGCATCGTCCACCGTCCTCCAGGGATCAAGCTGTTTTCTCCGTCAGATCTACTCCTTCGGCTTTCATCCTCTATGCACTGTACATACAGGCTACAGCCAACGTGTGTCCTTCTACGTGTGTTCTTCTCTGCGGGGTGTCCTCAATGCGAGTCTTGCTTGGCCCCAGAGATCTGCAAATCCTCACTCATACATCCAGGGTGATCGCGTGCACCAGAGATAGAAACGCTGTTAACGCCGTAAGCCGTAGGCCGTAAAGTCTTCGGATCTCGTCAACGAGTGCAGCAGGCCGCGGGATGCATATTTGACAAGCATGTTGAGCTGAGAAGATCGACGTGGCACATCCTCCAGCCCTGTATCGCCACTCTCACAGCTCGGAATCTTTCGCTCACATGAACGTCACGAGTCAACACTGGTGAGCAGCGTCCGTTCTCTTCCATAGATCTTTGATCGAGCTCTGAGACGCGTCCTGCCTCGAGAATGAACACCACTGCGGCCACCGCCAATCACCAAGTTTAGCGAGCACTATCATCGGCGTTTGAACATTCTGAGGAGAAGAGAACCTAAGGAATGTACGGGAGCTAGCAAGCAGATGATAGGAATGGTAACAAGGGAAACGGGAAGCAACTGCGCCAGTCTGCGCGTTACCCTCGACGTTGGTCGACTATGCTAAAATGTAACGTTGAGTGATGCGCCATTCCAACGGGGGCTCCGCCAATCACAAGGGCAACAATGGTCAGCGCCGACGCGAAGCCATGCTGCACAGCTTTTCACAGCAGGCCCAGCAGGTTGTTGGAGCACCGAGCGATGCATGTAACAACAGATAGCACGCTATCGGCGAATGCAAAGTTTGTTTCGTCGGCGAAGTTTCTGCAGCGACCGAGAGGCGCTAGAAGAAAATCGTCGGTTACCGGCACCTCCTCGGCCCTACTTTACCAGCAACACGTAAAGCTGCTCCATACTCATACAGAACGAGAATTTTCGTGACACCTGAATCATCTTGCACTCAGCTCCTGGCACCACCTGTTGACCTTCTACTTGTATCTCCAGCATGGAAGCAGGTTCTCGAATCGATACATCATATACGAGTACTGATAAAAAGAAGCTTTTTTGCGCCACCACGGTGTTCGTACTTGAACTGGGTTCTATACGGGGCTTGAGTGCAACGACTTATCCCTTATAGAGATGCCCGCCTTAGGGAATCAACTGAATGAATGCAGGTCTTCAGAAGGATGTCAACCGAGCAGAGAAGAGAACAAAGGGGGTTGCATGATGGCGGACATGTCCGTGAAACACGCGTTGTACGCGTCAACCACCATCATCACAAAAATCGCGTCGCGAACTCTTGACATCGTGACATTCGCCTTCCTGCGACCCGTCTGCTCTCCGCGACTACCCTCACTCCTTCGCCGACTCATCTGCCCCTGCGCCATCTTGCTGGCCATCTTGACTTCTTGGAGATACTCTTGCATCGAGCGCGTTCATCGGAACAATGGCGCCGAAAACCAAGTGCGGTAATCCACTCTTCTTGAAATGGACAGAAGGTGCGTTCAGGCATACACGCCTTCAATCTCAACATTTCTGACCATCTGTAGAGATTCGCGATGCTGCCCGAGAAAAAGGATCCAAGTCGGCAGAGACATACAGTTGGGCTTGTAAATCGATCGCCTTGTGTCCCGTCACATACGCTCGACCTCGCGACCTTGTCTGCCTCAAATCAGTCGGAGACAAAACCGTCTCGCAGCTGGAGAAGCGCTGGGCTGAATATTGCAAAGCAAATGGGAAGGAAGTACCGCCCGAGCCTGAGAGTGAGTTCCTGTCAGGTGCCAATCGTGGGATTTGAAGCTGATGGCAAGTGTCAAGAGCCCGCTCCAAAGACTACGAAGGCCAAGGACAAAGCCAGGGCTGCACCTGATGACGATGACGGACTCGACGAGCCCCCGAAGAAGGCGCGTAAAGCCCCTGCTCCCAAGACTCCCAAGGCCTCCAAGGCATATATCCCCAACCAGGGCACAGGCGCATATGCCATCCTGATGGCACTCGTGCTAGCGATCGACCAGCCACAGGTGACTACAGAAGTTTTCCTTACCAAATCAGAGATCATTCGCACGGCCCAAGAATATTGCGATGTGTCTTTTGAGCACTCGGAAAGGGGGACGTACTATACGGCTTGGAGTGGCATGAAGACGCTGGTATCAAAGGGCTATGTGTATGTCACGGGCAATCCGCACAAGCATTGCCTGACTGAGGAGGGATAGTGAGTAATCAACCTTTGGCCGTATCAAATGGCTAATGATAAGGCAGTGATGTTGCAGTGGCGATACGGAATATCAGACCCGAGTTTTCGCACTTGAAACGATACCCATTCCTTCCCACTTCTGCTGCAAACGTGGCGCAGCCTATTGCCCAAGCCCAAGATACTCCCCGAAATCGCCCCCTGTCCGCCCGTGACCTCTACATTGGCCCATCATCTCTTCCTAATGGCATGACAACTGCCTACGTGCCCCAAACAAAAACACACTCATCCCCGGCCTCTCGACTAGGCGACTTCAACGCCGTTGCAACCAAAGTCGCGGCATCTTCCGGTGACCGATTCCACTTTTGGTATATCTGTCCCTCCAACAAGCGGGTCAAGGCCATGAAGCAGGCGCATATGCGTCTCGATCCAGAGACGTTTGTGAGCCTGCGGCGCATCGAGTTTCGATACGCTCAGCGCAACCATGCTCTCGTCGCGTCTCTTCGTCTTGTGGACGATTTCGCCAAGGCAACACTTCGAGACACGTCAGGAAAACCTACCCTCTTTGGCTACATACTGGAGACGGACGCTCCGCCTCAATGCAGTGCACCCTTGGAGGAGAGCGAGCCGAAAAATAGACCTCCCAGTCGAGACAGTGTTCCACCTTTGGGCAGCAGTCCTCTAAGCGCCTCTCTGCCCCGGCCTCGCATGTCTCTCACGGGCAGCCGCGAGGCCTCATTTGTCGATATCGCCGACGGCGACCGAGTCACAAAGAAGCGACCGGCCGCAGAGCCGTTTCCCTTGGAAGCTCAGTTGCGAGCTTTGCGCAAGCAGCAATCCAGCGGCAGCTTGACGGAGGCAGATCTTGCCAGGCCGGCCCCTTCTAGGCGCCCGAACCCCTACGAGGCGCTCTTGAACCAAGGCCCAGGCATGTCTTCGACGCTCGCGCGTACATCTGCAGTTGGCGGAGCTCAGCCTCGCACATCTTCTCTTTCTGCGTTGAATGCTGGCCCAGCGTCTGATGCCACCGCAGGGCCCAGCAGGTCTCGGTCGTCAGCTCCCCTCCTTCCTTCTCGTCCCGCAGACGCCCCCTGGGCCAATGTGCGACCGTCCAACAATGCTTCCGTACCTATGGTACCGCCCGGGTTCGAGGATGACATTGTACCGCCCGTTGATCCTCCTCCCGCATCCATTCCCTCCTTCACCCTCTCCGATGCTATTGTTTTTCCCCCGGGTTCGTTCGATATCATCCTGGTGGTAGACACCCGTGAAGTTGAATCAAAGACAAGCCGCGATATGATCTGGGAAACATTGCAGCAGAAGGGTCTCAGGGTGGAGACGAGAGCGCTAAAGCTTGGGGATATGTGCTGGGTTGCAAGAAGGAAGGATGGACTCGGCGGAGAGGAAGATGAGTGCGTGCTGGATTACGTTGTGGAGAGGAAAAGGTTGGACGATCTGGTCACCTCCATCAAGGATGGGCGATACACTGAGCAATGCGTGAGTTGTGACGGCAACCAAGCGGCCGATGCTGACAACAGACCAGTTTCGACTGCAAAACGCTTGTATCGGCCATGTCTATTATATCGTGGAGAACTTTAAAAAGGCTGAGATGGAGCACAGCGCTCTTGCCATCATGACCTGCAAATCTCAACTCCAGGTGCACAACCGATTCTTTATGAAGGAGACCAACCGTCTCCTTGATTCTATCGATTTCCTCGCCACCATGACCAACGTCATAAAGTCATCCTGCCGCAACAAGCCCCTGCATGTCATTCCCAGTCGCTACCTGTCTCGCCCTACCTATAAACCCCTGCAAGAGCATCTCAAGATTGCTCATCCCAACCTCACTTTCCACACGTCTTTCGACGCATACCAAAGCCTCAATACCAAGTCTGCATGCGTGACTTTGAAAGAAACGCTTGCCAGAATGTTGATGAGGGTGAAGGGCATGAGTGCCGAGAAGGTCTCGGCGTTGTTGGATCAGTGGGATACACCGAGGGGACTGTGGGAAGCGATGAAGATGAGAAATGAGATGCCGGATGAAATGGAAGCGCCTCCCGGTACAGGAAAAGGGAAGAAGAAGAAGACGGGCAAGGGTCTCTTCTTTGCCCAAGCAACAGCCCACGAAGAGTCGCGAAGAAAGATCGGGGATGCGCTCAGTGAAAATGTAGGCTACAATCGTATGATCATGGTGTGTCGCTGACAAATGTCCTAGCTGTGGAGAGCCTTGATGGGTTGACTTGTATACTGCTGCTTCTTCTTGTATACACTATTGCAATATTGTTGTCTTTTGTATCATAAAGTACTCTTTACATGGGTGATGAACATGTCAGGTCAAGTTCGCGTCTATGTAAATGCAGTCTATCTACCCATTCTCTCGTCAATCTCCTTGTCGGCAACCTTTTTGAGAAGCTCAAGCTGGTTGGCGACGTCTTTAAGAGTGCTGAGCACATGCTGATTACTGCCAACACCATTAGTAACTTTCTTGTTGCTCATAGAGTCTAGCGCTTACCCCTCGATGAACAGATGCTCTCTATACAGTATGTCCTGCTCTTTGCAATACTCTTTCACCAAGAAACTCGCTTCTCTCAAGTTATGCCTCGGCAACCTCGGGAAGAGATGGTGCGTTACTTGAAGGTTGAGACCACCGTGAATCCACTCAATGTTGGGCGAACAGATGACGTCCATGGTGGTACGCAACTGGCGAGATGGGAAGGACTCGGCGGGGCCGAGGTCTTCTGTAGAACAAGCAAAGTGGGAGAGCACGATCTGAGATACCAAATGAGCAATTTGCACCTAGTTTACTATGGGAAAAACATACCTGGACGTGAACCGGACTCGCCATCACGTGGCTGACCAGCAAGTATGCAAATCGCATCTGCCAATTCGGCAGGTATCGCAACATGGACAGATAGTATGTCCAATAGAATGCGACACCGGCTACTTCGTATACGAAAAAGGCGTCATGGGGCGGCTTGGGGCCAAAGAGGTAAATGTAGGAGAGGGCGTAGAGGTTGAAGCGGGCGAGCGAGAGGACGACATAGTACAATTTATGCCTCATAGAGCGTCAGACTTGATCCCACACGAAGACAGAATGCTCACTGGAGAGGTATCATGATCTTGGAAAAGGCGTCCAGCCACATGACTCTCTTGTAGTATGAAGACCACAGGTTGTTGAAAAAGTTTTTGGAGATGGCGAAGAAGGGGATGTGTTGGATATCGGGGTCGTGTTCAGGATGGTTCGTGACCACTGTCCAGTAGATGTCAGCTTGACCAATTCATGAGGCATGGTTGCCTACGATGATGGATATTGTGGTTCTGGTCAATGTCAGCTCAAGTATATACCACAGCGAACTCTTTCAACACTTACGTCGCACCACCAGCCCACACTGAGCCCTCCCATCCAGCTCGCGACAGTCATACCAATCGCTCTATCCCACCACCAGTCCCCAGTAATCTCGGTATGGCCCGCATCGTGGACAACGACTACAGATATGGTCAGTGTTGTGGCGACATTGTCTTCGCAATCAGACTTACAGGCCATTTGGTGGTAGAACAGACCAAGGAAGGTGGCAGATGCCATTTGTCCGGCCCAACCAGTGGTGCTATGCTCATCAGCCAAAGATCCCGATACGCTGTTGACTCACTTGAAATAGAAGTAAAAGGCCCCGAAGACAAGAAAGGCATAGCGCAACAGATCCGTCCCATACCCAGCCAACGGCCCAGGCCGTTGGAAGAGTCCTGCAGCTTCTATTCTCCTCTTGAGTTCTCTATAGTCGTTCGACCGCCGTTGCTCCTGAGCCATATCGACATCAGATCCAGGAGGTTCCAGCTGCGATGGCTCGATCGTAATGACTTCGGTGTCACTCTTTGCTGGATTTGGATTCGGTAAAGATGGGATGGGCGCTTTTGTAGGATCAAGCGAGATGGCTTGCTGAAATATTTGCTGACCAAGGGTCACATCTCCCTCCTTAGCCCAGTGGCCCTTGACGCCGTCTGGGTGCTTTACCAGTCCCAGGGCAATAGGCGGTGTCAATGGCAACCACCCCCCTTTTCCAAGCTCAACTCGCCCCACAGTGAACTTCTTCATCTTCTCCAGCGTCGGGCCCGAGTGGTACGCTTCGATCTCGTTGGTGGCGTCTCTGCCGACAAAATGTAGAAGGGCGAGTGCGCCGCCGGGATGATACGGAGCCCATGGAGAGGTGTTGAGGACGCGATCGTGGCAGATGATGAATTGTTGGCCCTGGCAGATACGCTCTGCGATCTGGGAACGACTGAGTAGAGGCTTCTCCCTGAGTGCCATTTTGGTGACTTTTGAGTTGAAGGTAGAGAGGTGGAAGAGAGATGGAGTGGGACGAGTAAGAGGACGCGTTTTACGTGTCGACCCGGTGAAAAATCAACCGAGGTATTTTCTTCCTGTTTTCTGTGGTGTCCATGCATGAATGGCAGCAGTCTGAGATCTCTGAGATCATGTGGTGTGCATATGTCGTGCAGTCAGCCCTCTTGAGCCCCTTTCCTCGATACACTGCGGACCGCGTCGCCCTCGGTTGGTTCTGCAGACTGTTGCCTCCGACGCGATTCAGTGCTGTGCATGCAGCTGAAGGGCAGATTATATGTTGGCCATACTCTTAGTTCTCATGCAAATATGTTTCGAGGATGGAGATGCAAAGAATGGATTGCAGTGTTGTCGGCATTCAGCCATCATGACACCGCTCGCCGACGGCGATTTCTTGTCGTCACAGACGGGATGATCCCGACAATTCTTTACTTCTGCAGCGTCAACTGCACAATGAGCGCAACCAAGAGAGCTGCATCCCCCTCCGACCCAGACAACCCCAAACGTCCTCGAGCAGAAGCCGCCAGCCTCCATTCCTGGCTCCATCCCAAAGCCCCTCCTCTGCTTCTATCACACTCCCCACCTCTCCACTCGTCATCCTCCACTTTCCTCACCTTCTCGATAGCTTTTGTCCCCCCGGCACATGCGACCAGCGAAACAACAGTAGCAAAGGAAGCTAGGCGGATAGTGAGGGAGCTGGATGTCGTGAGCCGTGTGGGAGCGTTGGCCATGGCGGCGGGTGAGGGAGCATTCGAGGACGGCGCAGGCAGGGCGCCCGGGAAAGCGCGGGCCAGAGAGCCTGACCATAGGATGTGGGCTTGCAGGTCCTTATGTCTGAAAGATGGCAAGAATGGGACGGAAGGGGAAGACGCCTATCAACTCATCGAAAGCTTTGATGACGACGGCGAGAAGTTTGGTGGGGAGCGTATCTTGAAAGTACTCAAGGAGCACCATGCTGTTGATGTGCTCTCTGTATGTGTACGATGGGTGAGTATGATTGTTGTACGCGCTCGTGGTGGCTGCTGACTCTTGTCGATAGTTCGGAGGTGACATGATCGGCGTAGGTAGCCTGGTCACTCGAGTTGGTCGTATATTGACGTCTTGCAGCCGATCCGATTCCAGCATATAGCAACCACTGTCCAAACCTCATTAAACAGCCTCAACAGTCTAGTCCACCTACGCGATCTACGACAGGCTCTGACTGCTTTGGACGAGGAAATCACACTCCTGCGAGTCGCCATTGCCGAAACCAGCTCTTCCCAAGCGAAAGCAGACGACGAGACACCCGCTCTACTCATCAAACCCAAGCCAAACCCCAATTACGATGCTATCGATGATGTGGCCAAGCTCGAACGACTCGTCGTTGCTCGTGAAAGAGCGCTCGCTGTCTTGCAAAAGAAGCAAAAGGCATCGTCATAACAAACATATACATATATTGCTTCGCATCATCTATGGCTCTATTCCCTACCAAATTGGCCGAAAAGCTTGATGGTCTCCTCCCATTCCCCAGTCCTCTTTGCCCTGATCTGAGTAGCCAACGCGTTCGCCTTCTCTCGCATCTTGTCGCCCTCCGGCCCGCCAATCTTTTCGAACGCGGCAGCGAGCTCAGCCTTTAGGTCTTCGGGCTTGCCGGTGACGGTGACTTCGGGGCGGTGGGCGGTCGCATGGCCGATCGTAGAACCTTCGCGGTGCTGGAGAAGCTCGACACCGAGACCCTTGTGGTGGATGATGGAAGCGAGCAAGACTTGATCACCTCGTCGACCCCAGCTCTATATCGTTCGTCAAACTCTGCTATCATCCTCAGGCATCTAAACTTACGACGATAGGAACACCAGCCAAGACACCCTCCAAGGTCGAGTTTACACCGCAATGAGAGACAAAGGCCTTGACAGATTTGTGGCTGAGAATGCCGACTTGGTCTACCCAGTTGGGAGCGATGCAGAATCCTTCGGCCTGAGATTTGGCAAGAGTGTCCTTGACGTGCTGGGGAAGAGAGTCGTACTGGTTGCCGCAGGCGTAAATGTAGGGGGTCTTGGTCTGTTCGAGATAGTCAAAGATGACGGGGAGACCGAATCCAGCATTGACGACTGTGCCAAAGCTGGACAAGGATTAGTCATGCCCACTGACAGATTGACAGCAGATATGTACTCACCTGATATACACCACCGATTTTGCCTCGTACTTGTCCAGGAACTCCTTTACGCCCTCACCCCAGTTCGCCTTGGGCTTCCTCTCGAACCACCCCACCTCAAAGTACGACTTCTTACCTCCATTGGTGATGTACTCGTCCTTCCTGGCCGCCGCAATAGTCTCCGGCTCAAAAACGGAAGAAGGGAAGCAGGATATCCAGGCTTCGGGCACTTGCACCAATGCTTGGCGCCCGGAAAGATATTGGAACCAGGCACGCTCGTTCATCTTGGTCCAGTCAATGTTGAGACTCCAAAGCTCGGAGACGTCTGCGCGCTTGTTAGCTGATGTGGTGTGCCTGTCTGGAGGGACTGACGGAAAGGGGTCCAACCAGGGATCTTGACGACATGCTTCGACTCGGTCACGCACTAACCATGTTTATCAGCAATTCGCAACCCGAATCTCTCAAATTTACTCACCGCTCGGTAAGCCTTGGCCATTCGGGCAGCTTGCTCCTCAGGAGGCATGATCTTGTCGTCCCCGGACTTGGTTTTGCCATTCAAGAGCTGGTTGGCTTGTAGCGAGACCACAGCCTCAGGGTCAAATTCGGCCAAAGCCTTGTCAACCCAACGAAGGGAGCCGTGTTCCTCGGCACCATCGCACCTATCATTCCGTCAACGTTCAGATCGTCATCAGCGTGCTCAAAAGCGACCTACAAGACAGCTTCGGCAGCCATCTGAGGGTTGTACCCAATGAATTTGGCTGGCTTGAGGTGAGGAAAGTTCTCTTCGACCTTGGTCTTGACGGGAATAAAGAAGAAACTGGTGTAGTCGCCGATGAAGACGGTAGGCGTGGGCCAGGGGGCGCAGTCCTAAAGCTCGTGTCAGTCTTCCGTGCACCAAACTGTTATGGTGAGACTCGCCGCAAGGATCTTGGCATATTCTCCGCCAGAGAGCTCCATCATCTGGATATAGCTCACAGCCACCGAGTTCCATTCGGTCTTCTCTCCAATGGGGACCAGTTTGAGCCTGGAGACGACATCTTGGGGCGTGCCCTCGATGATGCCGAGCGAGTTTTCTTCGTTGTTCTTGTGGAGGAGGATGGAGATGACGAGGTCCGGGGTAGCTGCGAGGAGGGCAAGGGCGAGGGAGATGACGGGCGGGACGTGGGAGAAGGCGGCGGTGGTGCCAAAGACAAAGTGAGAGTTGAAGGCGGTCATAGCAGAGACGAGATGGTTGCAGGAAGTGCAGTATGGCGCTCAATAGAGAGAGAGAATGGGGCTTTTGCATACCGGATGGATGGGCTGGGTTTTATAGATGGTGGACACGGGCATCATCAGTGGGCCGACGTGTAAAGCGAACCAAGTCCGAAGTGCGGCCTGCCGACGCAGCCAGTCTGCATCCGGTGTGTGCGTCGTGCCATGGCGACAAGTACCTCCGGCTGTGCATTCGTACAGCCCCGAGACGGGCATGGAGAGTACAGCGAGCCCATGTATTGATAACAATCCCTCGATCACAACTTCTCGTACGATGTCGCCGAGGTGAAGAGCTCATTGCCGTCGGCTTTCATCAAGAGGCTAGCGCCGTCGGAATCAGATCACACATCGTTGATGTATAAGCTTGCCGAGTATGGGACGATGATGAAACCTAGGCCAGGCAGAAACAGGCGGCTTTTCGCTGAATATATAGAGTCATATGTTTGTTTGGTCCCGCTGCCTCATTCGAACAGTCGAGACCGGCGTCAGGGAGGAGTATCCCCGCCAGATTGTTGTACTCTGAATGATTGATATCCTCGCAAATTGGGACCCTTGCCAAGCATTCCAAGCGTTCTCTCCAATAGACGAGGACACACCAAAAACCGATTCGTGGACCTTTGATAGTTTGAGACGCTTGTCTATAGAGTAAGCCACGACCTGGCTCAAGATATCGTCTGCGAATGCCCTTGTTTCCTTGATATCGCGTTCGGTGAAACGGGACTTGCCCTGCTCAGCCTCGACGCTGCGTAGACTCTCTTCAGGGGCATCTCTATCGGGAGGGGGAGGAGTATTCGTTGGTGCATAAGCTTGCCGAGTATTGGACAATGAAGGAACCTAGGCCAGGCAGAAACAGGCGGCTCTTCGCCGAATGTATAGAGTCATTATGTTTGTCTGGTCCTGCTGCCTCATGCGAACAGTCGAGACCGGCGTCTAAATGATATAGATCCTCGCAAATCCGATTCACACAGCTGAGATGGGCCAGCCGCTTCATTAATGAGTGCTCGATAGTGTAACAACTAGAAAGAAAGGATGCAAGGAGCGCTATGCATAGGTCTGCGCTCTGCGCTATCTCCTTTTCATCCTTCTTTTTTGCACTATTATATATCGTCCACATTGTCGTTGCTCACCACTTTCGACTGTTACAATCCACCTCTCGCAAATCCTTCTCGTAGACCCCTCTCGCTCTGACTTCTTTTCAGACCCTTGAAGCCTCAACGGCCCTCAGTCCTTCCTCCTTCCAACCCAACGACGACAACGCCCTTTCTTCAAGAACCATTGTTGTGCTTCTAAGCGACACTGCCCTCCATTCATACTCAGGACTGCCAGATCTTGATAGATGGCAAGGAGATGACACGGTCTGTGTAGGCCGCGGGAAACCTGTGCTTTCAAGCTAGCTATACAGTACCGGGGAGAGAGGAAGTAGGGAGGTGAAAAGATGCCATGATGTAGGATAGGATCAGGTGTATGGTCATCATTGGTGGAGATCAATGTACGAGCTATAAGTAGCAGTATCTGGCTCAACCGGAGGCCACGACCCGTGTGGGGATCGTGTCGAGCCAGAACACCACAGCGACACCACAACCCGCGATGTGCGTCGTGCTATATAACGCACCATCGCCGCCACAAGTTTATTCTTCCCCTCTTCCCGCTTTGAATCTTTCTGTATGCCACCACAATCGGCACATCGTTTGCTCGATAATTACCGTGCCACTCAAGAGCTATCCCCATCGACGCACGAATTGCAAAGCAAGAGCCATGTTCCCTCCCTTACCCGCCACCTGTTGCCCCGCTCCATCTGGCACTCTCGCCGACTGGATGGGTTCCGCTCAGTTTACAGACCCCAAGATATGGGAGAAAGTCTGGATTGAGCCAACAGATCAGCGGTACATCCGTGCATGGAACACTGGTAGAGTCGTCTTCTTTCAGAATCCCGACATGCTCAGCGGGCTTTCACATTCCCTCTCGAAGCTCCGTCTTGACGCCGCCGTGACCGATCACTCCTATCTCAGTGTCTGGAACAAACCTCGCTTGAACCCTGTTTCCCCTGTGAGAGTGAAGAGTGCCACTCAATACGGTTTTTGCCTCGAAGAGGGTCTCATTGGATTGGTGAATGATGTCTTGTCCGAGTACACGTTGGAACCGGAAGGCGGTGCCGTTACCTCGCAATGGAAGCCTGAGAAGGATAGAGTTGGACCAGACTTCCTATTGTGCACTCGAGACCGGTCAGACAGCATCCTCTGTCCTCCACCACGCATCTGTTGGGTCATGCCGACGACTATACCGTCGTTTGGGCCCATAGCCAAGCCTTTCAAGGCTGGCTCAAGACGACGGCTTCGGGCTAGCGGTGGAGGGCGGAGAGACTCGGCTCGTGGGATACTTGGCAGAAGTCAGTGAAGAGGATGCAGAAGAAATCAGACTGTTCATCACAGAGGTAGGCTTCGTGATTCTCTTGTCCCCACAGAAGCTGACACCGTGCTAGGTAGTGGACCGAATGCACTCCCGTGGTTCTTCGTCGTTGTTCATCACCGACGGCCAACGCTTTCTGGTCGTGCAAAGGCTTCCAGACCTCGATGACCCCAAAGCTTTCCATCTCAACCTCTCTAGCCTGATTGGTAACGCCGGTCCACTAGATCTTTACACCCCACCCGATGATCTATCCCCTATTCACTCACCGAAATTCCTGACTGAGCTCCCTGTCGGGCTTCTGTGTTCGTTATCTTTCGAAACACCCTTGGATCCTTTCCCTCTTCCAGCACGGTCTTCGCTATCTTCGCCCGATTTTCTCATCAACGAACGTAAGGGTAACAAAGACCAAGATACTGGCAAAAGACGCGAATACCCAATCGATGCATCTTTCTGCAGAGAGACTGAGAGAGGGCAAGGTACGATCTACTTGTCGGGCAACATTGAGGCTCGGCCGGATATGCTGGTCCATTCGTATTCTCTCGCTCTACGCAACGAGTACTTGTCTGGTCCCCTGAGCCCTCAGACAGCTACTTTGCCCTGTCCCGCCCCCTCCCAGTCTTCCACTTCTATCCAAGACGCCATACCTGGGCTGCCGGGATCCGATGCTATCAGCGGGCTCCACATCATTGAGCCGATCGGCCTCGGTCACCTCTGGGATACTTTTCTTGCGACTTTGACAGTCGCAGAAGACGGACTATTCGAAGGTTTGGAGGCTGGACAAGAAGCTACTGTGGTTGCCAAGATCACATGTCAATCATCATACAACGGGTACCCGCCCGACCTTTCGCCAGATGCTGCTCGCGAGGCTATCCTCAATGAGTACCGCATCTATTCCACTAGTCTCCAACATCTTCAGGGGTCGGTGGTGCCCAAGTGTTATGGGGTATGGGGCGGGGTGCTGCGGGCGGAAAGTCAGTGGGATATTGAGAGAGAGATATGGGTCATGCTCATGGAACACGCGGGCGAGGCCCTGGAGTTGGAAGATTTCTTTGAGGTGGTGGGAGGAAAGAATGGCCCTTCAATTCGGTGAGCACACGTCAAACTTCTGTCACCACAATCTGATGATTACTAGTCGCGAGATATTGAAATGTTATGAGCAACTAACTCCATGAAGCGAAGATTCTCCATGGGGATGTGGATTACCGGCATTGCTTACAAAGACCAGGCGGGGGCTGGATGATCATCGACTTCGATGGCGCGACATATCTGACGGACAGCCAGGAGGATAGGTTCGAGAAACAATGGAAGATGGGCAGTATCAGAGATCTGCTTGGAATGTGAGATGATCTGCGCCATCTAGACTCAACATTGGATTACTCTTTACCTGTCAATCTTCAGAAGGCGAAGAAGGCAGACCGAAAGCGCGCCGGGGCCCCAAGACTTTATCGGTGAGGAGAGATGCATGCTTGTAGATGGGTTCAAAAACTCTGCCATTGGGCCTGAAGTCGACAACTTGCCCCACATGCCCAGCCATAGGGGATGCCTTGAGGTGGAAACGGATGTCTCCATTACCCAAGGTTTCTTTCTGGCTCAACCTGAGTACAAACCCGAAAGAATAGTTCATGATCAAGATTTCACTCGCTTTGCGAGTTACAAGCTCATTCACAACCTATACCGAGTACGTCAGCGAACTTCTCCTTCAAGCGAAAGGTAGATGACTTGCTTGACTCAGTACCCTCCTGACCCTGTCCTCTTCACTCACTACCCCAAAGTCTCCAGTCATCGTGACCTCCGCCTGATCATCTACGCCGAGCCAGATACCATCACCTCCGTCTAGAGCTTTCATGAGCAACGCGGCCATGACACGGAACCAAGGCTCCTTCTTGCCTTCTATGATTTTGTCGGAAGTCCAGAACCCCTCACCGCCTCCATCCGTCGGCACCCGACAGAGACGTGAGTCAGGCTTGCCAGATCGCTTTTCGTTGTCGGCCCGCCATTCTAGGCGATATGGCAAGACAGGGTCCATTGTCTCCCTGAGAGCAGCGTTCACGATGTTGTTGGTCGATGCGTCAATGGTTGTGATAACACGGCCTTTATCTGCGGTTTGGGGATGCACTATGGGGCTGGGAAGGCCATCGTTGATATATCGTCGACTGGAGAGTCCAGGCGAAGGCCGTCCAGTCTGGTTTCGTATCGCAGAGCCGACTGGCTCCCTTCCCTTGTGATATGCACTGAAGTACATCCCCATGCCTCGATATCTTTCTTCGAGACTTGGGTGGTGGACAGGTGGAAATCCTCAAAAACGCTTTATCTTTGCTCGAGCGTGACGAACAGCCGATAAACGAGATGTCGTCGACTCCTGGCAGGACAACCTTCTCAAAGACTTCTCGCCACGTAGATTGATCAGGCTCGTACGGAGTCTTGCCGCTGTGTGGTATGCGTGGATAGGAAGAGGAGGAGAGATGGCCGAGGAGAGGCCGAAAGGCGAGCGGGTGGGGTGCAAGTGGTGTGGGAGGGGGTGTGGGAGAGGGTGCGGGAGGGTGTCAAAGCGAGGCGCAAGTCACTGATGCCGATATGGTCAGTACGATTCGTGCAGCGGCCGGGGATGGTGCTTACAGTAAGCCTTGAAGAAGAGACTGGCTCAAAGTGTTTGGTGAAGGTGCGAATTCCTACAGCGTGACTTTCGTGGAGACATCCACCACCGACATGATTGAACGCTTCTGCTGCTGACCGTAAGTAGGTGAGCTTGTACTCTCCCACCCTGACAAGGAACCGCTGCCCAGATCGTGGGCCAGGGGTATTGAAGAGGCGAGAGGAGAGTTCAAGGAAGGTGGGACAGGCAAGTGAAGTCGCTTTGTTGGTTGTGTTGATCGCCAAATGCCCCGGCGGCCGACCGCATCATATTCTCCCGGACCGGGCAAGGCGACAATCTTGAGGCATCTATACCTATGTTGTCCATGAGAGCCAATCTCCATGTAAATCATCGTCCTAATGAGCTGATACTGATGTATTGACTCGTCGAGACACGCACATGTTGTGATGGACCATACATACACGCCCAATTATAAGGAGTTCATTGAACTCCCGGGTCGGGCCAGAAGTCTCCTCGTAGAATTGGGGTTATGGGAAGTGAGGGGCTCAGGGGGCGAGATGGAAGGGACAGAGATGGTAGCGAGGCAAGGAAAGAGGTCAGGGATCTGGAACCATCAGCGAGAAAGAATGAAAAGGAAGAGCAACACACACGGAGGGATCGCCAAAGCGATAGTGACCGAGAGACTGGCGATACGTAGCAAGAGGTGGCTGGAAGATGCAGATGCCGCCCTGATGCCGCCTGCCGGCAATGGTGGTAGGCGTACCGAGTTAGCCATCGGAAATTCCAAATGAGATCGATCGATAAGCTTGAGTAGAACTGCCTGGACTATGAGTTCTATCATCGTCCCATAGTAGGCAGGCGGGTCCCCATGCCCCGTCTCATCATCTTATCATGCAAACAGTCCTGAGCCTGACCAACGTTCAAAGTACGCCCTGAAGCGCCTTGTCCATTGACAGACGAGGCGAGCCAGCCGCCTCCTTGGTAACCATGAAGAGTCAAAAGCAATGCAGAAGAGCGCTATACATCAGGTCGGCGCCCTCGGTTGATCCTATTTGGCCTCAGACGTCTCTCCATCGTCCTCTTTTGCACCATCGTCCACATCACCACCTTCCGACTCTTGCACTCCACCGCTCACAAACCTTTCCCGTAAATCCCTCTCGCTCTCACTTCTTCTGAGACCTTTGATAGCCCTCCCTTCAACACCCGACGCCGCCCCTTCTTCGGGAACCACGGTGGTGCTACTCAGCGGCACTGGCTTCTCGCTCATCCCATGCGGCGCCAGATTTCCGCCCTCCCCTTGGCCTCCCACCATGTTACCCCTGTCGAGCTCTGCTTCGACTTCTGCCTTGACCGAGCTCGCGTTGGACGCTCGCCGCTTGACACCAGCATCTTCCAAAGAATCTGTAGGTATGGGCCCAGTGTCAAGTTCGTCCACCCTGCCAAGGTAGGAAGTGTTTCCTGGATCGACAGAGGGCGCTATGGGCGAAGTGGGGTCGTTGAGAGGGCCGGGGGCAGAGGGCCGGGGAATGTCGGCCGGTTCGGGAGAGAGAGGGGTCATCTCCGTGTCCAGATCAACTGCTTCATCCGATTTTCGGATCGCCTCTGCATTGGAATCTTCGGGCTCTGGCGTCGGACTGCGAGCGGAAAAGTTTGCCTTTTCCTCGCTGATCAAGAGAGGCGACATGAGCCCTTCTGTGGACTCATTGCTGGCTGTCGCTAATTGGCCGTTCTCGCTCGTGGAAGCTGCGGCTGGATCCGACGAAGGTCGGACAAGGAACGGTATAGGGCTGAACAGCGGTGTAGTTGAGCCAGGAGGAACAGTGGTGTCTGCGTCAAAGCTGCTCGAGCTGTTTGACGCCGGGGAGGAATATGATGATAAAGAGGAAGACCCTCCGACATGTTCCGGAAAGGTGGTTGGGGGAACATAGTCGTAAGATGGAGCTTCCCAAGGAGTGGTGACAAGTAAGGACTTCTCGATAGCTCGGATGAATTTGCCTAGAGATGAATGCTGAGATGTGGGATGGAGAAACAATTCGGCCAGACGCTGGATCGTGAATGGTGGTCTTTAGACATATAAGCATAACAGTACACATTCAGAGCCACAGCAACTTACTCTTCCATCTCACCGAGAAGCGCTCTTATACGGTCTACTTCTTTCCTGCCCTTCTCTTCATCAAGCCATCCCACCAACTTTCTACCACCAATAGCCGTCTCCTCTTCCCAACTCCTATCATCCAGTGCCTCAAGAGCCGAACCCGCTATCCTCTGGTTCGGTATCCCATTCGTCCTCACACCCATGAGAGGCGAAGGCCCTCGTCGGCGCGATCGGTCGATTGGCGGAAAGGGTGGTACTACGAGACCACCCGGTGTGCTGGGTTGCAGATTCTCTTCATACACCGGTTCGATTATTGATGTGGACTGTGAAGGGGATAAAAGGAGAGAGTCGGATGGGGGTTTCGAGTGTTCGGAAGCGGGGGAGGATGTTTCGGTTCTAGCTACAGATCCTTGGGATACCGGTTCTGGTGGCGATGCGCCGGGCGGTCTGTATGGTCTTGTTGGACCTTTATCCAGGAATAATTTGAGGGCATCCTCGAGGGAAGACTCGAAATAGCTTCTCAGCGTAGGCCAGTCGGTACTGGGAGGATATGTGTCGTCAGCTTTGTTGAAAGACAGGGTTAAGCAACTTACTCGAATGTGTTGGATGCTGCGAGCTGTTGCAGAACGCTCTCCTTGTCTACGAGACCCATGAGCACCAGTAGTCTAAGCCATCCCTACCTACCCTTGTGGTCTATACTTTCTGCCATGTCGATGCCGTCCTAGATGAAGATAACAATCGTCAAAACAACCACCACGCGCCGCCGGTCGTCCATCATATCCAGCCTCGTGACTTTACGTAATTGGCCCTTGCGCGGCGGCTCTGGCCGATCATTTATTTTTCTTCTGAATGATTTTGCAATGTCCGTATCTATCTAGATCTACTTCTCTCATCTCCCCATACTTCTCCAAAACAGTCCATCGTTGACTACCCCTATCCCACTTCAATCTTATCTACCTCACATCTCTACAACACTCAAAATGGGAAACGTAAGCCCCCGTCGCAAGGGCCACTTGCTCTCTAGACAGCGCTGACAAGCATTCTGTAGGGTGCTAAAGCTCAGCAGAAGAGGGACAGGAACGCCAAGGATGCTAAGGGTGCTGGCGTTTCCCAGTTGAAGACCAACGCTGTAAGTTTGGGGGCGAGACATTTGCTCATGAGTGGACGGGCGGAGAGCGGCAGGACCTCTATTTTGCAGACTGTGGCTTATTCGAAGACATGTTGGAGAACTAGAGCTGACTTGAAAACGATCAGGCTTCTTTGACCATCCAGTGTGATGTCTGCAAGGCCACTTTCCAGGGTACCTCCAAAATCCCCGTGTATGTTGACTTCACTTTTGTCTTTTTCTAAAGTGCGCCAAGCTAATTTATCTCAACGCATACAGCCTCCAACAACATGTCGACTCCAAGCACCCCAAGAGCACCGTTGCTGCCTGTTTCCCCAAAGTTTCCGCCTAAACCTCACGACGAACGCTGGCTTTAGGACGTTGTACATTACTTGGTTTCACCTAGAATCTAGATCATCTACTTCTTTTTCTTTGGGTAAATGCAGGTCGGCGAGCCTGTAATTCTTGTGGTAATAGCAGGATGCATTGTTGTTACGATACACGTCCCACAAGGCATCACATCCGTGTGGCAGCGAGCAAGAACGTGCACTATGATGATGATCACCCTACAAATCCTACTAGTGCCAGTGACTCTTGATACTATGCATGATGACAATCAGATACCTATTTTTTGCAAGACGAGACTGCAACTATTTGCGTCATGACCCTAATTGTACACGGACAAACCCTTAGTTTACCCCATCCATGAATCCCCCTGCGCCCCCAACTCGAGACCAAAAGACACCTCAATATCTTCCCGACGGCCCCTGTCCATGCATCGGTGTCCTCCCCGTCCCATGTGGTGGTGGTGGGCGCCCATATGCTCCCGGTTGACCCTGCCCAGGATGAATCGGCGTCCGACCCATGGGCATGCCAGGGTGCACAGGCGTTCGTCCCATTGCCATACCAGGATGCACCGGCGTTCGGCTCACGGGGGCCCCAGAGTTCAACGGCGTACGGCCCATAGGCATGCCTGGATGAGTTGGTGTTCGACCCATGGCCATTCCTGGGTGCACAGGCGTGCGAGTGGAAATCCCGCCTACACCTGGCGTTCTCGACCCCAGAGCAGGAGTACGAGAGCCGAGCGCTGGTGTACGGCCGCCCAGATGGAGAGGGGTCTTGCCGAGGGAGATACCAGGGGTTTTGCCACCATGACCTTGCTCAGCGAGCTTGACCGAATATTGCATCTTGAAAGCGTTACACAGTTCGGTCACACCGGGGACAACGGCGCCACTGAGACTGTAGGCTCCAGGAAGGACTTGCACGGGCTGATTGTAGCGTCAGCACCTCGCCTTTTGCAAAAACGAAGTTGACTTACCCAAGTCTGAATGACACCACCGTCCTTGGTAGGCTTGTTGAGGAAACACAGTTTGATGTAGCCTGGTCGGCCACTATCTATACTGAATCCGTAGATACTTCTACCGGGATGGGCCTGCACGTAGTTCTTCAGGAAAGCGTCTTGTAAATTGTCAGCTCACTACAAGACTAGAGATACTGAACAAACTCACCAAGCTCATGCTCGGGCTTATACTTTTCGTGCATTTGCATCTCGTCAAACTTTCGCGCCGTAGCCTTGACATGGTTGATGATTAAATCATCCAGATCACTGTAGTTGTACTGCTGGGCAACACGGAGGATCCGGCCCAACGAGTACTCATTCGGCTTGTCGACTTCCAGAACGTCAATGTGCTGGTACACATCCTCATCGACCTTCCATGTTACGGCGATATGATCTGATCCAAGAGATGATGGACGCACGACACAGTCCCCACGATGCTGGCTGGCGAGGAACTGCTCGGCTTGACCAGCATTGAGCACATGCCAGTTGGGGTGATTGACGATACGTTGCACCTTGCCCGCCCGACGCTGCTTCTTGGCAGCAGCAGCAGCTTCTGCAGTCTCTCTTCGATTGATGTCGGTATACTCCTCTTCTCTGAAGGGATGAAGAAAGTCAAATCCCTGCCTGATATCGGACGGTCGCGTCGAAATGCGGACCTGGAAACGAGCAGGCTCGGCCTGAATAACAACACCCTTGACTGCCTGGCGGACCTTGAAGACATCTTCGCAGTTGGTGACCGGAGCCTGGTCTTCGTCGGCCACATAGTCTCGTTCAAGAACAGCTTCGAGACCGGACTCGAGCTGCAGGAATGTCCTTGAAGTCAAAGCCTTCTTCACGGAAGCCGTAACCTTCAAACCTCGACCGACAGTCCGCTCCGTCTCGCCAGTGACCATAGTGACGACCTCCCAATCGTTGGGCACATAGAAAACAGGTCGTCGGTCGGCACGGTATTGAATCAACTCGTTGACAATTTCACCAAGAGTATGACGCTTGTTGCCTTCGCCTTGACGCTGGAGATTGAAAGCAAAGTCATCCAAGTTGAGTTCACCCAGCTTCTTGGCTCGCTTGTCATCGAGCATGAGGGTCTGGACAACCTCAGACTTGTGCCTGTCGGCGACGTCTTCGACATCGAGGTCCAACGCGTCCTGACACATCTTTTGAGCGAATTCGTAGTTCTCGGGATGGATACGGGTAAGATCGAGAGGGTCGGGCTGCTCTTGAGGGTTTTCAGCTTCGAGCAGGAGGTTGTTCAAATCGGTCTCTATGGTGAGGAAACCTGCGATATTCTCAAAGACGGTAGGCCCAACAAGTCCGAGGTCGGTAAAGGTCATGCGATTGATGAGAGCTCCGTTCTTTTGGATGCCGTAGATGATCGAATCAGCCTTTCTGGGCCCAAGACCAGAAATGTAGGGGAGCATGGCACGTTGATAGGGTTCGGCGACACATGAATTGATCTCGATGCCCATCGAGCAGACAGAGTTCGTCAAACCCCTTTCGAGGTGGTAGAGAAGCTTTTCTTCAGGAATCTATGTTTCATCAGTATATGGAAAATTTAAAATGAAAGGACATACAAGTTTCTGATGATGTTCCATGAATGTGATCGAGCCGATCTGCCTGCCGAGCTTGCAGTAAGCGTTGAGAGGATTCTGCACATAACGAGCCAAGCCCAAAGCATAACGTCCATTGAGCGGCAGATTCGGGTGCTCCTTTTCGGCCTCTTCAGAACCCATGTAGAGTTTGGCGGTAGCGTCGTTGACGAATATGAGAGGGACGAGGTGCTCTTTCAGTCTCTCCTCGTACTGTGCCATCTCGTACGCGAATCTACCATCCTCTACGCCATAGGCATCGGCAATAGGAGGTTGTTGCCCAAGCATCTCAATAGCATGCTCACGAATGACCGAAAGGGCGTTATCGCGTAGTCTCGCGGTCTGTACCGAGAAACCGCCGATAACAGCCACCTTTGGTTTTCGTTTCTCCAGAAGCTCCGTGAAGACAATCTTTTCCTCATCATCTTTGAGATTGTCGAATTTGGTCTGAGAGCGAATATTGCCCTCGTCATCGAGTACGACAGTCATGACGGCATCACGAATGTCACCCTTGCCATTTGTAATGGCGATGACGGAAGGAATTTCACCCTGCTCCATGTCGGGCGTAGCATATGGGCGAACGTTGACTCGCTATTTGGGATATGAGCACAATCTTAACAACAATCGATTGACGTACAAGTTCCAATTCTTCACGACATCTCTCAGCAACATACTCTTCCGCCTCCATCCTCAAAAACTCTTTCAGCCATTTGGCTGCTGCGGGAACGAGGTGCTTTCGAGTCAAATCATTTACAAGTTCGGCTCGGGCTTCATTCCACGCCTGCGCCACGTCCCCATAGTCACTCGAGCGGCAACATGAGGTCAATTGGCTGATAAAGTCCCCCAACTGTCCATCACCAGCTTCGATAACGATGTGGATTAAACCTTCCTCTTCTGCTTTGAGCATATGCAGGAACTGGGGCTGATTCTTGAAAGCACTGACCGGCTTCCGTGTCAGGAATTTGAAGTTGTAATACAAATGATATTGGTCGATGACAGACATGCCTCTGTCGGTAGGGTTGACAGTGACGTACGCAGCAGCCTGCATGAACTCTCTGATCTGCTGTCGGAAAGCGGGGTGACGAGCGAATTCTTGGATGACAATGGATTTGGCGGCGTTGAGAGCAGCCGCACTGTCAGAGAAGAGAGGGCTGTTGTACTCTTCCGCCATATCGAGTGGCTTCCTGTCGGGGTCGACGATGGATTGAGGTTGTCCGTAAGGATTGGTGAAGATAGCAGCGATTTTGCTGACCGATAAACCAAATGCCTGAGTGATTCGTTTGTCAGCTTTGCACATCTTGGCCAGAGAGTTCGTCTTACCTCTGCCAGCTTGACGATTGGCCCTCGCCTGATGTCTTCCTGATCTCCCCTCTCGGGCAATTTCTTGGTGGCATCGTCGAGAGCTTGCTCATCTCTGATCGCCCGCATCTCGGTAGCGAAATGGTATCGTAACCACTCGGCACCCTCACCCGCGGCCTCGATACTCGCACTGCAGAACTCGAAGAGGAGGTCTGGGGAGAAATCGTCGTCGACGATTACGCCTCTCTGAGCTTCAATCTTTTCCCAAAGCTGGCGTGTCTGTTGGTTTCGCTCATAGATTGCTCGATATCGTTGCCCGAGAGAGTAAACTTGCCAAAGCTCGTCTCGCTCGAGGAACAAGATTGAAGTCTGGCCTTGGTTTTCCAGCAGACTAAAAGCGTCACGCTTATAGTGCCACAGATAAGGGACCTCCAAGTGCTGTACAAAGAGCATGTTTAGTGCCGAAGACACGGCTTTCTCAAACTCTGATTGAAGCTCAGGTCTGCGGTAGACGGGATGAGGCATAGGATTGTCGGCAGTTTGGGGAGGATATTCGACGTCTAAACCGTAGAACATGTATTGGGTACGGAGTGAGATTTTCGGCGCCAGCCACTTGGCAGCGAGATCGGGTGGAGGGTAGAGAGATTCGGTAGCGAAGACGGGATTGTCTGACAGGGTGGAATTGACAATCTGGTGTCGTTCTGGTCTGTCGGCATTGGCCACCGCCTTGTCCTCATCTTGGAGTCTACGTGCTTTGATCTCGGCAGGGTCAAAGACGTCTTCGAGGCGAAGATCCTTTTTCGCAGCCTCATCCGCCTCGTCCAAATCCAAGCTGTCTTCTCCTTCCAGAGCCCAATCATAGTCCTGGCCGTCTCCAAAGACCGCAAAGATTTCGTCCCAAGATCTAGAGTATTGTCAGACGCTGTACCCCGGGATGAAATAGGAAAACGCACGATCGGTCGACTCCAGTCAATTCAGGTCTAGTCTTTGCCTGCTCTCTCCTTTTGGCCTTCTCGGCTCTCCTTCTCTCTCTCCTCTCATGCTCCGTCTCTCCCTGAACTCCATCTTCGTCGTCTTCTTCGATAAAGTCCATCAAGTCGTCATCATCATCGCCATCCATACGATCTTCATCGTCCCGGAACATGTCCTGAAGCGTCGGCGCCGGTCTGTCGCCTTCCGAATCCTCTGACCCGCTTCGCATTCTGACCCTTTTGTGCGGTCGACCCTCTCGCATGGCCCGATTCTCTTCAATCAGCTCCAGCTCATCTTCCGAGAGCTCCGCCTGTTCTTCCCTGGCCCGCTTCTCTCGTCTTTCCTTCTTCTTGCGCCTCTTTTCTTCCTTCTTCCGCTTCCGTCGCGTTTCTGGATCCTCATCTTCTCCTTCAGCATCTTCCTCATCTTCATCAACGATGAAACCTTCCGCAATGCGCCTGGCTTCTTCGGGGTCTTCTTCCTCAGATTCCTCGGAGGAGTCGCGGTCCTCCCCGTAAGGTCGTATTTCGTCGCCGGCACCTTCTGAGCCTGAGCGAGATCGGTCGGACATGGTGGTTGGGGATGAAGTAGGGCGAAATTTGGGATGGGGAAAATTGGAGGCTGTTGATTTTGTTAGAATTGACCCTCTGGGATGCTGTGTTGAGGGCCAAAGTCGATATGGAAAGTTGGAATAAGAGGAGTGAGTTCGACCTGGCTGAACCCAATGAATCACCAGTGAGGCGGTAATTCGGCGATACTACATGGTGTGGCACCCGGCCGCCGAAGACAGCCTTATCTCAATTTCCTTTGTTGATTGTTATTGCTCCTGTATCGCTCTGCCACCAACAGGACCCTGAAGTGGTTGCATGCAGCACGCGTAGGCTCTCGCTCACTCAACATGACCCCGCCATTCCTCAACACCCCTGCGCAATACGCCGAGCTCGTCAATTCAGTTGACACTGTGCTCTTTGGTATGTGGTCATCGGCGTCCTCAACATTGGCTGACGGGTACATCAGATTGTGATGGAGTGCTTTACCTCGGGCAGAATCTCATTGAGAACGCCAAGAACCTGCTTGAAATGTTGAGGAGCTCTGGTGAATACACAAGAGCTATACAACGTCGCTTCGTCGTAGCTCTATGCTGATGCGCTCGGTCGTTTCAGGAAAGAAAGTCATTTTTGTGACCAACAACTCTACCAAGTCCAGAAAAGATCTCAAGAAGACCTTCGACGGCCATGGCCTTGAAGCTTCAATAGTAAGCGCTAACAAGAAAGCACAGGGTCTCGCTGACAAGGAGGGCAGGAAGAATGCTTTGGCTCCGCTTATGCCTCTGCTGTCTACCTATCCGAGGTTCTAAAATTTCCCAAAGACAAAAAGGTGTATGTGTTCGGCCAAGAAGGCCTTGAGGAGGAACTGGATGCGGTTGGAATCTCTCACTGCGGTGGAAGTGTGCGTTCGTCTCGAAATCATAAGCGGCGGGCACTGACCATTGTTCAGGACCCCGAAGATCGTACATTCACGCCTCCCCTCAACTATGCGAATTACCGCCCTGACCCTTCAGTGGGTGCCGTTCTTTGTGGAGCAGACCACTACATCAGTAAGTTACTCTTTCTGTATACTAGGCAAGACTGATGTTGATTCTAGACTTGAAGAAGATCACCAAGGCGGTCACTTACCTTCACAACCCCGAATGCAAATTGATCCTCACCAACCCAGATGCAACGTTCCCCATAGGTGATGGCATCTTTCCTGGTGAGTCGCGTTCAATTTGGTCGTATACCATCTCTGACAGTGTCCTATAGCCTCAGGCGCCATGTCTGCGGGCATCGTATATGCCGCCAAACAAACCCCCGTCGTCATTGGGAAGCCTAGCAAGACTATGATGGATGCCGTTGTTGCCCAGTATATCTCTTCTCTTCAAATGTCAACAGCTCAAGCTGACCAATTTCTAGCCACCACATTGACCCTGCTCGAACCCTAATGATAGGCGACAACCTCCATACTGATATCGAGTTTGGCATTAACAGCGGTATTCGGACTCTGCTGGTTTTGACAGGCGTAACGACATACGACCAAATTTACGGCCCCAATCCAAGCCCAGTCGTCCCGACTTATGTCATAGAGAGAGCCGGTGATCTCGTCAAGATGTCAAAGGAGTAGAGTCATGGACGAGGCGAATAGAACATAGAGCGATCCATGAAATCGTGGATCCCAGGTTTTTTCTAGTCAAGTGGTGACAGGGTGCAGTCTATGGAGGCAATACTTTTGCAGACTCAACGCCCACTACTCGGGCTCAATATATGCATAGTACAAAGATTTTCAAGACACGCCGATCACGCTGCACCGATCCAAGTGCTTATTTCTTCATCACTCCTCCTGACGCCAACATCCTGGAAGCGGCGTTTCCGTCATTCCGAGCAGGCCGATTCTTATTGCGGTCAATCTTGGGTCGCTTTGCAGCACCAGGAGAATCTTCGCGGGCGCCTCCTACGGAATTTTCAAGCGACCATCCAGAGTAGCTTGAAGCAACGGAGATTGACTTACCCTCAAGAGCTCTTTTCCTATCGGCGCCAGATCCCTCCTTCGTAGACTCTTCCTGTGTCACTTGTTCTTTCCTAATCTCTTCGCTTGGTTCCTCAACTCTGGATTCTCGACCGTGTTGTTGCTGACCGCCTGATTCACGACGTTCCTCATTTCTCGGCTCGTCTCTCTTCGTCCCACGGGTGCCCCAACCATTGTCTGGCGTTCCCCAGCCTCCGCCTCCATGGTTTGCCCGATTTCCATTGCCTAGATTGTTACCTCTGAATTGAGCAGGGCCAGAGTCGCTCGTCTTCCCTTGTGAGGCAGGAGGAACCGAGTTGTTGTTCGTGTGCGGAGGGGGTGATCGCATGCCGCCCAAGCGTGCTGAGAGACTGGGGACTCCTTGGGAGGCAGGACTATGCAGCGCCCCGCCTTCCGCGCTGGTAGTAGTGGGTCTGGCAGGGAGGCTATGGGGACCTCTCTCAGCAGGGCCACCGTCGTTTGGAGATCCGCTTGGTTTTGGTGAAGATGCTCGACGAGGTTGTGAAGCTGGCTCAGCTTCATTGGCCGGACTGTGGCCTCGGCCATCTCGGTGTCGACCATCCGACGCATCCTGCCTATCTCCTCTATTCCTACTGCTACGATGTGAGTCGTGCTTGTCGTCTCTCCGAGAGCTTCGCCTGTCGCGCGAGTCGCGATCCCCCTCACGGCCCGAGTAATCTCGACGAGAATCTCTATCGTCGTACTTGTCCCGACCTCGTCTCCCACTGGAGCTAGAGGTTTCGTAATCGGGTCTCCTCGAGGACGCTAAGTACTCGTCCTCCCGCTTGCGCTTCCCACTCTCGTCCTCCCTGTATCTGGAGTCTCTGCGGCTCTCTCTCCTTCTTTCGGTCTTGTCCCGACCGTCCTTTCGCTTCTCGTCGTCTCGCCTGCTGTGTCTTCGAGAAGATTCGTCCCGGTCCCCAGACCTTGGGTCATCACTTCGAGCCCTACGAAGGTCTTCCTCATGGCGCCTTCGCTCCGATTCGATTGCTTCTCTAGTGTTATCTTGGCCATCCTCGCGATGCACATTCCTGTCTCGCTCCTTGTCACGGCTGGCGTCCCGGTACTGCTCTCGTTGAAAATCCCTCTTTCCGCTTCGACGGGATCGCTCGCTCGCACGAGACTCTACGCTGCCATCTCTTCGATTGCGAGAAGTAGCACTTGGAGAAGCTCGAGAAGGGGGCGCAGGGGTTCCGCCACGAGTAGCGGAGCCATCGGCAGGGGGCGATGGGGTGCCGGGAGTATTGTTCTCGTTCTCGACCCCCTTTCCCAAAGTCAGGTCGGTAGCCGACTTCAGATCAGTTCCAGCAGGAACAGGTGAAGCGGTAGCGGACGCAATTTGAGACGGCGGAGGCGGCGGGGGTCGCTGGAATCTTTTGGCACGCTGAGCTCGAATAGCTTCTTCCGACTGGCTATCTGGGGGACCCATTGTACTGGAAGGTGTGTTGGCTCTAGACAAAGAATGAGACAAAGGCGTTCGGGCGGCAGGGCCGGTGGGAGCATTCAGAGAGGCATTGTGAGCACCACTGCCCATACGGTTTTGCAAGTTGGGTCGGTTGGGGATTGGGTGATTGGCAGGCGAGCTGGGCGCAATCCTGTTGGGTATGTTAGAAATAGAAGCAAAGGATCCAGGAAAGGTTGGCTCACTTTCTTTCTTCCAGGGCGGCCCGTGCCCGAAGCTCTTCCGTATGCCTGCGACTCTCTTCTACTTTCTGACGCAAAGCTGCTTGATCGACCACAGGCGTGGTAGACGAGGAGGGCCCAGACGGGACAGCAGGGGCAGACGGAACAGGTGTTCCAGGAGCTGAGGAAGCAGTGCTGCCATTTTCATTGGCGAGCAAGGAGTGGGAAGGAGTGGAGGGAGCTTGAAGGGGAGGTTTGGACAAGCGTGAAGCCAGAGGCTGAGCGGCAGGCGCAGAACGCTTGGTGATTGTAAGCATCAAGCCGACAGATCTGAAGACATCTAGTAACTCACGTGAAAGGCAGAGGGCGGTACGAACGGCCTAATGGTTTGACGCTTCGAGAGACCCGACAGGAATCTAGAGTTGAAATCAGATATTTGATGACGACAAAGATCATACACGTTGATGAACGTACGATGTGCACATCATCTTCAAGTCGCTCGGAATTTCACCAACCTCGCCCGCCTGCAGCTTCTTGACGGCAGCTTCGACAAGCTTACCATTACTTTCCATGAGAGGAAAGAATCTGATGACCTGAAGGGCAACAATGATGGCATTCTTGTTGTGCATGAACTCGGCCTCGCTCCAGCAAGAAATCAATGTCTGTCTGAAATCAACACGTGTCCATAGCAGATCGTAGAAATGCCACTTACTCTAGTCAGGGCATTGTGGAATTTGGCATATAAGTTTCTAAACTCCTGCCAAGTCATCTGCTTCATCTCCTCCCCAGATTTGCTTCTGAAGAGCATGCCAGGTAGCCTCTTTGATTGATCTTCCTCACCCGAAGCGGATTGAGTGATACCGAGAGCTTCTTTGACGTAGACCTCTTCGCTCTGGTGCCACTTGTCTAGATCCTCGAGGATGAGAGCAAGACATCTACCAAGGTTACGAGCTTCGCTGTCAGTGCAAGAAAATATGCACGCAGCAAGGTTGTCGTTGAAGATCTGAGCACCTTTGTTTAGCTAGAGCGACTATGTAACAAGGATACTCACGTTGTTGTAGACGAAGAGGGTAGAGAAACCGGGCGTGCCAAGGTCGTGAGCTAGCCTGATAAACTTGGCCACGAATACAGCATCGCATGGCGAAAGGATAGCTCTCGGGTAGAAACAGTACTGGTGCAATTGCAGCGCCAAGATCCTTTGCAAGCTCTTGTCCACGATAGATTTCCCAAACCACTTGCCACTCTCTAATTTGAGACGTCTTTTCATCGTCTGATTGACGAAATTCCTGTGAGTGACAGATTCCTTCTTCAGTACCTCCACGCGGGAGCGAAGACGGGCAAGCTCGTCTTGTTGTTCATGGATCTTGATCTTTGCGCCAGGAGTATTCGCGTTGATACGCCAAGAGGAGACGGTGGAGATATGACGTTGGATCGCTTTGATGGCTGTGTCATAGGACTGACTCGAGTAGGAGATGTCTGAAGTGGTCAAATGCCAGAATATGACAAAGAATGGGGCGCTACACGAGTGGTTCGTTAGAGTCGGTAGTGTCAGGTGCGGGTCACAACGACGTACCTCATGACCTCGTTGGCTTCCTTGGGCAAAAGCTGTCTCGTCTGGTGCATTGTTGACGTCAGAGCTGATGGCCACCATGCCTTTGCCTTACTACCCGCCTTGGGCACAGGCACGGTGCCAGCAGATGCACTATTTTCGCCATCTTCCATGACAACATCATCCCCTTCCGGAGCAGGAGTGCTAACCATGGGCGGGGTAGACGGCACGGGAGAACCTGGTGCCAAAGGGCTGTCTTCTGCCTTGCAAGGCGAGGCAACACCACTAGCTGAGGCGGTGGCAGATTGTTCAGCGTCTTTCCCGTTCATCGCTTTTCTGGCAGCATCCAATCTTGCCTGTACTGCAGCCTTTTCCTCTTGCCGGCTCTTCTCAATCTCGGCATTGAGACGGGGGCGGAGAATCTGGAACGCCATACCATACTCGAGACCGAAGTCTTCGTAGAGCTGCTGAAGGTCCGGAGTGAGATTGACGTGTTCGTCAGATGTCAAGTTGTCCACCAGGAAATCTCCAAATTGAATGAAGGCGTTATGGCACTATGAAAGATGAGCACAGTGCTTTCTACAAACCAGCAACACACTCACAGTATCTTGTACGAGGTTCATGGCCTTCATGGGCGTATCCGCCAGCTTGTCAACCACCGCCTGTCTTGTCTGCGCCAAAGCGATCCAGATAGGCATTGCGAGACCTTGATTTCTCAAAGCATTTACCAGCCTTGGCAGACTCTTTTTCACACTCTTGACCTTTTCTACGGGTCCTGCCCTCTGCACGCTATCTCCGCCCGGGGCACCTGGTACACCAGGCTCGGGCGGGGGTGCGATATTGATGCGTGTAGCGGCAAATGCCTCGCGGATGAGTTCACGGCCGCCACCATAGGCCTGAAGTTGGGCTTCAGAGACGCCATCATTGGGCACGGGCTCGAGGCCGGACATGGAAGACATGAGCTTTTCAAGAATGATGAGGTCGCCAGAATGACCGCGCATAAGACGGTTGATGATATATTGAAGGACGGGGTAAAGGTCCATATTAGCGTATCGTCGGTTAAAGTCACCAACAAACTTGGACAGACCTAATAGGAGAAGGTGAGTGTGAGTCCCGAACGACGAATTTCTCACTTACGTTCTAGCCAAAGAGCAACGCCGGTACCCATTTCGTTCAATCGCATGGCCCTATCATCTGAGAGAGTATCCAGCATGACAAACGTTGCCACGTCAAAGGACAGCTGAGCCATGTACCTTCCCGCGTCTACGATAGCCTCTCCGATATTGGGATAAGCTTTCACTTGCGTGACTGCCGTGGTCCAAACAAAGACGGGGTTGCCGTGACTCTGCTTGGCCAACGCACGGGCACTATGCCTTTCGGATTGCGAAGCAGCAGATGGACCAGTGGAAGTGGTGGAAGTAACGCGTCGTAGGGCTTTTTGGACCTCCTTGGTAGTCTGTGCTGCTGCGTTGGTAGCGGCCAGACAAGGATTGCGTCCATTCGCGCTGCAGGTGCTATCTCGCCATTCACCATAGAGCGAATACCTCGCAGTGTATGGGAATAATTTGAGAAGGTCCCAAAGCTCGACATCGAAAGCCGCTGAAGCAGACGAGCAAGAGAGAGCGGGGAGTAACAAGATGCGAATGATGTCGAGCCATGGCTTGAGCTCATCGGTGGTGGGGGCGAGCAACTCGATCAACTCGTGAGCCGGGGGCTCAACTTCCAACGAATCAATTGCGGTTTGCTTGTTTTGTCTGAGTCGCTCAAAGTTGGCGACACCGATACGACAAAGCTTGACCATGAGCCGAGCGTTTCTTCCGCCCAAGCCTCGTATGAGCCCCATCCATCGCAAACCCTTTTCGTGTATCTCCTGATCGTTGGTCCATGATTCCAGCGATTCGCTCCAGTCAGGATAGAAGAATTCGAATCTCTTTGTGGCTGTTTCTGGAGGAACGGGGAAGAATAGAGTGAGAAGAGTCGTTTTCTTTAGTTGCGTTTGCTCCAGAGCAACAGGCGCAACAGCATTATAATCGAGATCATCCTTCTTGCCACATATCTGCTGATAGATAGGGTCGACAGCTGCATCAAGAATCTTCATAATCAAATCGGCCACTCCAGTATGCTTTTGAGCAATCCAGGGCCACCTTGCCAACAGATATTCGGCTGAAGCTTTGTCGCCAATGGCAAGCAGAGCATGGCAGAGCTGCATCCTTTGCTCAGGAGGAGGTTTGGAGTTGGCTTTCTTGCCGTCGTCCATTTTGGACGATCCGCCGTTGCTTGGGGGCTCATCGTCATCGAGGATAGTGCTGGTGAGCGCGTTTGAAGGCCCAGACCTGGAGGCTAGCGATGAAGCCCATGTCTGGCAGGCTGTTTCCATTTCTGAGTCGTCCGGCGCAAGGAATGGCAACAAATCGGCAAGAGTGATGAACCCGTGCTTGACCAGTAGGGCAGCGATGAATACGACGCCAGATGGAGTATCGCCGGCATCGTTCCTTCTAAAGTAGCCGAATTTGAACCCAAGAACTTGGCTCAGGACGCGATCACCGTCTTCAGACACGACGTCTTCGATCCCCTTGACCTCTTCTTCCTTCCAGTCAAGGGACGGTTCTCTTTCCTTGCCTTTGCCCTTTGCATTTTCGACCGCAGCGCTTCCCCAGGGGGAGCATCGAAGCAGCTCGAGGAAGAATCGCCAGTGGTAGGCCACATGACAGCTGGCCATTTCGAGTATGATATCAAGCACTCGAGGCGGCGAGAGATTAAAGTAGCCTATCAGCCTGATGATCTTGCCCCAGACTCGCTCGGCGCGCTCATGTCTATCGATATCACTTTCGTCGGCAGGGTTCGAGAGCGTGTCTGGGGAGGTAAGGACGACAATGAGTCCCGAGAATCCTTCAGAGCATTCTCTCAGGAGATTGAATTTTCGTTGCTTGAAGAAGAATGAGGTATTCTTCTTGACTAGGCCGCTTTGCAGGGCTTTTGGATTCCGGGGCATGGGGTGCAGGTTCAAGGACAATAGGCGATCGGGTGCCAATAGAAGATTGGGGATATGGGGCGGGAGAGAATTTGATTCCTAATAAACGTGAGGGGGAGTACAGGATAGCCAGAGTGAGACATACGAGAAGATATTTCAAAACATTGATATTTCTAGACTCATCTTCGCCTTCTTGCTTGGTCTGGCCTTCAGCCAGAGATTCCCTCTCATCTTCTAAGACCTCAATGGCATCCACCAAAGATTCACAGAAGTTTTCCTTCTGCGCGTCGTCCAATTCGTCCAAAACACCTTCAAATACCCCAGTCAATTCTTTCTCGTCGACTTCCGACTTGAGGAGGAAGACGAAGGTGTGCAACAAGGGGACAGCCGACAGTGCCAATGACGTGTTTACAATAGCCTCTAGTAGAGATGATATTATCGTATGCAGGGTTTCCGTGCCGCTGTCGTCCCATTGTGATACCGCTTCTTGAAGCTGCTTGGAGAGATCGTCCGGGAGGAGGGGGAGGAGGGACGGAGGGGGTGGCGGCGGAGGTTGCGAGGGGCGTGCTTTGCGCCCACCTCTTTTTGGGGGCATGCTGGGGGATGCCTTGCGGGTAGGGTTAGGATTATGAGCAACAGAAAGATGGATCTCCAGCTATCCTCAGCCGGAAGGAGAACTACGCGAGAGCAGCCACAGCGGTGATCGCCGGCGCAGTTTACGTAAGGGCATGCTGTCGCTGACGCTTACGCGCTTTGGTGTCGCCCTCGTATGGACTCTGATCACCACATCCCATCTATCATCCAACATGGCAGCTCCAGGCGGCGGCGGCGCTTACTCGTCAGTCTTCTCCGCATGCTGCCTGTGAAAGAGTGCTGACCCTTCTCTAGCTTCTCTCTTACAACCTTCTCTCCCTCTGGTAAACTCGTGCAAATCGAGCATGCTCTTGCTGCTGTTGCTGGCGGTACCACCTCTCTCGGTATCAAAGGTAAGCTCAGCCCCGATTCATTGGGAAGTGTCTGACGTTTCGTATAGCTACCAACGGTGTAGTCATTGCTACCGAGAAGAAGGCCCCCTCCGTTCTCCTCGACACCTCTGCGCTCGAAAAGGTCGCTCCCATATGCCCAAATATCGGCTTTGTATACTCTGGAATGGGCCCCGACTTCCGTGTCCTCGTCGCCAAAGCCAGAAAGATTGCGCAGGCGTACTGGAAGGTCTACGGAGAGTATCCCCCGACGAAGGTGTTGGTGCAGGAAGTTGCGGCGGTTATGCAGAAAGCGACCCAGTCTGGGTGAGTTGCCCCTTTGGTTGTCGACCGTTACTAACGAAGCTGCAGTGGTGTGAGACCTTACGGTATCTCTGTTTTGATTGCTGGATGGGATGCCCACCGTGGCCAGTCTTTGTGGCAGATCGACCCCTCGGGCTCTTACTGGGCGTGGAAGGCGAGCGCAATTGGCAAGAACATGGTCAACGGCAAGACATTCTTGGAGAAGCGGTCAGTCTACGTTGATGTTTTCAAGGACGACGCTCACACCTTGCCTACAGATACAACGACGATCTTTCCCTCGAAGATGCCATCCACACCGCCCTCCTCACCCTCAAAGAAGGCTTTGAAGGCCAAATGACTGAGCAAACCATCGAAATTGGTGTCGTCACCGTCCCCACTATCGAGCAGATGCAAGAGAAGCCGGGAGAGAGACTGCCTCCTACGTTTAGAAAGTTGACAGAACAAGAAGTGAGGGACTACCTTTCGTTGTAGGTGGAGTGTTGCTATGAGCCGAAGTTATGTATACAATAACGATCCTGCTCTTCTATGTGGAATCATGATCGATCCTCCGCCAAGGCTGCTGCCGTCAAAGCAACACTCTGCTAACCCAGCAACTTGGAATCTTGTCATGAATTTTATTAGATACCGACTGATGTGACATCTGTGCCTTCCTCCATCGCGCCAGCAGTCCCGATGCCACCACAAAAGTCACGCTCAAACCAACGACCAGGCCTTCGTAATTTGACTTGTCTGCATGACGCTTGAGCTTGACAGTGACAGCAGTCTGTCCTTTATGAACATTGTTGTTTCGTTGTTTGACGCTCCTCGCCTGCTCTGCTCACGTGCCCTTCACGTACTCTCTGTCTCACAGCAGCGAGCGCTTTCTTATCCGTCTCCTGACTTCAACAGAGGTTCATGCTACTCGACACAGACAATATACTCGAGAAACGATGGCTCAACAACCCAACATCATGATCGGCCGCGCGTATTTACAATTACTTACTCCAAATTACGCTTGCTTCTTTCTCCTCGAAATCTTGTCTCCGACCTCTCTGTGTCCACCACAAAACCCCAAACAATGCTCCCCAGATTACCCGCCGCCTCCTTGAGAGCCCCCTCCCGCACCCTCTCCACCACCTGTGCCCGCCCAGCGGCGGCGGCTGCCTCCCTCAAACCTCCCCGCATCACCACCTCCCCTTCACGAGTCTACACTCCCAGAAAAACGTACCTCTGGAACCTCTACTCCAATATCCTCCACAAATCCCCCCTACTGCTTGTATTCGACCATGCCAACCTCACCGCTGCTGAATGGTCGCAGCTTCGGCGGGGAGTTAACGCTATCAAGCGCCCCGTCAAGCCTTGGGATCCTTCTCTGAGCGGAGAAGAGCAGGCGGAGAGGACAGAGATTGATACCGCGAAACTGCAGGTAGTGAGGTCGGGCGTGTTCCAGGCGGTGTCTGGCTCGTCATCTTCACCCATCATGCCCCACCTCGCGGGCCAGAGGGCGGTGCTCACGTGCACATCCCTCTCTCCCACATACCTCGCCAAAATCCTCTCCTCTCTCTCCCGAACGATCAAATCACTCAAGCGAGAGAACGCCGAAGGTGCCCAGCCCACGCTCAACTTGGTTGCGGGCCTGGTGGAGGGACACAAGGTGATGAACCAGAAGGAGCTGGAAGAGCTGGGCAAGCTGCCCGAGCTCGATGTGTTGAGGGCGCAGGTTGTGGGGATGTTGGAAGGACAGGGGAGGAGCCTGGTTGGTGTGCTTGGACAGGCGGCTGGTGGAAGTCTAGTTAGGACGTTGCAGGGATTAGAAAAGGACTTGGAGGCGAAGGAGAAGCCTGAGGAGGCTAGCGCTTAGGAGGAGAGCATAGAAGAGACACCATCATGCACTTTTACCAGCATGGCTTCAATCACCTTTGCCTAGTGCACGATCTGAACCATAGATGGCAGTATATAATACAGACAAAGTCCATGTAGAGCATTGTCCGTTACGAAACCGTGGGCATATGATGCTTTCACACCCTACCCTTTGGCATTGTCCCTACTTCTCATCACTTGCAATGAGGCGACCCATAATTCACCATGACCGCAATCCCTTGGCGAGCCTCGAAAGAAGCTGTAAGTGAACGAAACCAGGACACTGCACGATTCTCCATACCACTGCACGCGTTGAGTGAGGCGGGATAAAAACGGAAAATGGCTCGTGGAATAATCTCCCGCTTCCCATCTTCCCCGTCACTGCTCTCCTGCGTCATGACTTCCACCCAGCGACAACAACAACAATGCCCAGCGACGACACCATGGGCGGCCTCGACGCCCTCGTAGCAGCTGCCTCCTCCGTGCGCGAGGGAAAGCGCGGCAAGGCAGCGGGGAACGGCAAGGATGCCTCGGCGGCAAACATCGCCATGGACATGATTGACCCCTCCCTCCATGTAAGCCATCGCTCAGCGTGCATCTGGACACAGACTCATCGGCGTAGAACGAGAATGGCGACAAGCTCAACCCTAGCGCCCTCAAAGCCCTCCTTAACGCTCCCCATATCCGTAGCTACCTTGCAGAATACTATGCCAGCAACCCCTCCAGTCTATCTGCCCAGCTCTTTGCTGGCGGAGCGCCCACTGCTCAATCCGCCCCGGGTCCGCCCACCCCAGCCCAGGTCACGAGATACGGCCGTATATCTCGTCCGTCTGGTCTCCCTCCCACACCTGGGCGTTCGTCCTCTGCGGCAGCTGCTGGCGGTAGCTCTGAAACGGGCGGCAACGACACGCAGCTTCAGTTGATCAAGGATGCTCTGGAGAATGTGCAGGGAGCTGGCAGTGAGGGGCAAGCATCTGATACGCAGTATGAAGGACTGGCGAACCTTGCCTCTGGCCAAGCAGAAGGGCGATTCTGGAAGACTGGGGAGAACTCTGCGGCAAGCGCGGCGTGGGATGGGGCAGAGACGCTGCAGGCTGCCTTGAAGGACAGTGACGGGCAGAACAAGCGACCTCGAGTGAGGTCAGGACCGAGTGAAGATAAAGAAGAGGGAAATGAGCCCGAGCTGCCTCAGTGGCCGCTGCCTCCGACCGGTAAAGGCGGGAGGAAGGCGATGCCTAGAGATGAGTTGTTGGCGAGAAGAAGAGCTCGAAACAAGGTTGCTGGTAAGCTGCGCTACTACAGGGTCTCTCGAATATGCTGACTTGGGCTTAGCCCAGGAATCGAGAAAGAGAAAGAAGATGCACTATGGCACACTCGAAGAACAGCTCCAAGAGAAGGACAATCTCTATGCCGAGCTCCAGACCCACTGCCGCAATCTCGAAAGAGAGTAAGTCGTGCATCTCCATTATCGTACCAAGCTGACCACTCGTAGACTTGAGCTGACAAAGCGGGTCCTCACCAACTCGGGCATTCCCCATCCCCACTTTGTGCCCGAAGTCCATGCCCCCTTGCCTCCTCGCTCGCGAACATCTACCGAGGAGCCCGATGCCGCCCGTCCCAGGTCCGGCCGGTCGGCTGGGTCTTCTGCCCCCACACCGGGAGTACACGCGGAAGACTACAGCTCCCTCGCATCCCTGTCCATGGTGCCATCCGCCCCGACCCCAGCCCCGAACCCCGTTTCTGCGCCTCCTGCCGGTCCGGCCGAGCTGGCTTTCAGCGATCTCTTCAATATCGACGAAGACGACAATGATGCGGACTTTGTCCCTGCTTCCAGCCCGGGCGCTAGGGAGAGTGATTCCGAGGACAGTGAGGAGGAAGAGGTCGAGGAGAGTAGGCCGAGGAAGAAGGCCCGTGGTGCTGCCAACTCGAGCAGTGCCAAAGGGAAGGGAAAGGCAAAGGCGAAGCAGGTCAACGAAGAAGAAATTGACGAACTCGCCACTCCTTCCCCAGAGACCCCGGCTTCAGGGGACGAAGACGACGACGAGGAAGAAAACCTCTTCCTACCTATCGAAGACGTGCCGATCCCCCCTCGTGACCACGCTGCAGAGGAGCAAACTCGAGTCATGGAACAGGCGATGAAAGAGCTGGGGGTGGAGACCCCGGAAGAGTTGATGGAGGCTGTGAGAAAGTTGGTAGAGACGACGGATCATGGAGGTGTGACACCGGCGCAGGTGGGCACGTTGACTAGGCTTTTGGCGTTGGGGCAGGCGCAAGGCATGAATGTCTGGTGATTTGAAGTGTAAGGTGAATCAATGGACTTTTTTGGGATCTGCTTGTACAATAGTCTATGGATTGCGAATACGTCTACAGAACATTGCCTCGCTACCATGTGAGTCTCGTTGGATCCAGAGGGAATCACACCGCATGTCAGACTGCAGAGTGCGAACATCTCGACAAGCTATCCGCCATCGAGCCGGAGCTCAGGTAGCCTTTCACTACCGGTGATGCGGCGCGAACGGATCAAACAGACCGCCCGAAAGGCCGTACCCGTGCTCATGTTTATGTACGCATGTGCTTTCAGTTTGTGATTTGCGGGAGCTCGGGGGCTTTGGGAGTCACGTTGTGTTGTTGAGTGTGTGCTCTATTGGGTCCTGCTATCGTGGAGAGAGGGGAGAGTTCATCCAGGGAAGATCTCAAAGGGTCATCAGTCATCCTTCCACGATGGAATTTCTTCCGAGCTGAAGGAAACACATGAGGAGACTCTCTCTTTCATGTCATACTCTGACTCGTGGACTCTGGAACCATTACATTCTGGGAGGCAACTCCGCTGGAACCTCACCATGGCGACCATCATCAGAGCATTGCAATGCACAATGGCACACGGTGATTCATAAGACTTATGGCCGACCACGCCTCGGAAGCCGGACGACGATGGACGACGAGATGATGATCTCTTCGATTTCCTCTCTCTTCAGTGGTCTCGGGCCTTTCAGGTATATGGAACGAGCAGAAGCCGTCGTTCGAGCACATGACTATCTCCACTGCAAGAATGACGCGTCAGTGGTGTTATCATCGCTTGTGAGGTGATACGACGAGAAGATGGTAAAATTCGATCAGATGGTGATGTCCCTCCACATTTAGACAGGTATTCAGCCTTTCCCCTTACCAATTCTCAAAGATATGCTTGCTGAAAGTCAAAGAAGCCTCATGTTGAACGACAATAGGTGGCCAGGAACGGCATCACATCGTCTTCGGGATTGCGGTCGGATCTCGCTCAAGGGGTCGATGAAGGCCAAAGCGGCTTTTTTCTGGCTTCAACAGCTTTCCGATCAAGCCAACCCTCTCAGCTCGCACCTGCCGAGCATCTCTTTCGCGAGCTGCTGCGCTGCCGTATTCCAAAGGAGGCTATCAATTCCACAATTTGGCACCCGATACCATACCGAAGTGGGTCCCGCAAAGCTATGTCATGGCACCAAACAGATTCACATTTGATGCCTTTACCCTACGTCAGCCAGCCATGCCCCCACGGAAGAAGTGACCCAACACCTCCGTTTTCGGATCTGCCTCCGAAGTCAACGAGGGCTCACTACCCTCAGACCTCAGACAATCACCCCTTCTTTCATGTTCTTGTTGTCATTCGAGTTTCGAGATCAGAAACTGCCACACAACCCGGCTTTACACACAGAGGACAGGGCTGCAATTATCCGTCACACGCCTGGTGCCCGGCTTACCCTAGCCAGATGTTCTGCGCACTTGTGTAAGCCAACACAACAGATGTGTGCTCGAGTATCTAAAGAACCGACGCATCATTCCAGCCTTTCCCTGGAATCCCTCACACACCAGAAGCCACTCAATAGCGCACGCAATCCTATATTCGCGTTTCACTTCAAGTTCGTCCCATCAATCACCTCTCCATCTCACCCATACATACCAATTGTCCTCCTCCACGTCGGTATAGGCTGTGACAGGCTGCCAGCTGATAGATTTCAGCTAACTTGTGTTTCGGACACTGGTCTTTCCTCTTCACACAAACCCTTTCAAGGATATTCGAGAGATTACGCAAAAGACCCTCATTCTTCTCTCATCTTCTGCCTCGGACAGAATCTGCCTGCCATTTAGAGGCTAGGGTTCATCAGCAAAAGCAGCTTCATTGGGCAATCAATCACTGATCGTCGCAGAACGGAAGGGGTCGCTGGAGCAAAGGCATCCTTGACTGCTCTTATATCTATCAGCTCATTGGCGATTCTGAAAGCAGAGTGATCCTTTCCTTTTCCTTCACAGAACTCAAAGCTCTCTATCGCACTTTCATTCACTGGACCTTTAGTCTGGTTTCCGCCCATACCCACTACTACAATGGTCTTTGCCAACATCCAATACCTCATCCCCACCTGCTTTGCCCTCATATGCGCACTCTACCCGCTACCATGGCATCTTCGAACGGGCAATACTGCCACACTCACAATGATCTTCTGGATGGCCCTGCTAAACATTGTCCATATAGTCAACTGTGAGTCTCTCGGGGATGTTGCCCGGGCCTTGAGCTGATGTATTCTAGGTGTGGTATGGGCAGACAACTCTGATCAAAAGGCCAGGTGGTGGGGCGACATTACCGCGCTCGTCACCGGTCAGTCCACCCCTCTTCTCTTTCTTCTCCAACTCACGCCTCTGTAGTCGCCTACAATTTTGCCCTGCCGACCGCGCACCTTCTCCTCGCCAGACAACTAGAATCCTACACCTCCCTCCGGCCACACTCACCACTTTACGACGAGTCCTCCCGACGGCGCCACCGCTTATTCGACCTTGTCGCCAGTATCGCTGCGCCTGTCGTTGGCGTCCTGGTGCATTTGAGTAATATGGATAGACGATTTTATGTGGTGGAGAGGTTTGGGCCTCAGCCGGCGACGTATTGGAATGCTTGGGGCGTGATTTGGATGGCGATTGTGCCGATCTTGATGTAGGCTTTTCCAGGTGGGATTCGAAGAGTGAGCTGACGTGAAGGCCCCAGAGCGGCAGCTTGTGCTACGTATACCAGCAAGTCCCTAGCTCTTCCACACGTACCAACACTGACCCCTCATCAGTCATGGCCCTCGTCAACATTCACCTCCGTCGCCAGCAAATGCTCTCTCTCATCGCCTCTGAAGCTTCCATCAACCGCGACCAATTCTACCGGCTCATGTTTCTCACGCTCGCCGAGCTCTTTACGTGCGGTCTCCGAGCCATCTTCAACCTCATGTCATTCCACAATGGCCCCCAGCCTATGGGCCATCGAGGACCGCCAGAGCATAATCTGAGGATAGTGGAGAGTATTGCGTGGGATCAGGTCAAGCCAAGCGGGAGGTTGGTGTTGAATTTGTCGTTCTTTACGGTGGTTGCTTGCAGCTATGTCTTTTTCCTCTGTTTTGCCACCAGTGAGCGCTTTGTCGACTGTGAATTGATCATGACTCACAATCGAGTAGGCATCGAGACGAAACGATTCTACAACGGTGTGCTTCATGCCATCTTGCCGTGTCTTTCCGAAGCCCGCCAAGGACGTCTTCTGAAACTGGGCTCTGTCGATACCGGCTTCTCGCAATCCGCGGGCACGGGCACATTTACATCGACCTCTTCCGCTCCTCTTGAGACATCCAAAGATGTCGATATATCCCTAGAAGAGATGCTCGGATCGCCACGAGCGGGACCGGACGGGAGAAAGGGCTCGGCGGGTTCGGTGGGGGCGTTCATGTACAAGGCACCGAGTGTGAAGACGGGAGGGAGTACATACGATGAGGAGGCTATTGATGCGTTGTATCTGCCCCCGATGTTGACAGAAAAGAAGAGTGAGTGTCGTGCCGATCGTGATGAACGAGCTGACACCAAGGGCGACAGTATGAGTCCGTACTGTCCTTGACACAAGTATCGTTAGAAGCAAGTATAGTGTACTCTTTTTGTCAAATTTTGAGGTAACTCTGTGCATTATAATGTCCTGCATTAGCTTTAATAGTCCTCCTTTGTGTGCACTATTTTCCAGAAAATGCCTATTCAGCTCGCATCTTTATACAGAGTTGTGATACATGAGCCCAGGCCGGGCTGTTTCAATGCTATCTTGGCGTTTCCGCTCCTTCCCGTTCCTTTGTAAAGCACCAGCACAGACGATCCTATCTGCTGACGGGAAGGTGGTTGCACTCCATATGCGTCCGTGTGGGTTCCGCTGGAAGGGCACAGTAGAAGCCTGATCAGAGTCAGCAATCTGAAACCCCTAGTATACTAAACGTACCGAGAGCCTGCATGCTCTTGAAAAGAGCAGCGCTGTGCATAGCCACCTACCGAAAGACATCAGCATCTTGGCACAACCAGAACAAGGGATCACACTCACCTTGACACAACTCCTACCACCGTTAGGATTCAGCCGGCAAAGCTCTGTATCGGCCTTGTCATCGTTCTTTCTCGAGTCGAAAATGTATGTTCCAGCGGGCGATTCCTGAACACCCATCAGCAATGTTCATAACAGAGCACCGATCGAACGCACGCTGACGAACTGGGCGACGGTCCTGTACTGCTCTGGCGGAGGCGCGTTGACGGTGGCGTCTGAGCGGGGTTTGGGGATATCGTTGTTGACGGGAACAACGGAGCTGTTGGAGGAGAACCAGTCGAAGATGCCCATGGTGCGTAGCGTTATAGAGATGTTGTAGAATGCTGAAGAGATGGTGGCTGCTATGACGTTGCATGCGCGCCTATCGCCCCGGATCCGGGCGGTAGGCGTGCGCTTAGTCAATGTTCCCGAGATTCGAGATAACCACGTGGCTGTGCCTGGATCACCTTCCGCATTGGGCCTGTCCTTCTCAAGTCTCAACCGAAATCGCGACACATAAATACCGCACTCAGAGTGGAATCTATCCCCATCTATCCATTCATCATGTAGGTCAATCCCCCCTGCTATGCCCGCTCACCCCCCACAGGTCCGCTGTCCCCGCCAAGAAGCCCGTCATCATCGTTGCCTTCTACTCCACCTACGGCCACATCAGCGCCCTCGCTGAGGAGGTCATCAAGGGTGCTGAGGCCACTGGCGCCATCGTCAAGCCCTACTTCATGTTAGTCTTGCTCACCATTGACTAACCTTTTGCTGACGTGCCGCAGCAAGGAGACCCTTCCCGAGGAGGTCCTCACCAAGATGTACGCCGGCAGCTCTTTGAAGCCCAAGTACCCCATCATCACCCCCGATGACCTCGTCGAGGCCGATGGTATCATCTTTGGTGCCCCTACCCGATACGGCCGAGTTCCCGCTCAGGTCTCTGCCTTCTTTGACGCCACTGGTTCTCTTTGGGCCAAGGGTGCTCTTGTTGGCAAGTTTGTCAGCTTGTTCACTTCTGCCGCTGGTCAGCACTCTGGTCACGAGGTGCGTACTGCTGTCTCTGCAGTCCATGAGCATTGCGCTGACGCTGTTATAGTCTACCGCTATCAGCACGTTCGTTGTTTAAATATCTCGGACATGTCGTTCCCGCACTGACGTAGCGCAGCTTCCCCTTCTTTGCCCACCACGGTCTCGTCTACGTGCCCATCGCCTACTCTGAGCCCGCTGTTGGCGGTATCGATGAGATCCAGGGTGGTACGTAGACCCATCCAGTGTCGCACCTCACTCAACTAACAAATCTCAGGCTCTCCTTACGGTGCTTCCACCGTCGCTGCCGCCGATGGTCACCTCCAGCCTACCGCTACCGACCTCAAGATTGCTACCCACCAGGGCAAGTACTTTGCCGAATTTGTCGGTACCTTTGTCAAGGGCAAGTCTGCTTAGAGCGTAGAGCCTTCGATACAAGTATTGTAAATGAAATAGTAGACGCATGGAGAAGAGCATCCACAAGTACACCGTTATATGGCGTCCACTGCGCCGCAACTGCGCCGAGCTTTATTGCAATGTGCTGAACAAGCTGAGCATTTCAAGGGCAGCCGTTTGGAGCAAGCCGCTTCATGACTACTAATGCACGACTATGGGCGTAACATGATGGTACAACAAGACAAGACGCTCGTGAGGTCGTTACACTAAACCCAAAACACTTTCCACCCCCTCATAGCCCCTTGGCAACCTTGGCCTTCTTTCGACTTTCCCTCCGTAGTTGAGTCTTGGACTTGCTCTTCTGAGGCGACGCGCCCTCCTCTCTCGAGCCCTTTGCGCCCTCCGTTCCCGATCCTTCAGCATCCTCTTCGAGCTCTCTCTTCTTCCTCTCTTTTCTCTCAATCATCAAGCGCTTGGCCTGAGGAGATTCGAGAGCGAAAGGGCCCTGGAAGGGAAAGATGCCCGAACCACCAGGTGATGATGTGGGCATGTGATTGGGGGGTGTAGATGGCGGTGACAGCTCAACGTGCCCCGGGAAGACCGGTGATTCGGGTGTGGTAGGAGGGGAATTGATATCAGGAGTGGTAGCCTTGGCAGGAGCCTCGACGACAGAGAGAGCTTGAGCTCGTGCAAGAGGATGGACTTGTGGCGCCTCTGGCTTCTTCTTCTTCTTGCCCCCAAAGAGGTCTTGGGCAGTGTTCTTCTTTGTCTTTCCCACAGACCTCACTCTCGACTCTTCCTCTTCATCATCGTCGCCACCTTTGCCCTTTTGCTGCTCGGCGCCTTCATTCTCCTTCTTCTCCTTGCCGAGCTTTTTACTCAAGCTGGCGAGCCCACCGCCGCCAGCGCTGAACGCAGCTAGTCTTTTGGGGTCATCAATAGATGGATGTCCCAGACCGAGTCTCCCCCCACGCTCTTCCTTGAGGGCCCTGTCGAATTCCTTCGACTTGTCGACTTCAGACTTGGGGACACCAAAATTGGCGGGGATCCACGCAGCGATGGACGACGTAAAGAGGGACGCCGAGAGGGCGAGCGCTTCTGGCGTGGGTCCCTGGGGTGCGTCTGGGGTAGGGGCGGCCATGGGGTATAGCTGGATGCATGCATAGGAGGGAACAGAAAACAGTGCAAGATGGAAATTCGGCGAGTGCCACATTGACTTTGTGCGCCGTTTTCCCGATTTTCCACTCTTCGCTTTCATCATCGTCGTCTTTTTCCATCCACCTGCAAACCACCCCCTGCCATGTCCGCCATCTCTGAAAAGCCAGCGGGGCCCTCAGCCTTCACCCCCTACCTCGACACCGTCGCCAACATCTTCCACCCCGTCGCCGGCCCCGTCTTCAACACTTATGCCAGCTTCCACGGCTGGAAGGAGAGCATGGGTTTGGTCCAGCCCGGTACTGTCGAGAACTTGACCAGGGATGTGTCAAGTGAGTTGAGACTTTGATTCAGGATTGGGATAGAAGGAGGATACGCTTGCGGGGGGTTTCGAGGAATCATCGAAAACGCAACATATGACGCTTTCGCTGACATGTCCTCTAGGTGTCCACTTGGCCAACTGGATGTTTGACGGTGCCAGAGCCGATATCGCCAAGGTCATCTCTGGCAACCCTGCCTTCCAGCTCACCCACTCCTTCTCCCTCGGATCGTCTTCTAGACCCGCTGCTTACAACTTTGGTGTCATCTTTGCCAACGCCAAGGTGCGTCGGATGTCGGTAGAAAAAAAGACCAAACGCTGATCAAGCACAACAGAGCTTCTTGCAAGGTGGTATGGACGGCAGCGGTACTCTGACCATGCGAGCGAACCAGACTTGGTCTGCTCGAGACCTTACCAAGGTCCAGGCTCAGGTGAGCTCTCATCTGCCTCAAATCTGACACTTGCTCACCTTTCCTCAGGTCACTGACAAGCCCGGCCACACCATGGTCCAGCTCGAGCACGACCACCTCGGTGACCACTTTACCTTCTCCTGGAAATCCATCAACCCTTCTCCTCTCGACTTCACCGGCATCCACATGGCCTCCCTCCTCCACTCTGTGACCCCCCGTCTTTCTCTCGGTTTCGAGACTGTCATCCAACACCCCGAACCCGGCATGGTGGCCCTCGCCAACTCTTACGTCGCCAAGCTCACTTCCCTCCCCAACCCCGTCGCCGCCCTTACCCCCACTACCCCCGGCGTCCCTTCGCCTTTCGTCCCCAGCTGGGTCGCGACCGGTCAGCTCCAGCCCGACGGCAACGTCCAGGCTACATACTACCAGAAGCTCACCGACAAGGTCGACGTTGCCCTCGATTTCCAGACTGCTATCCGAGGCGCGAGCATGATGGGTCCCGCGCAGAGGGCTGCTGTGACCACTTTGGGTGCCAAGTACGACTTCAGGATGGCTACTTTCAGGGGACAGATCGACAGCGGGGGCAAGATTGGCATGTACCTGGAGCAGAGGTTTACTCCTGCTTTCGCCTTCCTCGTCGCTGGTGAGATTGACCACGCCAAGGTTTGTTGGGATGTTTTATGATGTCGGATTCAGAGCTGACACAATATACTAGAACGCTTCCAAGTTCGGTGTCGGAATCATGATTGAGTCTTCTACCATGACCCAGGAGGAGATGATTGCTGCTGGCATGTTGACTCCTGTGTAAACAGCGAGTGCAGTGGAATTGGCGTGAGAAGTGGGGAATGATGAGGGGGATACGAGGTGAAGCAGAGACAGCTGGTTCGTAAGAAGGAGAGAGGAGAGCAGGGTGAAAACTGTATAGCAATAGAGTCGGGATGGACAAGGACGGAAAAGGGGACGAGTGTGATCCTATATTCTGTAAGGGGTTATTAGACTTCTTACCTACCAATCCCTAGTATTTCATTTCTCTCAACCCATCTATCTGTATCAACGCAACGCATGGAATATGGATCCTCACACCTTTCAGTGATTTACAAATGGAGTCGCATACGGCTACAGGTATCATATACAACTAATCCCAATCGTCGACGATGTCATCGTCTTCGATGAACTGGGCTTCTTCTTCCCCATCATTTCGGATGCCGTCATCATCCCATACACCTTGCTCTGGTTCTTCTCCCTCTGTGACTGCCTCCTCGTTGACTACGTGCCCAGGCACTTCGTCCCAGTCGCCCAAAACACCTTCCAATGACTCATCCTCTATCGCAAGTTCCGACTTTGCGGTGAGTTCATCAGCCGACTGGGTGAACCTGCTCTGGCTACTCTGGCTACTTGGGGCCGATGCGCGGACAGGTGTCCAATTCGGAAGTGTGACTGGCTGAGCCGATACTGGTAGGAGAGGCTCTGTACAGTTTGTCAGTGTCAAGCAATGGTGCCAGAGTGATGAAACTCACGACCAGAGAGGTTTTGAATCTTGATCAGCATGGGCACCATCTCACAGATCATCTCTTTCCTGCTCAGCAGACCTCCCCATGTCCCTCCTGCAGACCCCTCCCCTACATCCTGTACACCCGTACCCTGGCCCAGCTGGACATTGGACGCCTTCACACCCCGCCTTTCCAAATATCTCCCCGCACTCTCCAACGCACCCAGACTTTCTCGCTCCTTCTTCCATTCCGAAAAGAAGGCCGGTTTGACTATCTTGTGATGAGCGGCTTTGCCGCGCGGGACTGGGGATGGGAGGGACATGGCAGCGCCTCGGAGAGTGAGTTGTAGGGCGTATTGAATCGTTTGAGGTTGGGATTGCCACTAGATTTGATCAGCTTATTCGTATGGAATCTCTACGTCAAAGCTTACAATGTCATCATCCGTCCTCATAGCGTCGCTTTCTACAAGGTAGTCCAGACCTTGTGACACCTGCTCTATCTCTTCGCAGAAAGAAGGAAGCGATTGGTGGACCCATAGCGCAAAAGACGATGCGTCAAGGGGTATGGAGGGGATGAAAGTCTCCATTTGAACCAGTGATTTGCGGCGGGTGAACTCTTTCAAATGCGATGGGAGGTCATCATCTTTGGGAAGTTGACGAATCATCTCGAGGGTTTCTTGGTTCTCATCTTCTTGTTGATTTGGATCGCCCAGGCCTGTCCGCGGGTCAGCTGGAAAACAGCAGTCTGACGCAGAGATGCTTACGTTTGTTGTAAAACACCTTTCCCAAAGCATGAAACAAGTTTAACGATTGCTCCTTCCTTGTGACCGCATCCAGCACCGCTCGTAGCTCCGGACTGACATCCAGCAGTCCGCCCTTTCCACCCATGCTCCCTTTGCCCTTTCTTTTAACCACGACATGTCCTTCGTCCTTCTGTCCTCGACCCTTTCCTTGACCCCTCGCCGCTCCGCGCCCGTTTGGGATTTTCCCTCTGCCGCCGCAGAACATTTGCAGTGAGTTGATAGCCGCGCGAAGGTCGCCGTTGGACGATTGACAGATGAGTTGAAGAGTGGCTTTGGCGGGGTGTGAAGCGGTCGGTAGAGGGGATAACGTAAGGATACGGGAAAGGGCCTTGAACATGAAAGTTGGTGCTATAGGGATGAAGCTTGGGGTCGTTGTCAGCCAGACCATGGCCTGAATGAAAGATACCTACTCGATCTCTTGACACCAAGCACCATCCTTAATATCCTTGCCCAGTATTTCTAGACCTCTCTCACGTCCACCCCTGTCCCGAGTGGCATCCATCCAGCTCTCCTCGGCTCTTCCGGATTGTCCTGCGTCACTGTGTATTATGACCATTGGGCAGGAGTTTGTCGAGAACCTTTGGCAAAATCGGAGGAGCGAGGCGTGAAAGCCTTCCATGGTTTTGGGATGCGACAAGTTTGGTAGAGCAGTGAGGAGGATGATACGCGCTCTCGCCTTCTTTTGGGGAGTGGCTGTACGGGAGCTTGAGAGGGATAGAGACGAGGTGTCACGATCTATGAATGAAGCAAATTTGGATATCGACGATTCTCTCTCTGTCTCTTGTCAGCACTTGGGGGATGAGGAGTAGAGACACGTACCAAATCCGCCACCTCCCACAGTACCTACACCCCACTCCTCTACGCCTTCGCCCCATTCATCCACGTCAATATCCATCTGCTGAGCCAGCAATTTCAAAGTTGTCGTCTTGCCTGCACCAGCTGGCCCTGTTAAGAAAAGTATCCTCTGGCGGAAGCGTTTATCAGCTCATGTAGCATATATGGAAATTGAGCTTGCGTACACGGTACTTCCGTAGCTTGTCTCTCAGATAAGGAGGCGGAGGTTTTGTCACCTCTGGGGGATATCCGAACAGAGCTTCGTGTAACCAACCTTTGATCTTCTGTACCCGTGCTTTGCCAGGAGCCAGATCCGACTACATGATGGTCAACCTTGAAATTATGCTATGGGTTCATGATGATACCTCGGCAGTAGGGCAATAGAGTTCGGTCCACATTTGAGAGGTCCCACTGACGCCTTCCTCAACGACGTCGACATCTACGCTGTGTGAGCTAATGGTGGCCATGACAATAGCAAATCACATGCCTGTTTCCTCTTTCCGCTTTCGCTTCCCCACAGTCCGTACCGGGCTGGCTAGGCGGATCTCGTCGATCTCTTCATCGCTGCTCAACAGCTCAATCACATCGTTCTCTTTCCCCTTGCCCTTTCTGCCATTTGACGAGCTGGATTTTGATCCGGTTTTCGGGGCAGGTGCGGATTTTTGTGAAGATGTGGAGCCGGAGCTAACAGGCTTTGTAGACAACTTGACAGGAGAAGTCGATCGCGACTTTGAAGGAGGGGGCATGAGTATTCGATCTTGGTCTGCCTTCGATTGGGAGCTGCTCCTTGGGGCTTTGAAATGAAAAGTTTGCAGCTATGGTCATCACAGGTGAGACAGGGTCCGATCATCACAGTATGAACACGTACCGAGCTCAAGCTACTCATCTTCTTGGGCGCTGAGGACTGCGACGATCCCGAGGCAGGAGCTTTGGTTGAGCTGGACCCCGTAGAGCTTTCTCTGGAGCTCTGACTTAGGGTGCGCTGCAAGGGTCTCCTGCTTGGCTGGCTCATTATGCTTGATATGGCTTCCGCCGGCTTCCTGGGATATTTGTTATACTTCTGTTGACCATCGATACAACTCAGTGGCAAATGTAAGATCGGGCGCGGCGTCAAAACAAACGCGCTGTCGACATCATCATTTCTTGCATTCATCTCTGACTTCTTTCATTCATTATCTCTCATCCACACACATCCCCCATACTTCAACCCTCGCTACTACACCCATAAACCGCAGAAAAGGCTACTCCGCGTACACTTCCCCTCCAAAATCCAGGTCAACACGCTCATCCACGCCACTGGAAGCCCGAAACACCTGAAATGGTACGTCTGCTCTCCCGTGTCAGGCTCGACCAATAACGCCTGATGCTTATCCACTCCATGGAGCATGCTGACCAAGACTACCCAGTCTGCCTTGTTCAATTTCCAGTCCCTCCTCCTCGTGCTTCTGCTTTTGATCTGCACCTGCACCTATATTCGCGGCACCGCGCCGAACCTGGTGGACAGAAATCGTGAAGGGTGAGTGAATGCATGGTCACATCATGTCCCAAAGGGATGGGTACAAGGGGGACAAGAAACTGATTCTTGGTTTGCAGATTCCTCGGGCTGTTCTTCAAGTTTGCTAGAATAGGAGAACGGTTATCGCCCTATGTGTCGCTGGCGTGCATAGCCATGGCCCTCACCATCATGCTGGGATCATGAGGATGTCACACTCGAGTGATTATGGGCTGGAATCTTTGTATGTATCATGATGATAGCACTCTACTGATCACTGCTCGTCGTACATGGCTGACCCTCGAGTACTGACATGACCCGCTGTCCGACTCTGCTCAGCCCACTTACTAGTCCATCCCGTCACATGGTGCGACCGAGTCCTTGTAAATCATGTCTTGACAGCCGAATCGTGTCCATGTAGGTGGGAGCAGACACTCATTGAGTCAGGGTGCTCTTTTCCGTCAAGTCCAGCTCCTCCCTCCGTCCCCATTGACGTCTTCTTTTGTGAATGCTGTGGTACTCATGTGTGCCTCTGTTGATGTAGCCCCTCTCAGGATACACACCCTCCATGGCTAGGCCCATTTTCTTCTCTTGGCCTCCAATCCGAGCCTTTCGCGTTGTTTTCCATACATACATCGATACCAGCGGGTTATACTAATCAGTTCCTATGGAAAGACTTATAGGGGAGCACTCTGATCTGCGGAAACCAGTTCGAAAGCTTGTCGTGCACATCGTTCACCCAACGCTTATCCGGAACATCCCTTCCGCCCAGCCAAACCTCAATCCTTGTGGTCGTCTTTCGGCGTGAGATGATAGCACCGCAAACAGAGGGCTTCGTGAGAGGAGGCGTATCAACCTCCAGGTTGCCACCAACCAAGAGGAGACATAGCTCCAAAAAGACATCGTCCATCTGTCGGTCTAAGGTCAGCAATGACGTCTAGCAAGACACCTCAGTACTCACCTTTTTGGCGTCACCAGCCATCATGAGCTTCCCTCCCTTGGCACACATCGGGTCCTCCCACATCGGCTTGGTACCATCCGCAAAGAGATGAAAGTTTGTGTCATCACCCATGAGCCACATCCCCAGTCCCCCTCCACCTTCCAACGGTCTCCCCTCCGGCTCGATCTCCCTACCCTTGCTATTCGCAATCGCCCTTCTCAACGCCTTCCAGCTACCAAAGAGATCCTCGATGCAGGCGGCATGAAAGACTTTGACCAAGCCCGAATCGTACTCGCGAGCGCTCTGCTGAGATTGCGCTTTCTCGGATGAGTCTGAGAAGTAGAGGGTCCATAGTCTATCCAGAGGATGTACATTCATGTCGGGACGGGCCGTAGAAGGATCGGAAGGCAATTGTTGATCGGGAAGTAGAGGTGAGCGGTTCCCAGGGGATATGTCGGTATACACGAGGCTGCCTTGAGGACGACCGAAAGAGCCCATATCGCCGCTCCGCCTAAATCTATCGGGCGAGGTGTTGGCAGAGTTGGTCCTGGACCAACCTCCCAGACCGGTCGAGTTGTTACGGCGCAGACCTGGAGCGCCCACCATTCGCTCCCCAAATCCGGTGGGACGCGAGTCATGACCAAACCCAGTTGGAGTGGACATGGTCCTCTCTAGGACACCCGGGCGCGGCAGCGGTTTATCCTGCCTGGGTGAGGGCGGCGCGATCTCTGGACGACCTTGAACTCTGAAGACAGGCTTCAACGGGCCCCAAGAGTGGCTCCTTTCCATATCAGGAGTCGGAAGAGGACTGACAAAGGGTTCGGAATTTCGGCGACCCGAGAGCTCAGAGGGAATACGATAGATTGTAGTGGGTTGGTCATCGACTTCGGTAGTGTCTGAGGGCACGGGTGAGCCGACGGTCGAAGGTGGCTCGAGCGACATATTGGCGGAGATTGTCGTCCCATTGGAGACTCCCAAAGATGCTTTCTCGGGCGGCTCGGGGATCTTGGCCTCTGCATTTGCCTTCACGCCAGCAAGAGGTGTCACAGAGTTCTCCCTGCTGGCCTCTGGGATAACGTCCAATGCGCCTGCCTTGGGGCCGGTTTCCTCCCTGACCTCGCCCTCCTCCAAAGCTTCCTCTTCTTCCGTGATGACCGTCAGAGGGGCTGTCGCCGCTAATGAGGTTTCCACATCATCCGAACTATCATCGTCTTCTTCCCACAAATCATCATAGCCAACTTGGTCTTTCACGCGAACCTCGTCGGCACGCTCGCCATCGCGCTCGCCCGCTATCTCCAATGGTTCAGGAGTTTCTTCAACGGGTGTAAAGGTTAGACTACGTCCGGCCATAGTCCCAGAAGACCGCCTGGCCGGCAAAGAAGGTCGAGTAGGCTCTGGGGTCGTGCGGCGAGGGAGTGGCTCGTCCTGTGGAGCAGCAACGGGTACCACATCAGGCATCTTGTCCAGAGAGGCAAAAGTTCGAGAGCGCCCAGCCATAGTACCTTGTCTGCGGCTGACGAGTATCTCTGGAGAAGCAGGGGGAAGGGCATAGGTGGCGGCGCTTTCGGAGGCTGCTATCGTCAGACGTTGATGGGCGCCGAATCTGAACAGACCGGTGTCGGTGCCCTTCGGATCAATTGCTGCAAGACGGTCAGTCTCGGAAGCCTGTCGAAACGAACACAACTCACAGACTGGCTCAGCGGTGACTTCCATATCTGGCACTTTCATTGTGCCTCCAGAGTTCACCTCCTCCATGATCTCGTTTCCGGTATCCTTGGGCTGCACCTGAGTGATACCATGCCCCGTATCCCTGACGAGAGGAGTGACGATGAGCTCCTCGGGGGCAGACGATGGGGAGACAAAGACGGCATTGCTGCTTGTTGGGCTTTCCTGGAGTGGAGCAGTCGAAGAGTTGTTGCCTTGACTTGCCTCCTGTGGCTCACCCTCTTCACTTGCTTTCTCTGCCTCATCTCCCGCCACTCGCCCAGCCTGCTTGGCCTCGATCCTCTTCATCCTGGCCCTTTCCTTGCTCTTCCCATTCTTCTTCTTCTTTCTCTCACTGATGGCAGCCAGCCTCGCCTCCTCGTCTTCACCTTCGTCGCCAGGAGGCATACTGCCGGTAGGAAAGAGCATGTGCGGAGGAGGAAGCAGACCAGAGCCAAAGTTGGGTCCTCCCAAGTCAACACCGAGTTGATTCGAGTGATTGTCGTCGATGGCCGAGGCGCGATATGAAGGCGCAGGGGATGTAGGGAGACCAAAGGCGGGATGGCCGGAGCAGCAGCTATCGCTGTGATTATGGGACATAGCTCGTTTGGGAACACCTCCAAGCATGTGCTTGGGACCTCCCATCGCCGCCCTCAACCCCATGTCCGGCCTCATTCCCATAGCGCCCATGCCGCCCATCTCTCCCACAACGTCGCCCATTAGATCATAAGCAGGCCCCGCCTCCTTCCTCATCTTTTCATGGTAGGCTGTGACAAACGCCTGCTGTACTGTTGGGCTCGAACGAGAGATCTGTCGCATGAGGTACTGGGGAGGCTGGTCGGTTTCGAGCCGCGACGGATGGAACGACCCGTCATCGTCTAGCAAGCCGTCCACATCAGGCGCGCTGACCTCCTCGATGTACTTTTTCAGGTCGAAGGGAAGCAGCGCCATGGCCATATAGTACGCTTGGGAGAACTCGGGCTTGGCGGGAGGAGAATTAGGGGCGCCGTCGGAGATGGATACGCCGTTCGATGTTTCTTGCTCTGGTGAGGCGAGCTCCAGCGGTCCTATTGGTCCCGAGGCGTGTATCAACTCCTCTAAAGGCGCCAACACCGAATGCGTCTCGACAAGAGCCCGTTGCAAGGAAGCGTCGAACGACTCTTTGGTGGGCGTCATCTCATAGGGTTGAAAAGTCTGGGCGGGCTCCGGATTCGCTGGGGGAGAGCCAGGGGTAGGAGAGATGGCGCGAGAGGAGGGTGGGGAGGATGAAGGGGGCTCTGGCTGATGCGACCTTCTTGCCGACTTCTTCTTCTTGCCCGTCCCTTTGCGCTTGAGAGGCATGGCGGGAGTGGAGGAGTTGTCGATTACGGGATCTAGTGGTTGGGGTGAGGGGAGGCAGGAGAACGGAAATGGATAGGATGGGGTGGGAGATGGATAGAAGAAAGAAAGAGGGGAAGATGGGAGCGGTGTTCTTATATACGCGCCGGGTGAGTCAACCCCGCGAAAGGACCCCCGCGTATCACCGTCTCACACACCGACCATCATACAGGCCTCTCGTCAGCGCCACTCTTCATGTCGAAGTGTTGCAAGCTATGCAGAGTGCCACGACTAGTCAGCTCACTTTACTCATGGTCATCCATTCCACACTCACTTCAGCTGATACCATCGCTCAACTTGCCTTCTACTGTGAGCAAACGATACCAGACCTTCAAACGAGGCATATGCAGTTTGGAGATACTTTGTACATTCAATCATGCAAATTCCATGCTACTTCAATTCAAGACAACTTTAGGCATCACACACATCACCACAATTCACACTGTTCCTCCTTGGGAGGGTTCATCTGTATCTCGTTAGCACGTCCCCAGCGTATACATTTGGGATCAAAACTCACACCACTGCCAGCCTTGCATCCAAAGGCCTCATGGAATGCTTCGAGGTTCCTCAACGTCCCCACAGCTCTCCAGTAAGGGGGCGAGTGCGGGTCTGTCCTCACCCTCGACACCGCCGTCGCGGGCCTCGTCAGCTGCGCCCACACACGCGCAAAGGCGAGGAAGAACAGCTGGTCATCAGAGTAGTCGAGTCCCGGAAGACGCTCCGACTTGGCATCAGCAGAGAGCGAGTTCTTCCAAGCAGTGTAAGACTGGGCAAGACCAGAGTCGGCGATATCCTCGCCATTGGTCAGGTTGCCATTGACAAACACCTTCTTGCCCTCCGCGTCGAGGACGTAGAACTTTGAGTACTGCCTGGCCACACACTGTGCGCGCTTCTCAAAGTCTTTCACAGTCTGCTTGGTCCACCAGTCCCTCAATCGGCCTTGCTCGTCGTATTGAGAACCAGAGTTGTCGAAAGCATGTGTGAGCTCATGCGCGGCGACGGCACCGAAAGCGCCATATTTGAGGTGTGCGGGCCAGGCATGGGAATAGAAGGGAGGTTGAAGGATGCCGGCAGGGAAAACGATCTCGCCGTCGGGAGGAGAGTAGTAGGCATTCACAGCTATGGCATGTCAGAGTGATCAACCAGAAAGGGGACAAGACTTACTCTGAGGGTACATCTCCCAGCTGTTCCTGCTCCTCTGTCTGCCTAAACCAAGCCAAACTCTCGACTCCTCTACAAGCGTCGATCTCAGAACATTGCCAAAGAAGTCCTTATCGCTGACATCTACCCTGCCGTACCAGGAAGCCAAACTTTCAGGATTGGTCGTGTTGGGCAAGAGCGGGTATCCGACCTTGGGAATGATGGCGTTGGCCTTCTTTTGCGCGGCAGCCGCAGACTCGGCATCCATCCACGAGATATGAGGAAGCTTGTCGTTGAAAGCGCTGACGATGGATTTGATGATACCCTCGCCTTCCTCCTTGGCTTCAGGAGAGAATGCCTCGCGGACGAACTCTCGTCCGGCAATGAATCCGACAATGTCATCCACCCATCCCAAGCAGACATCCTGCCTGTTTTCTTCAGTGCCCTTCTTGATCCCCTTCAAAACTTCCTGCAGCTTCCTAGTGTTTTGCCTGATCACGGTCTTGGGACCAAGGGCGTCGGCATAAGTGAGAGCGAGACGGGTCGTAAAGTAGGCGGACAGCACATAGTCGGGAGTCTCATCTACCAATCGCGTCACAGCCTTGAGGTATGGCGGGTGCGTGACAGTGATGGACTCGGGGAAATTCCTGGGCGCAAAGGTGGAGAGATAAGTCGGGATATCAAGGAAAGGCAGAGCCTTGCTGACATTCTGGGTGGGGTAGGGGTTGTAGGCAAAGTGGGGGTTGAACAAGTTTTCGGGATCAGCACCGGCCTTGACAAGGTCCTTCTCAAACTGAAGAACCTTGTGGGCGAGGCGGTCAATACGTTCGTCGATGGGCTCATCTGCATCGGGAGGAGTAGGTTTGGGCTCGGGCTCGGGTTCGGGTTCGGGCTCACCCTTTCCGGGCCAAGGCCAAGGCCAAGACTCGTCTTCAACCTCAGCCACAGCCTCCTCGAGCGCAACGTCGATCAATTCAGCCCAGTCTCGCTTTGACTCCTTGCCCTTCTTGACGCTAGTGTGCTTGGCAATCTCGGTGAGGATGCCACTGATGACGGAGTGGTAGAGATCGAGGATGGGAGCCTCATCGTAGTACTCCTTGGAAGGAAGACCGCCACTTGCTTGGTAGAGCCAAAGGCTCTGGATTTGCGAGTCTTCACCGCCGGCATCACCTTCAATTTCAAAGTTGATCAAGCCCTGGACACCTGTATTGCAAGTAAGCAGTGAGCGAAGATGGGCTAGTAAGACGCACCTCGGGAGTGAAGCCAAGCAAGCGTCTTGGTGATCCTCTGACGTCTCTCTCCGCTGAATTTGACTTTCTCGGCACCAAGCTCCTCCGGCTCCTTGTCCGCCAAATCAGAGAAAGTACCGTGCTCCTTGGCCTCCTTCATCTCTTCAACCTCAATGGCGCTCTCCTTGAGCTCCTTGGATACTTCATAAGACTCGTCATAAGCGCCATCATATGAAAAGTTCTCCTCTCTAAAATCTTCAGCCTTAGGGGCAGGAATCAAGTCGAATTCGCCAAACGAGCTGAGGATGTGCTCAACAAGTTCCAAGAGGGGCTTTTCGCCTACGTCGTTGAGAGTGTCAATGTCGATACAGCTCGAGTAGACTGATTTCAGCTTGTAGAGATTCTTCTCGTCAGTAGTGGCTTCCCTCCCAGGCTTGTCTGAAGGAATCGCGTCCAGCACTTTGAGAATGATTTTCTAGCAATGATCAGAACACGCGCGCGACCACTCAGATGAGATCTTACCTTGTTGTTATCGGAGACCTCATTAAACGCCCCATACAGTCCCCTATCAGCAGGAATAGAGCTTGATTCCTGCCATCCACCGGTAGCAAACTGGTAAAAGTCATCACAAGGATCCACAGAGGTGTTGAGCGAGGAAAGGATCGTCGCAGACAATTGGACGCATTCGGGGGTGAGGCAAACAGCCTGCAAGAAAGATCAGCGCAATTCAGCCGTGCGTATGAGGTGCGTACAGGAGCAGGAGTCCCAGTAGGCTTGGCGACTTCTGTAGTGGTCCGTGTGGCCGTTTCAGTCTCGGTGACTGTGTGCCACCCTACGCCGCCATCGCCTCCATTGTGCTTGCCCTTCTCCTTCTTGTACGCTTGTTCAGCGCTCGCAAAGAGGCCGACAAACAAGCTGGTCAAGAGCAGGAAAAGGACGGCGAGGCCGACGAAGAGCTTCTCTCGGGTGGTCCGGGGTCTTGCGAAGGTGTCGGAGCGGGCGGTGGGGGTGTAGTTGTGGAGGAGGGGAGCAGACTCTATGCTGGGTGAGCGATGCAGTGGACAGCATAGACATACCCTCGTCTGTGGATGCCCTGGGCTCTGCCATGGTGTATTCCTGCGAAGAACAAGAAACACTCACAGCAGAGATCCCGATTCGTCACGGTCACGCCGTCGTCTACGCGTCCGGGCATGGATGTAGTTACGTAAATACACGGACAACGCCGATGATGATTGACCATAGAGTAGTATCTATCTATCTAGTTTAAGCCACCAGTTGATTTTCGACCCACCCTTATCCTCAATTCCATCGTTTTCTGATTTACATACGACACATTTTAGCTCTCTGTACCGTCCGTTTACCTCGAACCGCTGTTCTCGCTCCTCAAGCGTCCTCAGATCTTTGATTCCATCGTTCTTCTACTTTTCGTCGATCACTTCTGTTCATTTTTGGCTGCATTCGAAAGTCTGCAATGATACCCACCTGCCTGTACCTATAACTCCTCGTGCATCGTCCTCGCTCCGTTTCCCGCAGACCGTTCACCTTCGAGCGCCTCTTGCTGGCGCCTGATCCTCCTTCTGAGACGCGTCGTTGGCATCCTGAGACACAGTTAATGGTTGTATGTTCCGAGACTGACTTCTTGTTATTAGGGGTATACCCACTTCGGTACCATGGGCTCTGCATCAGCAAAAGCTCAGAAGCGGGTATACCCCTAACAACAAGAAGTCAGTCTTGAAAGATACAACCATTAATTGTGTCTCACTTTTCGGACTTTGAGCAGCCACTTGATGACTCCGTGCCAGGATCCCCACCTGGTCTTGCAGTATAGAACGGGGGCTAGATGTTTTATCCCTTTGTCTGTGCAGCACGAGCAGAGATATTTCTTTGCGTCCGGAGAGTTGCTGATCTAAGCGGTCGTAAGTTTGGAGATCAAGTCTTAACTCAAGGACAATACCTTAGCAGTGAATTTTCGGATCTTATCGAAGAGAGGTGGCAGGTCGCTGACCCTAGTGGGCTCAGAAGCGAGATCTCTGTCGGGCAAGTTTTCTGCCTCTTCTACTTCTTGCCTAGTCTCAACCACCTTCTCCACCCTTCCCTTGTCAAGCTCCTCTGCCGTCACTGGAGCGGTGTGTTTTTCAAGGCTGTTCAAAAGGTGGCCTTCGCAAGCCCCAGTATATGAGCGTAGCAACTGTATAATCATTAGTATATGAAGGCCTATTGCAAAGTACAGATCAGTGGCTTACCGGCTCCGCATCGGACTGTTGTCTACATCGATGAAATGTGCATCAAAAAGTATGTATCTCGGGCTCTCGGCAAGAATTGTCATTATTTTGTTGCCTCCGCCTCCCATTTGCCTTCCGCCCGAAGCTGTCCCCGGTTCCTAGACCCTGCCTCCCGTGCCTGCCTCCACTTTCTTCGTTCACCTCAAACGCCGGACAAAGGCCGGAAACACTGCAGTCAAGGAAAAGTTGTCAACGTCGCTTGACCTGCTACAGTAGCACGCTTCTCTCTTCCTGCCATATTAAATACCACTGTTCTGGATACACTCCCTCTTCGCTCTTAACTGAAACATGCGCCAATCCACTCGCGCTACGCGCCCTTGTGACATCTACGAGCCTGAAGGGCCTTCGCCCCGTACTAGGCGTCGCGCCCAGCTTCGCTCTCGCCGTGCTGCCCGGGTGGCTGCCCCTCCACCGCATCTTGAGGAAGCCACTGCTGTTCGCAAGTCCTCTCGTGCCACTCGCCCTCGTGACTTCTACGAGCCTGAAGGCCCTTCACTAACTATTCGACCTCGTCTTCCCCCGCCCTCTCGCCGCACTGTCGCCAGACCTGTGCCTATCCCCTTTGCCAGAACCACCCCGCGCGTTTTCGTAGACGCACGACTAGCTCCGGGCCATGTCGGACAGGGATCTGGAGGGTTTGCGGAAAAAATTGACAGAGAGGATTGAGAGGGATGGGATGAAGGGCATGGCAGTGTCGGAGGAGGTAAAGAGGCGCGCAGAGGATATTGACTGGGGATGAGGGCGGAGAGGGAAAGGCTGAAGAAAACAAGGACGAGGATGATGATTAGTTTAGCTTGGATGAGGACGAGCCTATGGAGGGGGTGACAGAGGCCTGGCCAGCAGGCGTGGAGAAGGGTTCAGCGCGCGAAGGCTGGAAAGTGGGTGATCATATGAAATTCATAGACTCGGGGGCATACTTTAGCTGTGGCTGTATGTATCAATAGGTCACTTGCGACCTCATTCCTCGCCCTAGTACTGAGTGGTATTGGCAGCCATTCCTTCCCCGGTGCTGTGCCTCCACCAGCCATCCTCGGTCTCCCGGGAGCATGGCGTAAGCATCCAACACCACAAAAGCTGGTAACCACACAGTCCCATCCCGTCCATGCACGATGTCTTCCCTGCCCCCGCCCTGTCGCCTCGTCGCAGCCCATGCTACGGACGGCACCCCCGTCCTGAGCGCTCCTCGAGCACCACTTTCCCTCGGCCGACACCGACACTGCCACACTCAAAGCCCAGGTACTCTTTCTTCAGCCGGACCTCGTCACCAAGCCAGAAAAGGCGGTAGAGTGGGCTGAAGCAAGGCCGGACAAGATCTCGCATGACGATGCTATCAGTGTGCGGTATGTTGGTGAGTCACGTATCAGTTGAAGTTGGATGTTGGCTGATCCAACGAAGTAAATCTGCCTCCCAGCGCGGATGTATTTTTCCATTTCACCCAGACAATCGGTATGTTTCTCCTCCACTCTACATACGCTGACCCTGGCAGGCTATCCCGTGATCACGCACGACAAACTTGAGATGGAGCTACACGACGGGACCAAGACGATCGTCCATCCTGGTGACCTAGTAGTGCAGGCTGCCATCATTCACCGATGGAACAATCTCGAGCCAGAGTGGGCTCGTGCGTTTGCTTCTTTGAATCAGTGCAGATGCTAATGATTCATAGGCTTTATCGCATTTGTGGGTCCTTCCGAGGCGGTGAAAGTGGACGGAAAGGGGTTGGAGGAGCCGCCTTTCAATGGATATCTTGTCAAGTTTGAGAAAGAGCAAGGTCTCGATGAAAGTGCACAATACATACAAGTACAAGTACATCCCAAAAGCCCAAAAAGTAGTCATACAAAATATCTATCGCGCTATCTCGTAGACACGACGACCGCAACGACAACGATTAAAGCTATGAGAAGAGAGAACCCGCAGAACGCCCATATACACCTCTTGGCGTATTTGAGCTCCGTCTGGAAACAAGTCAGCTTGTGTCATGATGCCACAGGTACAACATACCCTGCGGAGAATCTCAATCATCTCTTCAAGCTTCTGTGCCCTTTCAGGGTCAACTTCGTCCTCTACTGGCCTCAAAGGGATCCACAAGCTAAGCAGAGTCAGCGATGCCACAGGAGAAAAGAAGAAACTCACATGGTCATCCCTATGAGCCACAGAAGAGGACACACGAAGCCATATTGCCAAAGCGTCTTCGCTAGCGTCTTGGGCTCCATGGTGCTCTCTTCTTCGTAGATTGGCAGCGACTCGCTCGTGAGCTCGACGTCGCTCGGCGACCCCAAGCTGAGGTCGTATGGGTATTGCGGCCTAGCGTTCCCAGAGTACGCAGGCGGCTGGGTGGGGGTCTCGGGGCTTTCGGGAGACGGAGCTGTGGGGGTGGGGTCGACTGGGAGAATATAGACGGGTGGTTCAGGAGTCGGAGGGGTAGAGCCGCTGGGAGTGCCTTCCGAAAGGTTGGAAAGCTCGAGGGCAAACTCGGGGCTGGTAGGGGTGACGGTTACGGGCTTGCGCCTGATGGACGCGGTGGACCTGCGGTTTGCGATGTAGGCGGGGGCTGGGGGCTGGGGGATGGAGGCAGAGGCAGAGGCGATGGAAGACATGGTGTGGTGATGGACGGGATGATGACCAGGATGATGGCTGGATGGCTGCACATATACATACCCCCGCTCCCTTCACCCCCTCGTCGCCATCAAGGGCTGCTCGATGCAGCGATGAGCGAGTGATGCCCAAACATCCTTTCCAGTCAGCCCCTCGTCCCGTGCCTCGCATGTGCCTCGCACCGAGTCTCCGTTGCCGCGCGACGCCAGTCCTAATCGTGTTGTCATCCATTAGCAAAGCGTGCTAATCGGGGATCGAGTTGACTGGTGAGGTCAGCCATGCAGTCTGTTCATTCCGATCCCATGTTCCCATCCATTCCATCCCACAGCCATGGCAGCCAACGCACAGCCCGCAATCAATACTTTTTCTGATTTATGGACTGAAAATCCGATGGTCCGCGCGGCTCATGAATGCTAGTGCATGCATGGCCATGAATGGAGATGAGAGGAGGCATTGAGCCTCTGTATGCTGCAACGAGGAAAGAACGTATTGTCACAGCTATTTACAGCCCATAGTTGGAGAGTACAGATGGTGGTCGCACCAACCTCCCACCTTTTTCCGCACCATTCATACTCGAGCGTACGACCTGGGTGGGTCAGTCCATAGCCTCGGGTCTTCTTCATTATCTGCACACCACCTGCCACGTCGTTATGCTAATCGGTTCGGTTACTGTGGTCGGTTGATGATCCACTGCCGCCGCTTGCTGCACTCTCCTTTCACAACCTCACATATCTTGCCCATTCTCTCGCCATAGACGAGCTCCTTTGTTGATCTCGAAGTCACAGGAGTATGAGACATATATCTACAAGGTCCACTGTACAGAACATGAGTCAACACCGAACTACACCCAAGTTTATCCATAATTGAACGCACAAATACGAGCCATCATGTCATCAGAGCATCTTGTACCAGGCAAAAATGGCTGTAAGCTCTTACGGATATGAGATGGGAGTCTTTGCTGAATCTTCCAGTTCCCACCCATGCCGAAGTAGACCACTACCTTCTCCCCAAACTGGCTACCGCCCTATCCCCCGCTGCCGACCCCTCTCTCCCACTTATGGAAGCCCATGCCCTCGCCTCGGGACTTCCCAGTATCGCAGTATCCCCTCTGCAAGGGCAATTCCTGACTGTCCTTGTTTTGTCGATTGGAGCCAAGAGGGTGCTGGAGGTGGGTACGTTGGCGGGCGTCTCGACTTTCTTCCTAGCGAAGGGTATGCCAGAGGACGGGCAATTGGACACCCTCGAGGTAAGCGAGAAGCATGCTCAAGTCGCTCAAGACAACTTTGAGAGAAGCGGAATCGTGCCGAAACCCCGGGTACATGTTGGGCCAGCATCGGAGACGTTGAGAAAGATGGAAGCGCCGGTGGAAGGGCTGTATGATTTCGTCTTTATCGATGCGGACAAGGCGGGCACGTTGGAGTATGTGAAGCAAGGGTTGAGGATGCTGAGAAAGGGAGGGCTGATCGTGGTTGATAATGCTATCAGAGGAGGACGGTAAGGCATGATTTCAGTGCCGAGACGTCAGTCCTGATCAGACTTGACAGAGTTGCCTTGACAGAAGCGCAAGATCCCGACCCCGAAGTCACCGGGATGAGGGCTCTCTTTGATTGGATAGAAGAGGATGACGGAAGGACAGTTCTGGCCAATGTGACCCAGACGATGGGGGCAAAGTTCTACGAGTGAGTAACCAGGAGGTGATGTGACTGTCTCAGGGCTGACCGGCGGTCTTATTAGTGGGTTTGCTATTCTCACCAAGTTGGTGAATTGAGGCAGTGAAGTTTCTGTAGCTTCGAGTATATGTCGCTCCACATTCATGTGATTAGATGGATCAAACGATATGAATACGGTGACGGCGGACTGAGGTAGTGGAAGCCGGAGGCCATGGCAACCTGTGTGTCGAATACAACATATGCAGCCTTGACTGTCATCCGCCTGCTGCCATCATTCAGGACATGGGCCTACGTACCTGCAGCCAGCTCCACGATTGTTTCGAATACCGCCCGTATCGACACAATTGTGCAGCATGCACGTTGTCGCATTCTACGCGTCGCGCCCTGTTGTCGGCGCTCCATGCCGCTATCTATCCAACATCTCCATCTCCACCACCACTGTTCGTATCCACATTCATGACTATATAGGTATTCACATCGCCTTCTATTCCCCCCCGCCCACCGTCGCCAGCATGGCCACCCGCTCTCGAGCCGCCTCCGCCTCCACCTCCGCCTACAACCCCCTTCCGGCCCAAGACGACCACACAGACTCCCCATCGTCCTACCCTTCTTCGAAAACATCGCCCACCCCTTCGGCATTGGATCAAGTGCCATCGAGCGCCAGGGTGAGGTCGGTGGAGAATGGATATAGAGTTGAGGAGGGGTTGGGGATGGGTGCGGAAGGTGCAGACGATATGACATCGGGGCACAGTGGACATCGGCATGCGAGCATAGCCATGAAGAGGAAGCTATGGTGGAGAAATGTCATCATAACGGGGGTCTTCATCGCTGCTTGGTGAGCTTTTAGGATCACTATGGGATGATGCTGACATGGAGCAGGTACATCTTTGCTACATTGCTATCACTCTACAACAAGTGGATGTTCTCGCCAGAATACTACAACTTTCCATACCCACTATTCGTCACAGCCTGCCATATGGGAATCCAATTCGGTCTGGCGGCTGTGATCAGGCATTTCTGGCACGAACGGTTTAGACCACAAGAACGGCCCACGAGGAGAGAGTATCTGACCAAAATCTTGCCGACTGCTGCCAGTACGGGCGGTGATATTGGTCTTTCCAATTTGAGTCTCAAGACCATCACCCTGAGTCTGTACAGTGGGTCCAGGACATCTAAGCGCTACCATCATACTGACACAAATGTAGCCATGTGTAAATCATCGACCCTCATCTTTGTCCTCCTCTTTGCCTTTACATTCCGCCTCGAGCCATACTCTGTCCGCCTCATCCTCGTCATCTGCCTCATATCCTTTGGCGTCTTTTGCATGGTCTTCAACACCACAGCCGTCTCCATCGCTGGCGTCTTGATGGTCTTTTCAGCCTCAGCCTTGGGCGGCTTGCGCTGGGCATTGACAGAGCTGGTAATGCACAAGAAGGCGATGGGGCTCTCCAACCCCTTTGCAACGATATTCTGGCTTGCGCCCTTGATGGCCGTAACTCTCGGGCTGGTGAGCATGGTAGTGGAAGGGTGGGTACGGATATTCCAGAGCGACTTTTTCTCTGGGTGGGTGGCGATTGAGACTGCGGGTGTCATTGCCTTGCCGGGGTCGATAGCGTTTGCTATGGTAGCGAGCGAGTACTTGTAAGTGCGGTGAATGTGAGCGTATTTACTAGGCTGACTCTCATGCAGTGTGATCCAAAGAGCTGGTGTGGTGCCTCTTTCTATCGCTGGGATCTTCAAAGAAGTCTCTACCATCTCGATCTCTGCCTGGGTCTTTGGAGACCAATTGACGACCTTCAATATCGTCGGTGTGGTCATCACCATAACAGGTAGATCGCATCTTTACTTCGAAAAGTGGATACTCATTACGTTTAGGTATCGCGCTTTATTCGTACCACAAGTACTCGAAATCTATTTCAGCCACGCTCGAACTCGATTCTTCCGGCAAGCCCATCCCATCGCTTTCCGATGCCTCCGCCCCCTTGATACCACCATCCGAGTCGCACGAATACGCTCCAGCGCCTTCATCATCCGATGATCCTGTTCCCCTCTCATATCTCTCTTCCAACAGCACCAGCCGTGCTTCGCAACACCCCCCACTGAGAGAAAGCGCAGAGCGGGCACGAGAGGAGGAGGATGAGAGGCAGTTGAAGGATGACTTTGAAGGATGGGATAGACCTGGAGGTGCGGGGAGTGACAGTGAAGAGGAGCTGGATGAGATCGAAGAGGACGAGGTGGAAAGGCGGAGAGCCGAAAGGCAAAACGGGAGGGGTCTGTCAGATACGGGACGCAGCAAGGGATGGTGGGGTGAATGGCTAGATAAGAGCATGTGATAAGGGTTTGTGCTTGTAGACTATATACTGTTAGGTAGACGGGTCTGGTGTCTTGATGCTATGCTTACACCCGCAAACGTGTCCAGGGCAAAACGCGATGGTCATACCACCCTGCAAACACCTGTACTGATGTGCCGCAAAGACTGATTCCACTATCCTTGGCATGAAACTCCATAACAAGCGTAAGAGGGTTCGGGTAGTGTACAAACAAATAGAATGGCAAAGATTTTAGGTGTGACAAACGTCCATGCGTTTTTGAAAGATCCGATCGAGTTCACTTCTGTAGCACCCAGTGTCTAAAAGAGAATTCGAGCAGCTCCAAGACCGCCAGCGACAGCCAAAGAGAGGAAGGAGAGACCACTGAAACCAGCGGGGATGGCAGCACCGAGCTGACCGGCGCTGGAAGAGGCGGAAGAAGAGGAGGCGGCCCCGGTCTGAAATGGCAGACACATCAGCACCATTCTATAGCGCTATGGGTCTGAAACTTACAGTCTGAGCAGCCGAAGTGCCGACGACACTGGACGAGGCCCTTGTAGTGGTGTTGTACTTGGTCAAGCCGGAAGACCTGGCAGTGTTGGCCGAAGTCGTGGCCGCGGCGCTAGAGGAGCCTTCGGCGGTACTGCAAAAGAGTCAGCTCATATATACACCAAGCAAATCGAATGAGCTTGCCTAGAAGCCGTCTCTTCGGTACCCTCAGAAGAGTCGGTCGCACTGGCAGTAGCCTCGCCGGTACCATCTTCAGAGCTCGAGTCGGTGGCAGAGGCAGCAGCATCGTCAGTGCTCGAGTCGGTTTCCTCGGCACTTCCGTCGTCCGAAGTCGAATCGGTCGCCTCAGCACTTCCGTCATCGGTAGAAGAGTCCGTCGCAGAGGCCGAAGAATCGTCCGAAGAATCGTCCGAGCCATCGTCGCCAGAGTCTGTATCAGACGTGCCCGAGTCATCCGACGAGGAATCGTCACTCCCATCGTCGCTCCCATCGCCGGTCGTGGCACCACTGTCAGCGGACGCGTCGTCCTGTCGCTTGAGGACGTAGTCCGCCACGTGGGCGGCAGCGGCGACGTTGCGGGCAGCAATAAGGTGGCCCGACTGTTCGCGGGCTGCGAGGGCGTTGTCGGTGTTGAGAGGGGTCGGGGAGGCGGTGGCGAGAGAGGCGAGGAGGGAGAGGGAGACGGTGAGGGGGAGAGTGAGCTTCATGGTGGTGGTAAGGAGTGTGGGTATGGGAAGCAATAGAAGAATGAGAAGAAGAAGAGAAATGGAGATAAGATACGGGGGAGAATATATGGGAAGCGGGGAAGCTGTGCGCGACGGGAGCAAAAACAAACACAACGCGTCCGTCCGTGCCTGGCCCAGAACACGTCTATTATTCGAGTGGTGGCCCATGACCTCTTGCATCTCGTCAGCCTCGCACTCAAGCCATGTCTCGCACAGGACATGGCATGCTCCAATGGAGACAGGTGGGGGCTCGTGTTGGCAGCGCTCTTGCGGGTCTTGCCAGCGTCGCGCAAAGCTGACCCACGTTTCATCTGCGTGCGTTGAATGTCAGCACCGCCCCTGGTGTCGCGCTACCAATGATAGCTCGCGAACTGTACGGCATGACGTGCTTTCACTGTCTGCCGTCTACACTAGCCATTTGACTCGAGCACGGCGGACCAACAGCGCGAACCATGTACAATACTAGGGATAGTACTGCACTCAGCATACAGCATGATGACGGTTGCAGCGCCTTCCTCTTTAATTTCGTTTGCTACCTGTCAACGTCAGCAGCTGCAGTCAACCGTCAGTGTCACAAATCTAGAAATGCACCTCCCTTCTCCTGGGGACTGCCTCTCTTCATGTCTGGTGCACGCCTCGGCCTCCCTGACTTCTCCCTTTGATCATGTCTGGATGAAGGGAATTACCCATGAGCTCTGCCATATATCTACTACCCATATCTTGGATGCTTAGACAGACCCTCTACCATCCACCATGCGACTCCCTCCCGAGCTGATGCTGCTCGTAGCCAAGCAGCACCAATCTCAACATGCCTTCGGTACTCTCTCCAGTCTTCTCCGTACTTCCAGTGGGATATACGATCTCGTCGCGCCTCTCCTCTACCGGAACTTGTTCATCATGACTGATAATGCCCACAAGATCTTTGTCAGTCTCGAGCCTCACAAGTTTGGAGAGGTGATCACCGAGGAGAATGATGAGCAAAAAGAGAGAGAGTTGAGGGATGAGATCAGAGATGAGTGGACTCTGTGGCCTTCCGTACCCATCAAGCTACCTTCCGACCTCGCCCCCTTCCCGTCCTTGACCTCATCTTCCTACATTTCGTCCCCAGCCACACATCGCCGCAAGCTCGCCCTCCTCGCGCACACCCGCTCTCTCGCCCTTCTGTCCTTGCCTACCCCACCCGAAAGCAAGATCCTGTTACCCCTATTTCCTGCAAGGTCACCTGTACCCCTTCCTTTGATGCCCAATCTGGCACAAGTCACGTTGGAGGATGAATTCATAGTCCAAGCAGGGGACCATCTTTCGAGACACTGGGCAGGACCGCAGAGGACGAGTACGCCTGTACCCCGGCACCCATTCATCGACTTTCTCCTCCTCTCCACCCCTCCTCGCCTCGACGCGCTTACCTTTCACTTTCCACTCCTCACGCCTGCCCTCAAGCAGGCATTCAACGATCTGAGAGAAGGTCCGGAGGATGTCGTCAAGCGCTGCACGGTGGGAGGTACGAGGCACAGAAGGATGCAGCACGAGTGGAGTCTGTTCAAGGAAGAGATACTCGGGATGGGGCTGATGCCCTTGACATTCCACTGGAAGGGCGAAAGAGTGTATATGGATGGGGTCACTTGTTCCGCCGTGCCCATGCCGAGGAAAGGCGTCGTGACGATCAAGTATGATCCTTGCTCTTGCCGCTGCGAGGACAAGGTGGAAGGCGAGCCGGCTAGGGACTGTGCCAATCACGTAGACGCACAGAAACGGACTGGACAGATCCTAGAGACAATCAAGCCGACGTATGATGCGGTATTTGCCGCTTCTGCGGATGACATTGAGCAGTGGGTCTTTATCGATGTCGAAGATGTCGAAGGAGGTGGCGGCGATGATGGGGTAGAAAGTCAAGTGAGAAGAACTCTGGGAGACATTGAACGATCCAGTAGAGTCGTATTCTCTTCGTTGAAGGAAAAGACTAGAAGTGAATAAGACCTGTGACAATTAGATTATGTATCTGCATAGCCGAATCGTAAGGAAAGGTAAAAGAAAGTCATGCGAAGCTCCACTCCCGCTCCTCATACAACAATGCCCCTCCACCTCCAACAGCATCTTAAATCTGCACTTTCGTCAGTTACATTCCACCCCACGGATAAGATAACTCACGTATTGACTCAACCATCGGAAACCTTCACCGTAACCTTGTCGCATGACGACAGAGCACATGAAGACTTCGATAGGTCGGATGTCACGGAGAGGGACCTTGCCCTTACCGGTGGTCTGGTACAGGCCGAGGTCATGCCTGAGCTGCTCTTCCGAGACGGCACCGAGGGCGTCAATCTTGTTACCGAGGATGAGGAAAGGAACTTGGGCGAGAGCCTCGATAGACACTGCAGGAATAAGCCATGTCCACACGAGTTTGGTGCGTACTCACAAAGAGAGTCCAATTCGGCCTTGCTCTCCAAGAACCTCTCGGGGTCCGCGCTGTCTACCAAAAAGACGATACCGTCTACTTCAGGGAAGTAGTCTCTCCACAATCGTCGGGCTTGCAAATGTCCACCAAGATCGTAGGTGGTGAACTTGACGTTGCCAATGGCGAGTTCTTCAGAAGCTACAAAGCGATAAGCAAATGTCCCTCCACGTGCCGCGCCCTCTATCCTCCTGCCAGCTCCACAGTGTTCCTTCCGCCAAAGCCCCTTTCTTCCACTCCATTTTTACTGCCTTCGGCGACTCACTGGGGTGAAGGGTGGGTTGGAGGGTAGCAAGACGGTCGTTCTTGAGCATGTGGAGGAGGGTCTACAGACAATGTCAGCATGATATATCCAGTACTCGGTGTTCCGCCGTGACTTGCAGTCTTTCCCGCATTATCGAGACCAAGGAACAAGAGCTTTGCGCCTGGATCAACGTCAGTCTTGGTTATTGAATCCACGTTATCCATCTCGACATACTCTTGTTCATAAGACCTATACATGCATGTCAGTGATTGATCGCGTCCGCGCTTCATGTGACCTACCGAGGGAAGAGAGGACGTCCCAGAACCAATTCTACATCGCCCGTCAGCTACCACTCTGCCCTGCCCCTGCCGACGTACGAGGATGAACATGGTGTATAGTTTGTGGGTTGATGCAGGAGGAATAGCAATCTCTCTGAGACGTCAGTGACAGCGCGCCATCGGGAATATCTTGGTGTCTTGTGTGGCAGTGGAGGTGCCCGCCGGCCTCATTCCCTTCAACGCTCCCGAATGCTGCTTTCATCGTGTACAACCTTCGAAGGCCACATCGAGTCAGTCAGTGGCAATAGGTATATATATATTCTGATTCTGATCTACCATCTATAATCTAGTAAGGCTACTTGGTCAACATGTCGTCTCCGTTCCCTGCCTCAGCCGACCTCCAGAAGCCCGTCAGCGTCTTGTACGTACATTGTCTGCCATATTATAACCCACGACTGACTCTTGTATAGCTGTGGATCATCCCCAGGAAAGCTTCCTCTTTTTACCAAGGCCGCTCAGGCCGTTGGTGAAGCGCTGGCCCGAGCGAACGTGCCCGTCGTATATGGTGGTGGCCGTCGAGGGATAATGGGTATGTTTCCCGTCATTCTTCTGTCTCACTGCTCATGAATCTACAGGTGTTGTATCTCAATCAGCCCTCACGGCTGGTGGATATGTGCACGGTATCGTTCCAAACGCTCTCGTGGAAGGTGCAGCCGAGTCCCCCGCTGCCTCCTCCGCAGTTACCGCAGAGGCCAATGCCCAGAGCAAAGAAGGCTCTGGCGAGGAGATTGTCAAAGACGAAACCCAAGAAAAGTTGACAACTCAGGTCGTCGGCACCATGCACGAGGTGCGTTCTCCACTCTTGAAAAGTACCAGGCAAACACATCGCAGCGTAAACTCGCCATGGCCAACCTCTCTACCGGAGGCTTCATCGTCCTCCCCGGAGGCTACGGCACATTCGAGGAAGCCCTCGAGATGATCACTTGGAACCAGCTAGGTATCCACCGTCTACCCGTCATCATCCTGAACATTGGAGGGTTCTATACCAACCTCTACAAGCAATTCGAGAGCTCGGTCCAAGCTGGGTTCGTCGCGGAGGAAAACCTGGCGCTCTTGAAGCTCGTAGAGCTCGAAGGTGGGGCCGAGGGAGAAGAAGGCAGGGCAGAAGAGTGGGGTGCTGCAGCGTTGAAGGCACTGAGGGAGTGGAACTTGGACGTGAGTACTCTTGCCTACCATCTCACCCCAATCGCTGACCTGTGCAAAGAGCAATGCCGGGCTCAAACTCGACTGGAGCAATACGTCCACCCCCAAAGCCAATGTATGATCCCCTCCCCTATAGACTCTATATCATAGAGGCAAATGTAGCATATGCATATTGACACTGTCCTTTTTTGTATCCAGGTCTCATCGCCAACCTATGTCTTTTCCACTTTGCGGTATACTTCTCAGCAGCATGCGGGCAACATCGCCCTCCTGGAAACACACCTCGAGAGACTGCGAGAAGCTTTCACACACTTTTCCACCTTAGAGCCGGCGAGATGGGGCACATGGCCAGGCGATGAGACCCTCGTCACAGCTCTGAATACAGCATTGAAACAAAAGGACGAGCAAGGCCCGCATGATTCCCGAGTACGCTGGGTGGTATACCCTGGGGGAAAGGTCGAGGTGCAGATGCCTCCTGCGCCGAAAGATTCTGGCAAGTAGCAGTCTTCAATGCTGCACTGGTGGCTCCGGCTGACGATCAGCAGTCTTCAGCCTTGATATCCCAACTGAGAAATCGCCCCAACTCCGACCAGTAGTCCTCGACCCGCAAGTCACCCACATTGCCCGCGAAAATCAGTCCGGGAAAGACTATCGCCTGTACAAGACTGACCAGAGGGAGATGTACGACGCCGTTTACGCCCGAGGAGGTACGTGAGCATGCCTTCTTAATTTCACAAAAGGCTGATTTGACCAGGCCAATTGTCGGCGGAACACCCCGAAGTCATCATTCACAACGGTACCCATCTACTAGAAACGACAACTTCCAATATCGCCATTCTGAGATCCACAGAGCAGAGGTGGATAACCCCGCGTATAGGCAGTTCGACCCCGCTATTGAACGGGGTGTTGAGGAGATACTTGCTCGAAAAGGGTGCCATTGAGGTGGGCGAGTTGACACTGCAAGACCTGGACATGGTCAAGAAGGGCCAAGCCCGGCTGATCGGATTCAACGGCTTGCGAGGCATATGGGAGGGAAGGATCCTCTGAAAAATGTATAAAGTCCATTGAAAGTAACATCGCGCGCTATGATACATGTCACGATGACAAAACTTTTCCAAATCGACTAACGGAAGCCTTTGCAAACATCACAGCGTCAAGCTGAATTGATACAAAGGGAGAATACGTATGGACAATCAAAGGAAGGGAAAAGACGCCAGGGTAATAGAGGTGCTGGGAAAGTAATAGGATTCACAGAATGCTATGACAGAATAGGATGGGAGTATGTTTATTTATCGGTAGAAGAAAACAGGGGTATCGTTATCGCGAGAGCAAATCACTGGGACTGGCTTAGCTGTTGGCGGCGTACTACAAATAATGTCAGCCATGTCTCTCGATAGCAAATTGTACTTACCCAAGCACCGAGAGAGGTGATACTGCCGTCGGGGTTCATGAGGGCATTGTACTGCTCAACACCCTGCATGTCCTTCATGACGCCGAAGGGAGAGTATCGCTCGACGTAGTCTTGCTGGTCGAACCAAGCAGCCATCTCGGTGTGCAAGTTCCAGACTGTCAAAGATCAGTATTGCCCCTTTTCAGGCGTTGGCTCGACTCACTCTCCTGGTCAGTGCACTGGGCACCGCCGTTAAAGTTTTGGCAGGCATACTCGGTGACCCAGAGGTTCTGGCCGACACCGTCGTGGAAGCTCTCGACGTAAGACTTGAAGCCGTCGATGGTGACGTCGTACCAGTGAATGGGCACAAAGCTGCACACGATCAGCTTTACAAACTTGGGCAGAGTCGTACTTACTCGGAGGTACAGTCGGCCTCAGAGTTGCCGTACTGGACACAGGCGGTCTTGAAGTCTTGGACCCACTGGAGACCTGAAGGTGCGTTGGTAGTGGCGGCACCACCGAGTCGGACGCCCTTGGAAGAACGAAGGGGAAGGTAGTCGTTCATCCAGTACTGGACGGCGTCACCAGCGGAAATGTCACACTGGCCAGACTGGTTGGGCTCGTTGAAGAAGAGAGCATTCTTGACGGTGGAAGGCCAGTTGCTCTGCTGAGCCCACCAATCGCCTGTAACAGAGTCAGTTGCGCACGTGCTTGTTGAGAGCAAGGCTCACTTTGCTGCTTGAGACCCCAGTACATGGGAACAAACTCTACGTTGAGCTGGTCGGCAGAGCCCTGGGTGAATGTCAGTTGTGTTCGATACAACGGCGATCCGACGTACGACAGAGAAAGGAGACCAGGTGTAGTACCAGGAAGTTTTGGTGCCAACATAGTTGCCGACATAGTCGGGGCTGGTAGAAGTAGCCCAGTCACCGTTGGGCCAAGCAAGACCGAACTTGGTGGTACTGCCAGTACTGACGGTGGCAAGGCTACCAGTGACATCGGTAGACTGGGCGCTGTTGGAGCTAGCGGTGGAGGAAGCCGCCTGGGTAGAAGAGACCGAGTCGGTGAACGAGACATCGGCGACAGAGGACGAGTCGGTGTCAACGGCAGCCACCTGCAAGTCGGCAGCGGAGGCGGTGGCCGATGCGGTGGCAGAGGCGGTGCTCGAGACGTCCGTAAAGGTGGAAGACGCAGTGTTCTTCGCCTTGCAGATGGTGCCGTCCGAGCGTCGTCGGAGGGTCCTCTTGGCGCCGGCAGAGCGCTTCTTGTCCTGCTGGGCAACATTGTCGGCGAGTCGAGCAGCGAGGTGTCGGTGGTGTTCTCGGCTTTGAGGGACGGCGAGAGCAGTCTGGTGTTGACAGGGTCGAGAATGACGTAAAAAAGGAGGGTGTCAGCGTAACGCGCCAAGAGGGTTGTTGGGGACCGGGTGGAGATGGTCTACCCGCTCAAAGAGCATCGTCGAGACGGTTTTGCAGCGCCACGAGGATACGATTTGGGGGCTGGATGACGGGACACGACTCACAGGAGCATTCTCAAGACCGGTAAGGGCCATACCCAGAAGGGCAAGCGCAGGGAGGAGGTCGATCAACTTTGCAGCAGCAATCATCGCGACGGGTTATTCTTCTGGGTGGGTGGTAGAGAGTCGTTACTGGACGTTATAGGCCAAGGCGCGCGTCGTGAAAAACTGGAGGGGGTGAAGAATTTGAGGGTGGGTGCTGTCTCTAGCGGTGGTGGTAGGCTGTGTGGGTGGTTGGGTGAAGTGGGCGGGCGGTGGTGAATGGTCGTGAAATGAGCGTTGTGGGTCGGTGCGGGCGGGGACAGGAGACGCGATGTGCTGGGAAAAGAAAGAGAAAGAAAGAAGAAAGAAGAAAGAGAGATGGGATGCAAATGGGGCCGGGACATCCCCTGGCCCCTGTAGTCGAGACAATAACGGAGAGCAGCGCCCTAGCGCGGCCTGAAACGACAACAACAGATTGCGGATTCTTGCGGATTACATACGCTGCTACGGATCGCAATTCTGGGCGTCTTGCCCGTTTTGTTATCACGGGAGCAGATTCCGGGCCAGCGCGTGACCGAGATCGGGACGAGTAATGCGCGTTCCTGGACGCGTCGTAGCTATCCCCTTTAAGTTGTTTTTGTGCTCTCTTGCAGCTCAGCCACACTCGGGGATGGCGCTCACCTCCACCTCCACCTCCACCCCCGCCCTCCTCGCCCTCGCCCTCGCCGCGCACCTCGCCCTCATCCTCTACGCCGAGCACGTGGACGCACACCCCCACCAGTATGCCGGCCTGCGCTACACGGACGTAGACTGGCGCGTCGTCACAGATGGCGCCCGCATCATCTTCCGCCCGGCGACCGGCCAACACGCCACCGGGTGGCTCGCTCGCAGACTCGACTGGAGTATCGGAGAGTAAGTGGGCGGACAATGTAATCCCTCGTACTCACTCGCCGCAGTCCGTACCATCGAGCGACGTTCAGATATACGCCCCTCCTGCCCCTCTTGCTCTCCCCGAGCATCCTCTCCAACTTTCTCGGAAAGATAGCCCTGGCTCTGCCTTCTCTGCTGATACCTGTGCTCCTTTTGTCTGGGCCCGACCCAGCGCCATTCTGGCCTACTCATCTGCTATGGACGCTCAATCCGTTCACCCTCAACATCACTACCCGCGGATCACCAGAGGCTGCTATATGCTTCCTTGTCGTTGCCACCCAATACTTTATCCGCCTTGGAGGTCCATCTGGTGCAAAGGGACGAGGAGAAGGAAGGGCCGCCGTCATGCTCGCTCTGGCGGTCAGCTGGAAAATCTATCCCGCAATCTATATTCTTGCCATTTGGAAAGAACTCGCCGGGCGATGGGGATGGCTTGGCCTTCGAGTATGGAGGTTTGGATTCATCGCTTTGGTGTCGTTTGTGGCTATCAACGGTGCTTTGTGGTCCATGTACGTTTTGCAAACGTCAGCTGTGTGTGAGCTCACAATTTTTGCAGCTGGGGCCAGCCGTTCCTCGACCACACCTATCTCTACCACCTCACCCGCCTTGACCACCGACACAACTTTTCGCCCTACTTTTACCCCATCTACCTCTCTCTCTTCCCTTCCTCCTCTCGACTCTCATCAGCCGTCATCACAATCCTCCGCCACCCCCTCACCTCATTCCTCCCGCAACTCTCCCTCATCCTCGCCTCGTCCTTCATCCCAGCAAAGCTCGACTTTGTCTTGTTCCTCCAGACCGCCATCTTTGTCACATTCAACAAAGTCTGCACATCCCAGTACTTTATGTGGTTCCTCCCGCTCCTGCCGCCCATCCTCCCGCACCTGGCCATCACCCGCACCCGGGCGATCGTACTGCTCGGCGCGTGGGTCCTTGCACAGGCCGTGTGGCTTGCTTCGGCGTACATGCTGGAGCTTCAAGCGCGGAGCGTTTATTTGATGGTGTGGGCGGCGGGTTTGGGTGTGTTTGGGGCGAGTGTGTGGGTTTTGGGTGAGCTGGTGGAAAGTTGGAGATGATGATCGTTGTTGTTTTTGGTGATAAGCTACCTGTGCCGGACAAGGACACCATTTCGAGGCGACTACCCTCGCAAAGCGACTGCGGCAATATGCCCGAGTTGATCAGTCCTTGCTGGGTTGAAGCGTCGGGAGCGGCCAGCGGCGTGATGTGCATCACTCTGCTAGTGTAAGCAGAATTCAAAGTAGCTACATGATATAATGAATGAAGAATCCAAACGTGATAAAAGACTAGCTAGGGTTGATACTCCACAAAGTCTTCTCCGCCTAGATGTCCTGTCGAAGGAGACTCTTTTATAAAAGCGGTGCAGTCGTGAGGGCAGACTGGAATACGAAGGAAGAAAAGAAAAGATGCTCTATATTACATGCCCGAATGCTTGACCCAGTGTTCAGAGAAAAACGACAGCGCTCAACACGGCGCCCACAACCGACCAGCCCCCAATAGCCACACGAGAAGCCGAAGATGAGCTTGAAGTCGACGAGCTGGACGAGGAAGAGCCAGAGTTGGTGCTGGATGAATCGTTGACGGCGACGACGCCCCCAGATGAGCTACTGCTGGATGAAGAGCTTGCAGCTTGGGCAGATGCAGACGAGGGGGAGCTGGAGCTGGTATCGGCTGAAGCGCTTGTGGATGCAACAGTCGAGAGGGACTCTGAAGAGACCGACGAAGGCGAGCCTTCTACGGCCGATGAGCTAGAAGTGCTACACGATGGTGAGCTTGGTCGTGTATGGGGAATGATGGACCTACGCGCTGGATGGGTCGCTATACGAGCTGCTGGAGGCAATACTGGCAGAATCTATCTAGGCATCAGCACCCTGCTTTCCCTCGCCTTGCATGACACTCACCGCTCGCTCCACCAACAGCAGTGGCACTGTCATTCCCGCTCGTCCCTGCACTCTCAGTCGTACCATTGCTGGTCCCATTACCCGCCGCACTGCTCGAACTGTTTGCTGCTCCAAACTTGACACACGAATCATCATCGCTGTCCGTTACGTTGATGTTTTGGACGTAGCCGGTCTTGCCGTCCGCATCGACGACCTGGAAGATGAGGCTCTGCCCGGCGGCGACGTCGACGAGCCATTCGGTAGAGTAGTCGTTCGTTCCAGTGGTGAGGTTGGCGACAGAGGTGCGGCCAATGTAGTAGCCGCCTTCGGCGATCTCGAGTGTCACGGGAGGCTAGAAGGGTGTCAGCCGGGAGCTTTGGACAGACAAAGAGACTTACGTTGGCACCGGTCCATGAGATGTTGGCGGTACCGCACTGCGAAACATTCTCTGCGTATACTGAAATGCCATCGGCTGAGAGCACATCAGTACGGACAAGACCACTTGTTGGAAGAACTTACTGGGTGCACCAGCATAGATGTTGCCCAGTTCCGAGCTGTTTCCAGCTATGGCGGCGGTGGTGGCAAGGGCCAGGGCTGAGAGCAGTTGGATGGCGGGTCTCATAATGTAAATGATGCAAAGCAAAGAGTGGTGTCGTGACTCGGGGCCAATTATAAAAAAGCAAGTGGGTGGTTGTTGTTTCGCCGGTGTGTGTCGGATGTATGTGTGTGGGTGGAGTCTCGGCTCGGGCAGAGAAGGAGTCTGAGTGGTAATTGAAAGGAAAGAAAGGAAAGAATAGGAATTGAGATATAGATGTGAAGCCACCAAAGACAACGAACACGTAAAGCGTAAAGCCAGAAGCACACTCGAGGGTTTTAGCGTGGAGTTTATAGACGCGTCTGGTCCCGAAGCAGATCTTGCACGGTCAGTATGGAGTCATGGCAAGCATGTCTGCAACGCTGAGCAGGGTTGCGAGATAGTTAGGAGAGCAGTATCCTGTAGCTACCTCGACTTATAACAGTAGAGCATGGCCTGCAATATCGCAAAGACATCACCCAACCCCGGTCGCCGACGCGTTTTCAGGTCCAATACGCGTCTGTCAAAAATGAGAACAGAAAAAGAAGGTGTTGAGTACATATTTCGACTGCTATACACAGTGAATTTGTATGATCTTGTAAACGCTCTGAATGTATGCACTCTCTTGCAAAATTGTAGGAGTGCTCCTCTCGTGCTGCATGACCGACCCAGCCTTCGTAACATGTACGTAAGCACCAGGAGCATCGGCGGCCCCCGCTTCCCTCCACCTTCCGCTCCTGCGTCCTCGCTTTCAAAATATTCCTCTGAACCCCAAAGCAAGCCAGACACAATCACCATGGCCCCAGCATCAAAGCAAAAATCCAACGTCGCCCTTTTGACGGAAGGAGCGTCGTATATCCAGCGGGCGAAGAAGGCCAGGAAGGATCAGGTGGAGGAGATCAAATTTGACGATGAGGCTAGACGGTAGGCGCCTCGCGACATGGAACACTGGAAAGCAGGTTACTGATATACATGCAGCGAATGGTTGACAGGATTCAGCAAGAGGAAGAAGGCCAAGGTCGAGGAGAAGAGGAGCAGAGCAAAGGAGAGAGAGAAGCAAGAACATTTGGATGAGAGGAAAAAGGTATGTACTCTGTATATGATCGTGTAGTCATGAATGGCAGACTAATTTGATCTAACAGGCTAGGAAGGAACTCAGAGAAAGAGCCGCTGCCAACGTCAAGTCTGTTCGTCAAGCTATGGGTCTTGTAGACGAGAGCGAAGGTTGGTTCTTCACACCATCCCGCCCAGATACCTTCTCACACATTCTGCAGATGAAGACGAAAACAATGAAGCTGGACCTTCATCAGCCCCTGTGGATGAGGAAGAAGAGTTTTCAGACGATGATCAGATCGCCACCGTCACCATCACCGAAGACTTTGACCCCACCACCACATCTTCCTTCATTCCCACCCGCTCTTCCCAGTCGCCCGCACCTGAACAAGTCGAGGCCCCTGCACCCGAAGTGAAAAAGGTCAAGATGCTTCCTCCTTCGTCCAAACGAGCCCAGAAGGCGCTGGACAAGAAGAAGGCCCAAAGCAAGGATGGCAAGAAGGTCGGTCGAACGACTTCTATGGAAACAAAGGCGGAGAGGAGAAAGGGCAAGGAGATAGAGTCGAGGAAGCGAGGCAAGAAGGCTGCTTTGGCTATGGAGCGAAGGGGAGGCAAAACGTCATCTACGCGAGGCAAGCCAAAGGGCAAGGGGAGGCGATGAGCAGATGTGGGGATGGGACGATTGTATGTTTACATGTATGTATGATACCTAACGACTCTGCCGTCTCTCGGCCATCTCGACCTCTTCCCGCGGCATCCCTTGTTGCCCGTCCCCCGTATCATCAAACCTCTCTATCTGCGATCGCTCCCAGCGCTTCGACAACAGCCCGTCGATGTCGTATTTGAAATTGCTCCAGGCGTCTGTCCGCATGTCAGCTGCGTTTTTGGGCGCTTAGACTGAACCAACCTGTGAAGGTAGCCTGGATAGCATTCCATCCGGTCTCGCCAGCGTATCCGCGATCGCCTTGTGCCCGCAAGCGCGCCGTCAAGTAGTACATCGGTACCCCCGACCCAATGAATACTACGGGAATCAGCTGACTTCGCCGTTACATGGGATTGTAAGCTCACCAACAGCCGCGAAAGCCTCCCATGGGGCTGCAAAAATTGGCATGAGCAGTAGGAACGCCGCTACCAGACAAAAAACAATTGGCGTAATCAACCAGGTCTTGTAGGGTCTCGCCAAATGAGGTTCCTTGACGCGAAGCATGAGAAGACCCAAGACGGTGAGGAGATAGAAGGTCCAGCCTGAGACGGAAAGAAAGTTGAGAAGCACTGCACAAAATGTCAGTGGCAAGAAGCAGGAAGTGTTCCAGAACCTCACCTCTAAAACCACCACCAAATACAATGAAGAGCACCGTGAGGGAACTGTTGAGGAGGATGGCATAATCGGGTGTTCGTCTGTTGGGGTGGAGCCTGGAAAAGATTGAGGGGAGGAAATGCTCCCTGGAAGCGGCATAGATCAATTTCGCAGCTTGTCCAGGATCAGCTCGAGCGCCATGACCAAAGTACAGTCACGCACTTGTATAAAGTCCACCATTCAGCGCCCCGAAGCAGCTGATAGCCACCAGAGTCGTAAAAACTACTGCTCCGAACTTTCCTATTGACGCCTTGCCAAAGTCGAGTGCCACTGTATTGGATGAAGCAACGACCGAAGGGTCCAAGACGACAAAGTAGGCGAGGTTGGCAGTGACGAAGAGGGTGAGGACGGTAGCCATCGAAGAGTGAAGAGCCCGCGGAAGGTCGCGATTGGTGTCACGCATCTCGCCAGCAACATACTGAAAAAGAAGTGAGGTTCAGGAGCCAAAGAGATGTATGGACTTACGCAGCAAGAGTCCCAGCCGTCAAACGCCCATAGGCCAGAGTACAGAGCGATAGCCCAATTCCCGGGATCGCCTACTGTACCATCGAATACTTTGCTAGGCTTCAAACCCTCTCCAGGTCCATCCTTGACAAGCGCAATGACACCAAGCACAGCTACAAAGACTAGAGTGCAGATCTTGATGAAGGTGAGCACGACGGCAGAGTTGGTACCCATGGTAGGAGAGACGGCGTTGAGGAGGGAGCAGATGAGGACAGCAAAGATGGCGGTGAGTGTGATGGCCCATTCGGGCGTTTCGGTCGATAGTATATGGGAGAAGAGGCGAGACATGTACTCGCTGAGGAAGAAATCAGTAGACGTCTGAGATCTGCGATGAAGACGTACCCAAAGATGAGGGCAATCATGGCAGCGCTGCCGGGTTTAAGGACGGATACGGCAGTCCATGTGAACAGGTAGGAAACCATAGGTCCAAACTGCTCTCGTCAGTGATGACTGCTTCCGAGCAAAAGTGTCTTACAGCATAAGCGAGATACGCCTGACTGCCTCCTGATACAGGTATGGCGCAGCCAAGTTCTGCGTAGGAGCTGCAGCAAAGTTGGCCTCTCGCAGCTGGGTATGACGGAAGACGCTTACCTGGCGCCAGTCCATGCCAGGACTCCGCTGACGACCCATACCATCAGACTTGCGCCTACGCTCCCTACCTCCTGTACAACCACTCCGGGCGACGAAAATATCCCTGACCCTACTTGGGCACCAACTACCAAGGCAACTCCTATAATACCAGTCAGCACTTGTATTGAATACCCAAAGTATTCTTTACCATGCCATAGCTCGACGTGCTTTTCCTCAACAAGATGCGCTGTTCCATCCTCTCCACTCAGCGTCAAGGGTAGCAAGTCATGCTGGAATTCAAAGCCACCCAGACTGTTGACCGTGTTCGAGCGTCCTCTTGATGGATTGGAGCTCTGTGAGAGAGGCTGATAGGAAGCGGCCATGAAAATGCGAGTGCAGAGACAAGAAAAGTATGAAGAGAACAAGTCCGTCGGTCGCAGCAAGGCGCTGGGCTCGTGGCTATTTTCTCACGGATTACGTCCGAGAGGTGATGCGGTGTACTGGTATGTCGTGTGCTCGATGTGGGTATGCTCTGGATATGCCTCAGCTCTTTCGCTACAAGATCATTGGAATCTGTGAGAGAGGAATCATATTGCAAATATCAGTCTCGTTGAAAAGGTTGTAGTCATACAACGAGCAAGGATCGTATATGACTGCAAATCGCGAGAATCTTTCTTTGCTCATCGTCTTTCATTCAGATCTTCATTGATGGTAGATATATGGAAGCTCTCAATCAAGCACTGCCATCTACCACGAAGATGCCCGCGCCATGCCCGGGCATGGTGGCAAATCCGACTTCTACCCACGCCTGATCATCCAAATCCCTATACTTCTCATAGCCTTTCCTGACAGTATCGAGGAACACTGGCACTTCCTCGCTCTTGACCAGAGAGACCACACTGCCTCCCCATCCTCCTCCGGTCATCCTCGACCCAACTGCACCAGCCTCAAGACACAGGTCTTGGAGCTTATCCACGAATGGATGGGTACAGTCATACGTGTCGCGCATGGAAGAGTGAGAGTCGTTGAACAGCTCACCCAGCAAAGACAAAGAGCTCTTTGATAAGGATTCGGATGGTTTGGTGGATGCTCCAAGAGATTGGCAGAGAGACACAAAGCGATGGACACGAAGCGACTCCGTTAAGGTGTGGTGAAGTCGTTCGTATAGGTGGAAGGCGTCTGCTCGAACTGCTAGAAGTCAGTATGCTATAGAATAGGAAGCTCCATTATACGCACTCTCCAGGTACTCCAAGTAGTTTTTGCGGAAATCCTCTTCCTTCAAGCCAGAAACAGCGATGACCTCCTCTCTACTCCAGCCACCATCTTTCCGTAACCATTCAATCTCTCCGAGGGCCTTTTCAACGACCTCCCCTTCTTTCTCCCAGCCCATATGCTCCCCGTCCACTTCGCCCGACCAGACGCCCAGCACCTCTCGCAGCCACGGTCTGGGGGCTTCCTTGAAGCTCGAGGAGAGTTTCCAGCGATTGAGGAGTAGGCGCGTGGCAATCAAAGTCTCGATGACCCTGAGATTATACTCTTCCGGCGCAGAGTCGGTCAAGGAATGAGGTGCCAAAGAGTTTGTGATGACCAGGCTCAAACTTCCAGGCAAAGGCAGAGGGGTGGGCAGTAGGGTAGGGTGGAATGATAGGTGAAGAAGGTTGTTAGGCAGAGCAAGAGCCGAAGCGGACTGGTCCATTCCTCCGGTTCGAAGTCCCATTCGATGCTCGCTGTTGATGGCGAGCGATACCACGTCGGCCTTGGTACGCCCCTGGGTGAGATTGTTGGCTACCAGAAACATGATGACAGAGCCTACAACCATTGCAGCAGAGCTCTAAGGGGCAAGTCAGATAGATCTCGATAGGAGGAAGACACTCACACTCAGACCAGAGCCAGGAGGGATAGTTCCGCTGATCAAGACTTCTAGCCCCACTGGAGCTTTTCCCTCGTCGACTCGCTTGCCTCCAGGGAACAGCTCATCGAGACACTCTAGCAAAGCGACCCGCACATACTTGTCCCATCCTCCGGCGTCTTTGAGCCCCACGTCCCAGCTCTCTCTTCCCTTTTCAGAATTAGAGGGAGTGGTGAGGGTGAATGTACAGCCGGGGTACGAATATTTAGTGTCTGAGTTTTCCAATCTAACTTTTGGGACACCTCCCGCATCGACTGGAACCGGCCGGATGGCAAATAGGATGTCCTGCTCGATAGCTGCGGGTAGCACTGGCTATAGGACAGCTCGTCAGTCACGGGACATGATCGAAAAGGAAGAGCACACAAATAGCGAGTAGTCGATATGTTCTCCCAGAACGTTGACTCGCCCCGGGGCACGGACGATGTAGACCGGTTGGCCTCCAAACTTTTCCCCAAACTTGTTTTTGAGGGTGGTCCAGCGCTGCCTATCGTCATGGGGTCAGTATTACCCTTGTGGATCCCCGGCTCTGCTTACCGTTCCCGTACGACAGCCGATTCGGAGGGGTATATGTCTTCGATGGACTTGAACACTGGGATGGGAACCTGGGCGGACATACTGGCTGGGAGATGCGAAGAACGAAGAAATAGAGCGAAACAACACCAAAAGGATCAAATTGACCATTTTCGGTCTACCGCACCGCGCGTGCCGACTGTTACCCGACTTTACGTCATCAGGTCCTCAGTCCCTCGACCAACCCTCGACCAGAAGATGTTGTTGATGGCCTGATTGTTAGCTCTGGGCCTGGCAGAAGCACCAGAGAGCAAAGCATTTAGCTATGCATGCAAGAGAATAGCTACCCAATAGCAAACGACAAGCTTTAGTCTATATGAATGAAAAATGCAACCTCTAGATGTCCTGGGGCACACGATAACTCCAGTCGTCGTGCTGGATCCTTCCCTTGTACAGTCCTGTCAAAGCGTCACGGATGAGGATGATTAGAGGATTCGAGGGGATCTTGTAGTCAACCTCTTGATAGGTGATCTCGGCGACGCCGGCAACGCAGACGCCTGTGCCGCAACCAAACATACTGCACATCTCTAATCAGCTCACACCCTTCGACCCAGTCATACACAACGTACCCCAGAAGAGTGCCATCTTCCAAGCTAGAAATAATCTCCTTCATGGTAATGTTTCTCTCAACAACCCTGACTTGCTTGGGCATACCGGAAACAGGGAAGTCTTTTTTGCCCGCAGCGTGGTCCTCGATGAGCTCAATGAGAGACTCTCTTGTGATACCGGGCAGAACGAGGCCATCCTCAAGTCCCATCGTGACAAATTCAGTGACTGGAAGTCTGTTAGAAGACGTGCGTCATAATCCCTCTGTACTTACATCCGTCAATAGCCTTTTTGACGACGAAGATGTTCATGCCACCAGCTTCACTGATGTAATGGTGCTTGTCGTCATGCAACCACAAGTTCATGAGGTAGTTGGGTCGCTTGGCAATACTGACAACGCCTGAGGATGACATTAGTTGGACGCACAAGATGAAACTGCTTGACTGACCATAGTTTGCTCCCAGCTTGTAGCTACCGGTACCCCCGATGAACGCCCTCCTGTAATCAGTACGCGCATCCAGTCTCAGACCAGCCCCTTCCTCGGCAGAGTTGTAAGTCGCGGCACCCAGGTTGTGGCTGGTCACAATGTACAGGAGCGCTTCAGGAGCAAGAGCCTCTCCTCTGACACCAAAGCCGCCAGAGGTCTCAACGAGAGTAGGTCTGATGTAAAGATTGCCGCCGTCTTTTGTGGTGATATCGGATCCCTCTGCAGCATGTCAGTGTTCCATTTTCACCGTGTCATATATCTCGCCTTCTTCACTCACCCAATGACACAAGCTTTGAGAGAAGCTGAAGAAGCTCCTTGTTGTCCCAATCAGACTGCCAGAGGTCAGTATTGCCCGGTTTCAGGTTTTGGCAGACTTACCGGGAGACCCAGTCGATCGGCAGATCTCTTCAGTCTGTCAAAGTTTTTGTTGGGCCTAAACAACCGGAGCTCTCCTGCTACGATATCAGCTTGGGAGTTGCTTGAGCTTGCGAAAAGATCCTGGCTGACCATTGTCGGTTTTGAAGCACTACATAGCCTGTCAGTGACTGTCCATCTCGACCAAAGGCGCGATTGGCTCACCTTCATTCCCTCAAAACAGGTCACGGCACTGTAAGACATTGATCAGCGCGACTCCGTTCATCTGACTTCTCTGCTGCTCACTACTGCATGACGCCCGCCACTGGGTCAACCTCCAGGGGCCGACGCATGGCGATCTTGGGCGTTCCCCAGCCCTTAGCTTGACTCCATGGGACTGTAAGCATGTAGCGCCCGTCATTTTCCTGTCCCGGACGAGGTTGGTAGTCGGCTGGTAGAGGGGTAAATTCGAGGGTGTCGGCCTGGAAGGGGCGAGGGGCGATAGTCATTGTGGGCAGTGTTGAGATGAAGAGGAGAAATGAGATGAAAAGAAAAGCTTTTTTTTTCTCTTCGAGCGAGTGTTTGTGGTGGTAAGAATTACGACACAACAGGGGGCAATTTTCTTGGGTCAAGCAGATCAACGGGCCCGCGGGCCATACATTGCTGTCGTCGCTCTTCTCCGTGCCGTACTGACTCGATTTATCCAGATCTGTCTATTTTTCGCTACACGGATGCGGGTCGGGACGGCGGCGACGTGCGTCGGCCGTCCGAAGGAGACGCGCGCCATTATTTGTTTGCGAGTGGAGTTGTTCAACATGCTGGCGTCAGAGTGCACCTTGGTCATGTACAGCTACTGGTATGTGTTTACAAATGTTGATTTTGAGGCATGGATCTGAGCTCACAGCTTTTCTTCTATAGATATATGATTGTGCAGTACTGTCAATCGTTTTGTTGACGTTGTTGTACTCGTACACTACTGGGATCGTGGGATCGCGCGCTGTACTCAAGTACTATGCATGCGCTGAGCACTACACTGGCAGGTCAGCTCACCGAGCCCCCTGGCAGTTTACGTGATAACTCCGCGTCGCTCAAGTCACCTCAGGTATGTGCTGGCAATATAGTGGTACTAAAGCGACACACGTTTGTTGTTTGTTGTTTTCGTCGTCACGTTCACACGGCAACTCCGCATCACTCGCGATAATGGAACATACACTTTCAGCGGTCAACGACTATAGAAACACATATCTGTCTATTTGCCTTGTATCAGACACTTTCTCTGCGGATCCATAGACTAACAGAACTCAACAACACACCCATCAGACCACCACATCTACCTATATGGATCCCGCCACACAGTCTGTCGCTCTCAGCGCCATCTACAGCCCTTCATTCCCGATGCTCATGCCGGTACCCAATCTGATGATCTTCTACCTGGCTTATACGACCCTTGCGCCCCACTTTGCCTCAGTACGGCAACGGTCGTATCTGTTGTCTGCAATCACGTCTGGCGCGATGACTGTGGCATCTCTTCCTTTTGCATGGAACTATATGCGATGGGGATTGGAAGTCACTTATCAAAAGGGGAAAGAGGGGTGGATGGGCGCTTTGGCCAGGGCTGGAGTCGTATTCTTTGGGACCTATCTTGTTGGTGAGTGAGCAAGAGGAGCTCCCATGTTCACTTGTTGGCGCTGATGTTCTATCATAGCAGATGTACGTTGATCTATCCCTCGACGTGTCAGCTTGTTGACATATTACCAAGCTTTCCATCGGCTACTTCACGTACAGAAACCAGATAGGACTGCTCACAGGTTGGGTTCATCACACGTACGTCTACAATCTGAAAGTCGTTTGCTACATGTCTGAGTGCGACTTTACAGCGTTTACATCGGTCTGATGGTATATCTGCTGAACAGTGAACATTCGGCCATATTTATGGCTGGCTGTGTGATGGAGGTGTGGCTTAATATAGTCGCTCTGCCCCAATACTGATGCAATAACATAGCTCCCCACCTTCGACCTCGCCATGTCCAACCTTTTCCCCAAGTCCAGAGACGATCTCCGATTCCTGGTCTCCTTCTTTGTCTTCCGCATAGCTTACCACGGCACTCTCCTCGTCGACTGTCTTCTTCCGTCGTCGAGAGAGTCTATCTTGGACGGTTCTTGGGTGCCAACCGTCACATTGTCTCTTGCCTTGGCGCTTCATGCCTTGTGGTTCAAAGGCGGCGTGACTGGCTACTTGAAAAGAAAACGTGAAATTGTGAAGGCGACAGCCGATACCGACATGATCAGAGCGGCAGCAGACATGAAGGAGACAGTGCAAGCGTTAGCAGAGGCTGGCTCTGACAGGCCTGAATCGCCTGAATCGCCGGATGACACACCTCTGCTCACACCTCGCACACCATCACAAATACCCAACATCTTTTCAACAATCCCTCACTTGTTGCTTCCCGATCCTACTATCCCTGCCCTGCCTGATACGGTTTTCTCTGCTATCCCTGGCATTTCTACACATTCTCTTGCCAAGACAAGGGCTACGTTAAACAACAGAAAAGAGACAGGGCTGGAAATCGAGGGCGCCGTTCATATTTATGGATGGAGTGAGCAAAATAGGGGGATCCAAGGTACAGAGGGCTTAGACCGGGGTGATCTGAAAGTATAAACACAGCTGGGGGCCGACATGGAGACTTGATGAACGACCGATGTTATGCGTCGTTGCTACACCACTTTCCTGTTGGGTAGGTTCAATTGTATATTAAGAATACGCGTCGTATCTAGGACTCTATGATATTTATCTGGAGCGAATGATATGCCCATGGACCGGAGCAACCTCGTGCTGATCAATGTTCTATAGCAAGAGTACGGGTAGGTGACAGTGGTACCAACAGAGGAAGAAAAAGAAACAAAAAATCAATGCCTCAGACAGGATTCGAACCTGTGACCCTGACCTGTCTTCGTCTTGTGAAACTACGAAGGACATACTCTAAACCCCTGAGCTACGGAGGCATTGGATGGTAGTTCGGCAAAAGGGTACATCATATTCACGTACACAACATCGTTCTTGCTACTTGTTGGCCAACTCTCGGCACTGTTGAAGTGTCCACATCGATTTGTTTAAGGTTCGTATCGGTATTGAATACATGCCATATCGAGCTCCTGGTACCAATCGTCATCAGCGTTTGATAACCAGGGAGTACGAGTACCACCCCTAACACTTGACATTGAACATGGGCGCTGGCGGGCTGTTGTTAATGGTGGAGGCTGTCCGCGGCGGGCATAAAAATCTGCATTACATAAGCATAATGCGGCGACCCCCGCTTCTAGAGTGCTCGGTGAAATTAGTGGAAGGTGGTCGAAGATTCGGTATCGCAGCGAGTCCCGTCATCCATCTCCCTCGAACGTCCCTTTCTGCGTCTTTCTTCAACATCTGTATCGCTACTGTCACTCAACATGGTCAGGGAAACGTGCGTACACCCTCAGCCGCCCCGCTCATGCTTGCGGCAGCCTCGCCGGCGCTTCTCTCGCCTTCCATCATATGCTGACTGCTTCGGTCTACAGTAAATATTACGACCTCCTCGGTGTCAGCCCCGAAGCTGGCGAGGCCGACATCAAGAAGGCTTACCGGAAAAAGTATGTGACTCCTAGAGCTCATTTGCCGCTCTGCGGGACTCCTTTCAACCATCAAGACACTGACAGGTTGCCAGCGCTTTGAAGCACCACCCGGACAAGGGCGGAGACCCCGAACACTTCAAGGAATTGACTCACGCGTAAGCGCTCTTCCCAGTCTTCCCGATAGCAGAATGCTCACTAGTTGCGGATCAGTTACGAAGTCCTTGCCGACTCTCAACAACGTTCCATCTACGACCAGCTTGGTGAGGCCGGTCTCAAGGAGGGTGGCGGTATGGGCGGTGGCGTGGACCCTCAGGATCTTTTCAGCCAGTTGTTTGGTGGCGGTGGTGGCTTTTTCGGCGGTGGTGGTGAGTTTTGGATATACGGGCGGCGTCCATTCTTTGCTGACTAACGCTCGTCGACAGGTGGTGGTCGAGAGCGTGGTCCCCGACGAGGACGAGACCTTGTTCACCGAATCTCTGTTTCCCTCGAAGATCTCTACAAGGGAAAGGTCCAGAAGCTTGCTCTTTCCAAATCCGTCATCTGCAAGGGCTGTGATGGCCGAGGCGGCAAGGCGGGTGCTGTCCAGACCTGTACTGGGTGCCAAGGTCGCGGTGTCAAGGTCATGCTCCGCCAGCTTGGTCCTATGATGCAGCAGATCCAACAACCCTGTGGCGAATGTGAGGGTACCGGTGAGATGATGAACCCCAAGGACAAGTGTAAGACTTGTAACGGCAAGAAGACCAACCAGGAGAGGAAGGTGCTCGAGGTCAACATCGATAAGGGTATGAAGGGCGGTCAACAGATCAAGTTTGCTGGAGAGAGCGACCAACAGCCTGGCCAGGTTGCTGGTGATGTCATCATCGTGATTGAGGAGAAGCCTCACCCTCGATTCGAGAGGAAGGGCGACGACTTGTTCTACAACGCCAACATCGACCTTCTCACTGCTTTGGCTGGTGGTGACTTTGCTATCGAGCACCTCGACGACCGTGCTTTGCACGTCACTATTGTCCCCGGAGAGGTCATCAAGCCTGGTAAGTACTCTCGAATTCGTGTGAGACGTAAGCTCATGATTCGCAGATGCTCTCAAGATCATCTCGGGCCAGGGTATGCCCTCTTACAGACACCACGACCTCGGTGACCTCTATGTCCGTCTCACCGTCGACTTCCCCAGCACCATCCCTACCGAAGTCATGCCCTTGCTCGAGAAGGCTCTTCCCCCCCGAAAGCCCTTGCCCAAGTTTGGCAAGAAGGTGCACGTCGACGAGGTTGTCTTCTCTGAACCCAACGAGAAGCACGCTCGAACAGCTGCTGCCCAAGACGGCGATGAGGAGATGGAGGACGATGAGGAGGGTAGCGGACCCGGTGTGCAGTGTGCTCAGCGTACGTGGTCATATTCTCTGGTGCACGATCGATTGCTAATGATTGTATGCAGAGTAAAATTCCTAGATCCCAACATTCACTCTTACATCCGCTCTCCTGTTAATTCCTAGTATCATCCACCCAAACAACAACATATACCCATAGACGGCGGCCATTGTTGATTAGCATCTTTTTCTCTCGCATCTAGTACGGATACTCGTACGAAATGCACTTTGTGATAACGAATTTTCTCCTTTTCTGGTTGGTTTGGGGCTTGGGCTAGGGAAGCCATGGCCTCGGGTGTAGGGTTCCACGTTGGTAGAGGTAGAGTGATGGTGATATCATGCTTGACCGTGTTCAATTCTTCATCATTGGAAACACAGAACGATTGCATGGCAGGCGCGCAACAAAATCAAATAAGCAAAGGCTACAGACCGACCCCAGGTCCTCTTCTTCCTATCCAATCGACCTCGTCTTCGCCTCCAATTTTGACCGCCTCGCTTTCATTGCTCGACTCTCTCTCTTCCAGCTCAAAGGCCTCTGGCCCATCGTCCGCTTCGCCTCGCCGTCTTTCCCCTGACCGTCTGTCGTCCGTGGAGACCTTGGCATACCCATGTCCCTCGTGCTCGCTGTCGAAGATCTCCCTCCCTCCTTCCCCGCCGTCACCATCTCGAGATTCGAGGGCGTTGCGCCCTGTAATAGAGTAAAGATGGACGAGGAAGGTGATAGTGAGGTAGATCAAGAAAGAGAGCGAAAAGTCAAAGAGTGCGTAGGAGACGTGGTCGATACCGAGGTTGTCGGCGTTGTGCATTTCTTCGTCAGTGGCGGACATGAAGAGCGTGCTATGCCGATTGTCAGCTGGATCGATCAGTGAAAGCAATATATGCATACCCTCCGAGAACGAGAAGCTACGCAGATATCAGCTTTGTCGGCGATCAGGCATTTGCTACACTCACGTAAGGAGGCAAGTGTTGGAAAATTCTGACGTGCCCGGAGCTTGGAGTGGGCTGGTCGTTCAACACGAAGCAGATCTCCACAATTCTCAGAGCACCCGCGCCCATCAGAGCATACCCAAATAGGCCATGAATCTGTGATGCTTCAGATACAGAACGAGACATATCACTGATGTACACACTTTAGAAGAGATCATGAGAGCTTGTTCATGAGCACTCATACCCCAGCCGGTCATGAGAATGATGATGGCGGGCACAAATGAGCGCTTCCCCTTCCGGCTCAGGAAGATGCCCAGCATACCCCCAGCCCACCAGAGAACGCCCTGATCAGACACATCAGTTGTGGTCGGCCAGTCTATACAGTAGACTTGCCATCATGGTGTGCTGCATATCCTTGTGGCTCCAGGGACCGCCATGGTGCTCCGTGAAAGTGTTGACGATGCCCTGTGCAAACATTAGCACTTGACGACCGCGTTCAGTTTCAAGGACGCACCCAGGCAGTGATGACACTGCTATCCAACATCTCTTGGCTGCACTTCTTCCTCTCTAGCCACTTGCCACCCAAATTCAGCATGATCACCAAGATCGCGGCATAACCGATAAACGCTGAGCCCATGATATAGTGCGCCGCACATTGCCCTAGGTTACCTCCTCGGCAAAAATCGAGAGCGGTTGCGACTCCAAACATTATTTGCGTCCATCCAAGAACTGGGAAGGTCTTTCCGATCACAGAGTGGAAGGGTACCACCCATGGACGGACATTACGTTCCATGACATGGAGTTTGAGAAAGATGCCCAGAGCGGCTTGCTATAAAGGTTTTAGTAAGCCATGACAGAAGGGGACTAAACTTACAGTGATCATGGTCCATGTGAGAATTTTGGCCATCAACCCGTGAACTGTTTCTGGGAATTGCCTCCCTCCATGATGATGTCCAAAGTACATGCCTATGAAAGCAAGAATTGTGTTGACCGATTGCAGCGGGACATGGTATTTGGATCTGAGAGATCAGCATTAGCGACGGCCGACATTGTCAGAAGATTCGTGCTTACTTTGAGAGTCCAAGCACCATGCCTATTGGGAAGGCAATTGTCCACAAGAATGACTGCAGTGTCATCTATATGTATCTTGTCAGCACGACGGTTCTTCTGTTGCCGACTTTGGTATCAGGCATTGCGCCTTGACACTGCCAGATCTATGGTTATTTGGCTTACATGTATGTAGATACGCGCATCATATGGGACCGAGGTGTCAATTTCCGTGGCATTGTGATGTGCGTGTGCCGATGCTGTGACCGAACGCGCAAACGACCAGTATCAGCACTCGATATGCAAACTTGGGATAGGGCTTTGAGAAAGTCATCAAGCTTACCATAATGAGCAGAGGCTGCCAAAGCCAAGAGATACAGCGATATTCTCGACATGTTGCCACAGGTCAGAATTATCGCGGAATTGCTGATTGATATCGCTTTCTCTGCGTAATAAACCGCCGTGCTCAACTCCTTTGTGCAATGTTACTTTCTTGACGGCCTCTTGAATTGTCTGTACTCCAGTTGTAACTCCTAGAAGTCAGTGACGAGATACGAATCTTCGCAGCGTGCTGACAGTTTGTTTTCGCAGCGCAATCGCAGCGCGGAGAGTGGCCCTCGGGCATAGTCATCATGGTAGACGACGCAGTCCTCGGACATCGCCGCCGCCCGGAGTTCCGGGACCTCCACCGGACGCGCGCATCAATAAATGGCCATCGCAGCTTGCTTTGTTCTGCATCTCATCTGCATCTCATCTGTCTGAGTATACATCATGGCGCCCCCCTTCCTCAAAACCCCTGAAGAGTACAACAAACTCGTGGACAGCGTCGACGTATTCCTCCTCGGCAAGTGCTGCCCCACACGCTACGTATTGTGAGACTGACTATCTTGGCTGCCATGCAGATTGCGATGGTGTCGTCTACTTTGGTCCAAAAGTCGTTGAGGGTGTGAAAGAGGTCCTTGACATGTTCAGGAAAGCTGGTATGATGTCTTCGTGTCTTCGGATCAGTGCAAAGCTGATGCGTCGCAGGCAAAAAGGTGCTGTTCGTGACCAACAACGCTACGAAATCTAGGAGAACGCTCAAGGAGAACCTCAACAAGCTCGGTCTCGGTGCTTCCGAGGTACATCTCTTGCTCTTACCTCTTCCACACGCTGACCTTGGAATCTATGATACAGGAGGAATGCTTCGGCTCCGCCTATGCCTCTGCGATCTACCTCTCTGAAGTCCTCAAATTCCCCAAGGACAAGAAGGTGTATGTCAACGGAGAGGAGGGTTTGGAGGAGGAACTGGATGCTTGTGGCATCAAGCACTGTGGAGGCTCTGCAAGTCTCTATCTTGTCTAGACGACCAGTGCTGACTCTCTATTCAGGACCCCGAGGACAGGGATTTCAAGCCTCCTATCAACTGGGATGCGTTCAAGCCCGACGACGACGTCGAGGCTGTTCTTTGTGGCTTCGACTCTTACATTAGTATGTATGGTCTTACGATGTCTCACAGCATGCTGATCTCGTTCGGCAGATTACCAGAAATTGGGTAAAGCCATGACCTACTTGCGTAACCCCAAATGCAAGCTCATCCTCACCAATACCGACCCCACCTTCCCCACCCACGGAGAACTCTTCCCTGGTTCTGGCTCGTTATCCCTCCCCATTGTAAACGCGTCCAAGAGAGAGCCTTTGGTGATTGGCAAACCTAACAAGTCCATGATGGATGCCATTCTCACTCAGTGAGTGCCTCTGAATCTTGGCTCGTGGAAAAAAGCTAAGATATTGCAGCCACAAGGTGGACCCCTCGAAAGCGCTCATGGTTGGTGACAACCTTGCTACTGATATCGAATTCGGTCTCAACAGCAACATCCGCACATTGCTCGTCATGGGCGGTGTTACCAAGCACGAGCAAGTATATGGCGAGAACCCCAGCAAGGTGGTCCCCGACATGGTCATCAACAGTCTTGGAGACTTGGCTGTCTTGGCCAGACAGTAAATAGTAGAGATGATATAGAATTACAAGTGCATAAAAATGTATCGCATAAATCTACTCAAAGTCCTCGGCGAAACCCATTCTGCGGAAACGTTAGTTGGTACTTTAGTTCCGGAAACCCGAAACAAAGACCCACAAAGTGTACTGCTTGTAGACAGTCATGACTTTGGCAACAAAGGCTTCCAGGTGGAAGATCTTCTTTGATCCTTGTCTCATTCTCAACTCGTAGTAGGCAGCCCAGTGAACGATTTGAGGTTTCAAAGTGTCATCCACCTTGTCCACTATTCTTTCAGAGATCGTCTACAGAAAGTTTAGACAGAAGCCATATATGGGTAAGATCCGTCGCTCACCTTCAACACAACAGTCGGCGGTATACAGTGACTCAACAGCTCGTAGAGCTTGCCCCTGACCTCCAACAACCTCGGCGCCGACTGCTCTTGCAAAATCGCATCCGCTACCTTGCCGCAATACGTCTCCCAATCCGGCTTGGCCACCTCAATATCTCCAGAGAGGTCGGGCTTTTGCATGCGCATGGCTTCGAGGACGAGGAGGGCTTTGCGAAGATTGCCTTGGGAGGCGGTGAGGATGGCAGATGAGGCGGAGGAGGGGAGTGAAAATCGCTCCTTTTTGGCGACGTGATTGAGCACTTGGTCCATCTATATGTCTGTTAGTGCTATGCCAAGGGTGAGTTTCGGGGGGCGCGCACCTCTTCATCTGAAGGAGCGGCAACGCGCATGAGCAGACATCGACTCCGAATGGGAGCAATGATTTTGCTCGTACTGTTACAACAGAGGATGAGCCTCATGTTGTTCATGTACTTTTCCATAGTCCTTCTCAGCGCCGCTTGGGCATCTCGCGTAAGAGCATCGGCCTCATTGATGATGACCACTGCGCCGATGGTCAGCTTTTAGACCTCCCACCAATTCAGCAAAGACGCACCCTTGAACCTCTGCTTTGCATTCAAATCCACCTGCTGCGTTTGCGCAATCTCCTTGAGGATATCCTGAATGACTACACGGTCGTACATGCCGACATCGGAGGGGGTAAGTTCGATGTGGTAATTGGATTGGACGACATTGACGTCGAGTTTGCGGTTGGAGGGGGTGACGAATACTCTTTGGTCGATTCGAAGCTGCCACCCCATATCAGTATATGAACATATACCGGAGATACTCAAGACAGACCTTTTCGACACCAGGGCCATACAGCTCTCGCAGAGTCGCCATTATTCTAGTCTGATACTCGGTCAGAAATGCCCATCGAAGATATGTAGTACTTGTCATACCTTCTTGCCAGCGCCCGACGGACCGTAGAAAAGAATATGAGGAAAGTCACCCGATGTTGCCTGTTTGATGTGGTGAGCATAGAACACAGATATAGCCGAGGGCGCGTACAAGGGACTTAAGACGAGATGAGAGGCCATCGTGATAGTGGAGATCGTCGAGGGAACGCGGGCGGTACTGTAGAAAGTCAGCAATGTAATACTAATAACTGGCTTCCAACCCACCTTGTCTACCCAGAGAGACATTGTGAACCGATTTGCTGTGGTCAGGAATGCGAATTTGGATGTGAGGAGTTCATGATGAACGCGTCGCGCTCGCGTCTGCTAATTGCACGCCGTGAGAAAATAGGGGATATGTGATTTCATCGTCCTCTTGAGTTTTCAAGTAATTCTCGTCGATACATGCATTCATATGGTTACTTGATCTCCCTCTTTATCTATCCCGTCCTTGCTCACCTGCATGAAAACGCACAGCTGCGCAAAGTCCAGCCGCAAGCAAGGTGTATAGAACGTCTTACGTAAGCAGAACCTCCACTTCTCATCTCGCCGGGCCCGCACCTGTTTTCGAGATTTTTTGAAACTTGTGCCAAAGGGTATCGCAGTAAACCACGTTCATATATACAACCAAACATGCCCGCCAACCCATCTTTGGAAGCTGTGTCAGCGGCCAACGCCACAAAAAGAAAGAATGCTCCTCGGGACGATGAGGACAGTGGGTCGGAAAGTGGAAGTGACGTCGTGAGTCCAATTCTGTTTGTAATGGACAAGCAAGCTGATATCATGGTAGAGCATGATCAATGTCGACTTTGACTTTCACAACTTTAACCCAGATGTCGATCTGTACAGCGATCTCACTTTGATCGTTTCTAGTGCTGACGAATGATAACAGCATCGCAATCAAGCGACTTCTCCGACAGACTCTTTCTTACGACGAAGAGCGTATAGATGTTCACCCCCTCGCCGAGCTTATCCTGTCGGAAGGTATACGGCTCCAGGCCGGAAGCACCATCAAGACTGATGGCGAGGAGAGCGATCCTTGGGGATTGGTGTCTGTCGTTGACATTGCAAAGAACCAAGTACGGCTGCCAAGGGCTCGCAGAGATGTCTGAAAGCTCATACGCATATTAGGAACACCCCGCTTTGAAGCCCTTCTTGGAGTACCTCCGCTCATCAGTCAAATCTGGCTCTCCCCTCGCATCCTCCCTCACCCCTTCCGCCGGGTCATCCATTCGCCCTGCCCTCGTCTTTTCCCTTCGTATGCTCAACCTTCCTTTGCCCCTCATCCCGCATCTCTACAGAATGCTGTTAGAAGAGCTTGAAGTGAAGGAGGAGGGACGGTTCACGCACTTTGTGATCTGGAGCCGAGGGTATAGACTGGAAGGCAACGAGGAGGGTATGGGTTTGGACTACAATGTCGTGGAGAAGTGAGTTGGTGCGTAGTATGTGGATAGAGCTGACATGGTGCTCCAGATCTTCCAAGAAAAAGAAGGGAGGACAAAACCATGAGACTGTCGCCCTTGCTGCTGGCAGCTTCCCCTACCACCCCGAGGAAGAGTTCACGGATAAGGTCAGTACGCACTTGGCTGCTTGACCAGTGCTGACACCTTCACAGGTAGCTACCACCACCCAGACTTTCCCCTTCAAGACTGCCGCACCTCGAGACGCCGAGTCATTCGGCGTCGAGCAATTCGGCCGACTGACCCTCTTGGAGAAGAGCAAGCTTGTCGAGGCGATCAAGGCGATGCAAGCTGCTTGTGAATAAAGAAAGCGACATCTTGTATTGTTATGTATCATAATGCATGGGACCTATCTAAAGCTGCTTGAGCTCGACAGCCGCCGTGGCCGACTGGGCCGCGGCCTTTGCCTCAAACTTCTTCTTCATCTCGAAATAGTTGGTGTGCAAGCCGCATTCAGTCTTGGCCTTACCTTGCCATCTGCCACTGCGCTCGGCAGCGTCGCTAGCAGCGTTGGGATCGGGAGCGGCGGTGGAGTGGACGTCACCGATAGATCGGTAGCCCTTGTCCAGGAGGGGGTTGTAGGGTACCTGTCTGTAAAGCCGTTAGTAAAGCCATGAGACATCGCCATGGGAGCAAAAAGGATCTACGCACTCTTTGTCAATGTATTCTTTGACTTCCTTGAAAGCCCATGTGATCAAGGGGTTGACCTTGGTCAAACCCCGCTCGTCAACTTCGAGCACCTTCAAGTCAGCCCTGTCGGCTCCCTGGCTTCTTCTCCTCCCAGTGATGACCGCCTTCACACCAAGCTCCTTGTACGCCCTGGCAGCAGGCTCAACCTTGACCAGGTAGTCGTACGCCCCCTCATCACTCTCCCAGAGCTTGTCGCCGTATTTAGCAGCAAACTCCTCGGCGGTAGAAACACCGGGGGGCTTGTAGATGTGCAAAGGGGCGAGGTAGGTGTCGGCCATGGTTTGGGCGAGCTCGAGGGTTTCGGGAAAGTGGTGGAGGGTGTCGAGGAAGATCTACCGGTGGGTTAGGTACGGCTGGCATTGCTTGTCGTGGTACTCACAAGAGGAACAAGGTGAGTCTCTTCCCTCGATAATGAGATTTTAGAGACCATATCCACAGCAGCAGTACCAGTCCTGTACAAGTCAGTTCCATTTCAAGCATAACAAGTCGAGTACTCACAGGCCAAAAGCAGTGGTCTGGTACAAGCCGTCGAGGTGGTCGATGGCCCAGGTAAGGATCTCCTGTGGGGTCTTGCCGTCGAGCTCTGCATTGAAGCGTTCGATCTCATCTGGGGAGTACTGGGGAGTGATGATATCGGACATGGCGATGGTACAAGTCAGTGATATCTACAAGTGGTTGATGGCCCGCTTAGTCAACAAACTGCTACTGGAAATTCCAGAAAGGGAGGATGATGATGTGATAAGATTAGGAATGCGTACGTAAGCAAGATTCCAGCGCGGCTGCCTCCACTTCCACGTCTCGCCAACTCCTTCAATTCCCTTCTGTGTGCTTCCATAAAGTACTGCACAACTGATACAAAAGCAGGCAAGCGGGACACGCCGACACCTAACCTCGCATACAGCCCTTTACGAAAGACAGAACGTATTGATCCCGCTGGCAACAACCACCCTCGCCTGGCACAACGCGTCTCATCAGCCCATTGGGATATTCAAGATGCGCCCCCAACATCTCCTCTCCCTCCTCCTCCTCCTCTTGGCCCCGGCAATTCAGGCCGCCATCCTCGCTATCGACTATGGAGCAGAGTTTACCAAGCTTTCTCTTATAAAACCGGGTGTGCCATTCGACGTCGTCTTGGATAAAGACAGCAAGCGAAAGATTTCAAGTGTCGTCGGCTGGAAGAGAGATGAGAGAGTATTTGGAGCCGAGGCAAAGATGTCTGTGAGTGCGACAAATTCTTCATTGTACTTGTGCTGACATCGCAAAGGCTACGCGGTTCCCCGACACGCATTACCCCTATGTCAAGCCTCTTCTCGGCAAGACTACGCTCCCTCCCCTCTCCATCTGGCCCAACGCGCCCTCATCTGATGGTGAATCAATAGTATTCCCCCATCCATCTGCTCCTTCCTACATCTCCCCCGCTCTCCCGTCGCCCGAGGCTGCGTGGACACCCACTGCTCTCTTGGCACAGCAGCTCTCTTACTACCGTCATCTGGCCGAGTCTCTCGGTACAAAGAAGGAGTCTATCAACCAAGTCGTCGTCACCGTTCCTGCCTGGTGGAATCATGCCCAACGACGAGCCTACCGGGACGCTTTGGAATTGCAAGGCATGTCCTGCTTGGCAATGATCGGTGAAGGGACCGGTGTGGCGTTGAACTACGCCATGACTAGGACTTTCCCTGATTACAATCCTGCTACTGGTGCGGGCGAAAAGGAGTACCACGTCATCTACGACTCGGGCGCTCTTTCAACCACCGCCACTGTCTTGGCATTCTACCAGACCAGTGAATACTTGACGCCAAAGTCCAAGACGCCTATCAACACTACCCACATTGAAACCCTTGGTACTGGGTGGGAGAACGTCGGCGGCGTTCTTCTCGATGTCGCCATCCAAGATATCCTGGTGGAGGACTTTATCAAGAAATCAGGCAAGACTGGTATCGAGGCGGACAAGAAGGCGCTTGCAAAGGTGGCCAAGGAGGCTACCAGGGTCAAGCACATTCTCAGTGCCAACTATGAAGCCAACACTGCCGTACGTCCTGCGTTTACTGCAAGTCTCATCGCTGATTGTCACAGATCGAGTCCCTCTTCGACGACACTGATTACAGGTCTCAAATCTCAAGAGCTTCTTTGGAGGAAGCTTTGGCTTCCACAGAATCCCTCTTCTCCAAGCCCCTTACCTCGGCCCTCTCTGCCGCCGGCCTCTCGCTCTCCGACATCAACTCTTTCGTCCTGTTTGGTGGCAACACCCGAGTCCCTCTCGTTCAGACCTCACTCAAGTCTGTCCTCGGCAACCTTGAGGACCGCATTGCCCAGAATGTCAACACCGACGAAGCGGCCGTTCTTGGTGCTGCCTACTATGGTGCCGCCTTGAGCAAGCAATTCAAGATGAAGAACATTGAGGTCAAGGAAAGCAGCGTCGGTGACATCATTATCAACGGAGGCGATGTCTTGTTCCCAGAGGGCACTGTTCTGGGAGAGAAAAAGGTCTTGACTTTGCCCGCCGAAGGCGACATCAACCTCGAGTTCTCCCAGTCCATCGCCCATCCCGAGTCTTCCCACGGCACTTCCGGTCCGCAGCCTATCCTCTCTGTCCAAGTCTACGACATTGAAAAGGCTCTCAAGGATTTTACTGCCCCCTCTCCCGTTGTCAACCTCACCATCCGCTTCGACCCCAAGGGCCACCTCTCGGCTGCCAACGCTGTTCTTGTGAGCAATGTGACGGAAAGCAAGGACGGTGGAGTTGCTGGTGCGCTCAAGGGTCTCTTTGGCGGCAAGGAAGACGACAAGCAGCAGGTCGAGGAAGTTGCGAGTGAGGGAGAGAAGGAAGAGAAGAAGGACGGCAAGAAGGCACCCACCAAGGTGGCCTTGAAGTTTAGAGAGAAGCATCTTGGTGTGAAGCCTCTTTCTGGAGAGGAGAAGAGGACTACGAACGCTAGGTGAGACGAATGTGGTCTCGTATGGAATGTCGACTGATGCCGAACGCAGGCTCAACTCTATTGCCGCTTTTGAATCCGCCAAGGCCTCCCGAGAGGAGGCTCTCAACTCTTTGGAGTCCTACATCTACGCCCTTCAAAACCATCTTTCCGACTACGAGCCTACCGCTTTGAAGGACTTTTCCACCCCCGCTGAGCAGACTGCCATCAAGGACCTTGTCGCCAAGACATTCGAGTGGCTGAACGATGTTGGCGACCAGGCTACCGAGAGGGAGTTGCGCACAAAGTACACTGCCTTGGAGATTCTCGAGAGGCCGCCCGTCTTCCGATATAACGAGTACACTGCGCGAGACGGCGCGGTCGCCGACTTCCAGAAAGCCATGCGTCTCGCTGCCTCCTTCTTCATCGAAGCCAAGGGCAACTGGACTGAAGCTATCGAGGCTGCCAGAAACGCCACGCCCGAAGACCCTGCCACGCCTCCCAAGTACACGAAAGAGGAGCTGGGAGCGTTGGATGACATGTTGAGAGAGTACACCAAGTGGATTGATGAGTTGATGCCGGAGCAGTTGAAGTTGGACGAGGACAAGACCAAGGACCCTGTGATCAAGGTCCGAGAGTTGGAGGAGAAGGGCAAGAATTTGCAGGCGACTGTGAGTTGGACACTACATCCTGTAGGATCGCGCTAACGTCATGATAGGTCATGCGACTCACAAACAAGAAGAATCCTCGCAAGCCTAAGCCGACAACATCGTCCTCATCGGCCAGCTCTTCAGTAACCCTCGATACCCAGACAGACCATGGACCTTCTCCCACCCTTTCCGAGAAGGAGGCAGAGAGCACCACCGAGTCTAAACCCACAGACAAGGAACCCTTGGTTCACGATGACCTGTGATCATAGCAAATACGGGGATAGGCAAGATACATAGAAGAAATCTTATGAATTAGAACAGTTGCATTCACTTGTCGCGCGTCTTTGTCCATTTACATATATTTTACATGACTCGGGGGCTGATGTGCTATGAAAGCGTCTCACTTTCTGCCGCCCAACTTGCCCGCCAACTCAGCCCTCAAAAGATCTTCTTTTGACTTGGCATCGAGCCCAGCTTGGCTCCGGAGCTCGTTGACGACATCTTTGGTCTTGCCAAAGTAGACGGCAGACAGAAGATTGCGCATTTTGAGCTCCATGTCTTCGACCATACGACCAATATTGGCGACATGAGATTGGGGTGTGGGAAGGGGGTAATCAATCTCCGCCTATTTTATCATTAGTCTGAGCTACGCGATGAACGGCCGACATACCTGTCTAGTCATGCTACCACTGAGCGCCACATTGCCCTTGCCCTCGGCATTCTCCAGTCCCTTCTCATCGGCTTTGGCCAGTGTTTTGGTGTCCATGAGGAGCATGACCGTACTGGTAAGCTTGTACTTGGCGGAACGCCCTCTCTCCTGGCATTCAAAGACGTGGAGAGAGTCCCATGAGCCCGAGGGAGCTGTAGGCACATTGGCCTGGGGTGAGAGGGCTATCCGCTGTTCAGTCAAGGCTACCAGCCCAGACTTAATGATAACTCACTCTTCTTGACAAGGACAACACCAGCAAACGCCATCTCCTTTCCCTGAGGCTCGTCGTCCAGATCCCAGAGGTAGACGCTAGACACGCCTCCTTCAAAGTACATCTCGCGGTAAGTGTCAAAGGCAGAGTTCAGAGCGATTTCGAGCTGGCGTAGTCTGGAAGAAGGAACTGGCCCTTGCGTATCAACGGGAAGGTACTTGTTAGACCAAGGAGAGCTAAATCATTTGAATTCAGTGATGATTGCAGACAGTGAAGACAGCATTACCGGAAAGAATCTCCGTCACGGTTATAGTCACAGCCCAAAAATTCTCGTCCTTCACCATCATCACTGAGTACTTTCAGGGGTTGATCAACATTGCCCAGAAGGTCGTCGGCGTATTCTGGGGCGAGGTCGCACAAGACATTGACGTTGTCCTCAACCTTTGTGGGAGGAAGACGGCGAAGGAGGTCGAGGAGGGAGTCGAACGTTTCTGGATTCTGTGAGCGATGCCCCCAGTCACACCGTGCACACGTACGGTCTTCAGCCATCGTGCTGGTGGTTGTCTCTATGTATTGCTTTCAACTCGTCGTCGCCGTCATCGCCCTCTATCACCTTTACGTAAATAATTGCGGAGATCACCGCCGGCCAGGAGAGTTCGGCTCGCCGCGGTGCGTGACGTGCCACTCGGTTTTTTTTTTGGCGCTTTCATAGTCTACAAGTTACGACCGGTCTACCTCTCCAACCCAGCGTTAATCACGAGAAATGGCCTCTTTATGGCGGCTATCTAGGGGAATCTCGCGGCCAATTTCAAGCTTGCCTTTACGCCCACGACTCGCCTTTCAAATTGCCATCGAACCTATCACTGTCAACCAATGCCAACGTCGGACGTTTTTATCACGGCGGCAAACCTCATTTTGGGCACCATCTTACCCAGATGACCGCACGGTGGAGGTTGAGAAGGACTCTGGTCCACCTCCGTTACAGGTACCATATACGCCACCGCCGCCGCTCGGAGAAGAAACTTCATCTGGACCCCGAGATGATGCAGCTTCACCAGGCCCACGAGACAAGAAGCAAAAATACCTGAGGAGCTTGATGTATAAGGCTGGGGAGCTGAGCCTTCATTGCTCAATTATGGATAGCGAGGGAAATTGGGGTACCGAGGAACAAAAGTATTCCAAGCTTGAATTGTGTCGGGAGCATGAGCTCGATGTAAGTTGTTCCATCATCATTTGAGCTTTAAGCTGACATCTGACAGCCTCGGGATCTGAGGAAGCTTGACTCCCTCACACCAAATCTAGTACCAGTCATTCTGACTAGAAAAACTTGTATCCTGATATCAATGCTCCATCTGAGGGCATTGATCAAGCCCGACAAGGTGATTGTCTTTGACTCGGCCGGCGCACAGGCCAGTGGGGTGCAAAAGAGATTCAAAGAGCATCTGCAAAGGAATATCAAACTGGGGCTAGAAATGAAAGAAAGCGGGGAAGAAGAGGTGATCTTGAGTTATGAACATCGGTATGTGGAATCTTTCTCGATTGGCTGGAAATTGACATTGCGACAGTGCTCTGGAGTCATTCTTCATCGCCACTGCGAGCGCCCTAGAGGAAGAAATGGCCTTCACTCGTCATATTGTCAAACATCTGCTCAACGATCTGGAAAACCACATTGACAGAGAAAACCTCAAAAAGCTCCTGCATTATTCGAAAAAGATATCCGCCTTTCAAAGCAGAGCGCGATATGTGAAGAGCTCGGTGGACGAGCTTTTGGACTCTGGCAAGTTCACGTCGGCAGCGATTGAGATACCTATGCTGATGTGCCATGTAGACGAGGATCTGTCAGCGATGTACCTCACCTCGCGGGCGCAAGGACGTCCTCGGGCCCTACACGATCACGAGCAACTAGAGCTGTTACTTGAAAGTTTCGTCAAGCAGGTGGAGGAAATTGTTAGTGAAGTTGACACCACTGTTGTGAGTACAATCGACCACATGTATCATCATGTGGATCTAAATTAATCTTGTTTTAGGCCAATATGGTGTCTACACAAGAAATCGCCGAGCTCATGCTCGATTCTGGTCGAAACGCACTACTCGCACTCGACATCAAAATATCGATCGCCACCCTTGGTATCGGTACTGGCGCTCTTTTTGCTGGTCTATTCGGGATGAACGTGCGTAGTCCTGAACTCACCATTGGCGCGAAAGCTCACCGCGTGTCTTCAAGTTGACAACTCATCTTGAAGATAACCCATATGCCTTCCTCACAGCCTCCGGCCTCGCTTTCGCCCTGTCCATTCTCATCATTGCATATGGCCTTCGCATCCTCCGGCGTGTGCGTCGCGTCGCTCTTTCAGGCAAAAATCCCACTGTCCTCTCCTCTGTCCTCGGTAGCGCCTCATGGGACTCTAGTATCGCACAGTTCTCACAAGGGTTCGACCCCTCGTTGGTGGATATGCGGACAGAACTAGCGAAGCGTGCGATTTGGGACAGAATTTGGTGGCGGAGAGGGAATGAGCCGAAGGACAAGTATACACAGATATACAGGAGTCGAGCGGGACCTAGGCAACAAGGGTCGGCAAAGTGGGCGGAAAGTCTGACGATGGACCAGGCAAAGCAGAAGCAGGAGCACAAATGGGCGAATTGGCGCAAGGCGTCCAGGACGGAGTGATCATAGCAGTGCAGAACGAATGTCGGTTCAAAGTTGTCATAATATACAAAACTGGTCTGTTGCCATCTCACAGCTCTAGAAGTCTCACGATTGTTTGATTCATGATTGTAGCCATTCCCACATGATATAGCACACCCCTTCACTCATTCGAGTCTTCATGATAACATGCATTTATAACTTGAATGGTTATTCACACATGTGAAGCAATACTGTACAATGCGTTCTCTTCTATTGGCGCGTCGCATGCCCATTTCTGGCGCAAAAGCGTTGGCTGCCATGTTGGGAACGTTATGCTGCTGTTTTACTGGAAAAAATCCCTGAAATGAACGAATGAAAGCCCAAAAAATGGTTGAAAGAATCATGATCTATCTATTGAATAGGCTAGGGGATGACGGTTAGCTCCGCTAGATTCGAGAAGCAACCACTTACGATCCATTGTCCCATGATGGCTACGGGTACACCCCACGCATCTCTTCGAATGGTGACGCTGAACATACACTGCATCTCCCTGAACTCTTCTTCCCTGCCAATGCTGTTGACCCCTCTGTCCACGCCCTCACTGGGACCAGAGCTTTCGGCGTACATACCCTGTTGGGGAAGAGCCAAGTCGGGGACGTTCAAGGAAGGTGGGGCCGAAGCAGCTGACTTGGAAGGTGCTGGCAGAGGAACGGCGGAAAGGTGTCGAGGACGGTGCCGAGCGAGAGAAAAAGGGATATGGAGAGTACACGGAATGGAAAATGATCGTTGACCTGATATTGTCAGCAAAAGAGATGGTGATGGTTCACTCTTTAACTCACTTGGGTCGAATGCAATCTTGGCGTATCCTTCCCAGTATCTTACGGCACTATCCTCGTCCATGAGTTCGTAGACGCAAAGCTGTCCATCACGAAACATGGATGCGGGGATCCCTGTGAGATTGGAAAACTCTTGATTGGCCTTTTGGATTTCACCAGTCCGTCGCCAAATGCAGGATGGGGTGTGTATAGCTGCAGTATCGGTGAGACATTGTAAAACGTTCTGGTTCTTGATAGACTCACAAGCAAGAGCTCTGTCATACTCCAACATCCATCTTTCCATAGCCTCCTCAACAAACACCAGGTCGACATTGGTCAGGGTTCTGGCGATCTGTCGGAATTTTGGCCGGAAGCCTGCGAGCGCAGCCAAGATTCGTCGACGGGATTCGGAAGATATGCTCTTGCCAAAGACAGGAGCTGGGACCGCTACACACCATCAACATACCGAAACGCGCCCTCGTACAGTTTGCAGCTTACAAGTGATGGACAACCTCCCGTTCCTGTTGACACCCTTCTGTTGTGGACTCTCGGTCCCAGCCCTGCTTTCCATCTTTGGTGCCGCTCTTCCGCTCTCCATCCACTTATTCATCCTCTCGTAACCTTTGACATAATCGTAAGGTTTGAGCAATCCGGCATCGTACTTAGCCTTGATGACCTGTGCGAGACGGGACGCTCGAGTGCCATTGGGTTGATCCGCAGCAGCCATGAGGTATTTGTCGCTGATTTGTACAGAATCAGTTCTGGTTGCGTGTAAAGCAACAGTAGACTTACACTCTCGACATTTCTTTCCCTTTCCCCTTATCCAGTCCACGTTGTCCAGGGGCGAATTGCGATGGGATATCCGGCAAGCCGCTCGAGGTGCTGGGGACAGTAAGGCTGTTGGCCGTCGTGGGATTATCCAGCTGATTCATGAACGACAGGAAATCATTCGGTAGATTGGGGACGCCAAGGTCTTTCATGAATTTACTGAGATCAATGATCAGCAAAGCGACTATCGTTGTTAGGGAATCATACTTTAACGCAGCCAATTCGCCCTCTTCTTTCGTGGCAGTAGTTCCCCAGGTGGTAGCGGGAGGACCCATGAGTCCTGCTGCATCATTGATGCTCTGTAACCTCTCTGGGGCTTCGCCGAATGGTACCTGGTTTCCATTGGCTTCTGGAAGTAGAGGCCAAGCAGGGGGAAAGTTGGACTCGGGATAGACGGGCGCTTGTGACGTGGGTGGAGGAGCTAGTGGTTGAGGGACCTTTTGATGAGACAGGGATTGCTGTTGTGGGTGTCGGAAGTAAGCACACTGATATATGAAATTGAGGCTTTCATACCTGAGGTTCGGGTTTATGCTCATCGTTATGTCCATGGCTGTGAGGAGGCGGGGAGCAGTCTCGACAGAGATGCGCAATCTCTCTTTTGATGCTATGAGACCCATAAGCTTTGCATCCACTGACATACGTCAAAGAGGACCTACCATCTTTCACAAGGCCTTCCGCCTTCACAAACCATATGACTAGAACTCGTCAGAACCGCAGCTGCATTGACGCCATGACTATGGCTCGTTCCGACATACCTTCGGCGACAGTAGACGCAAGCTTTTCCAACTGTTCTCTTCGTTCTCTTCTTCTTCGGTTCTTCTCTCGGGTTACTATCACTTGAGTCTTGTTTCACCGCACTCAGCTTCCTGCTCTGGCCTATTCCTGCCGGCTTCTTCCGGGCGGGCTGAGCGGATGGGACGACATTTTCGTTTGAAGCTTGTCGTCCATCAAGCCTTGAGCCATGACTCAGACTGCGTCCTTGCATTTCTGAGCTTGTGTTGGGATCAGGTAGCCCAGTAAAGTAGTTGTTGTTGCTAGACTGAAGGTTTTGAGATTGCACGAAATTGTACAGACTCTGTTGCGGCTGTTGCTGCTGCTGCTGCTGCTGTGACGGTTGTTGTTGATGTGATGGCGGTGGTTGATATTGATAGCCCTGAAACGGGGCGTTCGGGTCGTCCATGAGGGCGGGTTGCTGGATGGATCTGGATGGAAAAATGCGGAGATGTCTGTTCGGATTTGTATGAGAGCGGGCAAGTTCGCGGTTGAAAGAGGAGAATGCTTATTCGCTGGATTCGCCGCAGGCCGCCGTTACGAAATTGTTTACCCAAATATCATCTTGAAACCTTGTCGCCCCAAACTGTCACACTATGCATGCAGTGCCACACGAAGGCAGAAGAGGTGTATATTGGTCCCGCAAAAGTCCTTACATGATATTTCATGCATTGGTTGTTGAGAAAACGAGCTTCGACATGGGCACAGGCACTCGGAGCACCCCGTCTTTTTCCGTAGCCGAGGACAGATTAGCTTTATTATGCAACATCTCCCTGCAGCTCAACTCACATCCCCTACGTGTGTCCGCTGTAATCGCTGTATGAGTATGCTCGCATATGTAGTAAATGCTAAGGTCACCACGAATATGTGGTGTTCATCATATCCAGGCCAACTGCTGCCCTGTAAGAGTACGAGTACTCATACGAGTACTGTGTAAAGTAGCCTAAGTACGAGTACAACATTCATCGACATTTGAGATGTCGGATAGATTTATCTATGCTCTAGTTTCCTTGACCTGATTATGACCTTTCTGACTACTACTGCCCGGCGCTTTTGAAGCTTGAGGGGCTCTGGAAGGCCTGCCGCCCTTGCCAGCACTACTGCCTGGCCCCGCAGGCCCATCTGGTCCAGATCTGGAGACTTCTTGACCTCTCCCTCCCTGACTCCCCTGCCCGCCGCCTCTGCCGCCTTTTGGTTTCCCACCTCTTCCACCTCTTCCTCGTTCTCGCCCCCCGCGCCCTCCCATGCTTGGCAATGACGATTGAGCGCCTCCAGAGCCACTTTCCCTAGCAACCCTTGCTTCTTCCTCCTGCCACCATCTCAAGAAGTCCTCCTCTTGAGCCTTATCCTGTTCCCTGATCCGTTCCTCCTCTTGGATCTCTCGCAAGGTTTTCGTAGGCAATTTCGCGGTTGCTTCTGCAGCTTGCAGCTCTTGGTGCTGAATGGCGATAAGAGACATTCCCTGTGTAGCAGACGACACAGATGGCACAGGCGGAGGAGCAAAGGTGGCGGGCGTAGACCATGCCGACGCGTTGGCATTGAGCTTGGCTTTACGTGGTTGCGATCCAGAAGGTGGAGTCTGGAGTTTAACAGGGGTAATGATATGATGTGACCCAGAGCGCTGAGGCACGGGTACAGCTTGCGAACCAGTGCCCCTGCTGACGTTTGTGGAAGCAGAAGGTGATCTTCCGATGGCTGCCCCTGCCTGCTGCTGGCCTTGTAATGCCGTGAACGATGTTTTCCTCGCCTCCTGAGTCCTCCATGGCCCACCACTACTGGGAAATTCCCTGTTTGCCATTGGCTTGCCTGGGGTCAAGGCTCCAGAACCAAGGGACGGGAATGTTGCTTTCGCTGCCGACGGACCAGGAGTGAGAGGCATGGAAGGGATCTTGGCAGACGGCTTGGTAGCAGCAGTCTCGGCCATGATGCTTCGAAGGTCTGCCTTCTCCGTCTCTACCGTCCTCGACTTCCATATCGCGCCCTTTGACGAGGGAGCAGGCACCCCAAGGTTCAATGGGGTCATGGCCCTTGACCCCTTTGAAGTCTGGACATCGAAAGCAGTAGAAGGAGGTGTGGGCAAGTCGTCGTCCATTTGGAATATGCCGTCAACCGACGAAACTCCCTCTGGGCCTGCCTCTGGGCTGAACAGAGGCGAAGGCGGTGGTTTTCGCTTGGGAGTCTCCTTGCCCTTGGGCGTGCTGTTAGGCGAACTTAGATCAACGGGCGAGAGGGCAGAGGCTTTGAGCCTCCATTTGACGGGACCAGGTCGTTTGAGAACAGGTGCAGGGATATCTTGCTGCAGAAGCCATTCCCTGTGTTTGCTCAGGGCATCTTTGACCAGCAGACCCTTCCTGGGCACGGGAGTCTTCGCTTCCTGATTATGGATGATCCAATCCGTCAATTCTTGCAATGTCTGGCCGTCCATTTCATCGAGGAGGCCCGATTCGAGCAAAGTCTCGAGGCATGAGGTAATGTAGGCAAAAATGCTGTGTTTGAGGACCGTGGCCTGATAGAACGCAGCCTCGCAAGCCAATGAAGCAGCGTTCAACGTATTGCAGTGTTGAATTATGACTCGCGAGCAAACGAGAACAAGCCGATCGAGCAAGAGCTCAGTCTACGATTATGTGAGCTTCGATGGCGAGTGGCTTGATCATCACTTACAGCTGTAGCGAGGACCTCGAAAACAAAATCCAGGAAGCTATCAAGAGTATCTTGATCTGTAGAACAAATCAGCGTACACTCAGATGTTCAGGTGCGCACAACTTACGAAGATAATCGAACAAACCGTCCTCTACCCCTTCATATATCCACCTAAACACCAGCTTCATTGACGTCCATTTCAAGTGCTTCATATTGACAGTCACGGAGCCCTCTTTGTTCTTCCGTCCAGATGTCCAATCTCGATCTCCGAACATTGCCTCGAAGAAGGGACATCTTGCGCGCAGAATGACACTGACACACGTTACCTCTTTGTCGGCGAGAATGATTCGAACATCGCACGGGGAGTCGAGGGATGGTGGAATAGTAGAGGTATGGGAGAAGAATGAACTGAGGTTGGCGGAAAGCGTCCGCTGTGACAAGGGTTGCTTTGCAGCATAGGCCAAGACTGATTCGAAGGGCTTGAGGTCGAGCTCTTCTGCAAGAGCCTTGAGATCGTTCTTGATACCAGCAATCGGGATAGGCTTGCTAGTATACTTGGCTTGGATGATTCGGGCAACCCGAGCATCCCAGATTGCCACCACTTCATCTGCGTAAAGATAGTGTAAGAGCAAAAGTCCGACAAGTGGGTGGCAAGCGTCAAGGACAATCGCAGGCGTAGATCCGTACACGCTCAAAGACAAGTAAGGGCTTTGATATTGCCCAGCGAGAAGCCGAGCTATTTTTGGAGCTCTGAGGGAGAGCATGACGCTATGAGCAGGGATTGCCAACCCTTGTATGACAAGATGGCAATCGCTACTAAACAGTGGTTCACTCCAAGCAAATAACGAATCGACATCGCTGGTCCTCCATCTGTCCAATATCGTGCACATTTTGAGAGCCAGGGATGTGTCTCTGTTGACCGAGTTTGTGCTCTCGTCTTCATCCTCGTCCTCTTCTTCCAAAGGCATCCCTCGTAGTCTGACACCTTCCATCCTCTCGAAGTCCTCGGCCGTCATTTGGTTGCTAAGCCTGGCGAAATGAGGCTGTAGTTGGCCCAGGTCGTCCTCGAGGACATTCCCAACCACCTTGATAGGTGTGGGTCGGGCATCTACGCGCACCGCACCGAAAGCACCAGATTCGTTGGTGGCCACCTTGATGATCCGCTGTAGATACGGTATGCGCCGGAACTTCAACTGTCCTGAACCCGACTTGAGCCGTTGTCTGACGTAGACGTGGCCTGAATGAGTGCAGACGATGACAGTGCCATCAGAGCCAATTGCCACATCCTACAACGAATCAGAATGAAATCCTTGAAAGAATGAAAACAGGCTTACTCTGACAGCCGTGAAATTCTTCCTCAAGCCCCAGACAACCTGCGGCTTGACCGTCACATGCTTTCCATCCTTGCTCAAATCCTCCAAAGGATTTGGTAGTGAAAATGTAAAGACGTCTCCAATGGAGGATAGCGCAGCGAATCCCACACAGCTACTCGTCACCTTTGTGATTGTGGGCTTCAAGGTGGTTTGTGGCGGTCTGAACGGAAACGCTTCTGGTAGAAGCCGGGGTATTGAGAATGATATCTTGAAGTTTGTATCCCCGTGGAAACAGATGACTTCAGAAGACTCTAGAAGACAGACCATGGCATAGTCGGAGAATACCACATCAGCGACTGGCTGTGTCATAGAAGTCACTTTTCGGGGGTTGACTTGAACGGGATTTGAGGCTTTATCATACCCCAATTGCCCTACATTGGTACCCCAAGTCCAAAGAGCATCAAGAGTCCAGCAAGCGCTTGCCATTCGGCCCGCCGCTACCCCCTTGACAAATTCCTTCTTCAGAGGACCAACAATTCTCTTTGGGGAGACCTGCACAGAGTCGTCGCCGTCTCTGCCGAATCTTTCGGCAACCTCGATCACGTACCCTAGCTGAGAGAATCGGTTCATACCCCATGACAAGATATAGCCCCCACTGGTGAGGGCTAACGTATGATCTTGGCCAAGGGCAATCCGGACTATCGTAGCTTGAAGGTCAGGTACGGGCGTGAGGGCCAGTTGGGAGTGCACCGACCGGCCCAATCGCCCGTTTGCACCAAACCCACACAGGCTCAGATTTCCTTGGGACTCTGTGGTGATGACGCCTGTGTGAAATTTACACATGACGACGTCTTTGACCCCCACGAGCTCAAACTTTTGTGACGGTTCTTCACGACCAGCGGCTTGAGCTTTGTTGAGAAGATGTACAGGATCTGGGAATGCCTTGTCTGTAGTGTCGCCTGTACCCAGAGCAAAGTTGCCTGATGATGATCGTCAGTGTTGGGCCTCGACTATCACGATGTGATAGACCCACGGTTGACACCCCACACAAATAGATCCGTTCCATCATTATCCTGGGACGGATTCGTCTGGCTCGCAATCAGTATAGCTCCTCGTTCGACATATATTGACTCACGCCGTTGACAGTTCCATTATACAGATCGTACGCAGTCATCCCTTCTGTATCCTTCAGACTCGTATCGATATCGTTCCTCATCAAAAGGTCACGAGCAGCTTTGATATTGCCCGAGAAAAGTGCACGATGCAGAGCAGTATAGCCCGATTCTTGGTCTTGAAGATTGACCTGGATCTGCGGGTTGCGAAGAAGTGTTTGGAAGAAGCTGTATGATAGAGGGGTCATGGATGATGCCGCAAGGTGCAAGACACTAAGTATAGGAACACAGATGTCAATACTGATTTGCTTGCGCATGGTCGGGAGAAACTCACGTCCTGCCATACATGTCCCTCTCATTGGGATCCCCTTTGCTGCCAGTCATTCCACTCATCAACCAGCTCTTGCCATTTCCTCCACTCGCGCTTCCTGGCCCTATGCCGCTGTTCCCCCCTCCACCTCCTCCTTTGGCAGGGGCCTGACCCCCGCCAGTCCCCTCCAGCTCCTGCCGAAAGGCTTTGACATTACCATTCCAAAAATGGAGGTGTAGGTTTGTCATATGTATATTTCCGGGTGGTGTCGCCTATCACCGCACTGTAGACAAAGATGCCCGAGGAAGGTTGCCTCGGTCAGCTATCGTCTTGAGCGGTTGCAGGTCGACTAGCGGGCAGTACTCTTGTCGATCAAGAGGTCTGGGACACGCGAAGGGGTTGGGGACTGATCGGTCTTTCGAATCGATCCTTGATTGCTGGGGTAGGAATTCCTCTTGATTTGGTAGCTGAGTCGGACAGGCGGTCTTGCTCTATGATAAGAATGGCGAGAAACAAGATATAAGGCCTGTGAAAGCAGAACTCGGTGGTGATTGATGCTGGTTGAAACGTTCGTTCCTCCGCGTGGCAAATTAGGTGGAGGTGATAACAGATTCGATTGTGGGCTTGTGGCGAAATATTGGTGGCGGATCCGGACTGTCGCCTCAACGTTGCGAAAACCGGTCAATCAAGCTCTTATAGGTATGCATTGATACATGCGAGCTCTCATAGGGCTCCTCTAAATATAATTCTATACCTGTACAACAAGTGCGAATCCTTTGTAACGGTCTTCGCCACAAGATTATCCAGACGCAGACCTCTCCTTCATCTCTCTGATTATATACGATTCGCCTGACTTTCCACGCAGCTTCCGATAACCATCTCTCAAGATCTCCAAGAATCTAGGCGCAACAGTCAGGCCGGCACCTACGAGGTGCGTTGAGCCAACAAAGAGTCCAGCGTGCTCGAATTTGCCACCGTTGGAGGTGATGAGAACTGTAATCGGTTTCAGCGCGTGCAGCATGAATGCACAATGAACTCACGACCACAGATGACAGGTCCAGCCAAGGCGAGAACGGAAGTGGTAGACCACAGCATACCCAGACGCATGCCGAACTCTCTAGTGGGGCTGATAGCTCCACAGCTGGCAGCTACCAACGCTATCCAAGCTCCGCTGAAAGCTCCGTATGCAACCAATCCGACCACAGCAGTCGCAACGTTGATGGATGGTGGCACCCAGAAGGCATAGACAGATATAGAGCTCCCAAGGATGGAGCAAACAAAGACTGTCCATACTCCAAAGAGATCTGCAAGAGCGCCGGACATGGCTCGGCCAATCATGGACCCAGCCTGGAGGATGGCGATAGAGTAATCAGCCAGCTCTGGAGATAGGTTGTTGGAGTCGAACAATATGGGGGCGTTGAAATATGGGGAGAAGACGCTAGGGATGCGTCAGTCTGGCATCTTGGTAAAGAAGACACACTCACTTCATCATCACCAGAGCTGAACCGGCCACAAGACACGTATATCGGGCTTCTTTCCAGGGTCTCCTCATGTCTCGATATGGAGGGGGCTGCCTCGGAGGCAACCGCGCTTTGAGGAAGAACCAAGCAGGGAACATTAAAACAGCATTCATGCCCGCAATGATGAGGATGCTGTCTCGGAAGCCTGGGAGGAATGAGGACCGCATGCGAGAGTCCGGAACAGAGACTCACTGAGTTTCTCGAACAACTTCTTGAGAGCTACAGGATATATGATGCCTCCTGCGCCAGCCCCGCACACCACGATGCCGACCGCAGTGCTTCTTTTTCTCATGAACCAGTGACCTGATACAGCTGTCGATGGCGAATACATGATTGTCCCGGACAACCCGAAAAGAGCATGGGCACAGATGAGCTGATAGTATTCCTTGCAGACTGCAGGCCATCAGTCAATGCGTGACAAGGTAGCGACATACGTACATGCCAGCGCGATAGTGGCTCCAACATTCAAGCTGGTTCCCACGATTGTGATCGTCCTAGCACCATGCGAGTCGAAGTATCTTCCCGACGCGATTGACCCAGCGAATGTGAGAAACGATTGCAGAGTTCCGATCCAGCTGAGTGTCCATTAGCAGGTGCGAGATTTCAAAGATAAAGACTCACGCGACGTCAGATTGAGAGTAATCTGAAAGTTGATTTTCTAGATAGTACGATTTGAGCTGTTGATGAGAAGAACACAGAAAGAAAGGTAGAGAGGTAAGATGACCAGATCAGTATGGGATATAACAGGAAGACCTGGTCACTCACTTGTCCAAAACTAGTGACTATAATCGGTTGTCAATATGATAATTTCTGGAAAGAATTGAAACTCACCAAATCCAAATATACAGAACAGCACCATGAAAGCAGCACCAACGCAGCACCAAGCTTCCATCCCTCCTTCTGGCGGCGGCCCAACGTCCTCATCATTCACGCCCATCTGTCTTTCGAGGTCAGGATTACCTGACAGCATTCTCTCCAGTTGCTGAGGCGAGGCTGGTAGAGGTGGTGGTATATTGTCGAGTCCATCGTTTCTTGTGAGGGGGCGATGTAACGAGGGTGCGTTTTGTGATTGGGACCGAGATAGAGAGCGAGCGAGATGAAGTGGAAACGGGTCGACTTCTCTTCTAGATTGCACAGGCCGTATGTGGGTGTTGTGAACCACTTGGTCCTCTTCCAGCTTTGTCTGTGGCTGAGTGACGGCGTGTCGAAGTGGGGGGACCGGGGGCGGCGCCATGGCGGGAAAAGTTGCGTTGGTGATGGTCGAGTCGTGAATCTAAAGTCTTCTATGAATATCTATTGATCTATATATATGATACAGCAGATTATTGGAAAACGGAACTGTGTACGGAAGGCCGTCATCGAGATTGGAAAGAATTTGAGGAAATTCGCCTTCTTTTCCTTATCAGCCTCTCTCGGCAAAACGGCAACCACCCGGCACGCTCGGCAATCCAGTATCCCGGCGGATATGCCCGGCCAACTTGCGCCGAACAGCTCCTTCCTGCTCTGGAGATCGCATCCTGGCTGAGTCGTGGAGCGACTCCACTGCGTAGAAGAGCATCGCCAAGATCAAAAGCAGGATCATATGAGACAGTCAAGACACGACGCCGACATAGAAGGGCTGCATGACTCGACTCTTCGCCATCTCTTGGCTGTCATTCAACGTAACGAGTGCGACACAGGTCTGATAGCGTTGGACCTACTGTGGGTAACCGGTCTAATGTGATATGTAAGGTTGGAGGATACATATACATGGGTGATATGCGATATCAAGCGCGTTATCTCAGCGATGGGCCCAACACAGGCTCGATATCGTGTCGACCATGCTCAAGTCTCGATCCATTCATTCCTGCTTGACACCTTCCTCCTTCTCCTTCTCACATCTGTCACAGCTACACCAGAAACCGTAGCCCTCTCGCAGGATCTTCCGTCTTTCATCCCTCGGCATCTTCACATTGACATACGACACGGTCAACTCTTCGCCCTGATCTATCTTTTGACGGGCGAGGATGGTGAGCTTGTTGGAGAAGCTATCACCTTTCTGAAGTGGCGGTGGAAGATCACAGGGGAGAGATGATGGCAATGGGGGCGCATAAGACTTTGGCAGGTTACGAACCTGAGCACACACATGTCAGTGATTGCAAGATCTATCAAAGAGCAACATACCTGGACGTTTGGTGTACAAGAGTGGTTCAAGTGCGCATGCAGAGCATACAGACCACCCGAGTCTTCCTGGTTCAACCCAACAAGGCCCAGCAGCTCCAAAAAGCTTCCGAAAGAGAACCACTTTTGTTCCTCCTTCTCTGTCAAGGGTTTTGGATTATTCCGGCGCGTCTTGACGAGCTTCTGAAAGTTCCTGTGGTTGTAGTGGCCTTGGGGAGGGTTCAGAGCACCGATAAGCAACGTATGGAACTCGCGCCACTCCTTCATTCGGTTCTCCGCCACATACTCCCACTCCCGCCTCTCTGCCTCCTTCCTCTTCTGGCTGATTCGCGCCATACCCTTCCAAACCCTCTTCTCCAGATCCTCGGCCTCGCTTCCTTTACTCCACTCTCTCTCAGTCCTCCACCTGGCCACGATCTTGACGACACCTTCCATGCCTCTTTCCCCTTTTTGTCTGACAAACTTCATCAACTTTTCGGCCCCAGGATTCTCGCCCGGGCAGAGAAGTTGAGGGTGCGAAGCGAGTTGGGCTTTAGAGTAGCAGAGCCTGGTACAGAAGTGTGCTGTAGGGCATCGCGAACATGGGACGGATAAGGCTGGGTTTGGACGATCAAAGATGGAGAAGCACTGTGTGCACATCATGGATTGCGTCAGGAGTGGATAGTGACCTCTGAGAATCGTGTCAGCCGACTGATCACACTCCAAAGATTTCTGCGTTCTCCGAGCCCGCCAGATATTGCCCCAAGCCGCCGCTTTGTTCTCGTCCTTCTGCCAAGCCTCGACTTACGGGTCAGAAGTCACGATCCAAGGCTCCTCCTGCCAAAGCATCTCTCCCATCTCCAGTCCATCCTTGGCCACCAAACCCTTTCCCTTCCCACCCTTGAACATTTTCACCTCCACTTTGGGCGCCAAGCTAGCCACATCGACTGAAGGGTCCAAACCCGTATCAGCAATCAGTGGCTTCTCCCCCTTGTCTCCCGTCCCAGCGCTTTGAGATGCACCCGGAGTGCTTCCCTCGCCGTCTGAAGTGGCAGAATGGGCTTTTCTGAATCGCTTTTCCGAGACGGACCATTCGGGACGATCAAGTTTGAGCTGGGCGAGGAGTTTGAGGATGCCCTTGTCTGGGTGAGCTGCGCGCAGCTCTTTTGTCGTAATTATGAGTTCCTCATCGGGTGGAGAAATGGTGTCGGTAGGTGCTGCGCCCGACATTTTGCTTTTGGTGAATGAACAAATGCTCTTCAGTGTTTCTTCATAATCTTGTCTTCATGCTGGAAATATTTGCTTCCGTCTGTATCACAGGCACTTGATCGACACTTCGTTGACGTTGACTGCTGGTTTTCTTCCAAATTGCAGCATTGAACTCGGGTCGAAACTAATCGAATGACTCAGATACAAGATGCACATACAGAACTTAGAGCTTATGCTGATGAGTGGTGAATCCATTATTAAACATCATGCTATGCGTACAAGCATTGCTAAACAACCCGACCTATGCAAAAGACCCAGAAGAAACAGAACGATACTTTTGTGATTTTTCATCTTATACTAGTGATCCCATCTTACATCATACCGGGCATACCACCCATGCCGCCCATGCCACCCATACCGCCCATACCAGCAGGAGGCGCCTTCTCCTCGGCGTCAACGACACAAGCCTCGGAGGTGGTCAACAAGCTAGCAACACCAGAAGCGTCGCTCAAAGCGGTCCTGACAACCTTCAAGGGGTCAAGAATACCGGCGGCAATCATGTCCCTGTACTGGCTGGTCTGGGCGTCGTAACCCCAGTTGAACTTGTCGGCAGAGACAAATTCTTCAGAAAGGAGCTTGCCGACGACGACGGAACCCTCCTCACCAGCGTTCTCGACGATGGTTCGGACGGGTCGGCGAATGGCCTGTCGGATCATGGCGACACCGAGCTTCTGGTCAAAGTTGTCCACGGCAATGTCCTCGAGGGTAGCAGAGGCTTTCTACAGGAAAGGTCAGCCGCAAGCTTCACGATGTAAGAGGGACTTACAAGAAGGGCGGTACCACCACCGGGGACGATACCCTCCTCTACGGCAGCACGGGTAGCGTTAAGAGCATCATCGTACCTGTCCTTCTTCTCTCCGACCTCAACCTCGGAAGAACCACCGACCTTGATGACGGCGACACCGCCACCGAGCTTGGCCAATCGCTCCTGGAGCTTGGTCCTGTCGTAGTCGGAGGTGGTGGCGTCGTTGATCAAGCCTCGAAGCTGCTCGCATCGGGCCTGGATAAGGTTCTTGTCGCCGTCACCGTTGAGAATGATGGTGTCCTCCTTGGTGATGGTGACGGAACCAGTGCTACCGAAAAGGTCGGGAGAGGCCTTCTCGAGCTTGACGTCGAGCTCCTCGGAGAAGACGGTACCACCAGTGAGGATGGCAATGTCGCCGAGGATAGACTTTCGGTTGTCACCGAAGCCAGGAGCCTTGACGGCAGCAACGCTGAGCTGACCACGGAGCTTGTTGAGGATGATGGCAGCCAACGCCTCACCGTCAATGTCCTCGGCGATGATCAACAAAGGTCGACGAGTAGAGGCGGCGATCTCGAGGGAGGGGAGAATGTCTTGCAAAGCAGAAATCTTCTTCTCGGAAAGAAGGATGAAGGGCTTCTCAAGCTCGACACGCTGGTTCTTGGCGTCGGTGATGAGGTAGGGAGAGATGAACCCTCGGTCGAATCGCATACCCTCAGTGATCTCGATCTCGTCCTCAATGGTTCGGCCCTCCTTGACGGTGATGACACCCTCCTTGCCGACCTTCTCCATGGCCTGGGCAATGATAGATCCAACGTGGTTGTCACCGTTGGCAGAGATGGTAGCCACCTTGATCTCACATCAGCACATGTGCAGCCCCACAAGTTGAACAACGTACCTGAGCAATCTCCTCGCTGGTGGTGATGACCTTCTTGTTGGAAGCAAGGACCTCGAGGACCTTGTCGACGGCCTTCTGGGCACCTCGTCGGAGGTCCATGGGGTTGCAGCCGGCAGCGACGTTCTTGACACCCTCAGCGTAGATGGCACGGGCAAGGACGGTGGCGGTGGTGGTACCGTCACCGGCAGTGTCGTTGGTCTTGGAAGCAACGTCTTGGACAAGACTGATACGAGTCAGTGGGGTACATGTGATAGGTGGCGCCTGACTCACCGAGCACCGAGGTTCTCAACGGGGTCCTTGAGAGTGATGGCCTTGGCCACGGAGACACCGTCCTTGGTGATCTTGGGGCCACCAAAGCTCTGGCCTGTCATTCTCATCAGCAACTACGTATGCCCTACACTAGATTTCGACTAACCAATGATCACGGTCCTACCCTTGGGACCAAGAGTGGCGCTGACAGCCTTGGCAAGGGTGTCGACACCCCTGAGCATACCCTGCCTGGCATCGTTGCCAAAGACGACGTCCTTGGAGGCGAAGGAACGCTTGGAGATGCGGGGAGCGAGGTTCTGGGCGAGCCTGGCGGGGCGGGGGAGGGCGGCGCGGGATCGGAGAGGGTTCATGGTGTATTCGTGGCTGTTTTTTGAAGTGAAGAGGAAAAGGAAAAAGAAACTTGTGGCTGAAAAAGCAACGGACCGGCGAGGTGGTGTCGCTTAGATTGCCGGTTAATTACGAATAGTTAAGTTTCTGGTACCTTCTGGATTTTGACCGACGTTCCCCGTCCTCTTCAAATGGCAGCCCTCGCTTTTCCCCTCTTTCTCCTCACCACCACAAGTCCCCCGTAGATTCAAAATGGTAAGCCCCCTCAACGCTCACGAGAGTTTTGGGACATGGTGACACATGTGCTGCTCTCGCAGCCGTCTGCCAGCCCCACCTCCACTTCTTTCAATGCTGACCACACATCCCCGGACAGGCCGCTACCTTCAAGAACATCAAGGCTCTCCAGCCCCTTCTTGACCGAGTCTTGGTCCAGCGATTCAAGGCCGACACTGTGAGTTTCATACCATGCCCTTGCAAGCCTGCACTTTCTGACCACAATCCCATTGGGACATGTAGAAGACCGCCTCTGGTATCTTCCTCCCCTCTGCCGCCACCCAAAACCCCCTTCCCGAGGCTACCGTCATTGCCGTCGGCCCCGGTGCCGTCAACAAGGACGGTCAGCTTACCCCTACGTCTGTAAAGGTCGGAGACAAGGTGTTGTTGCCTGGGTGGGGCGGTAGCCCCATCAAGGTCGGTGAGGAGGTAAGTTATCTGTTGATTCAGCTGTCGTAGCTTTGCATGCCATAGGAGCTGACGCCGAACACAGGAGTACCACCTTTTCAAGGACGCCGAAATCCTCGCCAAGATCAACGAGTAACTTCAAAAGCGCACTATCAGGTGTATGCACCAACCTTTAATCACTTTGCATGGCTTGTTTAATTTCTCTGGGCTTTGGGATACCTCTGGGTGGGTATCATCCATTTGGGCGATGAAGGAGATGGGGGCAGGGTTGAAAAGGTCGGGATGACTTTGGTGGAGCAGGCCGAAGCGGTTGTCGACGTTCTGATGCATTACTCATTCTTCACTCAGCGAGATCTTCATAGCCGTCAGCCTTGGGGCACAGCTTTCAGCCCTTGAGTGGATGGGTGAAGCTGCAGACTTTGGATTATTGCGCGGTCCGATCAAGGTGCCCTCACTCTTGCCATGCTTCAACCCCAAGCAACTGTCGTCAGAGATGCTGGCATTATCGTGCCAGCTTTCCTGCTCTTCAGTACGCTTTTGACCTGCATGATGATTGATGATGTCCAAGCGGCTCAGCCTTGACTACGTGCCAGTCATGCAGTGGGCATTGGCATCTGTGTTGCTCCTTTCATGTACGCCGTAGCCCGTATCCCTTGTTGGCATATCTCTATAGCGGGCATCAGCGGGTAGGCGATACACGTACACACTGGCAACAGACAACAACCACTCAGGCGTAAACAGGGACAGACAGCGAGGGAATCTGCGCAACAACGTAAATACGGACGCGAGGCAGTGTCATCTTGTTTTCGCATTGTTTACGCTTCATCGCCTACAAAAACCACTCCGTCTCATTTCTCTGCTATGCGTAACGACCGCACCACGACCACCTCCCATCCTCCCCCGCCCATGCTCGCCCCCATACCCCGCTCCGTCCCGCCACCACAACCAGCCGCCCTCTGCACCCCTGCCCCAATCGACCCCGCCTCCATCGCCGGCCCATCACTGCTGGAAAGTGCGACATATCGCCATGCCTACTCTCCAGTCTCCTCTCCCTCCAGCCTGCCGTACCTCCGGGACACCCCCGAGAGATCGCCGCTGCGGATGTCGGAAGCCCACTCTCCTACGATACCAGCCCCGAATCGTTCTTCCTCGTCGCTGTTACCGCACTTGAATTCCAGTCCGAGCAGGAGCTCGAGGTCATCAGGGAGTGATGCGCCCTTGACAGCGCCTATTCCATATACAGCGCCAAGGTCGCCCCTCCCCCGCCGGCGTCCCAGCCCGCTGGTCCTAGGCAAGGCCAAGACGTCGATGGGCATAGATGAAGGGTTGGAATTGGAACGGAGCAACAATGTGGAAAGACAGTCTAGCAGCAGGCCTGCTACAGCTGGATCTGTGACTTCCTTGAATGATGGTGCGTGATGACATTTTGCTTCATTTGACAATACTAAGTCGACCGCAGACGGAGCACTAGCCAACGAGTTCGAGAGCTTGTCGCTCCTCCGCAAAACCGTTCGGCAGAACCTCATAGCTCGACCTGTCGATTCCCCTCTGGCTGGCTCAGGTTCTGAATCGGGCGAGTCTGGTTTTCCGACACCAGAACGGTCCTATTTCCCCTCGACCAAGGGCGACTCTTTGACCAAGCTGGGCAGTATTGACATCAAGCAAGTATTAAAGAGGCAAGCTACAGGGCAGATGCTGGTAGTCGATACGCGTCCGCTAGGATCCTTCTTGGACGAGCATTTTCCCCGGGCTGTATCCATATCTATCCCGACCCTCATCTCCAAGAGGTTTCAGCGGAGCTCCGTTGGCTCTGGTAGCAAAGGGGGTTTCTCCTGGGGTCATCTCCGTGCCTTCATCTCGACAGTTCAGGGCCGCGACTCGTGGGACGCGGCTGATGAAGGCAAGACGGAAATTGCGTTGATCAAAGACGACACTGACGACGCGGGCAATACTTTGGCTGGAATTCTGCAGAGCCTTGTGGGTAATGACAGGGTCAAGGAGGTCGAAGGCGGTTGGGATGCTATCAAGAACGCCCCAGAGAGTAGGAGAATACTCGTTGCCGGTGAGGTTGAGCCTGCCGTCACCGACAACGACCCCTTATTACCACCTCCTAAATCGGCTCCGCCCGTTGAGACCCCTCCTCTGCCGCCTGTCCCTCCTTCACCCGCGCCACTCCGAGTCTCCCATCGACCTTCGTTACCCTCTCTTCGACCGCCCGGGTCCAATCAGCAGCGCGACCTTCCCGCATTGTCCATCAATGGTGGCGGTAATAGCAAGACTATTGGACGGTCTACCCTGGGTGAGCGAAGGACACCGAAATTGAGCTTAAACCTCGATCGACCTTTGCGAAGCGCCACGCTCGGTTCTTTCGACATTCCCCCGACTCCTTGTGGCTTCATGTGCTCTCGTAACAAGCCACTACGTTCACCCGGCCTATCTCTCAATATCCCTCAGCCCAACGGCCAGAGTGCTGCTTCTCCCAGTTCATTGCAGGTCCTGGCACACGAGCAGAGCAAGCTTCCACCTTCCCCTAGTTCGTTTGGTGATGTGAAACGTCTGGAAGGTGGGGATGAGGATTTGGTAGCGACGGGATGGTCCAATGAGGCCACTCCCCGTGGCCGATTCCAGATATCCGATTCGCCTCCCGATAGTCAGATTCCCCTCTCTCCCACTTCATCTTCCTCAACTACCACCACTCGCCTTGCCAACCCCATTGCGCCGTTCAACGTGTCCACCATTCTTCCCAACTTTCTTTTCCTTGGCCCTGACATTACAAACGATGTTGATGTCAAGAAGCTACAGAGCTTGGGGGTGAAACGTATTTTGAATGTGGCTATCGAGTGTGATGACGACCAGGGGTTGGGGCTGAGAGAAAAGTTTAGGTACCATCGGGTGCCAATGCGAGACATTGTCGAGGAGAATGGGGTTGGAAAAGGCATGCGAGATGCTTGTGAATTTCTGGGTAAGTACTTTCCCTGTTCTTGTGATCATACCTAATGATACGCAGATGACGCCCGCCTTCACTCTGCACCAACATATATACACTGCCAAGCTGGCAAATCCCGTTCAGTCACCATCACCCTCGCCTACCTCATCCACGCCAATGCCTGGACCCTCAAAACCTCGTATGCCTATGTTGCTGAGCGCCGTAAAGGTATCAGCCCCAACATCGGCTTTGTAGCCGAGCTGATGCAGTGGGAAGAGTCCGAGCTAGGGCTTAAGGTGTCTGGCGGGGTGCATGGTGACGGTGGAGGGCGGAAAGCGGGGCCGGGGCCGGCGGGGGATGGGGAGGAGAAGAACAATCGGTACATGCGAGAGAGCTTGCCGCCGACATGGTCGGCGAGTGTCGACACCTACTCTCGTCCTCCAAACCTCTCGCCCGCCAATGGAGATGGAGCCGGAGCTGAGGGAGATGGGGCGAGGGACAATGGTCAAGATGATGAGCGACAAGCGGTCGGAGATGAGAGAGAGGTTCGGAAGAATGGTGTATGGGTGCACCATAGGCGGTACGTCACTTGAGGTTGGAAAAGTCGTTGTGCTGACAAGATGACAGAGCGCCCGTCGATCGTACAACGCTCCAACCGGGCCGCCGAGTGTCCAAAGCTGGTCTCGAGTCCCTCAGGCCCCTGAACACAACACCAATCAACGGAGCAGGGCCTTCTAGCGATGATGGTCAGACCGAAGACCCGAGGCCGTCCCCTCGCCCAAGTCCTCGACTGGGCATGGGGGGTGGGCACGCCATGACGCCCGCTGGGGACGGTCCTCTGAGGTGGATCTAGGAAAGTGAGATCGAGGGCATGGTGGACGATTTCTTTCATGAGTGACGACCCGTAATGAGCCTATCTGTGCAGCAAGCACCAGTGTGTATTATCATGTAGCATAAAGTTACTCATACACACGTACACCATACCACTCCTATGAGGACGAAAGACTCGCGCCTGGAGACATTACACGACAATGTATGCAAAGCGTTAAGTGGAAAAGAAAAGTAAGGTAGCCACCTAAAGGCGGCTGAAAAGACGTTGTCAGCTCACAAAGAAGACCCCACTGCCTGATCCGAAGCAACGCGCTTGTAATGATAGAGCCGCTCTAAATACGCATCCGATTGATTGATTGCGAGCTCTTCGGTGAAGCCCGTGCGCTTCTTCTGACGATCCTTTCGAGAAACTTTCCTCTTTCTGCTGCTGATAACACTTCCGGGGCCTTTGTTGGTACCCCTGTCGGCCAACTATATCTGCCACACCATCTCGACTGTAGCAAGCACCACAATGTCTCATACATAAAAAGAGGGCTGTTTCAGTACAGTCCCTGAAAAGTCTTCCTACTCCCCGTAGACGAGCCCTCAGAGACTGACATACACATAGTCTCATCACTGCAGTGGAGATGCCAGGCTCGTCAATTGCGATCTTTCCTTTCGCCCAATATCAGCAGACATCCGATCATGGAGGGATCATCAACAAAAGGTTCTGTCGACATGTGCTGCAGCGTCACGGCAATCGGATATTGATTCTGGTGGCTGGCGGTTCCTTGTCTCTATGTAGTCAGCCTCAAGCTCTTCACTGAGATCAGTGACCGGTGGGCCAATTCTAGCCAAAAATTCATTCGCGTGGCGTCCGGCCTTCACGGTGATCAAGTCGTCAAGTCGTCAGAGACGAGGGTCTCGCGCATGGAACTGTGCAATCGGTCTCCGGCTGGCTGGACACCCTCTCCCACGATATTCTGGACAGTTCAGTGGTATGTATCAAGATATAACGCGGAGTCTCCATCGGAAGTCGGAACGAGGCTAAAGTCTCTAAAGTGGGCGATGCGAGCACCCCTGGCCCTTGGGAGACGGAGTATGGAACAGAAAATGCACCAATTCCTGGGGCTTGAACCTCTTACCATGCAACGGTCTTCGGGCGGCCACGTCGGGTGTATTAGGGAGGTACGGGTTGGAGTATAATCCTTGTGAGTGTGTGGTCTGTGATTCGCAGTACCCAGCCCCGGCGGCCGGGGTGGGTTTCGGAGGTTGATGCAAAGTGGGGGAATAGGGAGCGAAGTGAGGATACCAGAGGTGAATGCAGGGGCCATGGAGGTCAAAAAGCGAAGAAGAACGCTGACGTATTTGATCAGGAGGGCGCTTGCAATGGAGAATGATACCACTCAATGACTTGCAGATCTCCTGCACATTTCCCGTGGCGTTCGTGCATCTTCTGGAAATCACCTGGGATCATCAGACGGAAACAAAACCAGCACAGGATCAAGGAGCTCAAGTCGAGAATCACGTCCGGCCACGTCGAGTCTTGCGAGGAATGACTGCCACCCAAAGGATCGTCAACAGGTCAAGGACATCAATTCGCCACGCGACACC